TGGTGAGCTACGGCGCCTGTTGAGGTAGTGGCGCCAACAGGACCAAGCAAAAAGCAGTTATTTCGTCAGTTTGTTTGCTGCAGCCACAATGTCAATAGAAATAACAATTGCCTCGGTATATGTAGATGACACAATTACCACAATAAGACCTAGAGTTTCACTATGGTCTGATATACATACCGTATTGCATCAACCGAGATCTGAATATTCCCGACACATACATAATAGACTAAGTTAGTAACTGTTTATATATCTCATTTACATATCTCTCGCACGGCTAAGTTGTGATTTTGATAGCAAAGTGCATATAGCTGCCTGCTGTGTGGGGAATAGTTCTTCTGTTGACTCATTCTTGTCCCATCTAATGCAGGTCCTAGCTCGAAATCGCTGGATCCATCGTGAGTGTAACCAATGATACCTATCGAATACCTATCGAATGGGGTTTTCTAGCATTTTTCTATAGGCTGGAAGCTCTACATACCTACGTACAAACAGCCTAGCGCGATCCACAGTGATTCGACCGACGATGCGGACGACAGTAGGCTACTATACCGACTTATATATACCGACTTATATGTAAGTACTATATAACGTATAAGTACGTACTTGGGTAGTAAGCATTAGCAATTTGTCCGCTTGGTGGAGACGGAGCATTATGCATTTCTGCAGGTCCGAATTCATAGTAAATATATTGCTAGTTATACCTAACTGCAATAATAGTGAAAACAATGTTATATTTTTCTTTGTTTTAGGATGAATTTAAGAATATGCCGAGTAATTGCGGGGGATAAGCCTAGCCTCTTCTATACATACCTATACTATCTATGTAATTATTATCTTAGAGGTATTAGAAGCTTTGCGTTACATAGTATTGCTTTGCGAGAACGTTTACGCGCCGCTTATCTACCTTAGCTACCTTAGCTAGTCTCCTTACCCAAAAGCTCCTAACCAATTGATTCCGTATTTTTTAGTTGCTGCATGCTATACATACTATGTAGTACCTATGTCATATTTTCTTAAAAGTGCACTTCTCACTTCTCACTAGGCACCATCCACTAAGAATTGTTATTGTCTTTGCTTTCTGCCCCTCGTTATGTACACACTTACTAAGTTGCTCCGTAATTGCGATTACATTGTGTTATAAAATAAAATAAAATAAAAATTTATAAAATAAAGTACCGCTAGGCTTAGCCTTAGCACGAAGTTGCACAGACCTTATAGTGTACCTAAAAATTTACCCGACAGCCTAACCGCAAACCTTACAAACCCGCAAACCCGCAAACCCGCAAACCGTCCTAAACTTAGAGACACCCGCATCTACCTTAACATCTTTACCCACCAACGCTTCTTTCACCACGACAACCATTATTGGACGTATGATTTTCTCTTTTTCAACTTTTAGACCACCAATTAATGATACACGACCCTTTTTCTTATTTTTCTAACCGCCTTCACTCGTAATTGTGTGTTATATTTCCGAGACTAAGTTTAGATCTTTAACTAGTTACCAACAATAAAAGTTTCTAATCTGTATAATCTAGCTCTGCCTAAATCTACCAGCAAACGGATATACATATCTATCTACCATCTTCCTAGCTACGCCTCAATGCTCAACGCTCAACGAAATTGTATATATGATAATGTGCAATGACATACAAACTTCAACAATTACAACTATCTAAAGGGAACTTCCTTTAAAATAACCATATACTTTTGCTATGAGTGGAGACAGATCAACTTCTAGGCAAGACACCTTCATTCTCCCTGTCCACTTGTCTCACTGCTAATATTCAGTTTTATAGCTTTGGTGATCCAAACGCTCAGCCTCCTACCCCAAAGCAAACCCCGACCACCGCTTCTTTTCCAAGCTCTGTGTTCGAAACCCCCAAGAATAACCGAGCCTCCTTCGAGGATTCTTCTGGGTGGACTCCTCAGTTTGCTGAGGAGTATTCCGTCTTCAATTCCACCCCCGGTAACCTGAAAGCTTCCCACGCTCCCTTTGCCGACTACTCTGTCCCTACGCCTTATCAACCTTCAAACCATAAGAGACTCTTATCCGCTGGGAGCATTGTTGCTGAAATTTCAACCCATGCTCCTCACTTTTCCCCGAACCCAAATTTACCTCTACCGCCTGTTGACCCGTCTAAACGGCTGGCATCATCTCCGAACCCCTTAGCCTCCGGTCATAGCCCAACCGAAGCCGGCTTCCGGTCTAGTTCTCAACAGCTGTCCAAGAAGATCTACCGAGACGGAGCACAAGAGACTCAGGGGCAAACGGCTACACCGCCGCCGTCTAGTCACAAAGGAAGGCAGCGACTCGCCCCAAAGCTACGGACGAGCAATATGCAAAATGACGGATTCGAACAGGAGTTCGTAGCTGGCACGCCGCAACAAATGCCCAGTTTTATTTCAACAACCCCCACAGATCTTTTTGGATACCCAATGTCCGCGCCGGCTACGGCCTCTGGCTATGGAGATTCGCGTATGTTCTGGGATACTGATATGGGTGGGATGGACATAGATTTTTCCGTCGCTAGTGGGGAGATGTTCCAAACTTCTAGTCACCGGCCCATGAGCTCTATAGATTGGGGCAAGTCGAATGAGATGTTTCAAGAGACGGGCACTATTCCATCGCAAAGCCAGGAAAGTAACCCGCCAGCAAAGAAGGAACGGACACTCGCGCCAAAACCCCCACAGCCGGCTTTAGACACAAGCGTTACCGATACGGCAATGTTTAGTCAGTCCTTCGCTACATCGGCTGACGAATCTTTTGCCATGATGAACCCGAATGGCTCCGTAGATCCCGGTCTCCTGTTTACGAGGCCGCCGTCTGCGAATATGGAACCTGCTTCTTTCAACCCCTTATCGCAGCCTCCCTTGATGCAATCTTTTTCGCATCCAGAGCCCATCGTATTAGCTGCGAAGGCGCCAAAGCGTGGTCCCGTTCGCCGTTCAGCTAGCAACAAGGAAATAAACGCTGGCAAGAAGGCGAATCGGGCGTCCGCGAGCTCACCGGTCAAGACATCTGATCGCCCCGGTCTATCGCGTAGCTTCAGCGAGAAGATAAGCCGAAAGCCTGCTAGCAAGGCGGCTAATTTACCTAACCTTGCACCAGCTACACGACCTATCCCACAGAGTACTGGAAGATCGGCATCCCAAGGATCTAGAATAAGCGGAAGTGGAAGAATATCCCCATTAAAGAATCACCAACAACGACTACCGAGTTTGAGCTCCATCCCTGAAACACCCCCAAGAACGCAAACTTCGGTTAAGTTCACAATCGACTCAAGGGGTCGGGCTCGCGCGGAAACAACGACAATAGTTGTAGAAGATGAGGATCCAACACCAACGGCAGTGCGTAGTCGGAAGGAAAAGCGTAGCAAGGGGAAAAGCTGGGCATCCTCCGAAGATGATGATTCCTCAACGGATGATGAACCTATAATTATTCCTAGCCGAAACACATCGTTCGCTCTCCCAGACCCACGAAACCCGGCATCCCTTCCTTTTCACTCCTCTCAGCGGAGTATTAGTGACCAGAGTACGAGTAGTCTCGGAATATACTATAACGAACCTGATCCCGTTGATGATCCTGAGAGTGAGGCCGAGACGGTGATGAATATGCCCGGCGGTAGTAACTATGGCGACGCAACAAGCGAGCTACGTAGAGTTATCGAGAATCGTCAGAAGAGGGCGTCGAACATGAATGAGAATCTCATACCACGGCCAGCTTCAAGATTAACTCCCTCCCCTTTAAAGTCCAGTCAACTCCGTAGCCAGTCCACCGAAAGGGGCCATCGCATTCGATGCGTTTGCAACACAGCTAATAACCACATCAATGGCAATAGTTATATGGTTCAATGGTATGGGTGTCATTTTCTTTCTTCCCCTATATAGTCGAGCTACGACACGATTCAATACCATAACTAACACGTATTATAGTGAATCATGCGAGATGTGGCTTCATGGCAAATGCATCAACATCACAAGGCAAACCCATCCTAGCGTGTATATATGTGCGTTTTGTGCAAACACGCCGAACGCCCATGGAATGCGAGGCAGAGAAATACGCAGGAGTATGGGGGGCACGAACCCCCGAGTACCTGCCACGTCTCCGCTAGCACACAAGTCATTCAAGTCGTTTAGATGATGACATGCAGTGTTCGTAACGAGGCATGTTGCTTACGATACGTTAAATCTATAATGGGAATATATGGGAATGGCGCTCATTGGATATAGACGGGATAGAATAGTGCTACGAGATTCAGCTGGAGACCTTTACGTTTTACACGATACCCTAATCTATACTTTATAGATGATGAGTAGCAATAAGAAGCGCAGATTTGTGAAGGTTATATATGGCAAAGGTACCGATATGATGTGTTTCTAATTGTTTTATGATTAATCGTTTATATTGGGTATGTATATGTAAAAGCGGTTGCTTTTGGTATGGCTTAAAGATAGAGGGTGATTGAGTTATGCAAGTTTGTGGGTAAGGGGTAAGGGAAATATAGCCAATATAAATGCCTAGCAAATAGAAGCATATAAATCTATTAAGTTATCTACGGATATGATACATCCATCTGAGTGGATACCGAGTGATGTAATCCGTAGAGTATATATATATAGATCAGGTGAAATCTGATAAGCCGGTCCTCGGTATATTAAATCGGTGAACGGGTTCAATTATGGCGAAGTTTCAAAACTTCATAAGCAAAGAGAAGAGCACCGAGAGAACAAAGAGCAAGAGCTATCCAATATAAAAGGCCGATCTCGGCAATCGCGGGGTGGGTTCGGAGACACAAGCAATTAACGCGGGGCAGCTTGCGGTTAGCTTTTTTTGTTTGCTACTGGGCAAGAGCAACCCCCAAGTAACATCCCTAGATCCCTTAGACCTTTAAACTATATTATAGCTCGGTCATTTCCTCAATCAATTCGGAATATACTTTCTCACTTATTTTTTTTAATCCAATTCCCTTTACGAATCCAATTGGTCCTCGAAAATGGCAACACACAACATCGTAATCTTCGGCGGAGATCACAGCGGCCCCGAGGTCGTGGCCGAGGCCGTCAAAGTAAGTTAGCAAGACGTAGACGAAAACAACCCAACTAGAGAAAATCCCCGTCAACACGGCAACCGCTTCAATTATAAGAGCTATGCTAATATATAGACTTCGCTACTAGGTCATCAAAGCGGTTGAGTCTACTAGACCCTCTGTCGGCAAGTTCAACCTTCAAGAACATTTACTAGGCGGCGTACGTTCTCCGAATTCCAAGAAGCCTCCTTCATCCCTTTCCTTTCCCTTCCCTTCCCTCCCCGCTCTGTACCACCCACCCCCCCCTTCTTGAATCGCTCACGTGCCTAGCGAAGGGAAGAATACAGCTAGCTGACACGTGTATAATTGTTGGGATATAATAGTGCTCGATCAATGCCCACGGCACACCCCTTACCGACGAAGCCCTCGCGGCCGCTAAATCGGCCGATGCCGTCCTCCTCGGCGCCATCGGCGGACCCGAATGGGGCACCGGCGCCGTCCGTCCCGAGCAGGGCATCCTGAAGCTGCGCAAGGAGATGGAGACGTACGGCAACCTGCGCCCATGCTTCTTCCCCTCGGAGTCGCTCGTCGAGTACTCGCCGCTCAAAGCCGAGGTCTGCCGCGGCACCAACTTCACCGTCGTCCGCGAGCTGACCGGCGGCATCTACTTCGGCGAGCGCAAGGAGGCCGGCGACGGAGACGAGGCCTGGGATACGGAGCTGTACTCGCGCCGGGAGATCGAGCGCATCACCCGCCTCGCCGCGTACATTGCGCTTGCGAGCGATCCGCCCGCGCCCGTCTGGAGTCTGGATAAGGCGAATGTCTTGGCGTCGAGTCGGCTCTGGCGCAAGGTCGTGTCCGAGACGATGGCCCGCGAGTTCCCCCAGCTGAAGCTCCAGCACCAGCTTATCGACAGCGCGGCCATGATCATGGTCAAGAACCCGCGCGGTCTTAACGGCGTCGTCGTCACTAGCAACTTATTCGGCGACATCATCAGCGACGAGGCGAGCGTTATTCCCGGCAGTATTGGTCTGAGCCCTAGCGCCAGTCTGAGCGGCATTCCGGACGGCAAGTCGAGGTGCAACGGCATTTACGAGCCCATCCACGGTAAGCCCCCTTTCCCCCTTTTAATTATACGAGAGCATCGGAGTTCTGATCGGGCTAACAAATTCCAGGCTCGGCCCCCGATATCTCGGGCAAGGGCATTGTCAACCCCATCGGTACCATCCTCTCCGTTGCCATGATGTTCCGATACTCGCTGCAGCTACCCAAGGAGGCCGACGCCATCGAGCAAGCGGTCAAGAACGTCATCGACGGCGGCATCCGGACGAAGGATCTCGGCGGCGAGGCCGGCACCAAGGAGACTGGCGATGCCGTCGTCGCGGAGTTAACTAAGATCCTTAAGAACTAACTAGAGTCATCTTTCTAAGATAGGAAAGGTCTAGATCTAGGGAGGGCGGACTGGAAATTTTCAAAGTGGTGTTCTCGGTCGGGGTACCTAGGTAAATAAAAAAATAAAACTGGTAGGGGAAAAGGACGACGATGGTTTGCAGGTAGTTTATAATGCGCTGCGGCGCGTTCAATGCAAATTCGATGATTTCAAGTTTTCCAACTTTTAAGTAAACGTTCAGAATTTTGTGGCAAAGTAGGAGTTACCTAGGCCTGGCCAAGTCTTACTCTTAAGGCCAAGCTGAATTTATTAGTATCGCCCTGGGTATAATCACACTCTATGGTTCCTAACGCTATCGTGCGTCGTAGTGCTAGCCAAATGCCTTCGCGAGAAAAACAACCGAGACGCCGTCGTCTATGCATGCAACACTTGATCTCTGTACTCGTGTCCTGCGGAACCTCGTAGGTTTCCAACACCCTCGGTATGGATGGGTACGACTTCCCTCTTGATGCCTCGTCGGATTTATCCCTTCATCAAGCCGAACTACTGATCATCCACCCCATTTACTTGCTCCTCGCTCATATCGCATCCATTAACCTCCCATATTCCAATACCACCACCACTATAACCACCATCACGACACAAACCCCCCACCTCACCTCCTCGCAGTATTCACCAACACCCTCGCCACATCGTCTCTCAACTCCGGCATAGCGCGCTCCATCTCGGCGGCCAGCACGTTGCGGAAAGAGGCGAAGGCGGCCTGCTTGCCGCGCATGAGCTGGTTGCCGCGGCGCACGGCCTCGACGAACTCGCGGGTGTAGATGTCGGGGTTGCGGCCGTTCTCGACGTACTCGACCAGCTCGGGGGGCACCTTGGGTAAGGCGGGGAGGTGCGGGTCGGTGGCGCGCGAGTGGATCGCTTGGAGGTTCGCGCTTAGGGTGCGGAGCTCGTTGGCGATGACGTCTCGGGACGGGCGGCTGTGGGGGGGGGAGGTGTTGGATGGGGTGGTGTTGTTGTTGTTGTTGTTGTTGCCGGAGAGGGGGGGGGCGTTGGTGGAGGAGGAGGAGGGGGTATTGTCGTAGTTGGTTACTTGGACGAGGACGTTGGTGAGGGTTTGGATTGTGTCTTTGAGTTGTTCTGCCGGGGGTGGGGGTTAGTATTGGATTATATTGAGGGGTGTTGTATGGTTGTAATAGTGTATAGATTGAGAGAGATATATATATTGGTATGGAAGTGAGTATACGGAGGATAGGGTGGGCATAACTTACGCTCGAGAGCATCGTGGTCCACGCGCGTCATTGGCGCCATTACGTGCGCGTGTTGTCCGGGGACGCTCTATATTTGGTAGTTGTAAATATTCTGGTTATATAGTATGCGAAGGTTGCGGGTGTTGGTAAAGATGCGAAAGCTGGAGATCGGAATGGTGTTGGAGGTGAGAATGAAGCTTAGGGAAAGCTGTAGAGTTCGGAGTTTGGAGGGGATGGGGAAGAGACAGGGGTCGTTAGACTTATGTACCTAGGTACCGTAGTATGTGAATTATTGAGATTGCGACCAATCAGGTATAAGACATTCGCTGCTTTTGTTCAAGTTTGGCTTCGTCAATCGTTAGCTATAACTACCATTAAATTTTATATTGTAATTAAGCATGGGAATAAAACTAGTTAGTTAAAACTTACTTTAAGTAACTAGTTCAAAGTAGCATTAACTAACTAACAATGAATGGCAACTTCCTAAGGGGGATTGTTGTTACAGTTGGGCAAGCTGTGTTATTAAATTTCATAATGTTATACCAGTTAAAGTGAAGCCGGGCTCATACATAATCATCTCTCATTTACGTCTTTTGTTTTAATAATATCTTACTTTCTCCTTTAGTATTTTAATTTAGCCAAGTATACGTTATATAACCAATCAACAATCCAAGAAATATTACCCCCAGAATTTTATAGATTGTTATCAAAGTACGTCCCGGCATATCTTAGTCGCAGCGATACTTCAACTTCAACTCCTGCAACTCTCCTAAACAACTCTTCTAAACAGCATTAAAAGTTGAAGCTTCCTAAAAATTAAGTAAATCCCAATCAATTTTATTATCTAGTTTTATAAGTGCTTCTATTGCTTATGTGCTCAATGATACTATATATACTATATACTAGCTTTAGAAATTACCTTGACCAAATAAACCAGCTTATACCCAATTCATTACTCTTTAGACGATGACATGCAATAGAAGTAATCAAGTATTCTATTACAACATCCCTTATTTAACAGATCTATTGCAATCTATGCCATACGACATATAGATTACTAAACGCCCCAGTTACCATAATACACTATCCAAATTATAAATTAAAATCAATAAACTCGTATGCTTCTCAATATTGTTAAAACTCGAAAATATGCCTTATTTTAAAACCACTGAAATTAGTATCTCAACCTAACATAGAATTACATCCGAGAAAACCCCCAGACATTGCAGTTCACCATCAACTCACTAGACAAAGCAATAGCTCCAAGATAACCCTCACTCAATCTAACAATTCCCATTAAGTAATAACCCTACAATCTAATAGTTATGTATATTCCCAACCCCATCTTCTACGCCCATCTTCTACGCCCATCAACTACGCGCCGCAACCCCAAACCATCACTCCCTACCAAGACCCCTCCCGCTCAAGAATCTCTTTATCTCGCTCTGCAAGCTCGACTTCTTCCTTATACTCCGCACATCCACCACCTCTCCCCCATCCGTAACGACCTGCTTCGCACCACCGCTAGGCGACGGCGTGCGGTCCCGGCCGAGCATATTCCGGATTTGCCGTCCGTCGCCTACACCTCTATCTTGCCTACGGCCCGGGACTGCGGCGCTTGGGTTCCACGGCTGGAAAGGCTTGTAGATGTTAAGGAACTCCCTTGATTGTGCGGGTGGTGTCCGCCGGGCGTATTGTTGAAGATGTGCTGTTACTTGCTCTGTTAGCGGCGACGGGGAGCGGCGCGGGAACGCTTCCCGTGATACGCCTTTACTGTAGGATTGGCCCTCGTGGATTACGAGAGGCGAAGGCTGCCGGGGGACATATGGTGTGTGACTACGAGCATCCGGTGGATTAGGTAGTGAAGTGAACTTTGCTCTTGCAGACTTGGGACTAGCTGATGTCGACTGGGCCATCCGTGAGGAAGGGCGTTTTAATGGCTCGTCTAGAACGAAGGAAGGGCCCTTGAGGGCGGTGATGGTCGACTCGGCTAGCTTACCAAACTCCGAGCTTCGAGGTGTGGGAAGGCGATTAGAGGGACGTGGAGTCCCTGCTGAATAGAGCGGGTTTGGTGAGGGACTTGTTGGACAAATAGTAGGTGAGTTGGATATAGGATAATTATCCGGCTCTATAGGGTTAGGAGGGAAATATTGATCAAGGATAGAATAGGGTCGAGGTTCGATCTGTTGACGGCGATCTTGACCTCGTTGGCTAGGAAGCCACCGCATCCACTTAGGAATTGGTTTTGTAGGGCTAGGCTTGAAAGTAGGTCCGTTGATGGGATCGAAAATCGAGACGTATATGACGGGATCTAGAGGAGCCACATGGTTCCCTTCACTATCGCTTAGTTCTTCCGGAGCACCCAAAGCGCCGTCAACCGGTAGACGAAATGCATGTGAAGTGTGTGTCCGACCTTGAATAGACCATCGTGACCGATTTAAAGACGGCGGGCTCTATAAATATGTCAGCTCAAACTAAACGACACTGGCATTAACGAATTCCTACCTGAATAGATTTAGGGGTCGTAGTCGGCACCCTCTTGATCTCTCCCACAGCCCTCCTGCTCATCTGCCCGCCCATTTTCACCCATCTCATCCTAGCCATACCTCCATCAGTCCTATCCACTCTATCCAAAGCATTTCGCACGAAAGTCCGCCGGTCCTCGCAATTGACCTCGCATTCTACCGCACAATTGGCACAAGTAGGCACCTCGGTAATCTCCCGTCCCGACCCAACAACAACATTACCACCTCTGCTATTTGTAGTCTGATTACCATCATCATCAACGAAGAGTTCCGCAACCGTCGGCCCAATAACCACCAACCTACTCCCGCAAAACAAACAGCCGTAACACGCGCGGTGCCAGAAACACCACCCCAGACTCACGCTCTCCTCGTCGCGGAAGACGATCTCGCCGCAGACCTAGCATATGGCGAGGTCGACGAGGCCGCGGTAACAGGACTCACAGGTCAGGCGCGCGGAGCGGCCGAGGGTATGCGGAGGGCTGTAAGATGGGTGCCAGCAGAATGTGCATGTGAATGGTTGAGTGTGTGTCATTGTAGTGCTTAAGAAATAATCCTATAATACCGATAGTAAAAAGTAAAAATATATTTGTCTGGCCTCAAGAGCAAGCTCTATTAGAAAGGATTAATGATATCAGAGAAGTGGTATTGATGGACAAGGTAACTACCGCAATAGCTTACCTATATCAAGAATACTAGAATGCTGTTATAATTCCCGAGTTATTTAGGTATGTAGGTACCTAGGTATGAGGTGTGAAGGAAGTTCGCTGTAAGAACAGCAACAACCCGGATAAGGGGGAGGAACCCATTACTAAAGCCTCGTAATAATGGAAATAGGAAGGAGAGCTACCAGATAGAGATACGATCTATTAGCCATAGGGAAGGTATAGCACATTAAACAAGCTATGACTATCCGCCATCGCAACTCAAGTGATTGATTGCCAAGTATCGTAATCATTATTAACTCTAGAACCTATCAAACCTTGCGACTTATGTCGCCATTACCAATCAACGCCATTACTCCAGGAGAGATAGCCACCTATCCATCGTGACAATTCCGATTTTTCGTGGTCTTACAAAGCCGTTCATGAATCCCCTATGCATTGCAAATCAAACCAACGCAAATGAAAAGAAAAGAAAATTAGCCAAGTCTCCCCATCGAGGCGTGACATTGCTAATGTAATGTACATGCATTTCAGACTCCAGAGATGAAACCCATTACGCCATCGTGTTCCTGTCAACAATCTGAATTCAGATATCCTGAACAATGATTGCAATAGCATGAGCTTCTTTGTACTATAAGATGTCGTGATTCGTTCCGTAATCTCAATATGCCGGGAGGTTGATGAACGCCTAATATGAAATCAATTACTTTCGGACCTTGGGTCGAGCGAGCATGTTCAACCGGCTCAGGCTGAGGCCACCCTTCTTCTTCTTCTTTTGCGGGCTAGGGGTGTTGGCTGTTCCACCAAGCTTCTTGATTGGTGATTCGCCCACCAGTCGAGGTGCGATGAGAGCATGTCCTTCAACTGCCTTCGGATCCTTGCGTAGTTTCTTCGCGCCACGCTTGCTACCTTCATCCTCTTCTTCCTCTTCGTCCCAGGTTGCTCTATGTCTCTTCTTGTTTGACATTCCGTGAGGGATACCAGATCCCACTGCTGGATCTTTGTTCTCCTTGTTAGGGGATGCCTCAAGCTGACTCGGGAAGCTACCGGGCATGAGGCTAGTGGGCATAATAGAGTTACGAACGTGACGGAGACTAGCCTGACCAGCAGCGGCGCCAAATCCTCGGGGAGAGACGTCGCCAAAGCTGATAGTATGATCGCTGCGGAAGGTGAAAGTGCCAGGAACTGATTCGGGGGGCTGGCTCGTGGTAGACTTTTCAGCTTCTTCGTTGACATCTCGGCAGTAAGCTGAGAGATCGGGATACGTAACCTCGCCCTCGGAAGTCTTGTCATTGACCGGCTTCTCAGCAACGGAACTACCAAATCGAAGGTGGGACAAGGCCTTCGAGCGTGGAATGCTCGACTTAACGGGCGAAGGGGAATCTAAGAGCATAGTAGCTCGTTTAACCACTGGGGTAAAGTTCACGCGTCGCTCCAGCTTTCGTCCAGGGGTAGTAAGCGGCGCCTGAGGTAGCTCCTCCTCGTCAATACGCTCTTGGAGAGATGTCTTCGAAGGAGACGCGGCAAGCTGAGGAATGTTGGACTTTGGTTTGGACCCACCGATCTGTTTCTTTAGGATCGACTTGACTCTATCAAATCGACCAGGCGTTTGAACATGAGTAGGCTTGTTGTCCGTAATGGCATTGTTCGACATAGACTTCTTTAGAGTACTAAAACCTGTCTTGCTAGAGAATTTAGCCAGACTACCAAGGTCCGGCTTGCTTGGGGATTTAGCGATGCTACTAAAATCCGGCTTGCTGATAGATTTCGTCAACGTAGCGCTAGGAGCCTTGACGCTATTTGCACGGGCAAGAGATGATTTAGTTGGCGTCATGAGATTGGCTAGCGCATGCGAGCGAGGGATGCCGCTACGAATCGAATCATTACCGCTGCTCTTGGGTCGGGGAATGAAGCTACCATCCCGCGAAACGGGACGAAGGGTGGATACGTCGTCCTCAACCCGCTGCTTTGTACGTTTGACAGGCGACTCGAGCTGCTCCTGTTCCTTCTCGGGAGCGCTTGGCACTGGGCGGGTAGATGATTTCTTAGATCGTGCCGAATCGGCTTCATCGAGGTTTGCTTTCGATTGACTACGTTTGAGGCTGCCTTTCACGGGGGTAAAGCGGCCAGGGACGGCGCGGAATGCTGAGGGGTGGTTTTCGATAGAATCCATCTTCTTAAATTCGGCCATATGAACAGCGCTGAAGCGACTAGCTTTTCCTTTGGCTGAGTGAATCTTACGACCTTCATTGGCAGCCTCTTCCTTCTTCTCTTGTTCATGCTTAGCAGAGAGTTCAACCTTAATCTTTGCAGCCTCCTCACGGATACCTTCCATCATCTTCTTAGCTGCGGGGGTTAGTCCCTCATCGCCACCACGGTTGGGTCTGGTGTAGCGGAATGTGAATTCCGAAGACGGCATGGGCGTTTTGGATGGGGTAGATTGGATCACTCCGGAACCTTCGTTGGGTTTTTTGGTGTAGTCAATATCGACAAACCCAAGGTTGAGGCCTGATGAAGGTGCCGCAGTAGTGGGGTGAACCTTGCTGGGATGTCTCTCTGACATCGGCAGCTTGACAGGTGTGGCTACAGCGGGGGTAGCAGGTTGATGCATCGGGGAAGATGCGATGGTATCGAGACTGTGAGCAGCTAGTCTTGCGGATGTAGGGGTGCGCTCATCATGCTCGGAAAGAGCACCTAATTGAGGCGCCGGCGAAGCGGTAGTCCTCTATTATTAAATCTAGTATTAGCCTCGCTATACAAATAAAATCTTTGGCGCGATTTAGAGTGATGCGGCGCGAAGTCGAGGCGGTGAGGAGCGCATAGGCTAACGTGTTTACTTACCTTAGAAGCGCTCGCGATGCGAGCTGAACGACGCGCCATGATCGATAGATAGATGACGACTTCAGTACGAGTTAGATAATGCGCAAGTTTGAATTTATGAGCTGGATTCGTTCAAACGAGCTTGGGGTATGGAGCCAATATTCGATGGTGTTAATTAAGTGAGTTAAGAAAGTTGTGGGGAGAGAAGGGGAACTGACATCAGGATTTGTTTACTTGGGGGGGAAAGTCAACAATTTGTTTTCAGTTCCTGTGCACTGACCAGATAAAAGTTTGGAGCTATGCATTTAGGAGATATGGTTTGGCCCTTTTATGGCCCGTGCATTATTGAAAACTACTGCTTATATGCAAATACAGTACGTATCGAGATACCTAAGCGAGATAATAGCTTTTAACCGAACTCTATGACATAACTCCTATGCCCTTAGAAGGACGATCAATACCTAGGTACGTTGTGTGGCATGTTTGTCGAATCACGATAATGGAACTTTAATTCGTCTATCTCTACATACTATATTCACGAGATTAATTAAACCCGTATATTAACATAGATGTAAGTTTAGCTTAGAGCATATGCATTTATATTTTCCTGAATATCTACTTGAGTACATAATGATTGGATGACAATACTTTAGATATCGAAACACCATGTGTTATGCTTTCGTCTAGCTTTTTGCAAGATATCATCCAATAATGGACAATCGATCCAGGGATTTTCCCGAACCGGGTATAAACACCAATCATTTCAACTCTTAACAATTGCTGCCTTGTCTCCCAGGTGATATATGCATCATGCATGCAACGGGGAAATTCTATACCTTACTCATATCTCAGCAGAGTTGTAGCTAAGAGTTGTCTTGCGCCCTTTGCAACGTCATATGTACGCCCTACCTATCATATCCTTAGAAATTCTTCTAGATCCAATATCGCGACTTATAGCATTTGTAATCTACATGTGTCACTCTAACATATAAAGCTTCAATGCTAGATATAATGATAACTTTTTGAACTAACCATCATTTTATTCCATATATTCTTCATTGGGTATCCGTCTGGTTTTCGTATAACTGAATTATAATAGGTATTCATTGGTGCTATCATATCAAACTCACCAGGACTAATCTCTACTAAAAAGCAACTTGGTGCCTTCGACTTATCACCTTACATCATGGCAGATATCAAGCCTTATACTATTGCAATCGACGAAGAACGTTTAAATGACTTGAAAACGCGACTGTCTCTCGCCAAGTTTCCAGATGAGCTCGATGAGGCGGGGTGGGATAGTAAGTGCCTATTATATTCGAGTCGTCGATCAGTCAATTCTATATTTCCCTTTGGTTTTTATAACAGTCGATGGAACTTCTGGGAACATGCTATAAACAGTTTTGGCTGATTCTGGCTAATATAGTGGGATCTCCTCTTGCTGATGTCAAGAGATTCGTGAAATATTGGCAAGAGTCATACGACTGGAGAAAGGCAGAAGCGGAGCTTAACAGCGTGCCACATTTTGTTACAGACATCCAGTGCGATGGGTTCGAGCCTCTAGCAATCCACTTCATTCACGTCCGTAGTAAGGTAAAGGGTGCAATCCCCTTATTGTTCATGCACGGTTGGCCAGGCCACTTCCAAGAGGTCTTGAAGGTATTAAAACCCCTAACCGAAGACGGAGACGGTGTCAACTACCCCGCGTTCGACATCGTCGCGCCGTCTTTGCCGAATTTTGGGTTCTCTGAGGGCCCGAAGAAGCGGGGGTTCGCTTCGGAGCAATATGCCGAAACTATGAACAAGCTAATGCTAAAGTTGGGATATAAAGAATATGTCACGCAGGGAGGTAAGATATATTCGGTTTCGTAAATAATCGTATAAATACGAAGTAGTGTCGTATGTACGTTTCTGCTAATACGGCTTATAGGCGACTGGGGGTGTCATATCAGTAGGGCTCTCGCACATCTATACCCGCAGTACTGTAAAGCGACGCATCTGAACTTCAACTCTGCAAATCCCCCGAGCTACTTCACGAACCCGATTCTTGCTCTCCAGCATGCAATCTTACCCTATACCTCACGAGAACAGCGCGGCGTAGGTCGTTCTAAATGGTTCGATGAACAAGGCCGGGGATACAACTCGGAACAATGCACCAAACCGCAGACCCTCGGGTACGCGTTGGCAGATAGCCCAGTAGCATTGCTAGCCTGGATCTATGAGAAGCTTCACGATTGGACAGATTCGTACCCCTGGACAGAGGAGGAAGTCTGTACTTGGATCAGCATCTACTGGTTCAGCACGGCGGGTCCCGCCGCCAGCGTCAGGATCTACTACGAGACAACGCAGAATGTTGACGGTAGGAAGAATAAGCTAGACCATCAGGGTCTAAGGGCGTGGTCTCCGGGTGTAAAACTTGGTTTCAGCCATTTTCCTATGGATATACAAGTACAACCCAGCACATGGGTGCGTACACTGGGCAATGTGGTTTTCGAAAAGGAGCATGAAAGTGGCGGTCACTTCGCCACCTGGGAGCGACCGGATGATATTATTACTGATGTAAGAGAAATGTTTGGCAAAGGGGGTGGCGCCTTCGGTGTCGTAAAGGATGCTACGGGATATGCTTCGTAATTCCCTAGCTTAGACAGAGGCGTTAGGTGCTATTTTCGTGACCAAAGTCGATGTATAGCCTCGCAACGTTGGGCGATATTCTATAGGACCTGAGGTATTGTAACTATGATAAGGGTTATAGCACAGCGAAATATATGGTTGATTTCAGAGCAGTACCCTAGGCACCTTCATACCACGGCGAGTCGAAGGATGACAGGACAACTAAACCGTTTAACCCTTTAACTGTACTAAAAATGTAACCCCTTTCTAACTTGGAACAGTATGTAAGGTCTTTCTAGAGCGAATATATTAGCTAATTGTCTATATTTGCTGCTCATGGGTATAACGACTCGTCGTAAGGCTATAACTTATTACATCGATCAATGACAATGGCCAATATCGAATTATGAAAGACTACATCTAATCTATAATTAGTTCTCCTAACTGATACGTTATACCTACTTCGTTACTTCAATTTCCCTATTACACCATAGCTACTTATTTACGAAGCTGTCTGAATGTCAATCGCCATTGGGTAAATAGTCCTTTCATACCTTTCCAATGTTTATAACTTCATCATAACCATCCTAAGTACATAGCTTATTAGAAGGACCATTAGACATTAAAGGTAAAGGCACCCTAAGTTGTCATCCCACTTCTTTATCCTCGGGCCTACCTTAATCAGCCGCGTCTGGTCTTATAAGTAATGCACTATGCACGAAATACTGTGGCAGCTTATACATACATGACGACGGCGCTACTCTAGTCGTTCAGCATGCCCCCACGAGAGGGACGGAGTACCATGGGTGAATCAACTACGTAGTATAACCCCGGCATTGAGGATATGCAGATTGGCAGGCTTTTAGTCGTAAGTAGGAAGGCTAGCTCGCCCACATTGACCCAGCTGTCCAGGCGTGGGGGTTTTGTTCTCAGCAGTTGATGATCTGATAACGTTAATTCGATAAAAATCAAAGCTAATTCCAACTTTCCCATGGCTTGCACGTTTCCTGATCAGTCCATCGGTCTGAACTAGAGTACCGTGCAGTATTAGCACTATCCAGGGAACTACACATTATGATAAGTGCGCGAATTACTGCGACGCCAAATTATATTTGTATCAAATTCGAAGATCTCCGAAATGACGAGGCGCCGTTCTCCGGTCGAAGTTTTACGCAGAGTGAGGCTGTCCTTCAGGGTATATAATACCGAGTACTAAGCGGTGCGCACCGCTATTCTTGAGCGACGTCAGTGAGGCAAGACATCAACAGTAATCCTCAATGTAAAATGTCTCAGCTTGCAAAACTTCATAGGGCTGGACAAGACAGCGAAATCGGCGACTAATGTCAAAGGCGGGCTCAAACTAGTGGCCACGGCGTGTGATACTTAAGAATTTGCGGCTTGGCAAACCGAAGCGGTGATCTGGAAGAACGCTAGAAGCTTTCTAGAAGGTGTCAGCCGACGCCTCGAAATTGTGATGGCTGGCTGACCCGTTACTATGGGTGTCCAATGGAAAATATTTGGGGTTACACATAATGGCAACAAAGACATTGAAATCCTAAAGACATGCATGTAACTGCATAGCAAATGCATAGGATCCTTTATAGTATTGTGTTTGAATGGAAGATGAGGAGGCGAGTCTTAGGTACAAAACATAATATATGATAAAAGCATTTCCGAGCCAATTAACATGAACAAAACTTGGAAGTTTATGAAATATAAGGCGAACAATATGATAAGCCTTATATATAAATTTATTAATTTCGTATGAGTCCAGCTGAAGTTATATACGTACTTTTGAGCTTTAAGCTGTAAGGTGCAATTGCTGTTAGTGGTGCATTACACCCCTGATCCCGTCGTCTGAGAAAAATTCCTAATACGGAACCGGCCGCCTTATACGTGATTCTGATTGGTCATAAGCTCGCCTGGACTTACCTAGCCCAACCGTCTTTCATCTAGTTTTTTTACTACATACGCGGATTACATACCCTCCTCGGAGATGCAACAGGCGATTCATCGATCTTCATTCCCCCACATTTTCAATCGCTGTCTGTTCGACGGAGAACAGGTTAATGATCGGCTTTGTGGTCGGCAGCATTTTACAGGGTTGGAATCCAAAAGTATCTGCCGGCCTGCTTTATACATGCAGTACTACATTGCTAGACTGCTCAGTACATACGTATGGCACTACCTAAATATGGCAATATACTAGCATAGCAAGCATAAAATCCCCATGTCCCATCTTAATTATATACTACATAGTCGACGTAATGCCATGTGCTTTTTCGTAGGAAAGTCGTAACAATATGCAAAACGATGGCAAGATGAAGCCGATAGTCCCATAGCCATGCTTGTAGCCATGCATACCGAAGCAGGAACAAAGAAAAATACTTGTTTCAAGGGTTGCCACTAAAAATATCCACGTATAATAAAGGTTCAAGCGTTCAAAAAAAGAATATCCGCTTAAGTATCTAAAACTGTATGTTTAAGTAACTACCTAAGTATACTTACTACGGAAGTATTAAGAGTTCAGCCTCTTTGCTATCTGATGTCAGATGGCTTAGGGAGTTGTCTAGTGACGGATCAGTAGGAGGACTGAAAGAAGTGATCAATCAACTCGGCCTCATGTGACTAGGAAAAATATAATCCGAGCGGAGCCACAAGAGAGAAGCTTTTTCAAGTTTTTAAAAATTTGAGAAAATTCTTGAGGCTGATTCATCGCCGCTCTCGGCCTCCTTTACCGGGGTCACCGACACCTATACTTATGATTTCTTTCATCGAGTTTTTCGGGACCCCCATCTGTTAAGGGTGGTATAGGCTTCTCTAACTTCCAAGACGCTAAAGAGCTAGCGACTACTAAGATCGCTTTATGTCATCCCATCCATGGTCCAATTAACCCTCTCGCAGCATCTGTGCCCCTCTCGCACTTCTTCCCCGGATTTATAGATGTCTTACGCAACCATTAAGGGACACGTAGTTACCAAGTTTTATGTATCACATCCTACGAGGATTCTCGAGAGACTGTTACCTTGATTCGGTGACCGTTTTCGGCCATGAAGAGATTTCAAGCGTTATGTATACGGGCGGGCTTAGCTCGACACGTAACTTGGCATAAGTACAACAGTTAGTTATAGATAACTAACTAGCTTTCAAACATAAGTATTAGATAGCTGATCAAATAAGCCGACTTGTTAGATAGCACATCGCGTTAGACGTAGTGCCAGTCTAACTAGCTCATAGTTCCGGTATCCACTACTATAGTATACTCACTTAGACATGACGCCTAGGTAATTGATCGTCACTAGTACCCGAGGATCACAAGGAGAAGAGATTAAACCTTCTATCATCATAAGACTCAAAGAAGTTAATAAGTGTTATTGTATATTTGCCTATCACTTTGAGATTTAATGTACTATGCTCTACTATAAGTATCATATAAGAGACATCTATATAATCTTAGGCTAGGTAGCTATGCTAGAAGCATTTGGGATGATTTATATGGTGTGGGAGAATCCAAGACAGTTAGTTAATACCTATCCAGTAAAAGTGTTGAAGCCTTTTAGCCAACTCCACGACACCAATTCCATATGCCGAGTCATCAAATTGAAGTTGCACCCCGGGAACATGGGGCAGCAATCATTTCAGACGCGGTGAGATGAACACGAAGACTAAACGGGTCGAAGCAAATAAAGCAGCATGTTGGAAAAAGCTACCTACCTAAGACTGTATAGGCAAAACCAATCAAACAAGTCGGATATTGACTTGCGGCCCGAGTCGACATGTCGGAAGTTGTCCGGTTGGGTCTATGCTTACATGATGTCTCGAGGAAGTACATTTTAGAGACTTGTAGTTACATAGTATTAGTTGTAGAGATTATCTTCCCGTTTCAAAAACTGTGCCACCGGTATTCATCTGAGGAGACTTGACCGAAAGTACCAGGGATTGGTCTGTTACTTAGTGCTAAGTACCCTGTACATAAACTGACAGGCATCCATCCCACCTGCTAAGCTCAAGCTCACCTAGCTCCTAACGTCTCTACACGTACATCCTTACATGTAGCTTCGTACCTCCGTAGAGGCACCACCTAACAAACGTCGTAACTGGGGCAAGTCACCCCGGTCTTATTCTTCGAAGATGAAAAGCTAGCAATATCCGCTACAACTCCTCTTCGTTGCCTGCCTCTTAGACTTTTACAGTATTTTACTTCAATCATCTTTTTATTACCTTTTTTCGATAAACTTACAAAATTTTTAAAGAAATTCCATCTAATTAAATTACTGTATTCTTTATTGTTATATTACCTGTCTTGCCGCTGTTTAATATACGCGGTCCACCGGAAGACCACTGTTGAACGACCCATCTAACCATCTAAAGTTGCATCCGTTTTTTCTCTTTACACTAGACCCTCAATACATACACTACAGTGGATTCGCCTAGCCGCACACTATTCTCAACTCTTGCGTCCTGTCCCGCAGCATTTACATAGTACTGCATGATACCTTGCGGACCTTGGGTGGCATCGGTGTTATACTAGCTAGGACTACCTTGTATACACGGGGCCGCACAAGCTCCCCCTTCTATAATTCGCTTAGGGTAGAATATTCCTAGGGCGACTCAAACATCCCAATCTGCAATCTGACGCTCGTCTTCACTAATCTGCTTAGGTCCTGTTGTGATTTTCGACAAGGGCATTTGCGTGGGTAGTACATCAAGTTCCAGTTCAAAAGTAGTGGAATGAGACGCACAGCGACTGAATAGGGAGCAGTCCGAACTTGAAAAGTCAGCTACAATTGGACCCAAATAACGTTAGTAGGTCCTCTATCGATCACCAGACGACTAGCCACTTGCTAGTAAGACTAGAGTACGCACCGCCAATTAGCATACAGAAGGGGAAAAGGAGCAAAGAAAAAAAGTCTTCCCACACCTTTCCAAGAGATTTGGTGGATTTGGTGGATTTGGTGGATTTGGTGCCTCTTTTGCCATCTTAGCTGAGTCCCCTCTAAAATCCGGCAAGCCACCGAAGCCAGCCAACCCGAGTTGCCCTACCGATTTCAATTACATAAAACCAAAGCAATATTTTCTCCTTACCTTTACTTCACCACAACTTGTCACCCCTCTATACTACTCGTTGTCTCTTGTGTATCTCCATTGTTACTCTACCTTGACTGCTTTTCCCCTGGCGCCGTCTGGATCATTCTTATTTCTCGATCTTGACAAAGAATCCTGTCCCCATCTGTCGGATCCCGTTTCCCCAGATTATGTACTGATTAGCGCTGCATGCGCGCGCTTCACTGCCGAACGAACGACTTTACTTTTTTATCCCAAGTTTCGGCGATATCTAAGGGCCACACCTACTAAACAATATTCCCCTACTTACGCCACAGACACTTATACCGGGAAAGTCTACTAAGGAAGACAGGCAAACTACCGCCCATATAATTTCTCTTTTTTTTTGCCTACTACAACGTCTTTTGAGAGGCGTTTGCCGCCGAGCGGCAATCGTCTCCTGTATTCGATATTGTCATGTCAGACAAAATGTCTATCGACAAGAAAGAACATTCGAGAGACGAATCGGATGAGTCCATTGGCTCAAGTCCTGAGAATGAGCCGGGCCCATCGATTCCACCAGAAAACCAACCGGCAAAGCGCAAAGGAGGTCGCAAACCCGTAAGTATACTGTTGTCTTATACAATCGTAGCCCACTTTGCTTGGCTTTGGTTGCTCGCGCCATACTCGAAGCATAGTGGGGGGTTCAAACCATATTCGTGGGCTGACAATGAGTAAAGATCTATGCCACTTCGGAAGAGCGCAAACAGAGAAATCGCCAGGCGCAAGCAGCGTTTAGAGAGCGACGGACAGAATATATAAAACAGCTCGAAGAAACTATCAAGGCTCATGAGTCGAATCTGGCTAGTCTGCAAGCTGCCCACCGTAGTGCTGCAGATGAATGTTTGATGCTTCGATATAAGAATTCCCTTCTTGAACGTATCTTGTTGGAAAAAGGTGAATTCTCTTCTGGTTTCCTATCTCGGGAATAGCATCAACTTACATTATTTAGGTATTGATGTCCAAGCTGAGCTACATGCCAAGACTGGTAGTCCAAACCTTGGTCCAACTCATATGCCCCAGAATATGGTGCAACCACCACCTATGCCGCGGGCAATCCTCAACAGACATCACCACGCGCGCAGATCTGCTTCTAGCATCGCCCCGAAACTCGAGCCTGGCGTGCCTTCTCTACCCCAGCCTGTGGGGGTGCAGCAGTCTATGGCATCGCCTAAGAACCGGCCAACGCCCCCTTCTCACGCGGCTTCTCCCACTAACCCTACACCACCTTTTGGTAACCATAATCATGCAACAGCTTCACCCGTATCTTCAGATCCCACGAGCATGCGAACGACGATCCCCCCACCGATGAAACCGCAATTGGCACCGATGCCAGGAATGACAGTCGCGGCGCGCCAGCAGATGTTGCAGCAGCATGCTGCTGGCGCCCGGCCGACGGCATTCTACCCGACGCCATCATTTCAAAATCATTTCCAACAGCTCGGCAAGCTAGCCCATTTCTTTTGTATTTAATAGAACTCTGTCGTCCTATGCCTAACCCGTGAGTACAGAACAAGAGTACGACGCCCCGACCGATATGATGGACGAACCCGAACCGGATACGCCAGGGCCGGGCCCTTATCCTTCGACTTTCCAAGTCCCTCAACAGCATGGCATGTCCGTACAGCCAGCGACGACGGGACCGCAAGGACAACCCCCGATAGTGCCCGGGGGACAGGGCAATCAAGCGCAGAGCCAAACACAAGGCCAAGGCTATCCGAGCATGACCCAGCTATTGGACCCAGCATTGGATTGGGACCCATTTGGCCTGAGTGCGTCTATGGCCTTCCCAACGCAGTTCTCCTTCGACACGAGTAATATGAGGTAGCATATGGAGGCGGAGTAATATGGTTGGAGCTTTTGCGCGCAATGTCGAAGAGGGTAGAAGTTGCATGAGAGCCAGACGAAAGCAATACCAACAAGTCGCCGCTCCCTATTAATCGATGCGTTGGATGGATGAATGCAGGCCGAGACCACGAAACCATGCTTGACAACTGTTAGGTGCCGATTGGTATGTAACTTCCCGTCGAGGCGATAATACCCGTTGATTCCGGTATAGAGTGTCAGCATTTATACTCATTCTTGGAAGTTATTCGAAGCATTCTATAAGATAACCGACATTGATACCCATGGAAGCCATCCATTTCCGGTTTCCAAAAACCCGAGACATCGATTTATTACTGCAATTGCAATATTTGGGGATGAAGGAAAAGTTTTGTTTTGGTACGATGGTTCATACGATTTACGCTTCAAAAAGTTTACAGGATCCCGATATCCATAATGGCAGGCGTTTTATAGGAGTTCAAAAGTCATGATATTCTGGTCTACGAAACCAAAACAGCACTTCAGCCTAGCGAGACGCGATTCGATTACCTTTAGAGAGGCGATGCGATTCTTCCTCCATTCTGGAATATATTCTGCTTTCAAACGCACCACAAAACATTCAAGTCATCCGTGTATATACTGTTGATTTGGGAAGATACACTATCCAGTGTTGCGCATTTCGGTTGGTGAGCCGTGGCCACGAGACTCTTTACGTATCGGTGTCATAAAAAGCTCCTGTCGATGCTGTATATACCCATAGGCGAATGGGAACGCAGCATGGAGCGAAAGAGTCGAGTTATTAACCAGTAAAATTGGGGTAGCCTTTGAGGATCTGTCGTGTAGGTACGCACCCCTACATGCGTCCTGCACAAATAGACAGTGGACATCTACACTCCTCAAACGTTATTATCAAATTGACATTTCCTCGGAGTCTTGGGCGTAACGGTGACGTTGGATTGACGAAACGATATGGACCGAGTATGCGTTATACATGAGCTTTTCCAAGTTTCACAGCATATCCTAGTATATTAGTTCTAGGTATTCCCCCCTCCTCAATTTCTCGGCCTGGTATAGACTGCGAATTAGATAGATTGGAAGATCGATGATCTTATTTTCGGTGGTAAGTAAGTCCATAAGGTATGTAACGTACAATTTGAACGTCTTGCCAAACGTGCAGTTGGTTAATACCGGACAGACCCCATAGGGATGGATATCCGTGATCGGAGGGTGAAGATGCAGAGATATAGATAGAGACGGTAGGCTTTTATCCCCCACAAAAATGTAATATATTCCACGAATATCGTTCCGTTTCGGACGGTGGTTTCCTTTCTTTCACGGAAGTACTTGGGTAGTAAGTACTTTTAACGATGTGGACCCCAAACTTGATGTACATATATACACGTATGTAGTAATGCAGATACATCAGATACATCCGGACAAGAGGTAGATGCACTCGGAGGGGAAGGAGGGGTTGCTGTATGTGCATCTCCACTTGAACTCTTGGGACTACCAAGGCAGGAAGTTAGACCCGTATGCACCACTTGTAAGGTGATTACCCAGGTAGGACGATTAGAGGGGTCAGAGCGGTCGATTCCGTTACGCTCAATGCTAGGCTTATTTCTTAGACCAAACTCAATAACTGTGCCGCTCGTGCCGACCGGTTGTCGGTCAATAACTTCGGCGTACCAGATCAGATTAGATCATACCATTGGCCAAACAAAATATCCCATACCATATCCAGGCTTTCCCTCATCTTCCTCCCCCTGGCCTAGAGCGGTCTCGTGGGTCTGTTTTAACTGTCGTGGGGGTTCGTCGTAGGCTCGTTCCTTTTTAGTTCAGTCCAGCTAAGGGCAACTATCACGAGGTCTGAGTGGGTTGGTTAAGTTTCGATCATCCTGCTTCGTTGTAATGATATCGAATCCTGATAAATACGTATTTGTCTGGTGGGTTCACAAAGTTCTACCAGGACAATCAAGTCCTCGGTCGGGGGATGCTAGTTCGGTCAAAGGCGACCGTGTTGGCTGGTGGGTTCGTTCGGTTGGTCTTGGGTGTTCTCAATGCTGTTGTGCTGCGTACGAATCGAAGGAATCGGTTTGCAGGTGGAGTGGACATCACGGCGTATCCTTCCATCCAACCGCCCAGAAATTTCATTTCAAAACCGGTCGTGTCCGTATTGATTGCTAGACCCGTCAGCATTGGACCCTGCTAAGGTGTCTCGGCAAAAGCAAGTCGAGATCCCTCGGCCAGGCCTTTGCATGAAAGGACATATCGGACAAGTGGTTCCAGACACTGCCCTGCAAGTGGCGCGTGTCGCGTGATCACCAGAAATGACCATTTCCGAAAGGCGAACCTGACGCAAAATACGGTAACCCAGATCCACGCTCACGCCCACATCCCCGGCTACGTATCCTTTGCTGACTGTGATGGAAGGAAAACCCCATATGAATGTGTGCTGCACTGACAGTTACCGGGGGGTCCTCGATCGATTCGAAGGTCATCATCAGGCGTGACCGCTCGCACATTCTAGCTTGGCTAGCCCTAAGTGACGTCGCAGATTATTCCCTCATTCGAGATCATGAGAAACCGCGGCCATTTTGAAGCGACAGACTTCTCGCCCGGATACATTCTCCATCTCATGTGACGCGTCCATGAATATCTCAGGTCATTCCATAATAGAGTCGCGCTGCCTCCGATCATCTCTCTTTTCCTAGCTGGCCTTATGTCTTTCCATCTTGACGCAGCATAAGACCTCATCTTGGACCGCCTTAATCGTGAGATCTTTTTTCTCGGGTTAGGTCTATGCATAGCTGGTAGGTATTGGCTCAACATAGAGTGCAGCACATATAACTTGACTTCCCTCAAGCTTAAGGCGAGGGGAAGCCAAGGCGTGACAAACACCTCACTCGAGATACGAGACCACTTAGGTCGTAAAAAAACACTCTAAAATACCATACCTCATGAAAATGAAGAAAGAAATATTGGCAATGACTGTGAAAGAGACACTTGTCTCAATGACCACTCGGAGAAAATAAGAAAAATTATTAAATGAGGAATTATCTCTTTCAAGTTGTTATAGTAAACTTAAACGGGGGTATACGCCGATAATGACTGGTATCTTCAGCTAGCTCTATGTCTTTCGAATGAGAAATGGACGAGAGCTTCTAAAGATTGTCGGCGAACAGATAAATAGAGAAGATATTCTCAAATTCGTCTAGATGCTACTGCAGAGTATTTATTTGGATGGGAGGTGACCTATGGTTGGCTTATCTCTGGTGTCAGTGAATTGTCGGTATGATAGGCGAACCAGAGATAAGGAAGCCATTATTAACAGAATCAAAATCCCTCCCACGATACCCCACGATCTAACGAGGTACGAAGTATCTCCTTGGACCTAATTCCAGCGTGTAGCAATGCTTTTCCCGGCGCCCCGTCTTGCATAACGTCATCCCGCTACCGAATTCCGTGGTCAAAGAGGAAAATAAGTTACCTAAAGGTTAAGTAAGATATAGCTTTTAGTCCCTGTCCGAGTGTCCGAGTACAAGTACCAACATAAAGACCTCGTATACTGTTCGCCATGGGCCTATCATGTCGTCTCTGTTTATACCCATTTCTACGTAGCGGTGGTACACTCGACAAGGACCCTACGAGCTCCATACATAATCACATGCCTTACCAATGGCTGTTACAGAAATTGCAAAGTAGCGCACACACATCTACTTCTCAGACGACGGTATGTCGACGCATGGTAACAAATTCGCTTTTTAAATACATACATATACGTCTACATTATCTTGAACGAATATCATCGTATCGTCTACAAGCTAGATAAGAGTTGATCAGACTGGGATCGTAGCAACAAGCGTCCAGGGTCCTAATAACCGGATACTACTTTCTTGCTGATCACGTTGCTCTAAGTTAGGTAGTTTATCTTCAACACGGGTTGCATATTTGGTAAACTCGCACCGCGTTGAATCTAGGTTGCCTGCCAAGAGCGCAATCTTCTTTAGCGACCTATCATGCGGCAGGTAAAGCGCCGCATTTACATGCTCGTTGTGCATTTCGGTGCGGCGGCCGAGGCCCGTAGTGGCGTGGTGGGAGGTGGGAGGTGGTGTTGGGTGGCCTACAAAGATTAGGTACTGTGTCGACTCTGAAGAGATGCTTGTATCAATTGATACATATAGACAGGAGGTGAATAAACCTCGGCGTCTTAATTATGACATCTTACCATGCATTGTGAGTGGGATTAAGCATTTATGCCTCTGTCGTTGATATGTTTAATTGGGTTTATGTTAGATGAGAGGATAACTCTAGTATAGGACTAGTTATAGCTATAAGTACTCTTGAATTCTTACCACAGTCCCCTCGGGAAAGATACTATAAAACTTGACATATTAAATTAGCCTATATTCATAAGAGTAAATAAGAAATTGTTATCCCTAAACTCCTATCGACTGGAATTAATAATATTGCGGTATTTGATATACTAACGTGGCTTCTTAGCTTATCAATTGTAGAGCTTTATCTCTTCCCTTATCGGTGTAATGCCAGAAAAATTACGAGGGGTTAAACCTCTTATCTTGTTGACTACTAATACTACTAATACGTAAGAGGTAGCTACATTCACATGGTGTTTAGGAAACGATGACTTATTCCATAAATCACTAGCCTAGCCTAGCCTATTGATAATGAGCTACCTATGATGGTTTAGAGCTTACCTGACCTCAAAACGATGTCAAAGCAAGATCAAGGCATAATTACCGTTGTGTCTAGGCCTAATGCTAACGAGCACAGATATATATACCTGCACGGATACATAATGGCGGGGTATAAAGATAGAGGTAGCTACCTATATAGATTAGATACCGATAACCAAATGATGGATAAGCATGACGATAAAAAGGGATCCATCAGGACCAACATATGGTCCAAGCATATCGACACCAGCATCAGACGTGCCTATCTCGATATGCAAGTGATGCAATTGTGGGATCCGGGGAAACCTTGGCTACCCTGTTACAGGAATACGTAATTGCTGATAGGATTTCATTGACGTATATTATTTGTGGTAGACCTTTGATACTTTAGGTAGCTTAATGAAGTCTTTATATGTACAATTCCAAGTGTAAGTAAAAAGTAGAAAGCAAAAATGTCATAATATGCGAATAGGTAACCATAGGTAAATACATGTACGCGTAAAAAAAGACTTGAATACATTAAATACCTATACTTAAATGCCTTAGGTTACGGTTGCTTAAAACAGTACCTTTCACGGATACCCTAGGAAGGTGTACTGGTGATACGTCTTGCGCTAACAGATGTTGAACCCTACCTGCCCTACTATCTGCCCAGTAAGGTGCTTATTCAGCAGCGCACTAAAAAGCGTCAATTGTAAAACCAAACAAAAATCAAGAGAATTATTTCGCCGTCCCGCCTAAGCGAGTCTGGGCGTCACCTAAGGAAGAAAAAAAAAGAGTTAGGTTGGTTTCCAGTCCAGCCAAGGAAAGTTTTGTCCACCTCGCAAACAAGTGGAAAACCCACAAGGCCCAACTCTCACACAACAATTATACCGGCGCCGCAACACACACCAATTCCAAACCTTACCCAACCTCACCAAAGCTGAGGATTTTGACGAGACATTTTGCTCAAGGATATGACCTGCTAGGCCATATCCTTTTCCCCTCGTTGCATTATCTCCTATTGATCCGACTGTCGTTTTCAGAGCTCCGCCTTGCTGAAAGGCGAATCAATTGGCGACATCATGTCGGTCGCCTCGAAGGTATGTTATAATTCTTGGGCACCACTCGCTTATTTTGTCATTTTTTCCCCTATTATCTTAAGCTATAACTACTCATCGTATATACATTTCTTGCTATGTATAAGTAAAGCTCTGTTGAAATCGCAAAGCTAATTTTTAAAAATTCTTAGAACCGTTTCGATGCCCTCGGTATGAACCCCTCGATTGCTTCCCCGCCATGAAAATTTTCGACCTCGGAAATCTTGATTTACTAACCTTGACTATTACTAATAGGTAACGATATCGAAGGAGATGAAGCGCCGTCCGGCCCTGTGAAGACGGTCGACAAGACCACCATGCGCAGTACCAAGCGCAACGTCGAGCCCCAAGGCCCCGTCAAAGCCGCTACCAACACCGGAGCTCGTCGTGCTGGTCCTGGAGGCAACGAGGGAGGTGAGTGACATATGCGTCTGGCAGGATCTTCCAGGATTCCGTCATCTTGACGCATCATTCCCGACCTTATTTGAATTCACCCCGCTAATCTGCTTCCCATCTAGCCTTCCGTGACCGCAATGCCGGTACAGCTAACAACCACCGCAAGCCAACAGATGAAGCTCCTCGAGGTGGTCCCAGAGGTGGTCGCGATGCCCGTGTACGAGGAAGTAAGAGATAAACACCCAATGCTTGTCGGAAATGAATACATGCTAATATAACGACACAGGCCGTGGCGGTCGATTCCCCCGCGACCGTGATGATAGACATGCCAAGGGTCTTGCAAGGTTGGTTTTGACCGAACATCTACTCTATCACAAGTACTAATTTCGCATTCAGTGGCTCCGAGAAACAAGCTGCCCAGTCGTGGGGCGCTACAGAAGGCGATGCTGAGCAGAAGGACGAGCAGGCCGGAGAGGAGATCGCTCAGTCGGAATTGAAAGAATCAACCGCTGAGGATGCTCAGGACCCAGCTACTCCTGCCGAGCCCGAGGATAAGCACGTCTCTTACGCCGACTACCTTGCTCAGCAAGCTGAGAAGAAGCTCGCCCTCGGCGAGTCTTTGGAGATCCGCAAGCCCAACGAAGGCACCAAGACCGACAAAAAGTGGGCCAACGCCAAGGCCCTCACCAAGGAGGAAGATGACGACTACGTTTCTGGTGTCGGTGGTAAGGTCAAGCGCGAGCGTGAGCGCAAGGCCAAGCAGCTTCTGGATATTGACCAGCGATATGTTGAGCCTGAGCGTACCCGAGGTGGTCGTGGCGGACGTGGTGGCAGCAGCCGTGGAGGTGCTCCCAGGGGCGAGGGTCGTGGTCGCGGAGGTGGCCGTGGCCGTGGTGAACCCCGAGGTGAGCCTCGAGGTGAGCCCCGTGGCGACTTCCGTGGTGGACGCGGCGGCAATCGCGAGAATGCCTCCTCATTCGCCCTTAACTCAGACGCCTTCCCCAGCCTGGGCGCTTAAGTTCGCAGCATGCTTCCTAAGACTTGCACTAGAAAGTACACTATGTCTATTATGCAGGTTAGGTTTTCGATGGTCTATCAGGGGATCCAGTATAGCCTGTAGGGCTCATAAGTCAGTTAACTTCTGGCTAGGAACATCCTGAGAAGCAGATGTTTTCTCACTATTCCGAATTAACAAAAGTTTCTTTCATTATGAAGCATTGTGTGCGAGCCAATTGACCTCAATGGGTCAAAGTATTCCGCTTTCCACGGTTGTTATTATTTCGATGAACTGTCCTAGTAGTTGCGTAGGCTATTTTTCTCTTATCATTTTACCTCGATACCCATTCCATCTATTGATCCTGGCGTTTCAGTCGTCTATCTACTGGACTATCTCTTTCTACTAAACCCCATACTCACTGGTAACAAGAGTATTGTGCGGAACAAGGCTTTCCTATCCTCTAATTAATGTTGAAAACAATGGCCTTTGTCTGCCGTGCTTACTTACAAGGTGTTGTTAACACACAACCACCATGTTCTATAACATTGATGCTGTTCACGAACATGTCCCGGGGAGAACGTAGTATATAATGCCAGCCAATTCACGATGCTTTGGTCTCAGAAAAACTCATCATCATCACACATAACTATCAAGTTATCATCATTGAGAACTCATACTGCAGCACCAGTGCTTTCGTGAGTATTCTTCTAGTGAACAATTTCCGAAAATTTACCCTTTGCAACTTCGAATCAAACTGTCAAAATGGCAGAGACAAAATCAGGCTCGAGCCCAGACATAGACTCGGACGGGTGGGTTGAAGTCGAGAACCCTTCAATTCCTGACGACTACATCCACGTGAGCAAGTCGGATCTTGAAAGTTGGTCTCTCCCTCCTGTTAAGGATGAGGAAGAGGACGAAGACAACGCTGACGTGGTGTTGCAGCTAACACCGTCCCAGACAGACGACCTGGACCGTCTAGTTGCACCGAAAGTCAAGCAATTGGAGAAGGAGCTGCGAAAGCAGAAAGACTGCAATTACTCGGCCGCAATGGAGGAGCTATTCGGCACCGACGCCAAGGATTATCAGCTCATGTTCAACGCAGCGATTCCCGAGTTGCGGTTCCAGCCAAGACATACCCGAGACACGTATTCTCCGCGACAGGGAGTCTTATATACGGCGTTGACTACTGCTGATAAGTGCAAAGACGCGGCCGACTTGCTCTTGAGGGGGATGCGGACTCGGAGTGTCCACGGGCACAACAACACCGAGTCTGGATCTGGAGCTAATAAGAAAGAGTTACCGGGGTCGGGCGACGCGCCGTCGTTCACTCATGATCCGGACGACGTCGATTAAATCCGCTAAATAAATAAGTGGCCTTGGGCGGGAGGGAGGGTGTGCCACTGGAGAGGAAGTAAAGGGGAGGAAAATACGATGAAGGTGTTTTCTTCTTCCGGGGACGTTTTTTTTGCTGTGCTTTCGGGACCGATAGAGAGGAAAGGCCACTGCCTAAGGCCTTTCTCTTTTGGCCTGAGCTAAGTGATATAGTCCCTAGGAAGTTGGATTTACCTGAAAAGTTGGAAGATGAGGATGTCGTTTTGGTCCCTGGGATGATTTTGCTACGGCTTCGGGTCCGATAGAGATGAAAGGCCACAGCCTAAAGGCCTTTTTCTTTTGGCCTAGGTTAAGCAATATAATCCCTGGGGAGTTGGATTTGCGAAAATGAGAGTGTTTTCTTCTAGGGACTTTGTTGCTGTACTTCCGGGACCGATGAAGAGGAAAGGCCACTGCCTAAAGGCCTTTCTCTTTTGGCTTAAGTTAAGCAATACAGTCCCTAGGAGGTTAGATTTATTTGAAACGTCGAGGATGAAGGTGTTTTTTTTTTCTAGGGACTTTTTTTTGCTATGCTTTTGGGACCGATGAAGAGGGAAGGCCATTACCCCAGAGGCCTTTATCTTTTGGCCTAAGCTAAGCAATATAATCTCTAAGAGGTTACATTTACCTGAGAAGTTGAAGATGAAGGTGTTTTTTTCTTCCAGGGACTTTTTTTTGCTATACTTCCGGGACCGATAGAGAAGAAAGGCCACTTCCCTAAAGGCCTTTCTCTTTTGGCTTAAGTTAAGCAATACAGTCCCTAGGAGGTTAGATTTACCTGAAAAGTTGAAGATGATGATGTCGTCTTGTTCCTTGGGATGACGCTGCTTCGGTTTCGGGTCCGATAAAGAGCAAAGGCCAATCCCCTATGGGCCTTTCTCTTTTGGCCTAAGCCAAGTGTCATTCACGGGAGGCAAGAAAATAACCATTCGGGGAGAAGAAGAAAATATTGAAAATATTGAAAAAAAAAAAAAGAAAAGAGCTCGAGAAGGGGGTAATGGTATCCCCTGCTTCCTGAAATGCTTCGACCGTAAAGGAATAAGGTAGTAAATCTGGGTTCAGTTTACCGAACTTCTCCTGGCGAAGTATTTTTTAGGATCACATATGCCGAGGATGCTTTAGCAATAGGAAAATAGGGCGAGCCCATCTATGTAGGGTTTGCCTTATTCCTGTTGGCTTAAGCTAGGCATTATATATAATATATATATATTTTCCTACAGGAGGCTAGTTCCATTACGGAATCACGGTATAGATTCCCCCATTCCTTTGGCCGGAGCTACCTAAGGTACGCGATGTATTCCAAATTGGAATACGCAACACCGACGGTGCTCTGAGATCGACAAGGGTGAGGAAATTTCTTTGTTTTCATAACGACCCATCTCATATCTCACATTTTGATTAAGCAGTTGTGTTATTGCGATTGCTTGGTCTATTTACACTTGGACGTTTTCCCGTCCCCCTTGGCTGAAAGCTAGGTGAGCAAGATATTCGGGGATTATCAGCGAATACGCACACCGATGATGCTTTTGGACCGATGGGGGGATGAGCAAATATGTGTCTTATCATCATTTTTCCGTTACGCGGTTTCCTAGTTATTCCCTAACTGCTTTGGCAAAGCTAGGCAATGCATAGGCAGGCCGTTGACGCTTTGATACCGATAGGTGGTTTGGAGAATTTTCCTAGAGTCTGATGTTTTGTTTCTGTCGAGAAGAAAAAACGAAAGAGAAGGAAAGGAAGTAAAAGGAAGAGGGGGAGAGGGGGGTGTTTCCTCATACTTCTAGGAATACTCATGGCTGCTATGTTACTGGGATCGACGAGGATCATCGATTAGGCTGAGTCAAGGCAAGGTGTTTTAGAGATACCTACCGAAAACTTGGAGGAAGATTGATGGACCTCTGGCCTAGGCTAAGCGGTGTATTCCATAGGAGATCGAGTTCACCCCCGAGAAAGTAGGAGAGCAAAGAAATAAAATAAACAAAAGGGCGGGAGGAGGGATCTTCCTTACGCTTCTAAGATTACTTCCGGTATGGTTCTGGGACCGGTGAAGGGGCCTCTACGATAGAAGTTGTATTGTCCTGGTCTTTTTGGCCTGGGCTGAGCCGGATAGTATCGAGGAATATGTATGCGCTATCGAGGCCGATAAAAGGGCTTTGCTCCGCTATGTGAGCAGTTTCTTTTGGTATCGACGGGCAACTCATTCCGTAGGAAGCGGAGTTTACCACTGAGTAAATAAGGAAGAGAAAAAAAAAAAACATCGGGGTTGTTGGTGGTGGTGGTGGTTTCTTACGCTGTTAATACCATCCACTGAGGCCGTTAAAAGAAATCGAGTATTTGATATTCAAATACTCGATTTCTTTTGCCTACAGCAAACGGGGTATTAGTTAGGGATACGCATATCATCGGGACCGAAAACGGATGAGGTTATTCCATCAGTCAATTTGCTGGTGCCTTTTTCTTCTTTGGCCGGGGCTAGCCAAGTAACGTATCCCGCACGAAGCGGAGTCTACCACCAAATAGGGGAGGAAAGGGGAAGGGTGCTTTATTTTATGAGAGGCGGATTTCGCTATCAGGTAGGTGGACAGGTATTTCCTGTCAACTATTACCGACCTGGGTTTACCGTACTAAAGGTGATATCGTCCCAGTCTACCACCAGGACAGATTTGGACCATATGTGGCCGATGTTATATCAGCCTTATGGCTTTCTGCTAGCCTAGATTTGGGGTTGAAGGGGATATATTTGCTAGTGGGTAACTAGCCTGGGTTTACATTTCATGTAGATAGTGTGTGCTTGTTATGTTTTGCCATGTTTTATTGTTTTGTTTTATTTAATAAAGTACTCTTCCCCGAATAACTTATTGTATTATGCGGCAATGTGACGATGAAAATTATGTGGACTCCTGAGGCTAACATCTATATAGCCCATCTTACATCCCGATTAAATGATACCTTTGAACAATAATATTAACGTATGATCTATAGGGATGTCTTTGTTAGGTCACATAAGCAAAGACTATGAGAGATGATAAAATGGGAAAAGTTCGGAATTACTAGAGTTCTGATAATCTCGTATTTCAGCAAGAGTAGTATATACCTTGCTTGAAATACCAAGACTTCATACGGTTGGCTATAAAATTGTGACCTTATACGGCTATATTATCGACGGGGCTATATTAAACCGGGAACGACTAGCTTCGTTCCCTCTTCTAAGTTTTGCACCCAAAAGACTTAAGGTGTCTCTTGAGAGGTATACAATCGTTATGATACTGGCTATGTGCCTCCTAGTGTCCCGTGTTAGCTTGATACTCATAGCCATTGACTAGCATAACGTATACATTAGCTAGGACCACCTTGGGTTTATTACTGCCTCGCGCAACTATTGCAGCTAGAGGCATCACGGTAGGATGTGCCACTCATCATTCGATATCTCCTATTGTGGGAAAATCGCATTGTTTCTGGGTTGAGAGGTCTTTCTAGGTCGATTGCCTTTGGATACACGGCTCATTTCGGACTGTAGCATAGAGTTCTATAGACCTCCTTGAATGGTGAAGGAGGAGACGATCAAGACCAAGACATTTATCCACCCCCAGATGAACGGTATCCAGGTCGGCATCTGGTAGCATCCGGAGATGTAGATAGCGCCGAGCCTAAATATGGGTATAAGTCAATCGCAACGACTCGAAGACAAGACCGAAAGGTGCCTACATTAGTCCAACAATGCTACCGGTAAACAACGCCTCGGCCCCAGCAACTAAGGCGTATATAGCTGGGACGGCCAGCATGTACTTCCATACGAATCGCGGCTTTCCGATCTGCATTGCGAAGGCGATGCCCACGGCTCCGAAATGGAATACAGCATAGAGGATTAGGGTCCAAAGGAGTGTATATCGCCATGAGTCCCAGACTGAATATAAGGCACAGTACTGATTTTGAGGAGGCCAGCAGAGGGACGGGAACTTGGGGCTGTGGTAATCGTCGGGGGGATAATTACGACATTCGGCACTAGACGTCAATCATTTAGTTAAATTGTTTTGACGATATTAACGATTTAGATATCAGATGATACGACTTACGGTGGGGTGGCCATCTGGCCGTTTAGATAGTTGTTCTAGAAGGTATTACCATAGAATTGACTATACAATTGAAATGTTGTATGCACATGTAAAGCTGTATTGTATATATTTAGAGCTGTACAAAGGAGATGCAAATGAGACGATAGGTAGAAAGTTGTGGAGCTTTGAAGCTCTTTGAGCTGAAGGATAAGATGACAGGGGGTTATAAGGCGGGAAGCTCCCGTTTGGTGGCTGCAGAGCAGGGGGTCAAACTAGCGTTATATTAGGTAATAAATTCAATTGACGTCGTGCCTCGGTAAAAACTAGAGCTGACCAGCTTACATAACCTGTACGCGGGTACTGAGAAGTAACAAATGATTCTTCGGAACTTCAATCTCCAAACTTTAGACTTTAGACTTTAGCAATTTTATCTCAACAAACAATGACGTGAAAAAGGAACAACTTCGTTATGTAGGATATTGCCACACACAAATATAAAATCGAGACGCGAACAATGGCCGGCGATCGATTACTAGCCACGGTCCTACGGGCCTACCAAAACGCTCCCAATCCAACCGAGACAGACAAGATCTTCGGGACCACCACATCGCTTCTCACCAGCCTCAACAATCCTCTTAACCTATCTCTACTCACCTCACATTTCCTTACAGCTCGTGCGATATGGCAATCTCCCGACGGCCTACGCACTTGTCTGCGTATCATAAGCATATACAACACCGCCTCAATACACGTGCGGAAGAACGAATTAGAAAATGCGACACTTCTACCTGGACGACCACCCGTTGGTAGCGGAGTTCATAGCGAGGATTGGGCACGCGCAATTGCGAAGGGGACGGACGATAGGTCGAGTAGATGGCAGCACGTACTAGTATTAACAGGTATCTTGATGGGCATGGAAGGAGATGATAGAAGATCCTTATCTCGGAGTTTACGGTCGACGCTCGAACAGGCCGTCGTTACAGCCGCCAACCTGGCACTCCAGGAATCTGTGCGAACGGGGCCGTTAGAGCGTGGTGCTGTTATCCTGGCGTTGACATTTGCGTTTCCCCTCTTACACGAATCGGCTAAGCAGATTCTGGATGGAAATTTACTCCTACCGGCCATCGTTGAGGCGATGCTCGGAGAAGAAGGCCTTCAACACGGCGACTTCATTTCACCGATCGCGAACGATGTCGTACCAGGATCGATCATAAAATGGCAACCTGATTCGCCATCCGTTGCTAGGATTCAAAAGCTCGAGTCTCGGCCCCTGGCACAGAATATGGGCCCCCTTTCGCGACTCGCGTCATTTGCTGTTCAACAGGCGATGGATCCCAACATCGTCCTTCAGGCTCATGAAGCACTTCTTGGGTTTACGGCGGCCTTGCTAAATAAATGGACGCATTGTCCACTTTCTGCCATCGACTTAACCGTCGAATCTGCAGCTCTCTCGCCCGAGGTGCTTCTAGGCCCCTGGCCAGTTCTATGGCAGCTGTTCAAAAAGATCTTATACGCCGTGGCCGCAACGATTCAAGCTATTGTTGGGCGATCCCTATTGGATCCATACCTTAGGAACGACGCAATAGCAGCAACTACAGCTGCGAGAACGTTACATATACTACGCAACTTGTCCTTTATATCTACACGCCAAGGTGCGAGTTCGTTTCAAGTGTACACATTTACTTACCTCACATCGCTCGACATTATCACACGTTATCCGGATGCTTGCGTGTCCTTCCTTCGAGATACACAGCCACCATCACCTCAGGCAAGCAATGTAGTACCGCCCCCGGTAATCCAAGCCCTCGCCCTCTTCTACCTCAACATAGCGGAGCACCTCCCACTCTCGCTACCAACACGTGCATGCGAGGACCTGATCGTCACACCCGCAACGGCCTACCTGGCTCCCTCCACCTCCTGGCTCGCCAGTCCAGCCAACACTCCTCCATCCTCACTAACCCTCGAGCTCTTCGAGGCGGCACACTCAGCTATCCTCTCGTCCCTTTCATGTCCACAACACAGCACTCTCGCCGCCTCCCTCATCCCCTTCTACGTCGACGCCCTACTATCATCTTTCCCCTCCCGCATCTCCCCCCGGCAATTCCGCCTCGCCTTCCGCACCGTCATGCAGATCTCTAGCCCCCCCTTCCCCCTCTCCGCCTCGCACCCCGACCTCGCCGAGGCCCTCCTCGAAACTTTACGCTTCCGCGCCGTCGAAGGCGCGTCTACAGACCCCTTGCCACCGAGCGAACAGGCCGCGGCTTCGTCCGAGGACCCCGCCTCGGAACAATCGGCTCTTGTCCTGGCCCTCGTCGATGCGCTACCCCATGTCCCGCTACACGCGGTCGAGGAGTGGCTCACACGCGCTGCCGAGACTATGAACGCGATAGAGGACCCGCGTCTGCGTGATGGTGTTCGTCGCCGCTTCTGGGATGTCTTGGTTAACGGCGAGATGGACGTCGAGCGCGCGGCTATAGGCGTTGCGTGGTGGGGGACTGCTGGCGGGAGGGAGATGGTGTTGCATGGATACCCGCGGCCAGAAGAGAGGAATGGCGGTGGAGAATTTCTGATGAGTGGTGCTTTGGCACCGGGTCAGGAGAGGGAAGGGAGTAGACTGTGATAGGGGTAGTAGGAGAAATTATTGAAGAGGAGCACGAAGTGGTAATAAGGAGAGTCATATGTAAGCTGTTAGTTCGGGATAGGACGGGGCGTAGTGAATATATAATCTATATATGTAAGACCAAGATAGACGACTTTAATGGAACGAATACCCTTAGTTCGGAGAAAAGAAGTGTTATATAATCCTTTGTAGCTATTCTACCTGAGCATTGAGTTTTTATAACGGCACAAAGTTGTCAGTTATGCACACGCTTACAAGCGCAAATAAATATATTACGAATTCATATGTCAATTTCCTGATTATAATGCCTAAGAACATTAGTAATGTATACACATCCATACATTCACACAACCTAATACAAGTCCACCATAAGAGACGTAAGCAAGAAGCAACAGGCCTTTCAATTCAAGCACTATTACCTTGGCCACTTTATACTAGAAAAAGCTGACGTATGCAACACTCTGCCCTGGCGCTATGGTGTACACTGATGATATATTCCCTTTCTCGCTTCCCTGCGAGCCTAGACATAGAAGTTGCGATTTCGACTGGTTACGCTTATGAATTATGAGTTTCGTGCCTAGCATCCCTTGTATCCATAAAAACTCCAAGGACGCCGCGCATGATGCTTGCAATCAATTAATTGATACCCTGGCCTGTTCCCATCCTATAGCCTTAAAACGAAAAAAGAAGACGGCGATTAATAACATAGTCTTGTCGTTTCCTCTCTCCTTTTGCCTAATTCGGTGACTGAGAGGTATATATTGTAATCAATGTGCGTGCGCAGTGAAGGCATTGCTGATTCCCAGCAGCGTCATACCCAAGAACGCAAATAAAATGCTTAAATTCTGGTTGTGATTGAGGCTCAGACTCTCGACAAACAACTGCAGGGCCACGCTAGCCATAATGCCTGCCGTAATAGCGAACAAGCAGCCGTACGCCACGGCGTCAGGCGTTATGTTCGTATGCTGGGCCAATTTAAACCACAGTACCGCGATGCTCGCTCCTAATGGCTGGCTTAGACCACCTAGTACAGAAGCCCATAGCATAGCACGGAATCTGTTATGTAGGGCCATATAGAGCGGTAATGCAAGTGCAAACCCTTCGGAAATATTGTGCACAAATAGTGCCAAAAATACGTTAAAACCAAGGGAAGGGTTCGCATGATTCGTTGCGTAAGTGATAAAGCCTTCGGGGAATTTATGCAGAGCGATCGCAATAGAGGTCTGAAGGCCGATGGACAGAAATGCGTTCTCGGGAACGTGATGATGATGCTGGGCCTCAACGTCTTCCGACATCTCGGAGTGGTGTTCGTCTTCATGTTCGGGGTGAACATCACGCGAATGCACACGACTCATCCGACATGTAGGACTTACAGTAGATGAAGTATCAAGATCATCGTCGTCCTCATTTACCGTCTCGATACACTGTTCAGTATGTCCTATGGTAGCAGAACGAAGTAAAGTAGGCACTCGGGATAGGGGTGCGGATCGACTGCTGAGGTGTTTGAAACATTCTTGTCCACACGGATCTGAGTATCCGTAGCAAGGGCCAGCCTCATCGCAATTAGGCTTGGTATCTTTTACAAAGGACATAACTCGCTTCTGCAACATCGAAGGTCGCCTTTCCGACGTCATCGCTCGGCTGCGGGGACCACGTAAGGCTATAGGTATGTGCCCATCTGTGGGGCTCTCGGTCTCTGCCCTCCTTAGTGGCCGGGCGCGATATGTCTCGTTGGAGGGGTCTGTTTGTAGAAGCGGCGTAATCTCGCTAGCGTGCCCATTTTCGCTCACTGGAGGCTTTGGGCCGTCAAGATGGGCATGTGCGGAAGGATTGCGTCTACTGATGCTTCGAGCATGGGAGGCATGTGAAGATAGCCTTCGGCTGAAGCCATCTGCATGAGTATGATGGCTATCTAAAGCATGATCATCGTGGCTATGGTCGCAGTCGACAACGTGCGAAGGAATGAGCCGGTGAAATAATCTTGATAATACTTGAATACCCACGAATCCGCCTACAAAGCAGGCCATCAAGACGAAGCCTGCCGTCTGATCTGAATAGCCTCCCTTCATAAGGTAGTCCTTCGATTCGGGTAACATACTGTACAGCGACATGAATAACTAGAGCATACGACATCAGCATATTTTAAATTAAAGCCAACCATGCTAAATCTTACCATTACGCCAAAGCTCAAGCTCAGCGAGCAGGCGAGAAAGGTATTGCTGTCTTGTATTCGAAAATCCTTTTTACCGGGGAAGAGCCGGACGATTACATCGACGCAGATGATAGCGGATCCTATCACGCATGCTATATTGATACAACAAGTCAGTTAGTATATCAACAAAAGTCATACAATTCATATGGTTAAGGTCACACACCAACGCCGCTCACTAGGCACATGATCCAACCCCTCGTATCATTATCCAACTCGGCGACCTCCATGATGGGCCAAATTGACGTTGGATATATTACACCACGTCGTCGCCTTTCCTCCCTCGAACTTTAAATGAAGAGATTATGGGGGCATGGAGTTAAGAGTTAAGAGTAGTATGCGTTCCGATGGTCTGAAAATGACTGTGAGGCTGGTAGATCTAAATTAGACGCTTTCGGCAGTTTGATAGGTTCCGTTTTAAGGCAGCGTAGTAACAAGACACTCTGATTTTAACAAAGCGGGAATAAGGCAAGAACTTGGAGCAAGTTTATATAGAAACGTAGGAGGAAAAATAGATGAAGTCGGGAAGAAGGAAATAATAGTAACAATAACTTTGTGAAAGTAATGTGATGTGTTAGACGGAAAGTTCTATTTAGCTTGGGTATTCCGTATTTAAGATGTAGATCCGTAGAAGTGGCTACCGACCTACACATGTAACAATGCGGGTAGGGACAGAGGCTGCATTTGCGCAACATTTGATTGGATAAAAAGCTTATGATGATATGCCAAGCTTTGCCAAGCCATGCGCTGACGGGTACCTTGATGGCCAATCTTTGTTTTGCCCTTAGTAATAAGGGAACTTCAGGTCCCACATATGAATGAGGTAAGTTTAGGTTGCCCCTCAAGGTCGTCACTATTGCTCGCCCTTTCCAACTCGAGATGAGGCTTTAAAGCTGAAACTTGAGGCTCTATCTTTATGTTCCGTCCTTTTTAAGAGCCATTTAGTCCGTAATTTATTTAGGTATCATTTTAGTAAAGTTTCGATACTCCAAGTTGAACAAGACTTATATTCACGTTCGCTAGCTATCTTATTCAACCTGGCGTAAACTTCAGAAACGGACAAGTAAAAGTTATGTTGACGATTTGTTTCACAATCCCACTCACGGTAGGGATTCGGATTTGAATGTCAGGGACCTGTCGCCCGGCATATCTGAACTACACTAATGTTGGTTCCCGCGGTGGACACCGGAGAGAACTACGAATGATACCCTACCCCAATGTTGGCTCTTTGCAAAGTTATCGATATTTTAGCTGATCAAGATCAGATAAAGAATGAAACCTCCTACTCTACGTTTTTAATTGACAGGAGACTCTCCTCTCCTGAGCATGTCACGTAAAAGACACTTCCGAGTCCTAGATGGCCGTGCTAGCACCTCTATACCCATTCTATACACAGTCAGACAATTATGTTAGTGACCGCATAGGCATAATACGTTGACCTATTCCGGAGTATCTAATTGGGGTCGCCAACTTTTGCTTTTCGCCTAACAGGTGACCAAGAGAAGGCTCCTCATATACGGCAATTTAACGATACTTATCGGATCGAGCTAAGGCTGCGAAATGTAAATAGTCTGGTCACGGCAGGATAGTAAGAACCTTGACGGACCTACATGTGATACAAGTTTCAAGCGGTGTAGTTCACAAGCGTCCGGTCTCCGGCATACTCCAACCCGCCTAACGTTTTTTATAAGCTTAAAGTTTGTCCGGCCCTCGTCTTAGCTATGTACATGTACATATGTAAAACTTATCAAATCGGATTAGCCCTGCCTTAGGTACCTATGTGTATCACGATAGAGGTAGTTATCTAAAAGTGGGATATCTTAGTAATCGATAAGGTAACCTAGTCCCATCATGGCACTTCTAATAGATTGATCGGATACTTACCTACTTGCATAGGAGGTAGGCATATGCACAGTTATGCAAAGCGTTTATATGCCTAAATACTTAGGTGGTGATAATATAATTAAGATGTCGTGTTACTGATTTTCTTACCACTTATCATTATAGCGCAAGTTTACGGCTACTTGAGAAATATGCTTACTAGACTTAGAGACATGTTATCATATCTATGATACCACCGATTTATATTTATCATAAGCATATTATACTTCAGTCCTTTTCCCGCTCTTTTTGGAACGACATGATAATGCGATAACTGAACATATCTATTATTCGAATTCAACGGACCGTTCTCCGTCATCATCCATACTAATTAGGTGTATATGCCGGCTCCATTGACTCGGTGATACCGACAACACGCTTCTAGACCAATTTGATAAATTCTCGCCTATAGTGAATTCACCTACGTATGTGATGATTGAATAGTGCAGAGATATCTCGAGATTTTTCTATCTGAAACAAATCCTAGTTATTCAAAACAGAGGCTGTAGATATTATTTTTCGCTCCTAAGATGGAGTAAGACGATTAGGTAAGAAGGCAAGTCTATTTGTTAAGAGATGAAAATGCGGCTTTGTATAGTTAGTATAAGCTAACGAGAAATGGGGCAGAATCCTGTCTTTAAATATCCTGCGACAATGGACATTAACGGATATTCCACTTATATCCTTCGATTTATATTCCCTAACTAGGTTAGAGATCCAGAAAGTAAAAGACGGTAAGACTAAAAAAAATAGTGATTCTCACAATATATTTCCTATAGCAGAGATGGCTGGTAAACATATTAAACCGTAGAAGCCCGTGCCAAAGAATTCATACAAGTTAAAAGCCACTTATACGTCAGCTATTTCCCAATAGTAACGTGGATATCCTAGTTTAGCCAATGCAACTTGGATTCAACATGCGACAGCTGAAGAAGATTGGATCTTCACAAAGAGTCGTCATTCGTTGAAACATAGTGGCTTACATGATTTATATGCGGCGCAGCATAATACTAACAGTTAAACCCTGCCAGCTCAGCTTTAGGATTCTCTACCTAGATTCTCTACCCAAGTACTGTGCATGAGATGAGGGTCTAATGCACCACAGCTAAGCTCTTCGGTACACGTATATAATCCGAAGGGGCGCATACAAATATCTAAGAACTGACTTTCAAGAAAGCTTAGCCTAAGATAATTGCCCTTGGCCTCTTATATCACCAATCGAGAGCCCGCTTGGCAACTTGGCAACTCGATTCTTCAGCCCTACGAGTCACCTTCGCCAAGAATCTTCACTAACTACTACGATTAAGATATGGAAGCGTCTGAATTACCCGAATTACACGGCGAGCCGACACAATGTGAGAAAGTCGGCGAGGCCATGCCCGACATTGCGGGTTACGGAGTGAGATCAATCAACACGCCCGTTTTAGATTTCGAATCTTATCAATTCTAACGCCCACCAACGCGTATAGGTCTTAATCGGTTTCAGCGTGCAGGCTTTCATCTCACTAGTATTGTCTATCTGGGCGTTTTTCCTGACGAAATTCGGTCGTCTCGAAGTCCAAGGGGAAGAGGGCACCGCGCAACATGCGAACGAGAAGAAACGACTCGGATTCGTAACTGAGATATTAATGGTTGGAAACGATTTGCAAATGATCACTGGTACGTCTTTGATAATATTATTTTTCCCCTTTCCTACATATTACCTATGGACGGATAGTTTTAACTTACGGGTAATATGAAGGACTCGCACTTATCGGTACGGCGCTTGCACACGGGAGGGAAATCGACTTATACCATCTACACTTAGTTTACGACACTGTTAGTTTCGTCGGGTAAGAAATACAAAATTCGGTCATTCACAGCATCCTTTAGCAAGTTCGTTTACTTACTCTATTCCACATACATAGTGTTTCGAATGCGGCGGCGTTGGTCTGCTGGACCTTCATGAGAGCCAAATCACTTAAATCACGATCTCATCATAAGATATTCCCGGCTTACTGGACCGGTCGCTTCCGCGTTTCATACGCATTCGCAGTCCTGTTCTTAGGACTCACCATCTTCCTCGAAGTTCGACTAGACGAATGGTCACTTACCGCAGAAGAAGCCGGTCACTGTTACATAACGACGGGTCTCGCAGTGCCAGGAGCTGACCACCCAACAACCGATAAGGCATATGTAGCGATCACGGCGGTGTGGCTTTTACTCGTCATGTTCGGTTCCTTGTTCGCCTCAGTGAAATTCCGGAAACCGTTACTGCTGCTCAGCGCGCTGCAATTTCCGGTACATCTCTACATGATGATCAAGTTGCGAATGGAAAACTACCCCTATCTGGAGGGTGAAGATGAGAATAGATGGGATTTTGGACAGACAACTGCTATTATATTGCTTGCTGTCACAGTTGTTCAACTGATCCACCAGGGGATCGAGTATATTAAATTCGAGCGTGCTTTGAAAAAATACGGACCTTCGTATGCGTTAGCCCAAAAGGAGGAATTTTCCGAGGTACCCTCGCTGGTTGAGCAGGGCCTTAGACAGATCCAGGAGGCCAAGCAGAACGCGAGCAGCGTTCGTCTTGAGAGAAGCAGCGAAACAAGCCGGCATGATGAAAGCCACGAGCTGATGGAGAACCCCGAGCATAGAGCTTGAGTTGACATTTGACTGGAATGATGTAGAGAACATGAGTTGCATGTGATCAAGTGTTAGTTTTTAGAGGAAAACCCCGCGATAGCCGAGGAAATAATAGCTTGGGTAGTTTTGCGGATACCCTTAGAAACGATCTATTTAGATATGGACTTATAGACGATCACGATGTAGTCGACCAGTTTTAGATACACTTGGAATGAATACTTCTAGAAAGTAAAGAGTATCATATACCAGTATGTCTAATATCTCTCTGGCTATTACATAGTTGATTCTTATCTCTTCGGTTAGATTCCGATAATGAATGTAACGTGCTTGTAGATTATAAGTCAAATAGTATATATTCGTTGAAGAGTCATTTGATTTGCCAGCACGGGGTTGAGTGTTAGGTAGGTATCTGGGTTAGGTGACGTCATGGTTTGAAGCTGAGATGTAAGCTTGAAAAGCTATTGGTAGTATTTCGTATTAAATCTCACAAATAATAAGCATGGATGGTACTCGGGATATATTCTGCCATGTGATAGAGGTAAATCCGTCTCTCTGGTTTTAGGGCTGAAGCGGAACATGTCCATACATAAAGTTGACAGGTGCATCGGGTGCCACGAGCTGCACGAGGAACGGGTTTGAACTAAAATAATAAACTGTTGGTCTGTGCTTCCTTCGGTACCTTACAGAAGAAAACAAGCCCCATCTTATCCAATCATTGCGTCCCACTTAGTATATCGATAGGGGGGATCCCCCACCTCGTTAATGCTATTAACGCTACCTCGAGGCTGAAAATCTTAAAAGATTCAAAGATCCTGTCTAAGACATTTGCTGCACGCCTCTCCACCACGCGGGCGTCTGCAACACTCCCCTCGTGAGCCGCATATTGCTCACACACCGCGCCTGACTTCAGCACCGCCCATTCGCCCTCTTTCTTACACATATTTCACTCCTCCCTTCATATAAAACTAAAAGAGTGCCAACTAGCCCCCAGAGGAAACCCGCCTTTTGCCCACAATGTCAAAAACCACGTTAGCAGTTATCGCAGCGGCAAGCGCAGGAGCCGGCGCCGCTATTACAGCTACCATGTACTCGTTACGATCAGATCGTAATCTAGAAAGCAAGACTATATCCACAACGACGACTACCGTCTCGACCTCACCTACGGCGGGAGGATCCGCACCGATTCCTATCCCAGCCAAACAAATATTTACTCCTCCGAACCAACAAGTTGCGCAAACAGGCTTATCGACCTCAGCCCCCGCGGCCGTGAACCTCTTACCGGTCGACCCGTCCGGCCTCTTCGAATATGGCTTCCCAGGTCCGGTAGCCGATATCGCGACGCGACAAGCGTTGGTCTCTTCGTTCGACCGCCGACTGCGTAACCCGCACTGGGTAGCAGAGCACATCACGCCGGCGTCACTAGCAATCCGAGACGGCGACCGCAAACACAGCACATTCTTAGAGGACGAAGCCGTGCCTGAAAAGTTCCGCGCGCGTCTAAAGGACTACTTCCGCTCGGGCTACGACCGAGGCCACCAAGTCCCCGCGGCCGACGCGCGCTGGAGCCAAACCGCCATGGACGAGACCTTCTTCCTGAGCAACATGTGCCCGCAAGTGGGCGAGGGCTTCAACCGGGACTACTGGGCGCACTTCGAAGACTTCTGCCGGGGCCTGACATCGCGATATCCCAGCGTGCGCGTCGTCACGGGCCCGTTATATCTACCCAAGCGTGACCCTACAGACAACAAGTGGTACGTGCGGTACGAAGTAATCGGCAACCCGCCCAACGTAGCGGTTCCGACACACTTCTACAAGGTCATCTTCGCAGAGGACGGAGCTGTCGGCGGTAACGTCGCCATCGGCGCCTTCGTACTGCCCAACGCGCCCATCCCCAACGAGAAACCCCTCACAGACTTCGAAGTCCCCGTCGAAGCCGTCGAGCGCGCCAGCGGCCTCGAATTCGCCACCAAGCTCCCCGCCCAGCGGCGCAAGCGCCTCTGCACGGAGGCCACCTGCGCCCTCGTCATCAAAGACTACGCCAACCGGCAAAAAGCATTTGCGAAGCCCCAGGGCTCTTCTTCGGCTGTCGCGAAGCGCTAGGACAGGTTGTTTCGTTATCGCTTATATTTACCCGATTCGCGATAATCTTAGTTGCCATGTCTTTTCCGTTCCGCAGACCTACTTTACTTTTCCAAAGAATTAAACGAGGCTTATGATGTACATACCACGTATCTTAACGCATGGAAGACCACGGCAGGTAGAAGGACCAAACGGTTGGAGACTAAGACGAGCTAGATAAGATTAATATGTATACCTTGTAACTTTATTGGGACACACGGTTCTATCTACATCATTGCATTTGCATTTGCCGCCCTTTCTTCTGGGATAAGGCGAGTTGTGGCGTTCGGAGTTTGGTTCATTCTAATAGCTTACCTACTACTTCCCACACACTAACTTCAACGAGGAAATCAAATACACGTCCTCCTCTCGAAAAGCGGCAGGTAGTGAGGAATAAATAGCATAGCATAGCATAGCATAGCATAGCATAGCATAGCATAGCATAACTTAGTATAATATCTTATATCTACCAATTAACTAGTTAGGCTGAATCCAAACTGTAAACTACTGGACTTCAGGGGCAAGCATCATTGTATTATTTGATGCGTCCGAGGACATTCTAAAGTTTTCACGTTGATAATAAAGAGCATAAAAACACCGCCAAGACTAAGCACTAGCAATACCATCACGTCTAGCTACATGAACGAGGCGCAAACGGATATAGATATGTGTTATCTTGAAATGTATTACCATTCCTTTCGCAACCTAGCTAAACTCCCCTAACAACGCCTTCAACGCCCGGGGTATCCGCCCTTTTGGCCAAGGGGCATCGTCCATGCTCATCGTACACGCTCTACTCCCGAAATATGCAGTAATGTTGTCAATTGTACATCATTAAATCGGTACGTCCTCGAACAAAGAAGAAATTGCCCTATCCATTGACCCCGACCTCCTCAGTTAAAATGCTGACGTTTTCTAAACTGGCCAAATTAACGGCTTGGCATCCTATCCTTCCGTGTGTATCTTGTATGCATTTGCTTCTACTCACTCCGCTGGGAATGAGCTCTTTCTCGGTCATACTTGTCGAACTAGACCGTCGCCTTTCGTCGACTAGTAAAATATCTGACCCACTCGAGCGACATGCCCTGAAAAACTAAACACGGTAGAAATTATGGAAGTAGGTTTTTATAAGGTATTGGAATAGAGCTCGATGGTTACTAACGCACTCTAGTATAATTCCCCTTTTTCTGTTCCATTCGTAGGCTTTCTTCCTGACTAGGGAGGGGTACTCTTCTCCGGCCATTGCTGTCGGTAGCCTGCATGTCAACACCTGCCTGTGAGAAAGGTGGAGGGGGCGGGAACCCGGGCGGCATTGGGAAATTCGGAGGCGGAAATAAACCTGGTGGGAGCATGTTGGGAGGTGGGGGAGGAGGTAAGCCGGCTTTTTGCATCATCTCCGCTATCTTGGCAAAGTCGGCTGGATTGTTCGGATCCAAACCACCTGGGAGCGGTGGAGGTGGAGCACCAACCGCGCCAGGGATTGGGAACGGTAGAGGTGGTACTGTAGCTGGAGCAGGCATAGCACCGACTCCAGGGATTTGAGGAGGCGGAGGAGGAATGCCGTTAGCTGGTAAAGAGAGACCGGGAAGACCTGGGAAACCAGATGCCGGCTGCCTAAGCGGCATCTTCTGATCAACCAAACCTTCTGCCTCATCCTCAAGCTCCTGTTCTTCTTCCTCTTGTCGTTGACGACGACCGCCGCGTCGATCCCAAGTTCCTTGAGCTTCTGCAGCCGCCTCGCCAATATGATATCTATCTTGGAAGATATCTGTCTCTCCAGGCCGAGCACGGGACCAGAACCGAGTAATACGATCGTTCGAGCCCGAAGCTAAGATGTGGCCGAGAGGATGCCAGTCAAGGGACCAAATTGCAAAGTCATGAGCGTAGGGGACCTTGTGCGTTGGATATATGGACTGCGCAGGTGCTGTCAACGGATCTGGGCTCTCGTAAACTGCCGTGCTTATGGCCTGCCCTGCCGGGGTGTTCGGTTCATCTAATATATAGTGGAACAAAGAGCCCTCATTACCTCCAGTGCTGAGTAGGTTCGAGTGGATTGGATGCCAAGCAAGCGTTGAAATATCCTTCTCGTGACCTCTAAGAAGACAGATATCTCGCATCATTCGTATATCAAATATCCTCGCTGTTTGATCTCGCGCTGAAGTCGCAAGACACCAGCCCATGACACGCTCGAATGATGTCTTAGTAATCGTATTCTTATGGCCATGGAGAGTGGTTAGGCAACGCTGAGTTCTAGGATCCCAGAGCTTGACGAGATGGTCCTTTGATCCCGAAACAATTAGTCCTTTTGTAGGATGCCAGTCGCAGCTTTTCGCATCCCAGCCATGGCCTTGTAGCGTTGACTCGGCAACACCACCAGCAAAATCAAATATCTTGAGAGAGGAGTCATCAGATGCCGTAACAAACTTGGAGTCGTTAGGGCTAAAAGCAAGATCTCGGATAGGGTCGTGATGACCCTGGATCACTTGCACGTTGTTGAAATTAGGCTGCCAGTATTTAATAATACCATCGTGATCAGCTGATATTAACCAGTCGTCACTATGCGAGTAAGCTAAGGCCCGGATAGCAACATCGTGAGCTTGCATAATGGTCTCAAAGTTAAATCCAGTACCGTTCCACAGCGTAAACTCGCCACTGCTTGAGGCGGTTAACAATCGACGCCCTTCCGGGGTCCATCGTACAACGTTGACTGGATGTTTAATTTTATTCAAAGATGAATGAAGATGTTTTGTAGGGACAGAGTCGGCAGGATTAGTAACTCTTGCCAGGGGTGGGAGCATCTATATGTGGTTTAGTTTATTTAACCAAAGTCTCATTTGCGTTGAACTTACATCAACGATGTAGCTAGCACTAGGCCGTTCGACCTCGCCTCTAAAGGCGCCTTTGAATCGCGGCTGGCGATTGCGCATCCAATGGGCAACTGTAGAGCCATAATCGGTGACAGGGCCTATAGTAAAGTATTAATACACACCAATGGACATATATGAAAATGAGTAGGCTCGAAAGATGTGTCGGGTAGTCAAAACAAACACCCATTTAAATCTTTACAGCAGTTATCAAATATGAAACGCCTTAAACGAGGGACACCAATGGCTTGAGGGGAAGGTGTAATCTATCATCAAAATACTCACGTCGACCTCTAGCCCTTGAAAAGTTGCCAGCTTCATGACCTCCGCCCGGCGCGCCATGGTCGCCACGGGGATCGTATGCCATAGTCGGCTATAGCTACATTCGCGTGAGAAATTGAATATTATGAATGAATTTATTAGATTCAATATTTAGAGATATGTGTTGTGGTCTGTTAAAAATTATTGATGATTGAGTGAGCTTGGGATGAAAGGGACCTTAAGGACGCGAACAATGAACGTCTGCAGGTTACCTAACTTAATTTCGACAAGGGAAGCTTGCGCCGCAATGGAAGGCTGCGGCTGAAGTTAAGTTGAGCCACAGTAGACTAATCCGTCAGGTACCTAAAGGTTCGTTCAAGGAGTAGCCACTTTTTAGTGGAGCATCTGCATTTCCGATGGAAGTCTCGGAACTTGTACGATCCTAGTCTAGGAAGCTACGAATTTGGCGTCGCCTTGTCTTACCAAACTGATGAGAAGAATAAATTTCCTTCTAGCTTAGCATTTCTTTCACATGTCAATTGATGTTACATCAATATTGTCTATCCTAGACCTAGACTCCAGCTCTCGGCCGACTAATTTTTCTTCTCTATTCCCTTTCTCATGAGATAATTCCTACTAGTTGTTTTGTATGTACTTATCATACAAAGATACGATCCAATCACAAAAAATACCATTTGGCAGTGGACATCGGATATATTCCCATGTCCCACCAGGAAGCCTCACCACCAGATAATGTATGACAACACATGCCTAGAAATAAAACTCGGCATTATCAACTCATCCTAACATAAAATATAATATCTATATCTTTCTCCACTATTCAAGTGGCTCTTCTTTCAATGTCCAATGCGACAGAAGGATGATACTTCCTTGTCCCCACAAACCTCGATCGACAGGGTCTCTGATGCAATAATGGCGATACCCATTGGTTCACTCGCAGCTCGGTACGGTTTTCTCTTGGAGGACTAAAATAGGCTCAAGGTTCGACCAGGGGACTCTGCGGTCTGCCTTCAAATACCAATTAATCATGGCATGTCTTTAATTTGACATACATACATCTTTTTCTAGTTACATATTATTATTATTACTTTTCACATTTGTGACTACATTCCAATTGACCTATTCGACAACATATTGGAAGATGCCACATTCCCCTCTCTAGGTATTATCTAGGTACATATGCGTAACGGAGATATCTCCTCACATCCAAGGTATTACATCACCCTTACTCTTATACCAGGCCGAAAACGCATCGCGATACGAATTTCAACCGGAACCATGTCTTAGCCATTCTCACAAAGGATTGCACTTATGTTCAAGTGGCGCCGTCAGTTCGAGGCTATAGAAGATCGCCAGATTTCTGTGAAACTCTCGCTGATAACTGTGTAGCTGCCAGTTCCTGCCAGCTCCCCAACTCGTTCCGAAGCTTTCTCCCGAGAACTCCTAAATGTGCCCTCATAGCGAAACCTTATTATTAGCATAGACGTAGTCCGTTACGATTATACACGGCCCATCATGGATTCGGCTATTACTACAAGTCTCGAGGCCCCTACGGGGACAGCAACCACTCGACGAAACGACACTACGAAAGAGCCCAGCGCCACAACCGAAGTCCCCAATGAACGAACAAATGGAGAAAAGAAATCCTATGCTTTTAGGAAATATAGACATGTTACCGCGATTCACTCCGAGTCGAGACCGTCCACGCTGAGCCATGACACAACAGCCACTCCGAGTTTCCTGGGGTTTAGAAATCTGATGGTTATCGTGTTAGGTATAACCTCTCAGCTATCTTACTGGAGAGATGGGAATATGCTGACTCTTTCTAGTGGTTGGAAATTTGCGATTGGTAATAGAGAACATGCAAAAGGTTAGCAAACAGCCGGATATCACCGGACGAACACCCACTTACATAACCGGTAGTACGGGAACCTGATATGTATAACGTGTCACGATTTCCGCCGTCAGGATGTCCTCCTCGGCTTCCTGCTCTATATATTAGTTCCTTGGCACCTCTTCATTGCCTACTCGTTCGAATGGTACGCCGCTAAGCAGGCACGGATTTCACGAGCTCAATCTGCTAGCAAAGGCGGGTCCGCAAGCCCGACGGAAGATCAGCAAGCCAACTTTGAGTCGAAATGGAAGATTATTAGGACTGCTCATCTCCTAAACGCCACTCTAGCTCTGGCTTTCCACAGCTGGGTCGTCTATTTCCATATCTACCACCCCCTAATTGGTACGATAACGGAGCTTCATGTCATCATTGTCTATATGAAAGTCTTGTCGTATGCGCTTACGAATAGGGATCTTCGTCATGCGTATCTCCACCCAGTCAAAGGCGAATTGGCTATCCTCCCTGAACTATATGCGCAATGCCCGTATCCCCAGAATATCACGATGAGCAATCTAACCTACTTCTGGTGGGCCCCGACACTCGTCTACCAGCCAGTATACCCTCGATCAGAGAATATTAGGTGGCTTTTTGTCCTCAAGCGACTCAGCGAATTGGTTTGCCTGAGCGTCTTCATATGGTTCTGCAGCGCCCAGTACGCAGCCCCGGTCCTATGGAACTCACTTGACAAGATAGACCACCTAGATCTAGTATCGATTGTCGAGCGGCTTTTGAAGCTGTCTACAATCTCGCTTGTCATCTGGCTGGCTGGCTTCTTTGCTCTGTTCCAATCGGCACTCAACGCACTAGCCGAGATTATGCGATTTGGAGACCGCTCTTTCTACGACGACTGGTGGAACTCGGCTGGCCTGGGAGACTACTGGCGGCTCTGGAACAAACCTGTCTACCAGTTCATGAAGAGGCACATATTCTCGCCCTTGATAGGCAGGGGCTGGAGCATGCAATTAGCCAGTATCGCCGTGTTCTTCGTCTCGGCTATACTACACGAACTTCTAGTTGGTATCCCAACCAAGAATCCCATAGGTATGCATTTCCCCTTTCTTCACAATTCGAGGCTTCAAGCAGGACTCGTGCTAACCTAGTACCAGGAGTCGCCTTTTTGGGGATGCTCGTCCAGATCCCGTTGATCTGGTTCACGCGGCCGTTCTCGAAGATGAAGGGCCCGCATGGCCGACTCATCGGCAACTGCATCTTCTGGGTCTCGTTCACGATCTTAGGTCAGCCGTTTGCTGCGCTGGTGTATTTCTATGCCTGGCAGGCTAAGTACGGATCTGTTGCTAAGAGGATGGCTCTGAATCAACCGCCTGCGTTGAACTAGCTAGCTGGCGTGTGGGAGATAAATTGTGCCTTATGTGGACTGAGAACGGAGAAGAGGTGAAGGGTAATCCGTAATATAATTACATCTTGATCTTTTGAGATATATGCTTAGGCACTGTTCTACTTAAAAGCTAGATCGCCACTTAATAAAATATCTCATATAGTTCCATCAATCGTACCCATAGCGCTCGTATTGCTTCTATACTATTAAGTAATTTATTGGGGAGGAATATTCAACCACTTCTTACGACCTACTGACTGGCTATATAAAATCTTACCGCAAAGAAGATTTAAAGCCGAAACTGATTCTTATTTTGAAGTCATGGGTAGACAACTTAGTTAACTCATCACGAGGCAAAATCAAACACTGGGACGAGTATAAACGATTAGACCATCGTGATTATTTTACAATGCGAGAACACCGTCTCACCAGATCTACCTAGTGTCCGTTCATCTCACCACATTACTATATAGTAAAAGTTACATAGGGATTCTACTCCCCTTTTTTTCCGTTCCCACTCTTTTCAATCCTATGTTCCTTTTCAAGAACTCGACGACCTACTCGTACTTCTACGTCTCCTCACGACGATCCCAATGGCTATGCTCGCGACAAACAGTATGCCGTTAAATATAGCCATCATGTAGAACGGGGCCCCGCGAGACGCCACGTCGAACAGGTAGCCCCCAAGTTTAGTCAGGAGTAGAATCGCAGCGCCGCCGCACCACGAGTATACGCCCGCGATAGAGCCCTTAAGTTGCACGCGGGATACCGGTGTCCTTTCCTTTCGTCGGGGACTAATATTACTGCTGCTGCTTCCACCAGCATCCTGCCCTAATAGGGCGTCCGTCTCTGCGTCGTTGGAGTGCGAGATCCCATTCCCTTCCTCGTCATTAGATATAGCAGGGACATCGGCAGCTAGAACGCCACGACCCAGGGACCCTAGACTACACACAATGGCACCGATCTGGCTAATGCCAACAAGTATCATCACCAAAAAGACAACCGGGCTTCCGCCACGGTCGCTTACATTTGCGTACTCGGGGCTCTGGAGTCGCGGGAGGGCGATCCATCCCACAACACCAAGTAGCGAGGCGAATACAAGGGGTAGATTGACCCCGTCGCTCTTCCTGCTGACATACCCAAATATAGGCGCGCACAGTAGGGCGGCAAGCTGCGCGACACCGGTCAAAATCGAGGCTAAGACATACGCGGCGCGACATTCCTTTTTGAGGTCGGGCGACGGGTCATTCGGTGAACCACGGCAGTACCCGTTGCCAATGAAGAATGCGTTTACGTAGAGCGGTATGAAAAGCGAGATGGCGACAGTGCTCGCGCGCGCCACGAAGCCCCCCAAGTATCCTAGTGCAATATGCGGGTCTGTCGCACCGAGACGAAGCGATGAGATCAAAAGCTTACGGTAGGGTAGCGGTCTAGGTGATGAAGAAGAAATCCCTGTAGGGGAACCATTGGATCCCGCGGCGTCCTGCGGCCTGCGTAAATTAAGAAGCATGCGCCAGCCCTTGCCTTCCTCGCCGTGTAGACCGCGGAGGCCGAAGAATACGAAGACGGCTACGACTAATGCGACGGCGCCAACGACATAGAAGCTATGCGTGATGGCCTGAGCGGGCGTAACGCCCTCTTTCCTGGAAAATCGGGTCGGTAGTGGTAGGAAAAGAGATAGAGCGACCAAAGCCCCGCAGCCTGTAAACAAGCCTACATATCCTGCGAGAGCTGATGGTCTGCCACCTTTACTCTCAACGCTACCATATGTGTCAGAGGAGTCCCCCGAATCATCGCTGTCCCTCCGATTACGCGATAAGTTCTGGGTAAATATCTCCGGGGTAATCGTGGCGTCGCTCTCAAGACTCATAGCCACGCTATCCCTCTGATGATGACTCGACTTCCGACTCGAGCCCACACTACCAGCACTTACAGAACCCCCATTCTCTCCGTCCTCTCCATCATAACTATCCTCTCCATCCGCATCCACCTTTTCGTCATTCGTGAGCACAGGCAAAATAGCCGTAACCATAGTCGCCGCGGCCGTAGCGCCCAGCGCAAACGCAATCCGCGCAATGATCAAACTAGGATAGACATCGCGGGCCTGGACGAAGCAGAACAGACTAATCGCAATAATCCCGTACCCCAGGACGGCGACCCAGCGCACGCCCAAACGATCGCTAACCAGGCCCCAAGCCGGGCAAGCCACAAGCGCAACGACCTCGTCGACGAAGCCCAGGGTACCGACGATATCGCCGACGCCTGTCTTCACGCCCAGCAGGTCCGTGATAACGAACGAGACGGCCGAGTTGAGGAAGACGAGGAAGGAAATGCTGAAGAGCGCGATCCCGAGGAGATACGTCGTAGCCTGCAGCGGCGTCGCCGTGCGGCTAAAGGGTAAGAAACGCCAGAGAATGCGAGAGCGCGCCATGGTACCAAGATTCCCTACGCTGGTTGGTGTTGATAGTGATGCTGGTAAGATTGGTGGCGTATAGGTGCTGGGGGTTTACGGAGGGGTCGGCCGGGGGTTGGTTGCGCGCGCGCGAGTTGGCGTGGGAGGGATGCTCGGAAATATCGGGGTTGATCGATTGGGTTTAGTATAATATATCGTAATACACAACAACGAATGAGGTTACATTTTTATATATAAAGTAGGTATTTAGCAATTATAAATATTGTTGCTGAACCTCAGCTAACAAGTTGAAGTTGAAGTTGAAGTTAAAGTTGATCGAAGTTGGAAGTAGCTTCGGTGATACGTATGTAGGTTTAGGTACATTATAGGTGGGTTCGTACCTATGCGATGCAGGTAGGATCTTAAAAAGGTAACATCCTATTTTAGCCCCGGCAGCCGGACCTTCTCCAAAGCCTGACTTGGCTACCGGTCACCAGGATACAAGGGATATAGTTAGGTACCTACCTACGTATGGTATGTACGTCTATGTATGCTAAACTTAACTGTAGGTAATATCACATGTACTACATATTGTTAAAGCGGGTATCTAACCATGGAATTCAAAACATCGAAACGCATCTACACTATCATAACGCGCTGGCATTGAGATTTCATATACACCGAAAATATAAAAAAGCAAAAAATAAATGCATCATTTAAAAAACAAACAAAGTGACCCGGTTCATGCCTATTCATTGAGGTGTCTATCATTAGTTCTGTGTGTTTTTTTTTGCGAGCAGACCCTTGCTCGTTCCTATGCTGTTGTCCTAAGTAGTCGCCCATTCTCTAGGGCATCTGAGATAGGACACCACGTAAATGGCTTTCAATGTGACCCCCCTAACGCCGGCGATGATGAAGCGTCTATCCCTAAGTCCCTACTTCTTTACAGGATCCCGCGTATCGTACCCGATGACCTTGCTAGCACACCGCAGATATACAATACAAGCAGCGTTGTGGCCAATTCCAACGGGAGGAACACGAACGCGCACGCCATTGCTATCAAGGACCAGCGGAATTGAGTAATCTTCTCGTCTAAAGTCACGCCATGGAAAGACCCCTGCTCAAACTGGCCCCAAGGTGCTCGCTCATTCTCGGAGCTAATGTCTCGATCATAATCAGAATCGCCATCGATATCTTCTCCAGGCTTGGATTGTCAACCGAAGTGGAATCCACTTGGGAAACCCTGAGGACGCGTGCGACCACCATAACCGCCGCCGCCAAAGCCTTGTCCGCCGCCGAAGGAGCCACCGCCGTTCATCATACTGAAGAGGATCTCCGGGTCGATGCCGCCGCCCATACCACCACCCATGCCACCACCATACATATCGGACGGATCAATTAAATCGTCTCCGCTATCGTAGCGAGCACGCTTTCTGCGGGATAATTAGTAAAAAAAGAAATATTAGAAACAGGAGGCCGATACGTACTGAGGGTCGCTCAAGGTCTCGTAAGCTTCGCCAATATCCTTGAAACGTTCAGCGGCCGCATCGTCGTTGGGGTTCTTGTCCGGATGGTGCCTGATGGCAAGCTTGCGATAAGCTTTCTTGATAGCAGACTCGTCGGCATCTTTACCAACACCGAGAATCTTGTAGTAGTCTTTACGCTGGCTCTTCTTGAACTCTAGCTCCGCCCTGCGAATTTCCTTGAGGATGCTTCGGTCTTCGGGATCTAACTCCTGGATTGACTTCCACTCGCGAACGGCATCCTCCCACCGCTCTGCTTGACCTAGCGCGTTAGCCTTCGTCTTCCGGGCTTTGATGTACGAAGGGTCTAAGTTGAAAGCTCGATCGCAATCTGCAATCGCTTCGGCGAATTGCTTTAGCTTAAGTCGGCAGAGGGCCCGGTTTTGGTAGAGCTTCGAGTTAGTGCCTCGGTTGGCGGGATCAACCTCTAGAGCAGCTGAGTACTTGTCGAAAGCAGCTTGCCATCGTCCAGCCTTATACTCCGCATTGCCCTCCTCCTTCATCCTATCCAGTCTCTGGACAGTTCTAAGCCATTTCACGCCCTCCTTGAAGTCGGGATCACAACTTAACGCCTTTCGGAAATGCGTGATGGCCTTGTCATTCTCTCCTTGGGCATATAATGCACGTCCTCGTAACACTAATGCTTCCGGGTCCAGATTGTTCTGCCTTAGAATTGACATTGCTACATTCTGCGCTTCTCCCAAGGAGTTAGCACCTCCCATTTTGAGATATGCGTTGCCTCGCATCAGTTGCCATTTTCTAGGCTTGCTCGCTCCAGGACCAAGCAACTTCTCGGCTTGATCTAGGGCATGTAAAACCATAGAGCCACTTGTGCCACGGTCAAGGGCATCTTGGGCTGCTCTGACGTGATGCTGCATTTCCCTAGCGGCAGCCATATCCTTGGCAGAAGCAGGAGGTTGAATACGTCCAAAAGTGGTCATTGCCTCCTCGGGACGTCCTAAACTAGTGTAAATCCGAGCCAAACGTAACAAGTACTTAGGGTTATGAGGATCTAAGTCTACAGCTCGGACGCAATCTTCCAGAGCAGCCTCATATTGGCGGTCGGACATGAGAGCCGCGGCACGGTTGCTAAGGTACGTAGGCTCGCTAGGCATAAGCTGGATAGCTAGTATATATGTCAGTTTTCAAAAGCGCAATATGTGACTTCGCAAGAGCATACCACTTGTGTACTCAGCAATTGCTCGTGCATAGTCCTTCTGCTTGAAGCATCTATTTCCGTCGGCCTTGTGAGCCTCAGCCGCTTCCGCATCCGTGGGAACCGGACTGGAAGGGTTCGACCTGTGAGGCGGAGGAGCCGGACCTTCTGGCTCATCATTCGTATCCTTCTTCACTCCATTCGTAGGAGAAGGGTTGACAGGAATAGTAAAAGATTGGGTTTGTAGGGGAGGTGGCGAAGTCGGAGGTACGGCTGGGGTATCTTTGTCGAGATCCATCTTGTCGACGGAATTCCTACTGTTCATATTATACTGAGCAGATAAGCGCTTGAGCTCCTCGGGAGGTAAATTTAGAGGATGGATATCGGTGTCGATTTTACTTCTCCTTGAAGAAGAGCCTTGGTCGCTTGAATGTCTCGCAAAAGAGCGAGAAGTTCGCGATTTAGGCTGCTCCCTCTGGGAAGGCGATGCGGGGCGCAAGGGTTTTTTGGTGGGGGACGATCTTGTAGAGCTGATAGAAGGCTTTACAGCTGAAGAAGTTTGCTCTGAGCGAGGAATTTGAGGCTGTGGCTTATCTTGGTAATTGGGGGAGTGGTGAGATTCGCTACTATCGCCTGCGGTTTGTTTCTTTGGGGATTTTTTCGAGTTGAATAAGCCCTTCATTTGGAATGGAGGTTTTCGGCTTTAGTCAAGCGCGGTACGTAGATTAAAAAAAAAAAAAAAAGAAAGTTCCCACACCTCTATTATTACCTAAGACAAGGTAATAATAAATCACTATGGTTCCCGCTTCAAACGCTTTTCCGTTGTTCGATAACCTTCTGCTTGATGCTGGATCCTAGTTAGGCCCTAGTGCGAAAAATAAAAATTGGTTAGTTAATCAACCAAAAGACAAGAAATAAGAAATAAGAAAAATTAAAAATAAAGTTTCATCCGTATTTCGCAACACCAAGTCAGGTAAGTATACCAATTGACGTTTGACATGCAAAGAACCACAGCGCTCTCAGTGGTGCGTTCCTGGACTAGGTATCCGACTACTAGTGGATTCGGTATGAAATGTTGCTTTAAAGAAAAATTCACTTACGCCGTGATTCCGACTTGTAAGACACACCGCCGTACTAGCCCTTCCCTTTAGATACTAGCCAACTCTGGTCGAGTCGCAGGCTGCAGGAGAAAAGGGACCTTTTCTTTGGTTCACCTCTTTTCTCTGTCTTTTTTTTTCGGACGAACTGGGGTAGAAAGCGTGAGCTGGGAGGACAACAGTGGTTAAACCTCAATGTAAGTGAGTGACTAGAAGATCCCCGAATGAGTTTGAGGGGCACTAGGAAGGCCGCGTTTGTGGGAAAGCGCAGCGGTGACGAAAGAAGGTTAAAAGGTTATGAGGGATGGTCAAAACCAAAGATGGTTTAAGATGTAAGAATTGTGAAAGATGACAATAAGAAAGATACGATTTATCAGCCTGTCAAGACTTTTTTTTTTTCCCAATGTACAGGGACAGCACGGTACCTTCGCCTTCTCGCACAGCCAACTTGCACAAAAGCAGATAGTGATGTGCTCGCGTCTATTGAATAAGAACAAGAATCGTCAGGCTGGTATTTGAAATTTGTGAAATTTGGAGAAGCACCCAGAAAAAAAGAAGTCCCGAATACTTGGTCAGTCAGCGGGTCAGTGCATTGACCAGAGGTTATTAGTACATTTTCCACTGAATATGCTTAGCCCAGCATCGTTACGTATATGGGCCTATGTACTATGTCATGTATGTATATCGCTACTATAAGGTTAGGCCAAGTATACATCCATGGATATGTATATTATGTACACATGCATTATGTACGTACCTAATTGATGTTATCCATAAATTCCGTCTAGCGTCTAATAGCAACTTTCCAATGACCAGGACTCCAGAAATCTCCAGCCCCCACTACGACATTCTACTACGTAGTATGTAACTCTTACCCGTTGCCCGCATCCTGCCAGCAACCAACTCACTACTCACTAGGTACTACCATTGTCTTTTAACAACAACATCTATAATTCTAACCAATATCCATACATGTTGATCAATTCTTCGAGGGGCCGAACTCGGTTGGCCAATAAACCAAAATGAGGGGCATGGGTTTGTTTACAAGTTGTTCAGCGTCTACCACCATAAGTCCAGCATTCTGAATGGTTATATATCTCCGCAACGCTTGTTCACGTAGCATCCTACCAAGCCAATCCTATCATCACACTTAGAATTAGAAAGGCTGAACAATGCGTTGTGCTTGTAAATTGCAACGCTCACTCTAGCAACAGACTGACATTCTATCTTCTGTGTTGGTCTTGAAACTCTCCTGCCATCTTGTCTCTTTTTTTTCCCCGACGTTTATCTCCTCTGATATGAGTCTCATCAAACCTCAAATTGATATCATTGTTGGCGGCTCGTTAAGACCTGCTGTTATTACTGTACTACTGTGCGCGGAGACGTCAATCCTGGTAAGCCGAGATGAAAATACAGACAGGGGTCGCAAGGATCGTTCCGAGGGCGGCAGAAGACCCTGCAGCCAAACACCCAGCCCACTCTCCCCCAGCCAATGGACCCCTTTCTCTTCAACCGATTCTCGAAGCTTCTATGGGGAAAGGTACAAATCTGATATGAGAGTCTTAAGTATCAGGGCGCTTGGACCAGCGGGAAGATACCGTCATGACCGTAGGCAGCATCATGAAAAACATTGGGACTTGAAGTTGCCAAGCCGCCAAGTTGTGACCTTAACCGAGTCTGTCATTGTGGATTTGTTTCAACTCCAGCCTTTGACGCAATAGTAAATGGTATTATAGTGTATAGCCAGAGAGATACTATGTAATGGGTTTATCAAGTTGGCCTACCACATATGTACATAGCTGCCAGTCTGCCAATCTGCCAATCTACTACACTACGTAACTTGTCGGGTCGCGGGTCGTTCAACCGGGTAGCTCAACATTGTCGCTAAACCCAATTTATGCAGGGACAAGGTTAAGATAATTCACGTGTCCTATGTAATAGGTTGTCCTAGCGGCCTCCGTGGCCCGTGGGATGATCGGGTGGGTCTCAATCTGTTGTAAACGCTTCTCTTACTCTAATTGACTATAATTTTCTAATTAGAAGACGCCAATCATAGCACGTAGTTTTATCGCGAGGCTGGTCTAGATATTGATAACGTTATGTTTGTATTACAGCAAACGATATTAGACCTTATCAGTTTAAAAGTACAATTAATCAGTTGCGATCCTCACGTAGCACATGATCTACCAAATATACTTAAAGGATGAAATGATCTCGTGCCACCCAGGTATTTGGTATTTGGTAGTTGTAGTAGGTTAGTTGGTTCGACAGTGCAACATGTCAAACTCTATCCAGTGGAATTCAAATATTGTAAACCATGTCCCCAGTCCAAATTCAGTAAGGTCTCTACCTAGGGCTCTTTAGATAGCGTGGCTATGATATTACGATTTTATACTCGCTCATTCCTTTGATATTTCCAAGTCTAACTTATATATATATATATTTTATAAAACTCCAATCGCGTGGACTACATACAACTTTCTAATATATATAACGATTTTTATATTTCAGGTAACTCAACTACTCTAAAATACATTAAGGTCTATGTAGTCTTAATGGAATACCTAACCCCCTAACCTAGTACCTTGTAGGCCCCCCGAATACGAAAGGACTTCGTATTAAAAACGCAACGTAATTACAGTAACTGTTATAGCCATGTTCATCCGCCTAGAACTCCTTACACTAGCACTCGAGAAATGCCTATTCACGAAGCCCTGACTAATACCCCGATCCGTCCCATACTCCAGCACATAGTACAAGAATTAGGTCTTCTCATCAAGTTTATTCAACTTCACTCTTCTGAAGCCTCATGAGAACTCGGCTCTGACGATCCATTACCACCCACGATGGAGTTCACGAACTCTTGATACTTGAATACTTCACCGCGTTTGCTCAGCCCGCCGGCCATACTCTTGCTAAAAGCTCTTCTTCCACTGAATCCGAGCATGATCTTGTCCACTTCAGTTGCTGTCAATGCTCTCTCTCCTGGTTCCGGCGCCGTGTGTAACAGAGCATCACGTAGCTCGGTGAAATCTACTTGACCGCTATCGTCGTCATCAAAGGCGGAGAACGCTGACAGTAATTCTGTACTCGGCGACATCGCGGCCAGTGTCGTAGCTATCGAGTTAAGGAATACCGCAAGAGTCGTCGTTTGCGGGCCTGCTGAGGGGAAGAATTGCGAGACGTCGGATTGGCTGGATGGCAGTCCTTTAAGTTCGTCTACGTTAGTATTGATATTCAACGGCCTAGGGCACGAGATATGCGGCATACCGAGCTGATTGAGCATATCTACAACATCCTCCCTATTTACGACGCCATCGCTATCTCTATCCAGAATCTGGAATACATCCCTTAGTACTCGGAGCTGTGCTGGCTGTAATTGAGAAAGTGCATTGCCCTGAGCCGCAGAATGCAGTGACGGTTGAGTCCGTGACGATATATGTGCGGGAGAAGCGAGTGATTGTGTGAATGGCATATCGTTTGTTTGACCGTATCCACGAGGAGTCAATCCGTCCGAGCTAGTAGGCGATTCTACTGTAGCAGCAAATCTAGAAGGTGTATGCACGCCGCTAGGTTTTGAAGGCGATGGTGTCGGTGTCGTATATTTAATTGATGAGGGTGACGCGGGAGATTCTGGTCGTCGGAAAGGGGAACTTCGAGGAGAACCGTATCCGAGAGGCGATGGCTTGTAACCCGCTGGTGTAGCCTATGTAGTTTGGTAGTATAAGTATTTGAACCAATCTATCACAAACCAAGGAGAGGCGATCGATGCAGGGAGCTCCGCTGTCAAGTGGGTTTCTATTACTCACCATTGTCACCGATTTCCCAGGGCCGTGCTGCAATCTGGATAAGTAAACAAAGCAGAAAGTGTTCTTAAGAGGAGTGCTGAACAACAAGCTTCAAAATGACAAAATTGTTTCTCGAATTGGGCTTGATGAGCTATCGTAGAGGATTTAATGCATGAATGATAATTGTATTAAGTTTGAGTTTTGCTCAGGTGCGCGTCGCATCTCGAACATTTGTTGTATCGTTGTACCTGTATGCCAGATCGTTGCGGGGCAACGCCACAACCCACTTACTAGATTTGGTATGTACTAGATTCATGCGCGCAACTCAACTTACAAAAATCCAACTCCATTGCTCAATAATTCGTGTAAGTCCTCTCAATCATATTTCTGCCTCAAACTTCTTATACCTATTTTCATATACGTTAAGGCTTCACCGACAAATTTTACAGACATTAGGAGTCGTAGTTAGCTAATACATGCTCTCCAATATCGAAGCTAAAGGCGTACATACCTGGATGTAGTTAACGATAGATCTTCTCCAATACCCAAAAGTCTTATCAATTCTACTTCTAATCGATAATCAACCGTAACTAGGCGTAAGAAAAGATAAATTGGCCATAGAGCGTTAGGAGTCACTGCTATCAAAATATTTATTTCTATATGCTCAGTTTACCATTGCTGTTACTTTTATAAAATATATCATGGTGACATAATGTGGTTATAAGGACTTCGTAATACCAATAAGTACCTAACCTAGATATTAACAAAATAGAAGCTCCATAATTTTCATATATCTAGGTACTTCTTAACCATCAGTCTCGTACTTTGGTATGGAGACACGAGCCTCTAATGCTTTCGTAAAGTATAGGTATATTCTAGGTAACATCTCAACAAAGGGACAATTCTAGTATCAATACATTGAAGAAGTATATTGGTTCTTCGGTGGTTTGCAAATAAGTAGTTGATGAATGGAGGCCATCTGTAGTCATTTTCTTCCTAGTTAGCCTTGAGATTAACAACTAGTAACTACCTACATAGTTAATATGATCATGTACCAAGTATAAGTCTTCAAACGTCTACTATGCTTAGGCGGGTGCATCTGATTTGTAATTTATAGGATATGCAACCAAAATTAAAACCAATTGGGGTCTATATTCTAATAGATAGCCAAGAGAAGTTGAGTCATATTTTAAAAGATTGAGGCTCTTGATAAGCTATAAATAGACCTCATTTTTACCAATCTTGTCCTTACAGTAGTAGATACGCTACAGATTTATTATTAATATCGCCCCAAAGGAGGATGGGTTTCCACTATAACGTTGCCAATACCCCGTAGATTCTCCTATAGCAAATCATATGTCAAGTAGTAATGAATATCAAACTATTATATTTAAATATTCTATTTGGATACAACTTAGCATATATCATTTTACTTGTCATAAATTAATAGGACAAGTAGTATGCTACATAGCTATTATAGCAAGTACAATATGAATAGTTGGTAAATATTTCTCATGTCACTTAGACTTAGTAGAACCATGAGCAAATCTGCCTGCCCATCCAGATGCTTCAATACCGAAATCCAGCCCGTCATCTGCTCACCCACCCCCTTAATAGACCCAATTCCTCGGAAGTAGCACATTCGGCCCAATTCTTTCTTTTTGTTTCTGGCCTGATGACTGTAATATAAATCCTTCAGATCTTCCTTTCTCTACATCGGACCACCCGGCCAGAATGTTGAAGCTTGGCAATAGATGCGGGTGGCTGCATCTAAGTGGCATCTAGCATAAGCTCATGCAGAACATATGCAGATATATGTGGCTTCCGACCGTTGTTATTGAACAATAAATAGCATGGCGACACATTTGGCTTGAGCCTAGCCCGCTGAACACAATGGGGCGTAATCTAGTTCGCAATATTGTAGCGTAGGGGAAAGGCTGAGTGGCATTATATTGATACTATGTAGTATTACTATATATTTTTTACATTTCTTAAAGGAGTCGCAATAAAGAAATAAAGTTATCCGGAAGACGACTTGCACGGATGATCCTTGATTTAGGTAGATTTAGATAAGGTTGTAAGCCTCTCTTAGCTTGCCTCTTGTAGTAAACGAGGCGCTGGTCTATTGCGAAAATGGACTATCGATGTCGTACATGTTCATAGATAATGTATGCACTTTGTAGTTAATCGGTTTATGATGGATCTGAATCGGTGATTGAAGTGGTAAAAATGGTCGCTGTTAGTGGGGTTAAGGGCCATTTTGGGGGGAATGAAAAGCCACAAGCAGCATAAGTAAACTGAAAGAGCGCCTTTTTGCTACGTTTTAGCGTTTTAGCGCTAAAGAAGACGCTAAAAAGAGGAGACAGGAACTAGTCACCCCTAGCACCCCCAAAGTTTCTAGGGTCTATATGAGCTAACCATTGGTCATAATGATGACTACAGGGGTTCTATTAAATCCTAAAGGTCAAGGGTCTGGTTTGATACGAAACGTCTTTCGCTTTCGTCTCGTACCTTTTCTTCCCACATCTTCCCCCCCTGCTCAGGGTGAAATACTACATACCTTTTAAGTTCAAACAATTCCGAAGAGATGGCTATGTAGCAGATCATGTCTCGGTTGTTGCTTTCTTTGAATCCAATTTTCTATTTCTCTTATCGCTGGAATTGTTCAACTTCTGGCCTAATTTTTGATTTTGATTTTGGTCGATGGTACGGCCAATCGAGATATCAAGATACCCATATACCCATATACCCACGACGACCCCTGAGTTGCGAATGGCACAGCGGCGCTGATCGAAAAATCCCCGCAACGGGTCAACGAATCGCACTCAGCCTCAATTTGACTTAAACATAGTCGCAAGACGAAATCGTGAAGCTGTATATACTCTGGAGACGCATTGAGGCTTAGACCTCTATCATTATCCGTTAAAGGAAACTAAAGCGACCCGGTCGTGACCGCGGGGATCAACGCTCAAGCAGTCCACCCGAGCGGCGGACTCGTCAACCGCGACGATCATACCAAATGAGAATAACCGACTGCTAATTGTATCAACTCAAATGGCGTTCCCCCATCTTTCGCGAACAAATACGAGCCAATCTCTTTCCAATGGCGGTAGCGCAAATCATAACCATCGCACATCGCTTTCGTCCTTTCTGTCGTCGCGCTCGCCCTCGCAGATGTCTCATCATTCGCGTCCTCCACGATCTCCCCAGCCTCCAATGGTAAACAACGATCGGACGTCAGATCCTAGTTCGAAATCTAAGACTTCATCTCTTGGCAGCCAGACTGCCGAATCTTCACAGCATTCTTCTCTTTCACCGCCAAGGCGTCCTAATCCTAATGGCCAATCTCCTAGGAAACTACGTTCTCAGTATCCTCGCGAGTCTTCCGAGAACCATGTCGAGTATATCTTGGTTGCCTCCTTTGACATAGACCGAGGTCCTGTCATGGAGCACCAGTACCCTGTCGCGATAACCGGTGATGAAAATATGTTAGCAGAGCTTATGTTACCAGACCAAGTCCATTCGCGTACACAAGATTGGACTATCTTTTTCTTGCATAAGGACACGACCCAGGAGGATGACGACGAAGAGAAAAAAGATAAGGCAGAGCGACGGAAGAGGAGGAAACTAAAAAAGGACAGGGCCGCTGGGATCATAAACGGAGATGACGATACGAATGACGAACAAGACGAAGATGAGGAAGATGATGACTGGGACGACGATGAATCAACCGACTCGGAACCTGAAGGAGGAGAGGGTCCTCCATTAATATACGTATTAAACTTAGTTTATACGAGACACGACAAAAGCGTGAAGAGAGGTGCTGTAGTCAAAGCGATGGCTATATGTACGCGACACCCCTTTCTACACATATATAAGGTCAGCTATAGTGTCCCTTATGCCATTCCGTTCTACTTCTCTAACTATGATAGCCTCTCCTGTTGCTTGCGCTTGAAGAATATTATAAATCTCCTGTCCCGGAGACGCTGGCGTTGCTCTATGAAGCTGTCAATAATATGGATCTATCCCTGATGCCAAAGCTTAACTTGCTTGAAAGATACCTCTTGCAGGCTAGCAGTAATCAAGACTTATTCGTCGAAAAGTTTGAACGAATGATACAGAGGCGAATCGTTCAGGACAAAGCTGAGGGGGTTGGTGAGCCATTCGACGCAAGTAGGAGTCCTCCTAAGCCACAGGGCATATCTCGAGCTGGGACGAAAGCTCATCTCGAAGGCCAATCCGCGTACTCAGTTCCACGAGATACTCACGAATTCGAGAGCAAGGTCATGTATAAGGGCATTCCTATCCCTGTCAAGGTTCCAACAGCAATCATGCCAGAAACAGTTGGGGATTTTTCACTCATAAAACTCATCCAGACCTTTTCAGAGCCGCATGCAAAGTCGACACAACAATTTTCTATACATACTCACCTAACTACGAACGGCCCGGGAACCCATCCTATAATAGTACTTGCTAATGCACTTCTGACCCAGAAGAGGATAATTTTTGTTGGACATAATATGCCGTCAGGAGAGGTTGCAGAAGCTGTCCTGGCGGCATGCGCCCTTGCGTCTGGCGGTCTTCTGCGGGGATTCACTAGACATGCGTTCCCTTACACAGACCTTACCAAGGTTGACGATTTGCTAAAGGTTCCCGGCTTTATTGCTGGGGTTACGAACCCGACTTTTGAGCTGCATCCCGAATGGTGGGATCTTCTATGCGATCTCCAGACAGGGCGGATGAAGATTAGCGAGAAGATTGAACCTGCGCAAATCACCGAAGGACTTGTATACTTTCAACAGCAGAACCCGTCATTTGCGAACCTGCTTAGCGGCTCGTCTAATACGGCAACCACGGACTTTACCGGAGATGTAATATTCATGAATGACATACTCAAGAGCATAACAGCGAGACGCGGAGAACAAGTCATTCGAGCCAAGTGGAGAGATTGGGTCGTCAGATTTACCAGGATAGCCGCAGCCTTCGAAGAGACGGTGTATGGGGCTAGTGCTCTTTATATCGGAGGTGACGAGTTTGAAACTCTTACGGGGGGTCATGGGTACGTATGGGCGGACGAGGCCGCCAAGCAAAAGGAGCTTGCTGGTAACGTGTGTAGGATTGAGGGTTGGAGAAATACCCGAAGCTACTATAGTTACATCCAAGTGAGAAAGCCTTCATTAAACTGTCAATCCTTTCCAACTAACGCTTATTCTAGGACCTCGCCAAATTATATACTATTCGGCCCCTGAAAGGGATAGACCTGCATCATATGCACGACCGACTCCGGTCTCAACGTCTAACACCAGCACAGAGTAAAGAAATCTATGCGACGTTTGCCCAATACGTCCACTCGTATGACGAAATCAGCCTACTATTGTCGGTAGCACCCGAGTCCCACGCGGGACTCTTCTACATAGCCCTCGGGCTATTCCATAAGGACCGTGACGTTAGGATCCAGACATCGGAGCTCGTCGAACGTATCAGCGAACACGAAGCCGGCCACCACTGGTGGAAGGGGATGAGCCGGTTTGAAAAGCTCGCCTTCCACCGGATACGGCGGGAGGTGGATGCAGAAGTGAAGAGTAAGCTTGAGAAGGAGAACTTAAGCCCCGCCGAGAAGCGGAACAGTTAGAAGCAGAAGAGTAAAGTGGTTCAGACATAGCGATGCACTCGGAGCGAATTGTTATATTTTTTCTTGCCTGAAGATATCCGCGGCTTTAAATGTCAATATATACCAAGTAATCTGAACAAATAATTATGTTTGAATTCTTTAAGCAAGTCGATATTGAGGGTATATATTATATATTCCGAATTTTTACGAGTTCTCGTTGCTGTCATGACAGGCGAATTGCATCTTTGCTTAGGTAACTTAGATTCCTGTTATTGCCTTCTCCATTGGTTACCACTGTTGCTGGGGTCTCTGTTCCTTTTACATCACCCCAACCTGGTGAGTACAAAATTTAGAGAAGCATACACAATCTACCATCAGATTCCGAGTGTTACAACCATTCAAGGACAAATGCTCCTACGAGAGCAGGTGCTTCGCAGCATGTTCAACGTGGTCCCCGGCAAACGTCGACATGAAGAAGTAGGAGTGATCGTAATCCTACGCACACACCAGTTAGTCCAATTCCCATTCCCATTCCCACTCCTAAAACCCATCCAAGAATAAAAAAACAATCACAGAAGTAGAAAGAACTCACCGGCTGGTACCTCAACTCCAACCCCTTAACGCCCGCCTCCTTAACCGCCTTCTCAAAGTTCTCCGGCAACAGCTGGCCCTGCTTGTAAAAGTTATCCCCGGTGCCCACATCGACCAGGGCCTTGATATCCTTGCCCGCCCAGCCCTTGACCAGCTCCGTAGCATCGTGGGCCTTCCACGCCTCGCGGTCCGCGCCCAGGTATCCGGAGAAGGCCTTGTCGCCCCAGGGGCACTGGGACGGGTTGGCGATGGGCGCGAAGGCGCTGACGCTGCGGTACTTGCCGGGGTTCTTGAGGAACAGGGTTAGCGCGCCGTGGCCGCCCATGCTGTGGCCTGTGATGCTGACGCGCGCGGGGTCGAGAGACTCGGGGAACGCGGCGAAAAGCGCGGCCGGCAGCTCTGACGAGATGTACGATTCCATCCGGTAGTGCGCGCTCCACGGCGCCTGCGTCGCGTCCACGTAGAACCCCGCCCCCGCGCCGAAGTCCCAGCTCTCCGTCTCGCCGGGCAGGTTCGCGCCGCGCGGCGAGGTGTCGGGCCAGACTAGGGCGATGCCCTTGCGCGCCGCGTGCGCTTGGAAGAAGCCCTTCTCGGTGCAGTTTTGAGGTGTGCAGGTTAGACCGGATAGGTAGATTAGCACCGGAACCTTGGACCCGGAGACTGCGGTGGGAGGTAGGAATAGGTTCACGTCCATAGGGGTGCCTGTGCTGGAGGACTGGTGTTGCAGCTTGAGAAGCTTGCCGCCGAAATTGGCGATGGTGGCTTTGGTCTCGAAGGCCATTTTTGCGATTAGTCTAAATGCCACTATGTGATATGAATATTGAAGTCTGGAATATAAAGACACGATATGATGCCTTCTTAGTGAGTTAAATGTGTAAGTCAAAGACAGCGAGGAAACTAAGAGGAATATTTTTTTGATCTGTAAAGTCAATTAAGTCTAACGTTGTGATTATGCTTCCAATATGTACAGCGGTAATGAATTATGAATTATTACATGTATGATGCGATTGCTGCATCAATGGTAATGTGCTTTTGGTGCCCCCCCTCAAGCTCCTCCCCGGCAGTTTCGAATTATCAAGACGAAGAGGGGGAGAAAGCGAACCCCGCTGACGGGTCCTAGAGCAGGCCTATTTTTCTTTATCTACCCCACATTCTAAGCCGCTTGAGCGACGTCATTGGCAGCTTCTAATTTCAAAAAGAACCCGAATACCGATTAGACTCCGTCGCGGGCAGCCCGTTAATAAACGGGAAAAGTTAATCGAACTTCGCATTAGTGTTGGAGATTTGGAGATCAGGCTTGGAAATATTAACAACAGACGATTGTCTGCTTCATTAGCGCCATGCTGAGCTGCCAACATTTTCGAAAATCTTTTTTCGTGCGCCTATGCCTTCGTGGTTTGGTTGAGCGCGCATTCGAAAGATGTGATTAGAGTATCCCACTTTATGCTCGACAGATCCCATTTGATGGGGTTGTAGAAGGATACAGCACCGAAAGTGCAACCTGTTGGCGACGTGCAGATCTGATCGCAACGGCCTCTACATAGTGAGTTAGCTAATGTGCGCGATAATAATAAGGGAGAGAGATATTCTGCAACTTACACCTTAGGCCAGCAGTAGAAAGCATCGCCATCGGGAGCGAACGTCTTGGCGTTGTTGATAAGGCCGTCGGGGAGCTCGTGACAGTCGTGCATCGAGTAGACCTCATAGTGACATGTGCCCGTAGCATTGGCACCATTGCAGATCAAGACCTAGAGATTCGCGAGTTAGCAATCTACGTTAGTTATGCGCAATGCTACGCGGTGTGGGAAGAAGCGAGGGGTAGGAACTTACACCTCCGATTTCTCTCTTAGCCAGTTGCGGTGCCGGAAGGGCAGAGATGCAAGTCGCAGCTGCGATGAGACTTGTAATGATAGATGAGAACTGCATTATTGCGGGTGGATGGAATAATATTGCGATAATGTGTTTTGGCGAAGAAACTTTGGAGCGCAAGACAAATTTGTGTTGAATCAGAAAGGGTATTCGTGATTAGGTCGTGTATTGTTAGGAGCGATGGATATGTATATGAATGTAGACCTAGTGAAGGTGAACAAAGGAAGTGGCAAGTGGAGTTGTCTGTTTCCCTAGCTACTGCCGGTCCGTACGTTTATGAAGTCGCTTCTGCTATTCACCACGGATAACGGGGGGATAAAGTGGATAGGAAGGAATATATAAGTGAAGTAATGCTGCAGTAGTGGTAATATTGATCGACAATACAGCTTCGCTTAGGCAGGATTAAATCTTGAGTCCTAGATTTTGTATCTGAAATACCTATCTAGGGATATATGGATTAGGTTAGGTACCTAAGGTATGTGTGTAATAATTATATATTGTGAGTTAGGATAAGTTGTAAATTGTTCTTAGCCTCATTCCCGTTTGTCAACAACAAACACCATGTCTCGTTTACTTATATGCTAGTTATAATTACCTGTACGTAGGGAGTAGGTAATTAACCAAACGCCACTTTGTAATACATTATCATAAGAGATAGCATGTAAATCTGCAGCATGCTACATATCATGCTATGTAAGTAACTAGCGAATCGGCTATAATGCGCTCCATTGATCCTCGCGAGTATAAACTTGACAAGCGTAACGTACCAAGCAACATACCTAGACTTACACATGGTGGCGGTACATTGTCGCACAATTCTAACGGTACAGTCTTGAGAGAATTAAAAGCAAGACTTCGTATTCAGTGGTCATGTTATTAGTCTTAAAGGGGTAATTTTAGGACCCTTATGTGTGACGAACCTGACGAACGTAAGGAAAAATGCGGCTATTGCTGCATGAGCTGACATGCAGTCTTCAATCTTTTAAACGGTCAGCCGACGTCATAGGTCCGCTCCGCTGGTAAAATGTTACTACCTGTGCTGATTGGTCTGTCTATTTAGCGGGACGTAGCGGATGTGACCCTCGGCAGCCTTACATTAAATACGGAATAGTCACACCGCATTGGATATTTTATGCGGAATTCGATTCAATACGAAAGTTTACCGCTATTTTAAGCTCGCCTCTAGTATTCTAGGGATGAGCTGGCAACCTCTTCGGAATAGTCTAGACGAACTCGCTTAAATATATATATTGAATACAAGCGCGATTATCTATCATGAATAGGCTCGGGTAAATTGTAGTTGCATTTATAAATCTTATCAATGGGGACATAAAATCGCATCAATTGGGGGGGGGGGAGGTTTCGTTGGTTATTAGTTAGAATAACTATAACAACACCAACCCACAGCTGACGGTAGGTAGTCACCGGTCAGCCGGTGAACTCGGTGAGAGAACTTAACCGCATCTGGCAACATTTTTCTTGTCGGCGCACGTGGCTGTGGGATATCCGCTCACCGCTTACATCCTCCAATTGAGGCTGATAGGTACCTGTTTGCGGAAATGTTGATAACGGAGCCCACAGCCGTCATGCGAGGCAATTAGCTACCAAGTAACCAATTAAGCAGATATTAATTCCTCGACGCCGTGTACTCAGAAGTCTTATGCCTAGAGGAAGATTTGATATATTCCGAAAAGCAACCACTAACTCCGTGTTTTGCAAACTTCTCTAAATCATCTGACGATTCCTTCCCGCGTAGTCCTATCGGCTAACCCTATCTGTTGGAGGATCGTTCGAGATGCTAGAGTCGGTTCAATATACAAATTGCGAAAGACCGAGGGAGCTGATACCCGGACCCAGTTTACTGGAGCAGCTCTTCGCAGGACCAATCCTCATAGCTGTGAAATAATTAGCACCAACCAGTTATACTTCCAGAATGGAAATTTCAAGACGTACTAGCCATCGGGAAGATAACGGCGGACAATCAGAGGAATCTTCTTTTCGCGTAGCTCCTTGATAGCAATTTGGAGCGGATCTGACTCTCCTTCCAGATCTACGAGGACAGGAGCATTCATACTATACAATATCCAGTCAGCATCTGCTGGGTTTTGACCTTTGTCAATACTGATTTACCTGATCTGTAGTGCTCTGGTACCTAAAACACGGGCTCTCTCGTATTTCGTTAGGTATGGAGTGGTAGATCGCTCCTCGTTAGGAATCTTTTTGTCCTTGTTCAACTTTGTCGTAGACTTCGTTCGGTTTGCAGCAGCAGATGGATCGCCCGAGACGACAACGTTCTCCTCTTCATCTACGCCTCTTCGGGTGAATTCATCCTCCTCATTGTCGGGAACTTCGGGGTCGAGCTCATCGTCTATGGGCTCTTCATCCTCGAACATAGGCTCGTCCCTGCGACGCGTTAGAGCACTTGGCGCTTTGTATGTGCTAATAGCATAACTTACGCTCCACCGACATCCCCATCATCACCGTAGTCAGACATTTTGATTAATGAAAAATCACTTAATTAACTCTAAAGGAGAGCTTTGTATGCCTAAATATTAGTGTAGCTATGATGTTGGCTGACAAACCGCAGACGAGAACGCGATTTGGTAGATGCGATGCGAAAAATTTAGAAAAGCTGATAGGTAAAAGAATCAAGGCCAAGGATTGTTATGACTGCACGTCTACCGTCTAGCTATATAGAATTAACTAGAACTAGCGCTTTGACCATATTATTCATTCAGCTGCTTTCAGGTGGCTTAAATGCAAGTACGTACCTAGGTACCTAGCCTAGCTTTGCTCTTAGAGAAAACAGTTCCCCATAAAAACTTTTCTTATCGATATCATTATCGTCTCGATAAGCCGCTCGGCACAATATTTTCCTCAATTGACTCTCAAGGGTCCTGATTCAAGGACATGCAACTACAACTTGACAATTTACCTCTACAAGTATGGTGAATTGCAACTTGTTCCACTATGAAGAGGACTGCGATTGAGGAAGCCGATGATCCCAATGGGTCCAAGGTTAAGAGAAGTAGGGTTGCCGATCCTGATGGTAAGTTACTAATATATTATTCCTTAACTAATTCATTAACTAACTGCTGTTATTCTCTACTAGAATTCGACTTTGAGCTTGATGTTGACGATATTGGTTCCGAGGATGGATCACACTATGCCGGCACATCATCTACTATTCCCACAAACGATACCCCATTGACTCCTCTTTCCCCTGCGCGCAAGTTTCCTTCAGACCTCAAGACGATCAAATGTACGTTCCCCGATTGCGACAAGACGTTCAACCGCCCAGCTCGTCTTGCTGCCCACATGCGATCTCACAACAAGGAACGACCGTATAAGTGCCTATTTCTTGGTTGCGACAAAGATTATATTGAGGAGAAACACTTAAGACAGCATATCAAAGGTTCCCACACTGAAGAACGCGAACATCGCTGCGCCCAACCTGGTTGCGGCAAGAGTTTCATGACAGCTACTCGTTTGAGACGACACCAAGCTGTTCATGAGGGCCAAGAGAGATTCCGATGCCGAGACTTCCCGCCATGTAACCAGTCATTCCGTAAGCATCAGACTTTGCAACGTCACGTCCGCGCCGAGCATCTTCGTGTTTCTCCCTACCCTTGCGACTATAAAGATGGCATATCGGGAGATGCTTGTGGCGCAGGATTTGATAACGCTGGAGCTTTAAGACGCCACCAAGAGCGAGAACATGGTGAAATTCGCTTCTGGTGCGACGAATGCAGCACTCATCAGGAGAATACCGATGGTAATCAGCCCGAGAGAGTAGGATTCACCACAATGGCCCTATTACAAGCTCACATGAAACAAGATCATGTCAGCTGTATGTTCTGTGGAGTCCAATGTAACGGCAGGTCAGGTCTTGAACAGCATATTGACTCAGAGCACTCAAATCCTAAGAGTATCGAGGAACGAAAAAATGTTGCTTGCACGTGGCCGGGTTGCACTAAGACATTCACCAAGAAATCGAACCTTAATGTTCATATACGAAGCTTCCATGAGGGCTTGCGGTTCGTCTGTGGAGAGGTTGATCTTAGTGGCACAGAAGATTTGGGGCGCTGGTTACAATCCGATGGTTGCGGGGAGAGCTTCGTTACCAAAGCCAATCTGGAGAACCATGTCCGCTATATACATCTAAAGTATGAACGACCAGAGCAGCCTCAGGGAGTATCTAAGCCCAAGCAACGCGATCCTTCTGATATCCTCGAAGAGCTCACGGGGGTGGGAGAGAAGTCTAGACGGACATTGCCATGTACAATTTCCGGCTGTACCGCCAAATTCATACACAATGGCGAACTTGAGGCACACCTACAAAGTGAGCATATCATCGAGCATGCACTACAACAGCTGGCAGAGCCGGATGTAGACCCAATGCTGCCTATGGTATATGATGATATGATGCAAGGGGTAGGGAACTTGGAAGAGGCGGATGGTAGGAACGGTGAATTCTGGATTGGGGCTGATACTGGTCTGGAGGGTTCAATGGCACCGAGGTTTGATGAGGAATGGTTTCACGACGAGGCCGAAATGAGACAGCTCATCCAGCCTAGTGATTTGGATGGCTTGATCGACCCGGCGTTAAATGATTCGTAGTAAGGATCACGGGATACGGAGAAAAGTTATGATACCCTTTGCTTTATGAACGAGGAATGAACTAGATTTGGCGTCCTGTATTACGAACAAGATATGAATAAGATAAATTATTGACATGGTATTGTCCTGAAGTAATGGGAATTATTTTGCTTATTTTTATTCGTATTGACATTCCTTTTTTTGTTTCTCATTGATATTCTACTAAATCTTTACCGAAGGTCTAGATTTCACCCAAGAAAATAGGGAAACTCAACATAGATGTAGATTTGGTATGGAGATACTTCATACATGCTTAAGTAATCCATATCTTAGACCCATAAAAAAAGGAATATCTTCGATACCCTATCAACCGTATCCTATCAACTTGATTAATTAACTCTAAGCCGTTGTTGCTATGCTCCATACAACAACGTACACACATATCATGGATTGGTTCCTACAACGAGCTCGTCTTTGTCCTTGATATCGAGCGAAGAGACTCCGAGACAATAAAAAAGGAGAAAGTTGTATTTCCGGAGCACAATGGAGTCACCGCCGGATAGGTAAGTTTGCTTTCTGTTCTAGCAACTGTCGAACCTCTATTTCAAAGCAATCACCGCCGTGATACTATCTGAACCGGCTTCTTATCCGACGTTCCCCGTCGCTTTAGCTGCTATTAGTAGAACATCTTAGTCCTCGGCGCGCCATCATGTCACTTACTACTCCGCTGCCGACTGTGTCAGAGACGCCTACGCCAACACCCACGCCGACGCCTGTTACACCCGTGCTCGGCGGGTTTGCCCCTCTGCATGGTCACGACGAGGACGATGTGTCGTGGGCCACGGGCTTTAACACGCGCCAACGCTCCATTGCAAAACTTGCTTCGATTAACACGCGCGCAAATGCTGACAATCTGCTTCCGCTCCTTAGTCCCGTTGCGCAGAGCGTCCAGGCGTCGCCCGAACGGGCTTACTTCCCCGCGGGGCCCAAGTCCCTCGAGGGCATTGCGATTCGCTCCTTTTGCCTCGGGATAGCGCTCGCCTTGTCCACAGTCGCTATGATTTCGATCTTGGTCTTTACATCCTCGCCGCTGTGGCGCGTGCCTTTCTTTATCGGCGCGCTGGCGACGTTCCATTTCCTCGAGTTCTGGACCACCGCCAGGTACAATACTCCGGTTGCGAATATCGGCTCGTTCTTGTTAACGGCGAATTGGCCGGCTTATGCTATTGCGCATACGGCGGCGTCGCTTGAATGTCTCTTTACTAAGCTACTGTTCCCGAATCGAAATTGGGCACCGCTCTATAGTGGACATATCATCTTGCTGTTAGGATTCATACTGGTGTTTGTGGGACAGTTCGCCCGCAGCGCGGCGATGGGCCAGGCGGGCCAGTCGTTTAATCATACTATTCAACAGCGCAAGAAGGACTCTCATACCCTTGTTACCTCGGGTATTTACTCATTTTTACGCCATCCGGCGTACTTTGGGTTTTTCTACTGGAGCATAGGGACGCAAATGGTTCTGGGAAACCCTATTTGCTTTATAGGCTACACGGTTGTTCTATGGAAGTTCTTTTCTAGTAGAGTAAAGCATGAAGAGGCACTGCTCGTTCGTTTCTTTGGAGAGGAATATATAAATTATAAGAGCAGAGTTGGAACCATGATACCATTTGTCGGGACCTGAGTGGTCTACCATGGGGATGGTGTTCGGGCTGGTACCTATAGGTAGATGTATAGAAGTATAATTCATGAATACCTACATAAAGGTCTTTTCTAGGACAATTTTAAGACAAGTTTGGTGGAATAATTTGTAGGCAAAGAAAAAACAAGAATACCTACTTAATGTACATAGAGAGTGAGATGTGACAACTTCATTGCGAGTAAATGCTTTGTCTCAGTGGTTAATACAGTTGAGTATAGTTTTAGCCAGGTACAAAAGAACCCGGTCTATCATAAGCCGGACACGCCACATTTATTAATATCCTATCGATAAGGTCTGGGAGACCCACCGGTACGTAGCCACTCGAAATTTAGAAGGCCACGATTCAAGACGGGTTATGCAATTCCTTTGGACAGCTTGCCTTGACTAACGATTCTAAATTTAACCAATCTAATTCAACAACTCTAACACAACAAGTTCTCTCTCTTTCCCTTCGACAATTTCTTGACAAAAGACAATTCCAGACGAAGCATATTTTGAGGTCCTTAACGAATTTGCTTTAAAGTCCCTGTTATAGGGCTCATCTGCACCATGAGTTCAGAGTATTCTTACGACGAACAAGGGCAATTCTACCCTTTCTTCGTATTCACTCTAACTTCTATCGTCACACTACCTCTCACATATAGCCTTCTCGCTCCGAGCAAAGACCCTGCCGCACTTGCACCACGGACAAAGACTACATACCAACCAGAACATGCCGACCTTATTCAAGCGCAGCGCGCGGCCCAGAAGCGAAAGCAGCGCAAAGTCAAGCGCGGCATTGCTGCTCTAATAGGATGGACCCTCATGGCCGGAATGTTATACCTAATCATTACTACCCAACGAACGACAGCTAAGATATGGAATCCCTATGATATCCTGGGAGTTTCTGAGGTATGTATTTGCACATTGCGCATTTCCAGTATTTGTATGTATTAATAAAGTTTATTCCAGTCGGCATCCGAAAAACAGATCAAATCTCACTACAGAAAGCTCGGTCTCAAATATCACCCGGACAAGGCCAGGCCAGACCCAGCTAAAAATGAGACTGCTGAGACATTAAGCGATAAATGGGTTGATCTTACGAAGGCATATCAAGCACTCACGGACGAGGATGTTCGCAACAATTACATCCAATATGGACACCCCGATGGCAAGCAAAGCTACAGCATTGGAATTGCCCTCCCCCAGTTCATCATATCCGAAGGGAATGGTAAATACGTCGTGCTGGTGTACGCTTTACTTCTCGGAGTTCTGTTACCTTACTACGTCGGATCCTGGTGGTACGGTACCCAACGTATAACCAAAGAGGGAGTCCAAGTCGAGAGCGCCAATAACCTATTCCGCGAGTACTCCGAGGCTATGGACGAGGGGGACCTTGTGACTGCTCTTAGCTGTGGTAAGGAATTCCAGGATGCGCTCAAGGGAGATAAGGCCGAATCCGGTCTCGCGAAAATCGAATCGAGGATACTGGCAGAAGGGGAAATCACCCCCTTTGCAGGCGGATTATCAGTCAAGGACAAAGAGAAGCTAGAGGATCTCGACAGCGGAGTAAGGAGAAAGGTTCTAGCACTTCTATGGGCTTACCTTGGCCGTGTAGAGCTCGACGACCCAGCTTTGAATAGTGCGAAGTATATGGTTGCGCCGATTGCGCAGAGCCTCTGCGGTTCCTTCAGAGTGATCTCACTCGCATATGGCAACATTATTCCTATCCTTTCCTCATTCTACGTTAGCCAACGACTCATCCAAGCTGTCCCCCCGAAGGCATCTCCTCTGTTCCAGCTTCCCCACTTTACACCAACTGTGGTGAAAGCCGTTGAAGGCGACTCGAAAACGCATGTTACTGTTCAGGAATTTATGGATCAACCCGACTCGCAGCGCAGAAGTGCTATAGTCGGAGAAGGACTTCTAAACGAAGAGCAGTATAAGACAGCGGTCGGTGTCGCACAACAGCTTCCCTACCTTAGAATCGCAAAGGCATTCTTCAAGGTTGCTGGCGAACGGTTTATTATTCCCTCATCTTTGGTCACTCTCGTTGTGAAAGGTCGATTTATTCCTCCTGGGAGCACAAACGTTCCGGAGATCGATGAGCTTGATTTAGAGGATGTCGATGCTGCCGAGGATGATCTTGACGCACTTATGGGACGCAAAAAAGCAGTAAAGGACGCAAATGGAAAGATAATCTCAAAGGAAGACAACAAACCCGTATCACCACCCATTGCATTTGCTCCTCACTATTCCCGTGATCATTCACCGAAATGGAACATCTTTCTCTCGGATAGCAAACAGGGAAAGATGGCCGTACAGCCTTTTCCCTTCACTACATTCGACATGCCTATATTCACAGATGACGGAAAGCCGACATACCACATGCAGACGTTGAAGGCCCAGTTCGCCGCTCCTCCTCAAGCTGGTACTTACACATTTGTCATGCACGTTGTGTGCGACAGCTACATTGGGTTTGACACGAAGATGGAGGTTACCCTTAACGTCGAGGATGCCAGCAAGGCGGCTGCAATGGCTGGAGAGGACGAAATTAGTGAGCCGGAAGAAGGTAAGCTTTCTACTTTAACGTCTATTTATATCGTATTCTAACATAAATCCAGATTCTCTTGCCGGGCAGATGAGCGCACTCAAGGGCGGTAGCGTTGCAGGCGCCACAAAGCCGAAGAGGCGGAAAGACGACGACAACTCAGATGAGGAGAGCGGCACCGAAGAGGAAGAAGACAGCACTAGCGAGACAAACACTGATACCGAACCCGAGTCGTAGGATGTCGAGTTTCCGGTGACAGACGACGAAAATAGTAGTAGTGAGGAGGAATACGATAGCACCAGCGAAGCAAGCACTAACACCGAGATTTCAGTAGAACCGGTCGTGTATTGAAACCCTTAATCAGGCGTACTATTTCCCCTCCCTCCCTCCCCCCTTAATCAGACCGCGGTGTCTGATACTGATGGCTGTATCTCGATCGAGATAGTAGCGTACATGTATAGTTAGTTAGTTAGTTAGTTGGTTCTTTGTGCGGGAAAAGCGCGCACGCCGCAGCGGCATAGGATCGGCGTCGTGGCGTTGTAGGGAGACAGGCGCCTCTGCGATAGGGCGTATATACTAGAGAAAGCAAGCCCGCGCGCTGCGCAGATGAAAGTTTAAGATCAGATATCATGTTCGTTCGTATGCTTGTTGCTCTTTGCGTTGTAGGTGGATTTATGTTACGTGATTTGTGTTGTGCTTGTGAGAATGGGAATAGGGGGGTCGTGATTGGATGTTGGCTAAGGGGGAGGAATATTGTATACCAGGCTTGCAACGTACGCATGTCTAAGTTGTTTTTCTAGCCTGCATACCTTAGGTACCTACCTGGCCTATGTTTTTATAATGTCTACTAAATAAGCATCATACGCAATGTTGAAGCTGAAAACGGGCTGGGCGCTTTCTCGAGACTAGGTACTCATTCTTCTTGCCCCCTATAGCAATAATACTATCGTCAAGGCATATACAGACAGATCCTTAATAATAACAACACTTTATATACCACGTTAATCATCCCCCTATCTCAGGCTGCTCACCACATAGAACCTTCGAGAACCAAGCCCATCGTAGGTGTCTACTTTATAATATATTCAATTCCATCTCCGAAGCCTTTATACGAGGCACACGCTACACATACACAGATAATTAACACACCAGTAACCCATTACCTAAGACGGTGTTTGGGTCTGCCGTGTCCCAAACACTAACCTCGTATCCTATCTCGTGTAGTCACGAGAAGGACAGTATTAATATACAATGGAGCATCATCTCCTTTCCTCACTTCGTACCACCATTACTGCCCGTAAAGTAGCTCGTCAAACACCATATTTCACGACCATTAAACCTCCATCATGGGGTACCTATCCATCCATCCATCACTCACTAACAAACTCTAACACCACAAACTTCAACCCCCTTCCCCTCAACATAGGCCCTACGACCAAAATACGCCGCCACAGCCGCCGTCACAAACGCCGAATCCGCAGCGCTCCACACATCGAGGCCCATACGCGCGACATCTTCGCTGCTTACGCGCACGCCCCGGCCCTCCGCGCCGTCGTCGTCGTCGATTAACGCGGCAGTACCATCGTCATCGTCCTCGTCCCTAGAACCGTCTTCCCCGTCGTCTTCATCGCTCTCGACAACGTCCGCTAGCGTACCGAGGACCTGCATCGTAAGCCGGTGGAAATACGCGATAAGGGCGAGTTCTGTGCGCGCCTCGCTGGGGTCGGCAGGCGGTAGTGAGGCGACTGATGCGGATAGTAGGGGAGCCTCCATTCGGACTGCGGAAGGGGAAGATGGTGAGCCAACCATGTCGGCGAGGAGCTCGGCGTCGCGGGCTGATTCCTCGGCTCTTTCTGTGAGGGCTTGCTCGCCGGCCGAGGCCCACCACATGAAGCCATTGTAGGCAAGGGCAGTCCAGCTGAGGGGCTCGACAACCTCCTTCTCCTCTGCGTCATCAAAAAACGGGTCATTAGTTGCAGCAGGGTCTCGAGGCGTGGTGGGCGACGCGCCAGGACTAAGTTGTGAGGATAGCCGGGCCAGTCCGGCCTCGAGAGAGCGGAAGCGTCGCAGGTCCCGCTGCGAGGCGCGGATGGGAATACCGCCCGGCCCTTCGATCTTAGGCCAGATGCGTCGTACTGCTTTCGTGGAGTGCGGAGCTGGTAAGGTGATGAGGACGTCCCAGAGCGTATCTTTCATGGCGAGGATACTGTCGGTCGTACAAGCTACCCAACCCGTTCCAGCCTCATGATCGCCGTCTGGGGACTCGTCACTATTGCGTCTAGGTTTAGAATCCTCAACGAGGAAAGGGATATCGTGGACGCCAATGGAGAAGAGGGGTCGTAAGCGGTGGGGAGGCGAGCTAGGGGATAAGAGGTCGAATATTGGTTGTGGGATGTTGGATAGGATAGATATGTCGTAGACTGGTATCATTGTTAGCAGACTAATAAGGTAGGTAGTTAATGCTAATACATGATTAGACTAACCGAAATTGCAAGCTTCTTGAACGGGTGCATGGCATGATATTAGAATGCGCTTGCGCAGTAACGCAGCACGGTATATTGGAAATATAAGAGGCCCAAATGTGTCTAAGAGCTTTGTCAAGCTCCAGGCGGGATGGTATGCGGAGAGTCTATGACCAGGCGGTAGTAAAGCTGCCCCATCAGAGGCCGAACGATTCCTAACGTGGCTCTGAGGTTGCTTCGGCGGGGGTTGAAAGGAAATAGATGGTGACTCGACAGATTCGACCGGCGCAACTGATTCTTCCTTGGCCTGATGCTTCTGCCAGTATTCCTCCAATATACTGATATCCTTGCTACTTGTAGCAAATGTCGATGCCATTGTCTTTAAGCCCTCAGCATGTCTCCAAGCTCTTCCCAACCGACCATAACTCAGCGGCACCAGCACGCCCACCGCCAGCATCCTCGCATTACGCACTTCGCTATCCTCAACAGGCGCATTGACGAACGCACTCAACCCCGCATATCCATCATGCACGAAGTAGATCAGGTCCTCCGAAACGGTATGTAGTCCCGAAGGTAGGGACTTGTACTCGACGACACCCTCGAGCTCTACTCCAGGTATAGAATCCTTCCACGAGATGGTATACCCAGCCTTGACGTCGAAGTCGATTAGAAATAGGGCGGATATGGGAGGTAATTCGGGGGTCGCAACGTTCTGGGTCGAGGGAAGGCGGACCTGCAGCTCAGGCTGGCCGCGGCGGGATGCCGCCATGATTTACTTTGGTTTGGGCCCCTCGTGTGGTATATATTTATTAGAAATTTGGAATTTGGTATTCTTTAATTCAAGATACACAATTGGGTTTGGTGTCCGTTACGTGGTTGGTGAGTTACTAAGGTGAGTTACTAATTGTTAGGTTGCGGTTCCAGGTTCCATCAATGGGGCGTTGATTTGATAGAATGACGCTATGGCCAGACCCCTGTGGGGGAAGAGTGCGGAAGGGTACATGGTGTGCACTCTAGCACTGTATGTACGTAGGTACCTAACATACAACTCTAGTAATAAGGTTGTTACCATAAAGGGTTACACGTGATTTCTTTAGGACTATCTAGGTACCTAAATGCATATGTGAAGCAAACATGGGTTTACAATTCTCTTTTGTGCTATACTATTAAATATTATGGATGGAGAGGCACGTCTAACTTGGCCTTAAAGCTACCGACCGTAGCCATTTATAAACCAGCTAACAATGTTATTCTGTTTGCCGGTTTCTGATGAGTCCCGCTGATTCGGCGGGGGACGACGCACTCATGACATCAGCATTGTTGCTTTATATCGAGTTGAGGTTGAATGCAACTCTATAAGTATTAGTATGTGTATAATAATATATAGAAATGAATAGGTAATCTCTACGTATATTATCATCAAGCTTAGTTGTAGTATTTATACTCATTGTTCTAGTATGGAAAGGATATCACTTATACAAGCTAGTTAAACCACCAAGATAAGTCAACTCCATTATAAGTCTACAACCTACCATCCGTCCCTACCAATAGCATCATACAAGACCATGGCGACAAATCCACACGTCCCTGGTGGCCCTGTCCCAACCGAGGACACGATCCTTGAGACCGGCGCATCCATGATCCAAGACTTCCAACCAACGAAGCAACTCTGCGCCCACCTAAACGCCTTTCACACATACGCCGATGAGCCAGGCCGCTACGTAGAAGCGAATCACTACTGCGCTCATCTAACCGAAGGTGGGTACCTAGACTATGAATACCTCTATATCCAGCCCATCCCATCTTATCCTAACACCCCCAGATGTCCGGCAATGCATCCTCTACGATAGTCCAGAGCCGAACGCCCGGCTTATAGGTATCGAGTACATGATCACGCCCAAGCTGTACGAGACCCTACCCGCCGAGGAGCGGAAGCTATGGCACTCGCACGTCTACGAGGTAAAATCCGGCATGCTAATCATGCCGGGGCCGACAACCGTGCTTGGCGCGCAGCAAGTCTGGGAGGCTGCCGAGACGCAGGAGATGAAGCATGTTATCGGGTTATACGGCAAAGTCTACCACTTATGGCAGACGGACCGGGGAGATGCTCTCCCGCTTGGCGAGCCTAAACTGATGACTAGTTTCACAGCTGACGGTCAGTTCGATTTTGAGAAGGTGGTAGGAGATCGCGATAGGAGATTCGGTTCCGATTGGAAGCGGAAGAAGGAGCTGAGGAAGGACATTGAAGTACCCAAGATCCATCCGGACGCCGATTCGGCTTGGAAGAGACGTAATTCGATGTAGATCCTGGAGCTGGAAAGGGGGAGAGACAACATGTAAAACATAAAATTGCACCAACCATAAATTCTCACCTATCAGTCACATTAACAATACTTTATGGGAGCATCTAGCAGAGAAGCTAATCTCAAGGTTTATTTCGCAATTACGCGATGTGTGTAGGTGTTCTAATTAATACTACGTACTCGTTCTCGGCATTACCGCGCCTCCCAGTGGTGCAATTGGATCCAGAGGGTATAATTAGCTTACACTAATTAGGATAACAAGTAGTATGCAACCCATGCTGAGGTCAACAGTGGGTATAGATATTCCGTTGACGTGCCGTAATGCCGGATCGCTGATGCCGGAAAGTTGTCAAGGCTTCTTCCGTAAACTCCGACGGCATGGGCCAATGCCTTTGTGTTTTGTAACAAGGTTGTCATATTGATATTCTGTATGTTATCGTCTCTCTCGTGATAGTTTGCGTCGTATGGAACCCCGGCGTCACCTCCGAACATACCGACCTCCTTCCATGTCTTTAATCCGTTGGCGCCGCTGAAAAGACCTGCAAAAGGGATTTTGGCATCAAAAAATGTGGCGTAGTCGCTGCGGTTGCTGATCTCGGTCCTTGTGAAGTTGACGCCCTGAGCCTCGAACCCCTGTGTTAGAGTTATCTCGGCTTCTCCTGAGCCATGCGGTCCAGGCGTCCCGAAAGAGGAACCATGCCCATCATATACCTTGAGGGCGCCATTGGGTGAGCCAAGCATGTTGGCATCGAGGTAAAGGCGTATCTTCTGAAGCTCCTCCTTGTGGGCAGTATACATCCAATGTTTGGAGCCTAGCAAGCATGGTTCTGAGGCTGTCCAAAAGGCGAACTTAACTGTCGAGTTCGTTTTGAACCTCGAAAGCTGTGTGGCTATTTCCAGAAGACTGGCTACACCACTGGCATTGTCGTTGATGCCTGCGCTTGAACTGACTGAATCAGTATGCGTACCAACCAACAACATCTTGTCCTTGTTTCCATATTCCTAGGTTGCAAACACGTTGTAGCTTTTCGAAGTTAGTATGAAAACATAATACACCAGTTCAGCGGTACAAACCTAGAGACCTCCTTGTACTGCATATAAATGTCAAAAATGTTAACGGATAGGGGAAGTCTATGTGCCATTATGCGTTCGGCATCTCTGTAAGCTATTTTTGCCGATGGGATATGACGATCATTAAGCCCGCCTAAGCTTGGAGTGAGTTGCGTGAACTCATACATTAAGAGGCCTATGGCTCCAGCTTCACCCGCGGCTATTGACTTGTCAGAGAGAGAACAGCCGCCTGCACCGACCATCACGACCGACTCTAAAGCCTCTTGTGGATAGTCAGCCTAATGATATTAGCAATAGTCGTCAAATAAGTTATTAATCTACTTACAGCTTTGCATCCTACCCCATCAACGGCTACGAGGGGGCGTTCAGTAAAAGCGCATTCGGGAGACCATCCCATCGGCTCAACATCGAAAGCTTCACCGTTCGCCCACAAGGTAGCTTTGCCGTTGATCTGTATCAAATCGTGGAAGGGCTGGACCTCCACGTAGTAACCCTGGGACTTCATGTGATCTTGAATATACTGGACGCCAGATTAGTACCCACATATATGTGTATAGCTAACATGTGTACCTGTATAGTTTGGTTGTGGCCAGCAGAGCCAGTTATTCTGCTCCCATGGTGTACGTCTGCGATCTTTTGCAATGCCTTTAAATGCTCGTGGAGGGCAGTCGAGTTTATAAGGACAGGAAGTGTCTGTATTCCTTTGTTAGTTCCACGGTCTGTCTCAACGAAATAGTATTTAGCATTATACCTCCGAGACCAAGACACCATCGCATTTATCTATGGTCGCCTCGGCTATAGGTAGAGAAGCGAGTAAAGCTGAAGCCACGCAACTTCGTAGGAGAATAGTTAGTTTCATCGTAAAGGTGTTGTAGTAAATTCGGCCTAATGCCGAACGGATAGAGCAGCAAGAATAAAGTAGTAATGCAGCTAGCTATAGACAGTGTTTGATAATAAACTATTAAGATGATAATAGTACGCGGGATTCGAATTAATGAAACCTGTGTGTCTATAGCTCACATTTCCAAAAGTGTATAATGCTAAAGAATAAAATATTGATTCAGATGTTTTGGATGTTAATTATTCACCTGTTAAGTTATATTATGATGTCCACTTCTCCTTCCCCTACATCTTTTATGGGAGAAGTAGAAGGTTCCTTCGGAAGTACACATTAAGGAGCCTATGGAAGGCACATGCGTCGTCTTTTGAATAAGGCGGAAATGTCGACTTTACAGGTAGTATTAGAAACTTATTACAGCAAGACAGAAGACATCATTTGAAGCTATGGATAACATACCTCCCAAGACCACTCCTTTATATAGAGGCGACACTCCAGGACACCTCTATTATTTTTAGGTATACTATCTACGAGTCAATTAATTATGTAGAATACCTATGCAAATATGTATTAGGTTCGCTCCGTCATGGTACTTACAAGTTGGGTTACATACTGCATAGGTAGGCATAGTTTTACCCCTATTACCTAGGTACGTACCCAGGATGCAACTTTGAGACTTCAACAATTTCTCATCCGCTGGGTTAGGCATCTAATGGAAAGCCGCTTGTTAGAACTAATTGTAAAATGTTTACTTGGTTGGGGACAACATCCATTTGCTGTAGTATGACTTCTTTATTCGTCATAGTTCTCCCGCAGGAACACAATTACCTAAGTTACTAGAGACTACGTTGTTGTCTTAAACCGGCTTCAACTTTAGTTACTTCATTTAAAGTCTCCAAATCCTCGCGGGGTCGACAGGCTCCCCGCACCTGAGGATTAGACGATGCTCTTTTTGGCATTGAACGACCTGGGAATATCTGCCGAGCCCAGCTTCAGAGACTAGCTATAGTCTGGTCCCATGACACAGCTCTTACCAAGATGGCCCTTCGGAACAGGGGTCTTCATGAGCTCAATCTGGAGGGACATATATACTTGGATAAATATCAAGCCGAGTCAGGGCCAGATACAAATCCTCTTGTGCATGTGCGTCCAAGTATAATCCAGATTGAACTTCACCTTTAGACACTATGGGATCTGAACTAGCAGAGCTGAAGGAGCAGGTGGCTCTCCTCCGAAATGAGGTTTCGCGCATCTCAGACGAAGCTGAAGTGCGAAAGACTCACTTCAAATATGGCTACTATCTTGATAAGTGCCTATATAATGAGGTAGGTGAAAATTGACTATATTCTATGTTATTTTTACTAACCGACATGGGTTCAGGTTGTGGATATGTACGCGGATCATCCAGATACTTATGTGGAATTCCTTGGGTCACGATATAGAGGAAAAGAAGGCGTTAAAAGACTCTACAATGGTCGTTTTCAACAGAGCTTCGTTAATGGACGTAACGGCCCAGTCCGCGGTTTTCTGCTGGACCACATTATGATGCAAGATATTGTCGATGTCGACCCTAGCGGAACACATGCCTGGTGCAGAATGCGCGCTCTGATGCAGGCCGGAACGCATAAATCCGTCAAGGAGACTCATCCACGCGGACACGTTCAATGGTGGGAAGGTGGCCTATATGAGAACGAGTATATCAAAGAGAACGGTGTCTGGAAGTTATTCCGATATCGATACTTCCCATTTTGGCATGCTGAACATGAGAAGGGCTGGTCTCTAACCAAGGAAAACTACATCCCATGGCCCAGCAAGACTTACCCCGAGGATCCCTTAGGTCCTGACGAGATCATCGAGCAGAAGATGCTCTGGCCTGACACGCGCGTGGTGCCCTTCCACTACCCGCATCCGGTGACGGGAAAGAAGATCGAGGACGACGATCTTCGCGCGCCGCACTTTGGTAAGGATGCAAGCACGTCCGAGGCACCGCTCACTCTAGCACTGCCGGAGGGGCAGACTCGGCCTGGAGCGGGGAAGACCTGGACGAGCGAGGGCTCGGTGAGGGTTCTGCCTGATCTAGTTCAGAATGTGTAGTGCTGGGTTGCAATATATAGCCTAAAGGGGAATAGGGGGTCGTCTGGAATCTGGGGTAAAGAGTCTCTACATATAATCGACCCCACTTCCCCAACGCCGAGATCCATGGTAGACACGAGCCTATAGTTACATACGCGAAGATGTTCTATTTAAACGTATTTTCATATGCCTATTTTGGAGTCGTGGTATAACTGCCGACTGAGTGAAGATCGTGCCAGCTTCTCCACACCTTAAACAGTCTAGTTAGTTTAACTATACCACGTTGTCATCGGGTTATTCGACACGACCGGTACCTCTAACCGGCTCCGTCTGTAAGCCAAAATGGGTTGTCTATGTTGTATTTCACATGGGAATCATAACATCTCCGAGCGAGGTTCTCCAACCCAATAGTATTTTCACAATTACTAACGAGATAGTTGCAAACTATGGCGCATCTTGAAGCTATCGCCTCCGAGGTATCGTTGTATCCGTATAGCAATGGGAAGAGGACAGGTAGTCGGGTTAAATTCCCAGACACGGCAGCATTCTCGTCAATGAACAAACCCTCGCGTTTTGAGGGAGACATTACCAATCTTGAAGTTACAGGCGAGATCCCTCGTGATATCAACGGGACGTTCTATCGTGTACAACCGGTGAGTGGAAAGTGTCAGAACATACGCGGATTGTAATAAAACTTTCTAATAAGGGTGTAGGATCATCGATTTCCGCCAATATTTGAAGATGATATTCATTTCGTAAGTTGACTCGTAGCTTACCTTAATAGCTCCGTCGCTGATCCCAAGCTCAATAGAATGGTGATGGTACGTCAAGAGAAAAGGGGTCATTTAGACTCTAACTTACTGAATGGCGGAAATAAACAGGTAGCGTCACAGCTATCCGCATTAAAGACGGACACGCCGACTTTAAACAGCGGTATGTGCGGACAGACAAGTTTCTAAAGGAGGAAGAGGCACGGCAGAGCCTATTTGGTCGGTACCGGAATCCGTACACAGACAACGAAAGCGTCAAGGGCGTGATCCGCACTGTCAGTAATACTAACGTCACATTCTGGCGAGGCATGCTCCTAGCAAGCAAGGAGGACGGCCCGCCATTCGCCATGGACCCCGTCACGCTGGAGACCATCGGAAGATACGACTTCGAGGGCCAGATCACGGCTCCGACGTTTACTGCGCACCCCAAGTTCGACCCGGACACCGGCGAGATGCTATGTTTTGCGTACGAGGCCGGAACTGATGGTTCTGATTGTGAAGCCGATGTCGTGACTTGGACTATTAACGCCGACGGCCAAAAGACCGAGGAATTGTGGTTCAAGGCGCCATTCGCCGGCATGATACACGACTGTGGTGTCTCGAAGAATTACACGGTGCTCCCGCTCACGCCGCTCAAGATGTCTCTTGAGCGCCTTAAGGCCGGCGGAAATAAATTCGCGTGGGACCCGAATGAGGACCAGGTTTACGGGATCGTGCCAAGGCGCGGCGGCAAGCCGGAGGATGTGAAGTGGTTCCGAGCTGACAACGGTAAGTACCTCCTAACTATGCTTCCGGTCAGGAACTTGCCTAGCCGAAGTGAATCCTCTTGCAACCTGCATGTCACACTCAGTCGAGAAACCATCTAACATCGCCATCCAGGATTCCACGGGCACGTCGCCGGGTGCTACGAGAACGAAGACGGACACATCGTCTTCGACCTCACAGTCGCCGACGGCAACGTATTCTTCTGGTTCCCTCCGGACGGCGAGAAACCCGATCTACCAGGGCGACAGCGCCTAAGCAGCCCAACATGCCGATGGGTCTTCGACCCTCAAGCCAAGTCCGGCACGCGCGTCAAGGCGTCCGTCGAATGGACCACGAACGGCGAGTTCTCGCGCATCGACGACCGCTACGTAACCAAGAAGTACGAGCACTTCTGGCAGCTGCGCGTGGACCCCGCGCGGCCGTACGACTTCGCGCGCTGCGGGCCCCCCGCCGGCGGCCTGTTCAACTGCATGGCGCACTACACATGGGACGCCGGCTCAGGCGACAAGCCCGGCAAAGAAGACGTGTATTTCGCCGGCCCGACCGCGACGTTCCAGGAGCCGGTGTTCATCCCCAGGGACGGCGGCAGCGAGGGCGAGGGGTACCTAGCCGCGCTGAAGAACAACCTCGACGAGCTGCGCAACGACGTGGTCATCTGGGACGCGCTGGACTTGGCTAAGGGGCCGCTGGCCACGCTGCACTTGCCGCTGCGGCTGCGGCTCGGGTTCCATGGCAATTTCGTGGATCATCGCGATATCGAGGCGTGGCAGGAGCGTCGGAGGGGAGAGCTGGGACCTGTGCTGCCGGCGAAGGAGCCGCTGCCGTGGCAGAAGGCGTTTGTGGCGAATGGGGATCGTGGGAATGGTGCGACGAATGGTCATGGGTCTTCGTAGGGCTTTTGGTGTAGTTATACATATGTACTTGTTACAACAAAGTGAAGCTTTCTTATGGCCGTATATTATATATCAGTTTGGATGTCAAGATGTTTCTTGGGTGGTATTAATCGAGTGATGCTACGTTGGGCACATAATCTCTTTAGGTGCTAATTGGATACCTGGGTATAGTACAAGACCCGTTGAACATCATTGGTCAGAGTTACCCATCTAAATCCATAAAGAGTATATACTGAGTTTTTACTGGGTCATGATTCGTCAGTCCTATCGAAAGAATGTATTGTAACAGGTACTTTGTCCTAACTACCTGATGTCCATGGGCATTGAAGGTTTGTGTGCTCTAAGGCGATTAGTCTTAGGCCAATAGACTATGTGTTATTTCGCCCACGAGCCTTTGATATCTACGTGGAGCTAGCATTATTTGAATAATAGATACTTGTGGTATATTAAACATTCATTATACATATACAAGCGTAGGTCTACGTATTACTCCTACCGTATGGGCCCATAGGAGATACTATTAACAACATGCTTTCCCAGACAGAAGGTCTCGTATAAACGCAATAGGTGAGTCTACAATCGGATGAATATGCCGTAACTTTAGAGGCCGTATCCCTGAACGAGACAGCAGAAAAGCATCCAGTCTTTCAATTTCCTCGTCATCCTTCCCCTCTTCAACAGTACGATCTAATTTGCCGTCGTCAAAAGCGATACCATGCCATAAGAATATGCCTAGAATTTGTGCTTTTCGAATAAGTGCAACACGCTTAGAGTTTTGTGATAACTCAGGAACCTTGGAGAGGAGTTCCGCCCAGAATAAATTACGAAGGTGTTTGGCTTCGGGATAGTAGACGAAATGCCCATCTTTGTCTTCCCCAAGTAGTTCCTGCAGGCCATACATACCAACACCAAAAGGAAGATATTCAGCCTCAGCCCAGTCGAGCAAACCCAACAGTTTTCCCGATTCTGGGCATACCATTATATTCGAAGGTAAGAAATCGCCATGGCTTAATGTCCATGGCAGGGCCTCGATTTCCGGTAGGTCAGCAAGGACAGATCTCGCGATGCCGCGAAAACGAGATGGGATATTCTTTGTCATCAGCTCCATTCGCCAACGCAACGAGGAGCCCACCATCCTTTTCTCCCGTACATCACTATGGTTTATTCCATTGCGCCAGCTCGTAGCTTGCAGATACGCGAAATCGCGCACAATCTGTTCTCGTCGCGACTTTGCCTGTAAAGTCTTGGTCTCAGCGCGAAGATCCGCCAAAGAGACCCCTGGTATTCTTCTCATAGAGAAGACGTAAAGACCTGTACTTCCTAACTCCCCTAGAAACTCGGTTTCGGGAGCTAAGGGGCCGAAAATCTTGCAAGCGGTATTTGTGATGCTGATGTCGAGTTTATGGGCTAATGGCCGAAACTGGACGACTATTTCCTCTCCGACGAAGACCGTATACGAACAGTAACCTTGAAACGGAGCGGGTCGCGCTGTCTCGGAATATCTTGTCATTACGAATGTGTCACAGTCATGCTTAACGCTTGCCGGTAGCTTGCAGCGGTCGAAAAACGGTGCGAATGAGACACCCGAATCCTTGGGCTCGGCCGCCATGGTGTTTGTTTATCGGGTAGCTACATCTGAAAAATACTGACATGGTGTAACATGAGAACCCACGAGAAGGAGATGTGCCTAAGCTCATACTTATATACAGAAGATGTAGCTGGACTGCTTATTCAGTAGTTCGGCACGGTACCATGTGGAAGAACAACTGGATGAGGGGTAAATGTGTAAGTCGAGGTTAGCTGATAAGACGATTCAGCCACGCAAACCCTTGTGACCATTATGTAACTGTTGGAGGAGCTCTCAACCGGGAGATCCCCCCCACGCGTCGCATATGCAAACACGCTCTCTAAGGATCAACTTATTACTTGCAGTGCATGGCATGAGGCTTGGAGTGATTGGTTAGGTTAGTAAATATCAGATGCATGCCACAGCGGCTATGCATGTAAGAACGGATCGTTGGTTCTACATCTGGACCTGGCTGCATACGTCTTGAACTCTTGAACCGATGTTCTCCGAGTTGCTTTGGTCCCTTTTTTTTTTGGTAAACGTCGGGTGATAATCTGGCAATGAGCAGTGTGACTGCTACCGTGCCTTTAGGATGAGGCTGTTAGCTGAGATGAGATGGCTGAGCTCAGCTAAGGTAAGGCAATATCTCTAATATTGCTTAGGCAGATGGACTAACCAGATATTAGATATTGGTCGCTTGACTTACATGGGTAATTCTGTTGGAACGTACAATTTGAGAGAAATGTTAAAATGATAAGAGTAACTATTGTGATCTCCGTTGGAATATTCTAACATTTATGTTAAAGAGGGATAATTATGGTTGTTGTGTTGGTTTCAATGATTCAAGTTAGGTTTAAGAATGTCTTCTTTAGTTTGGATGTTACCTAATCAGAGATTCAGAGATTCAGTTATAAGTGAGAATGTGGAAACCATTTTATGATATTAGCGCATTACATATATGTATAATGTATGACTAATATGAATATATCGATGTTATGCATATATATTAATAACCTCTAAGAGAGAGGCTGATTCTAGCACTCAATCTTACTTACTATTATTATCGCAACTATCGTTCTGTCTAAACAAGGGAATATAGCTAGTGTAAACCTAGATCAATTATTGACATGATTTGGAAATATGTCCATTTGTCCAGATGTATACGTTAGATACCTACAGAGCCTCCATGTCTTAGTTAGCAAAGAGCTTTGACTAACTGTCTTGTAAATAACTATCGAATTCGGATATTGATGTCATGTCCTTCGGTGTAGGAGAACTCAAGGAACACTTACACGGCATGTTAGGCTCCTCGCTACGTCGGCATTGCCGTTTACTTTAGACTACGTCATATCATACCTAAGGTAGGTATGTATACAGAGATCTAAGAACTTGAAGGTAGTTACGTCCGATACATTATGTAGGTAGTTACCTAACTTGTAATACTTAGATTCTTAAAACAAGTAGGCGCTGTTACCTCTATTTATGGAAATGACTCTCTTAATCAAGTATGACCTTCCTTTGCTTATCACATGGATGCAATTGAAATCATTGAGCGTCCTAGTTAGGTAATACTTGTTGCCTTTTAGTTTCGCCCCCTGATATATAACCTCTTCCAGTAATATCCAGTAACACAAGATTCAATATATAGGTAGCCTTACCATCACCAATCCCTTATGAGATTCGATATTCAGTTCTGGCAACGAGTTGATATATAATCAGTATTCTTTTTCTTTTTCCTACCTTCCATAACCAATCTTATTAGACCGAGCCGTGATCAAGGGTTGACACGGACTTACGAACAAAATCCTATCTACCATGAAGAAGCGTATTGTTATTTGTTGTGATGGGACTTGGCAAAATTCGTACGACATATACAGACTACCCCCAACTAAACGAGTACTACTAACATGTCTTAGGGACAATGGCTACGTTAAGCCATCTGCTTCCAATCCTGTACCGACCCTCCAGATCCCGTCGAACGTAACACGCATCTCAAGAGCTTTCAAAAGGGGTTGTTCTAATGGGACATTCCAAATTATCTATTATCAGTCCGGCGTCGGCTCTAGAGCAGGTGTCGTCGACAGAATCATAGGCGGTGCATTTGGAATCGGAATAGCAGAGGTTAGATTACATTATTATCTTGGCAGTCATGGAAGCTCACTTAAAACTAGAATATTCGCGAGGCTTACGCCTATATTTGTGCGAACTATGTTGATGGGGACGAAATCATTCTTGTCGGTTTCAGCCGCGGAGCTTTCACTGCGAGGTCTATCGGCGGAATGATATCTGATCTAGGTTTGCTCACCCGCGAGGGCATGGAGTTCTTCTATCCGGTCTTCAAAGATATGCAGAACTGGATGAATCCCCATTACGAGGATCAATTTCCACAGGTGCCATTCCCAAATAAACCAAAAGGGTCTCGCGCTGCCGACGAGTACCGTGACATGCTTGTTAAGGTATTGTGTTGATAAGATCCTCCTGGATCTTGAAATTGCTAACTAGTGGTAGAATGGATATACCCGGGTACGCCAAAATAAAGGCAATGGAGATTTGATTAAGGTCAAAGCCATTGGTACAGCTAGCAAACACCATAACCTGAGTGTAAATAACGAGGGCTAACCATCTTGACAGGTGTATGGGATACAGTCGGCTCGTTGGGTATTCCCCAAGGGAAGACGAGGGAGATTTTAGCTCGACTCGGAATTAAGTGGCGTAGCCATGAATAAGTCTAACCCACCCTGGGCCATCTGACTTATATAAGCTGACAATGGTTTACGTACAGGTTCTATAATACTAGACTGTCTAATAAGATCGAGCATGGGTTTCATGCCCTCGCATTAGACGAAACCCGCGGTCCGTTCAGCCCGACATTATGGGAGCGGCAACCAGAATATCGAGACACTTCAGATCTTCGACAAGTTTGGTTCCCCGGTAGTCATGGAAACGTGGGAGGTGGTTGGGCCGATCAAGGCGTTTCTAATATAACCCTTGCTTGTGAGTTCCCCCTTTCTCCTATGTATGCCAATGCTTATTCGCCTGAATAGGGATGATGGATCAACTCTCTTCCGTTGGCTGTGAATTCGTAGATGACGCCCTTGAGAGACTCTACGATCGTAATGTGAAATATTACCACAGTTTGACGCCGGAAAAGACGAGACGCGAGAAGCTTGCTAACTATTCTTGTGGATGCTGCGGGGCCATTCGACAGAAAGAGCCCCTACCTTGGGCAGCAATGCCTATCTTTCATCCGAACAAACCTGTCCGCCCGTGGTCCCTGCATAGCATCCAAGCGGTGAAGAGCCCAATTTATGATCTCGTTGGACGCGTTACTCGTTCGCCTGGCATGTACAGGAAGATGAATCCTGAAAATGGACGGCCGACACGTGCCTTTCTTAAGGATACGAACGAGCGCATCCACAGTTCGGTGCGCGTCCGCCTTGCGTGTGAAGGTTTGGGGCTCAACGACTCGAATATTTGGGAATGTAAAGCCTTGGTACGAGCGTGGCGTCCTCGTCGCGTGGCTCAAACATTTTCTGACCCTGTGCCGCACGATGCTAGTTGGGGACGAAAAGCTAATGGCGATACTGGAGGGAGGCAGTCTAATACCGCCAACGGTAGCAGCGCTGCTCCTAGTAAAGCCATTTATGACGCAGAGGAAAGCGAAAGTACTACTACGCAAGGAGGCAGTTCCCGCGAGGAACTACGCTGGGTCTGGGAGTATATAGGTCCTGAGGCGGGTGCTCCGTATGTTCGGACATTGGTGGAAGAGAACATAGGTCCGTGGGAAAGACATTTGCTGGAGTTATCTTCTGGCAAAGTGCACGTTCGCGAGTACGCGGATGCCCAGGATGTCAATAATCTCAAAGCTTTCAGTAGTGGAGTTCCTGCGAAGAAGTCGATTCTGAGGAAGGCGAACAAATCGACTCCATGAGTAATGGACAGATGGAAGCTGTGAGAGACGGGTCACGGTTGGATGCATGACACTTCTTGGCGTTAGTATCGATAGATGGTAGCTTTTTTAAAACAGTGTTTTGTCTCTGATAACTAGTTATTAATAGAATACCTAAGATTCTATTTGAGCTTGAATGTGATATACTTGAGGTTCTTGATACAAAGGGTTATTGGTTTATTAAGTGTTAGTTAGGAATAAATGTAGCGAGTTTATGTTGAATTAAGCACATCACGTGAGAATAGGCAACGAATTAAATGATAGTTTAAATGTGAATTCGACCACTTCTAAGATGTAGCCTAAGGTCAACAACCATCTTTAAGATAGGTATTCAATCAAGGCAAATTTGGATTTTATATTTATACGACCTTTATCATACCATCTCAATAAGCCTAGTAGACATGTTGTCTATTCTTCGAAAGGCGCGGTTGAAGGATAAGGAGATGAGGATCCTAATGCTGTAAGTTTAACTCTTCCTGATCCCCGTAATTTACAAGTGGGTTAATAACTAATGAAATAGGGGCCTGGATAATGCAGGCAAGACTACGATCGTTAAGAGGGTAATGAATGAGGATGTCAATACAGTCAGCCCGACTTTGGGTTTCATTATCAAGACGATCGAGTATGAGGGGTGAGCTTCGGGGACTTGTCTCTATATCCTGTCTTGATTGTTATGATGGATAATATTAACCTTTGAATAGATATAAATTAAACATATGTGAGTCGAGATAAGCACTGACCAAATAATGGCTGGGTATTGAATGGAAATAGGGGATGTTGGTGGTCAGAAAACGCTGAGATCATACTGGCGTAACTACTTTGAGAAGACGGACGCCCTCATATGGGTCGTCGATGCGACAGATCGGCTAAGAATTGACGACTGTCGAGAAGAACTTCATGGGCTACTACAAGAAGAGGTTCGCATATCCTGTTATTGCTCTATGGATTGATCTTGTAAACCTGAAGATATGGCTAACGGACGCATGGTACATAGCGTCTCTCAGGAGCCAGCTTATTAGTCTTCGCTAATAAGACCGACGTTCAAGGCTGCATGGACGAGACCGAAATACTGGAGGGACTACAACTCGAAGCGATCCGGACACATCGGTGGCATATCCTACGATGTAGCGCTATGACGGGGGAGAATCTGAAGGAGGGATTGTCGTGGGTGGTTGAAGATGCGAAGGCAAGATTATTCTTGTATTGATGGACACATATTTATTCGACGTATTCGTACTTTGTAGATGTCAACACATGACATTATGTCGATGCATACAACATAAGAATTATACGAAACACGACATGACAGACTAGATGAAAGGTTCATGTCATATTTATCAATTTGCCTATTACAGTACGAATTCGGAGAGGTGAAAGTTGTCATTTTTTTGTTTGGTCGGTCTAACATTGACAACAACACTCACAGTGTAGTATGCATTGACGCTAACCCTTAAATAGACGAATATCCATACAGTTTCCGGGCCAGTTTCATCATTTGGTGCGCTGTCAGGCACCGGGCAGCCAGTTGCCAGGCGGCTAGTCTCCGTTGGGGCTATTAGGCGGGCTTTATTATTGGTTGTGGATTAAACTTGGTGGGCATCATTTGATCGCACAAGCTGACAAGCAGACAGGGAAACGGCGGCCTGCAGGGATTTAGACGATGACAGCCGGAGAAACCAGGAGTCCACTTTGGATTTGCCTTTCCGCAGTTGTTTAATCAACTTTGTTTACCGTAAACTTTAAACTTTCGTAATTTGATTCATATTAGAATCCTCAGTTCTCATATGTACCTAATATATGAATTGGACTGTTTAGATATTTATTAGGCTTGGTTCCTAATTAATCACATCATCCCGAACGCTAACAGCAAGAAACAAGTTTTCTTGTTATTTTCCCTTCTTTTTTTTATTATCGACTTCTACCCGACTCCGTGCCCGCGGCCGAAGAGAACGGTGTAAACAAGAATCTAGGTTACCTGACTATTCCGTCCGCCCTACGTGTTGTGCCGTAAACTGTCTGCATTCGCATTAATCCTTGGATCTGCCGGTATAAAAAAAAGAAAAAAGTAAAAAAATGTCCGAAGACGTATCCAAATTCCTACTCCAGGTTAAGGAATTGGGTGATCGACGTATTGAAGAAGACGAAGCTCGTTCACGAGAGCTTGAAGAGAGAATATTACGGGAAAGAAAAGAAAGAGAAGCTCGGCGCGCAGGTACGAAATTATTATATCCGTTCTTAGTCTAATTTATTGCTTCCCATGGCCATGGGCAATGTCACCCTCTTAAATTCTAGAGGAGGATTTAGGACATGGTTCTACCTTGACGCAAGGTTTAATTAAACTAATATTTTCTCCTAGAGCGTGCCAGGTCTATTTCACCTCAAAAATCCTCGCCAGTAAATACCCCACCGCCCACCGCCCACATCGCCGACATTCCTGCCTCACCTGGCCGATTAAACCTAGACGCATCTCCTGTCCTTGAGCCTCCTACTAGTATTCAATCCTTTCCTTCTCCCAACGCCGAGGAAATGGTTAGTACAGGAACATTTTCCGGCTCTCCCACAAAAGAGAACGAATTTCCAATCGATTTAGAAGGAAAACAACCACCCCAAACATCTCCTACTCGAGCTAGGGGGCTTTCATGGCAGAGACGGCCGAACTCGCAAGCCTCCGAACGTTCACGAAGTCGGCCACTATCCGTGGTTGCTGCCGAGAACGCGGCACGGAATACCCCTCCTGAACCTCCTTCGGCAACCGAAACTATATCTAGAGATCAAATTACTTCAGCATTGTCCTCTAAAGACCCCTCATGGTTCCGTCAAACTGCAGACAGGGGTGCTACTTCTGCTGCATATAGGAAGAACCAGGTTGAGGATAGCCCAACGGCTGATATTTCTCCAACGTTAGCTCAGCTCCCGGGAATGTCGCGTGCACCGTCCAGCGAAATTGCAAAAGAGGATACGGATTTGCAACCGGTCTCCCCTGACCTACAAAATAGACTAGGTTCGCCTTTGCCTCTATCTGCTGCTCAGAAACTGGATCCCCCCATCAATGATGCTCAACTAGAGACAGATGGTGGTCAAGAACAGTCTCCAATTATGTCTCCTTCCTCGGGACGAACTTCGCCGTCCAAAGTAGACAGGTCAAGCTCACCAACGAAGGGAATGGGTGGATTTGTACAGAGCGCCATGATGAAGAGATCGGACAGTATCAAGAGATGGAGCGTCCAATCGCCTACTGGTACGCCTCGAGTAGACCCGGTTGTCTCGCATAGAACGGGTGGTGGGCCTAGGTCAAGACCTGCTAGTATGATTCGTGACCCCTCTGTGGAAGCTTCGCCGAAGCCTTTGCCTAATCAAGAGGGAGAACGTCAAGAAGAGGATTTGGCTGCTGTCGAGAAGCCTGCCGATCCGCTTAAAGTTGAAATCAAGCCCTTGCCGAATTCACCGGAGCAAGAGTTAGGTCGAGCTACACCTACTAGTCCCTCTAAGACCTTAGATTCTAGGAGATGGAGCCCTACAAAGTCTAGCTGGCTTGAATCGGCTCTGAACAAACCCGAATCTCCCAAGCGGGGGCATAGCCCTTCGAAAAGTCAGCCGTCTTGGATGGCGGATCTTCAGAAAGCAAAAGCCGAGAAGGCTGCCAGTTCTAGCACTGAGAGAAGCAGGTCACCTACTATTTCGCATAAGCATCAAGTCAGTATTGGTGGACTTATGAGGTCTTCTGCGCCTGGCACTACTACGAAGCCGCCGGTTGGTTTAGGTGTTCTTAATATAGGTACCGCCGCTCGCCCCGATGATAGCGGCACCCCGAAAGATATTCAAAGCCCTATAACCCCGGGCATTAAGAGCCCGGACTCGGATCACAACCCGACGAAACTACCATTATCCGCCAGCAAACCAAAACCTGAGATGCCTCCCAAGATGGATTTCCGAGCGAATTTGAAACCTAGACAAGCCCCGGCTACTTCTAATGATAACCAAGAAAGCGAGTTTAAGAATGTTTTCAGTAAACTTCGAAAGACAACAACGCAGAACTATGTTGCCCCAGATGAGCTTAAGGGTAATATTCTAAAAGGAAAAGCATCCCTTAATTTTACCGGTGGCCCGCAAAAGACAGAACATGTTGACGACTTCAAGGAGGCTATTTTGACGAAGAAAAAAGATTTCCAGGCAGTACAATCAGAGGGTCGTGGTGTGACGCGGAATAATAGCACGACAAGTGAGACGCCAATTCCCGAGGGGATAGCCAGGCGAAAGACACTTATGAGATCGAATACGCTTGGCCAAGACTCCGCCGCTGCAGTCAGCGCGGCAATTGCGGATTTTCAAAAGCCAGGTATAGTACCAAGACGTGACTCTGCCCAGGATGTATCGTCTAGCAAGCCACAAAGATTTGGTGGTGCAGGGAACCTAGATCTAACCGTGGGTTCCACTTCTAAAACAGACATTCCAACCATCCCGAGGCGAGGTTCAGCTCAACCCGTACCGATCTCTAAGGACATAAATGTTCCTGGCCGACTACAAGGAAAGACATCAGGCGGTGGCTTGGCTGGTCGATTTAACCCTGCTCTTGCTGGCCTAATTGCTAGGGGGCCGCTTAGCGTAGCTTCCACATCTCCCTCTGGCACGTCGACGTCGAACTCACGCGACGATAACGAAGCTGGCTCGGGGCCAAAGTTGACACACATGACTAAGGGCCGCGCTCGAGGGCCGAAGAGAAACGCGCCGACCTCAACACCAGCCGCGACCTCTCACGAGCCTCAGGAACCCTCATCTAACCATATGCCAGCTGGACGTTCTGTATCGCCAGAGAAGCCTCTCGATTCCGCGTCAAAGCCCCATGCAAATGATGTGGGCAAAAATGAACTGGCAAGGCCAAGCCCGCAGCCTATATCTCCTAACCTCTTTACAAATCCGTTCGCGGCAGCGGCGGCAGAAGAAGTCTCCAGTAAGACGCCGGGTACAAACAAGATCCATGAACAGGTAGCTGCCTTCGCAACTCAGAGGAGGCCACGGTCACCAACGAAGGTATCCGACGAGCCAAAAGAATCCACTTCGCAACCGCCATCTCCGAAGAAGCTAGATGTGAGACGAATGTCGCGATTTTTTGATGATACAACACAAGCTGTTGGGAAAACGGGTGAGCCTCAGGTGGTGAAAGATGTGAAGGGGGACGATGAAATGCCTTCTGCAGCCAATCCAAAACTAGCTTCTGATAAGCCTCTTATTCAGGATCTACCTAAATCGCAACCCCAGTCGCCGCTGCTGAACAAACCCAGGATACCATTGCCAGATCCGCTCTCTTTAGGTCCGAAGAAGTTACCCTCTAACGATACTCCCAGCCCTTCTACTTCACCGGAAGTTGTAAAGACTCCCCCTTCGATCGAACGACCCTTACCCGCTGTCCCAAAACCTAATGGACTAGAAAAGGCATTACCCCCTCGTCCCCTACCGGCAAAACCTAAAGAAACTCCACAGTCTTCACCTAGTCATAACTCAAGAGCACTACCCGAGACGTCGTCGCCCGTACGGTCGCCCACTAAGCAGTCGTTTGAAGCGTCAACCTTGCTTGGTGATTTTTTCGGTCCCGAGCGTACTCGCAAAAATTACAACGTAGATGCCGCTGAATTGCTAATGCATCGACTGAATATAGCACCGCCTAGAGTTCAGACATTGAGCGCTCAGCTATTTCAATTCTCAGCAGACGGCAAAAAAATGCCTGTTCCGGCCCATAACGAGAGAACATTGTTTGAGAGAGAGATGTACATTTGCTCTCACACGTTCAAGGACGAATCGGGCAAGAAGCTCACAGAGGTATACTTCTGGGCGGGAGATGATGTGCCCCGCTCTACTGTAGACGATGCGTCACTATTTGTATCACGAGAAGCACGAGCTCTAGGCGGCAGGTTGATCAAACTTCATCAAGGCAAGGAGACTCCCGAGTTTTTACAGGCGCTGGGAGGTATAGTTATTGTCCAGCGAGGCTCAGGTAATAAATTTGATTCTCTAGCTCCGCATATACTATGCGGACGACGATACCAAGGGCATATCGTCTTCGACGAGGTCGACTTCACTCCTGCATCTTTATGTTCCGGATTCCCGTATGTTGTATCGACAGCTGGCAAATGTTACTTGTGGAAGGGTAAGGGTAGTGGAGTGGACGAGCTAAGCTGCGCACGCCTCATAGGGATGGATTACGCACTATCGGGTGAGATGGAAGAAATTGAAGACGGTCACGAGCCAGCAAATTTCTGGGGTCTTTTCAATGTCGAGTCTAAGGCTATGTCTGCCGATCATTGGCGCCTCAAGCCGAACTACGATAAATACTGCTGCAGGCTGTTCTGCTCAAACGCAGCCTCTAAGCAGCAAGTAAGTTGCACACACTTCCCCATTTGTCACACGGGCTCTTGTTAATTCATAATACCCTGCAGATCGTTGAGGTATCCCCTTTCTCGCAGGCGGATCTACGACCGACGAATATTTACGTCCTCGATGCGTTCTTTGAGCTGTACATCATCGTAGGGTCCCGGGCCCAGGCACAATATGCGTCATTCCATAACGCATTAGACTTCGCACAGGAGTACGGCATTCTCGCAGCGGGAATGGAAGACAGGCCGTTTGTTCCATTTTCGACCGTAGTGCTGGAAGGCATCCCTCGAGATATGAAGAGCGTATTCCGCAAGTGGCGCGACGCCGACAGCCCGACAGTTACTAATGTGAGCACCGGGCTCAAGAGAGGGCGGAGTTTGCGAGTGGTGCCCCTAAACCAGGCGCTGCAAGCGCTAAGCGATTAGGAATCGCATCAGCCTTGATAGCATCTAGGGTTTTAGGCAATGAAGGAGGATGTAGTGGGCGTGGGTCTTGGTATCTGTCATAACAGCGGCCGCAGAGCTATGTGCACGGATGAGGCCTAGATGGCCTTTTGCTGCATGTGCTTACGCAGTACGTGCATGTTTATTCAATTCGTGTATCATTTAGGGGTGTACGGATCGGATCTAAAGGCAGGAAACGGTGTTGGGGGAGACACTGATTGTACGGTTGCATGTTCTGGCGGAGGAGGCGTAAATGCTTGTGGTTATAGTCGGCGAAACCTGTGTTCTAGAAATACGGCTGGTTCTTCACACTAGATATCACGACGGGGTGACGAACAAACAGACAAGCAAGGAGATTGATGTTGAGACAGTAATACGCTATCCAAGTTTAGAAAATTTTGGACTGTAAATTCTTCATTGGCTTTGATGCTAGGCTGTATTGGTTTGCTTGTTGATAAGTAGCAGTATATCGAATACAGTATATTGTGAAAATTGAAGGGTCCGGGACTCTGCTTTGAGGTTTGAAGTTACTGTGAGGTAGTGAGTCTCTAGTAGAATGAATAATGGATTTACTCTTATGGTTTGGAGCTGTCAACGTACATGTTCTTGTGTTCAGCAGTTGGGTTAGGTTAGGCGTAGTTATAGCTCCCCTAAGCTCACACGTAGGTATCAACCGCCTTATAGATGACTTAGCCATAAAGTTGATCGAAATAATAGTGACTGCGTTGGGTAGTTATAATAATATTTGATAATTCGATATTCATATATCCGAGCACGATCAACTCCTTATGAACCGCCTCATGCTTCTTCGAGATATATCGGCACGTAGGGTTACGTACGGGTGCAATTACTTTATACGAGATAACCTACACCCATTATTATGCAGCTATGTCCTATGAGCTTCTGCTCGATTCTTATATCCTATTCAAGCCACGAGGATATGTAACATGATTTGATGTAACACTCTTCCTTGCCGGTTTCCCCGTGTTACAACATAAACGAAGCTTTATGCCCGATTCATACATATAATATACGCGCAGGCTCATCTATGTATAATTCTGGTTCGGCATAATTCCCATGTGTATATACCTAATGTAATAAAAACAAAACAAAAACAAGACAAAATAAGACTTACTCGGGTTATCTCGGCCGCTGCCGCATATGTATGCATGCAAGACTGACGTAATAATAAAAACGGCTTTTTACACTTGCAGAAAGCTTGTGGTTCGGCGGATACGCACTACTAGAAAGATCCCGCAAGCCACGAGCACTAAACTAATTACTTAAGACCTAAGGTACCTAGGTACCTATTCGCTATCGCTAGTGCTGCCGCTCGTAATTAGAATAGGGCGTACATGGATTAGGGTAGATGGAGAAAAGATAAGGACGTAAGCTAAGGAAGAAAGCCTCGGGACAGTCGAGCGTAAACTCGCATTTCTTCCTCCCTTTTGAGTGGGAGCACCCAAGCCACTGCACTGGGACATATCTCAGCCCTAACACCACTTCATCTAGTTAGACAGACTTATAACATAACTACTACTACTACTACTACTACTACCTCGAATGTAGCAATAGGGCTAAATAACTCATGCTACCGTAGCAAAGCAGCGTCACATAGGTAGATACACTAAATCAAAGACATTAAGATCCCAAGATGCTATTAATAATTATTAGTCGCAAATACCTAGGTATACATACGCACGCATAAACCCGCCAACATCACAATCTATGACGTAGCTAGGCGTGTTTAATAGCCTAAATATAGCAAGGATAGTTGGTGAGGAAAAAAACAACAACAACAAAACCAGCTTCTTAGCTGACTGACTGCACGAAAGGCGGGCTGACTGGGTTTAAAGATACCGCTTAAGACTATCGGCTGCACACAAGAGTCAGGGGGTGATAGAATGGAGAATTGATCGTCGATATCGTCGGCCCACCTATGGTGCTTGTTGATCTCGATGCCGAGAGGGGAATACAGTCTCACACCGATGTGAGGGATAACTGACTTCGATACGAATTATCCAGGATGCAGTAGGAGATAGGATATACTAATTAACTTCTTAGAATTAATATGCCTTGTTAACAAAGCTTCATAAAGTATATACAAGAAGATGCCCTAAAAAACCACGGACTACATGTAAATAATCCATCGGGCGATTAGTCCCGCCAATAAAAATCCCCGTGATACCCATCATGATAATAGATACCACTAAACATTAGACATGATCATGGCCCGTAAAACGAATCGTCTTTTCGTTGGAAAGATTGGTATAGATATGTACTGCCGCCACCGAGTTCTCTTCCGCGCCTTGTTCCATAAATGAATGCTGCTCGCCCGCCATGGGGTATCCGCCGTGCTTGTGCTCGTCCCTTTTATCCTGTATTCGTGACTTTTTTGTTTTTATAAGAGTAGCTTGCTTTAGCTGATTACCTATATTTCAAAGCGACCAAACTTATAGCAGGACTGCGAGACCGGCGAAAGCCAAGACGGCAGCGACAGGGGTAGCCTGGGGCGCGAGGGCGCTGGAGGGGACCTGGGGAACGCCGGTGGAGGAAGAAGCAGGGGCAGAAGGGACGTATGTCGTGCCGGCTGCGCTAGTAGCAGCGCTGCTGGAGGCGGGGACAGAGACTGTGGTAGGGTAAGGCACAGTCGTGGCGGACTTGGACTTGGTGACGATGGTGGTATCGCTGTAAGTAATCCAAACGGTCGGGCTGGCGGTGACGGTCTCGCCCGCAGTAGCCTCCGAGGTAACGGTCACATCAATCTCCTTAGTCTTGGTGACAGGGAGGGTCTGTGTGACGGTGTACTCCTTAGTGGTGTAGAGCGTCTCAGTACCAGTCTCAGTAACGTAGATAGTGCTACCTTCGGAGACGGTGGTGTGGACAGTCTCCGGGCAGGTGACAGTCTCGAAAACTTCAGTAGAAACGTGCTCAGTAACGGTGTAGGAAGTGTACGCAGTAGCGGTGGTGGGTACTGCGGTCTTGATGGTCGAGGTCGAGGTCCATGTAACGACGACCGTGGAACCCTCTAGAGTCTTAGTCTCAACAACAGGGCATAACGAAGTCAGAGTAGTGTAAGCAACGTCCTCCGTTGTCTTTGTGGCACCGGGTCCGGTTACTGTCTCAACGAAAGTAGTGTCGATATAGGTGACTGCTACACTAGTCGTGGTATATGTTGTAACGTAGGTCTTTCCAGGGGCGGTGACTGTCTCTGTGACAGGGCACGTGGTCGTGTAAGTAACCTCGACGGCAGTGGTAGTGCCAACGGTAGTATCAGGAGCAGTCACGGTGGCCTCGCCTCCGCAGTTACCTCCCGCGCAGGAGGTAACAACTACGGTTGAGGTGGTGTAGGTAGTCTCCTCGTAGGTCCTAGTAGGCGGTGAGTAGGCTATACTAAGTATTGATATCAAGAGGTGACTTACGATCCTCCGTAGGTGATTGTGTTGGTGATCGGGCAGACAGTAGTTGTCTCGTAGGTGGTGGCGGTGACAACGGACTCGTGGTCTTTGCCTGCCATGACCGAGGCGGCCAAGGCCAACGCAGCGTAAACAGCCTTCATTTTGGATGTGATGGTCGCCGGTAAAGCGGATTAGATTTATAGCGAAAGTAAGCTGAAGCTACGCAAACACTACGACAACGTGAGGTGAGTAGGATGAGGCACGGCTCAACGAAGGTCTTAAGTAACCTTAACGAAGGAGTTACTCGATAACGAGGCCTTTGAGAAAGTAGCAGGCTGGGGAGGTTGGTGGTGAGAAGGAAGATATAGAAAGACTGGATGTTAGGCTCCTTATATCTTCGTCCTACCATACATACATGCACGAGAGCTACACAGCGTCGCTAGTGGATTATCATGACATCTTCCCACAACCTAAGTGCCCGGCCAATTTACAGGCAACAAAAGGCTTGCTCGAAAAGCCTTGTGTCCGGTTGCCCTGTGCCTTGTGCAACGAAGATAGGCGTGGGCTAAAACCTCCATCTCGGCGGATTAGATAGACGTGGTGCCTAAGGAGGAAATGTTGCTGAACACACTCACTAGTGTCACTAGAGACAACTCGACTTGGAAAGGAACGGTCGATCGTTAGCGACCGGCTCGCCGATCAAGTCGCCCGTTCCACTTTCTGATGATAAAGTCATTTAATACGTATGTAATCAGTCGACCGTGATGGACATTCGGCAACCGGAAGATTAAAAACCAGGCGACGACGGCGCAAGTCTAGCCTCCGGCTCTGCAAGCCAAGACGATATCGCAGATGCAAGGGAGAGGCTGGTTACCCTACCAGGATGTTTACAGCTCAACCAGGTTTCAGGGATTACCCATGTCTGCTGGTAACGATGATGTAGTCGAGGCTGAGATCTTGGAACCGCACTGGCCCGACAACGCAACCAACCCCTCATGAGTAACATGTGGTGCGCAGAGGTGGATGTCACCGCTACAAGCTGCATGACCCAGCCGGTAGGATTGTGTGCTTGTGTATACCATCTCGAACACATCTCTATCTTATTCCGATATGAAGTAGCTAGTCGTGAAGCATCATTGTTTTAGTGGCACATATATATGCAGACTTATTAAGCGATAATGCGCGAACTATAGACGCCTTATGCCTACAGAAAGCGGGGATGGCGGCTTAACAGGTACTATTCGTTGTCGTTGCACCGTGAGGCTTTTAGAGAATGATTACGCCTGCGGTGATACCCGGGGCATTTCCATAACCCTAGTCTTTAAGATCGAGATTGCAGGTTTACTTTGGATAGGTATAAGCGATGGGATGAAATTTCGTCGCCGTCATCATAGTGCTACCGAGGTTTCTAGTTGCACCAGCAACAGTTAGAGTCAGAGAGGTAAGCTCGTGTCTGCATGGGAAGATCTGCGTGCTGTATCTGTAGGCGTCCAGTAAGATGATAAGAAGAATTGTGATTCCTGTGATTCCTGTAGCAAAACTTGCTTTTGGAGCAGCCAGTCGATTTGTTTCTCCACAAATCCACATTGGACCTCAACCCGTCGAACTACAACTAGCCCGGCCGCCTTGCCGTTCCCCCCTTGGACCAAGGCCAGCTAGTTAGTTGCATGCTGCATACTACTATGTAAAAGCAGTATGACTTATGTCTTATGGTTTAGCGTTATGTCCTAGTAGGTATATTAACTCCTTGGCTCTCTCTACAGGAAATTCTTCATCCCGAACCGTGCAGCAAGCTACCGGTAGTTCAGCAGTAGGTTTCCCATACGCTCTCCACCGTGGGACAGCAACGGTAACACCACGAGGCTGGGCAAGGAGCCAATGTTAAATCACAAGTCGCGAATGATTGTCTTACTCGGTGTAGTTGTATGAGCTGGCCTTCGTCGTGGTCTTCGTTGTGGTCGGAAAACATGAGTCGCACTGTTGAGATAATTGGCTTTTCTCTACAATAATCGTGTCACTTGACCCATTTCAAAGTGATTATGGGCGATATTCTGCAGTAGCACAGCATTGCATTGACGTTCTCGCGCAATTGGTGTTCGCGTGGCTACTAAGACGTAGCAAGGTAACAATCTTTAGCAATCTTTTTTATAATAACGAATGATCGTCCTGGCTAACCATTTGGACTCGAGTAGTCATAATGCTATTACCATGTTCATGTGCTAGGACGGGTTTGCACCCGATTCCTTTATGTTCGATATTGATAGATTAGAGGCCGGCAAGTTGATTGATTAGTGGACTCGTATCCGTTCACCAAAGTTGTAGTTGTTTGGTTTAAGTTTCTCCATTCGAAATTGGAATCCTGGGGAAATTTGGTTCCTCTACCTTGATGAACGCATATAAGGTACCTACTATGTAGTTAGATGGTGCTAGGTACCTAACCTTAGGTACTTAAAAGTCTTTATGCATCTAATAGATACGTTAGTCAGCGATCTGCGTATGCGCATATGAAGTTGCTTCGTTCTAAAGCCGTAATCAAAACTTCAATCTGTTCGCCTTGGAATATTTCGTATTATTGATTATAACTAATTTCATATAAAAAAACATTAGACAAGAAAGTTCCAATTAGTGATTAGATAGAATCTAAAATTACGAGTTTAGAGATATATGTCTGTCAGTATATTTAGCCCCTCATCTTGTTAGAGCCTCCTCAGCCCGCAACAGCAATGATAATATTTTACTGAAAGAAAATATCAATATCCAGTCTCATATTTTCCGGAGTTTTCGCACAGTTGATGATTGGGTTGTTTATCAGATATTATGAAATATTCCTTCGAGTTACTCAGTGACTTTGGACTATATGGCAGGGTTGAGAAGAATGTATCAATAGGATAGTTAATAGGTGTTATTGTACAAGCTGCAAATCCTAGTCACACACATATGACCTACTGTACATGAAAGGCAAAAAAAGGAAGAGAAAAAAACATAGCTCATCGTAGGAAATCACCATATCAATACAATACTCTTCGATCTATCGATTCCTCTGAGCCTCTTGCCTCAACTCGATCATAATTTTTGCAATGGTGTTCAGGGCAAGCCTCGCAGAACCGTACACTACGTCTGGGCCAAAGCGTTGCATTACCTTATCTGTGTGCCATCTCTTGTTTTCTGTGTTTAGGAGCTTGAAGCGTTTCTCGCCCGAACTCACCAATGACTCTGGTGGTGCTTTGGCGAAGAACATCTTTATGTTTGCCTCATTGACGTCAGATAGCCGTCCTGACTTCACCGGCCAGGGGATGTTTCTTGGAACCATATCGATACTGTTGTTCCACCCTTTGGAATAACGATCCCATGAGGAGCGCCATTCTTCGGCCTCCCTTTTCGCCTTTTCTCTAGCCTCCCGCTCTTTCTTCTCCTTAGAAAGACGAACTTTCTCGCGGAACGCCTTTTCGCGGGCTTCTTCCTCTTTTCTTTGCTCTTCTTTTCTTCGCTGCTCTTCTTCTCTTTTCTGTTCATCCATCTTTCTTTTTTCTTCTTTTATTCTTTCTTCTTCTCTCCGTCTCTCCTCTTCTCTTCTTCTTTCTCCTTCTTTCCTTCTCTCTTCTTCTTCCTGTCTCCTCTGCTCATCCATTCTTCTCTTTTCTTCTCTTCTTCTCTCCTCTTCTTTTGCTCTCTCTTCTTCTCTCTTTCTCTCTCCTTCTCTCCTTCGCTCTTCTTCTCTTCTCTGTTCATCCTTTCGTCTCTGTTGCTCCTCAATGTGTCGGCGCATTGCATTGATATGGTCGATTATTTCTTTCTCTCTTCTCAGATACTCGTTAAGCGTTTGATACATGATATCTTCAGGTTCTTCTTTCTTCACATAAGGTTCGTAGTAAGGTGTATTCTTGGAGCGCCAAGTATCTGCATTCGGCTCGGTATTTGTAGTAAACGAGGGTGTATCGCCATGCTCGGCAGCCCAATTGGTCAAGCCAGATTGCCATTGAAACAGTATATTTAAAATTTGGTAGTCATGTTGCCAGCATAACAATATATCTGCTGCTTTGCGTAGTTCCTGTGATTTTGCAGCTTCAAAAGTTGGTTTACAAGCCAACCCATTGATAACGTTTACTGCATAGTTGACTTTGTGGTAAGCAATATGTCTTCGGCATCTTCGACCTGTCTTGGTGGTACCAATACAGGTCATAGAATTAGGAGAATAGTTGGGAATCCCTAGTACAACCTCTGGGTCCCATTTCTGAGGAGTGGGTGAGGGGTATGAATCGTTATAGAGAGAACCGCCACGGTAATACATGGCTGGAGAATATCGCCAATCAGAGAGAAATTAGGAATTTTTGATTTTGGGTATAAGATAGTATAAGATGGTAGTCTAACAATGAAGTTACCTCTTTCTAGTATTCATGAAAGAACCATATTCTTATATCTTCCAAGGTAGTCTGCCTAGATGGTTGGCTCCCTCCCGGTTTTTACTAGTCAGTCTCATACCGACTCATACCTTTTCTGCTACCTGCATACTCCTACACTATCCTAAGTAGGTATTACAAAGTACATAAGAGTACATAAGATTTCAACCCCCAAAATAGAGTAGCATTGCCTTGCATAGAATGCAATGAATCGCTGGCGCGGGGCATAGCTCTTCTAGTGGTGCGACATGGCATAGCCTCATGGGTGGACTAGGTGTAGCTAGTATGGAAGGTCGAAAGTATATACCCTCCCTTACGGTTAAATCAGGTTACTCCTAACTAGAGAGTGACCACGTATAGCCTCATACCCCGGAACTTAGAAGGTCTTAGATAGGCTCGACAATGAGTTACAGCGAATGATATTGACAACTTGGACTTCGTACGTTAGATTATGCCGCGATTATCGTCCTATATTTTTAGCGAGGCTAATTTTCGAACTCCGTAGTTCCTTTGAAAAAGCAAAAAGGGTTCAAGAACCATGGGGCCGTGGGAAGGGCCGCAGTATCAGAGACATGTTGGTTGTGTATAACCAATCATAGGATATTCCATTCGGCTGGCTGTTAATATGATTGGATAGACGTAACACCGCAGGGTTTAATGGCCCTTACTCCTCCTGGTCAACTTTGACGGGCCCAAGGTGGTCTGAGCACGATAATTGAAGCATTACAGCTCGCTGAAGTTGCATGCTTAGTATTCATTCGATGATTTAAGGTCTGGTAGAGGGCCTCTTACTTTAGGTATATATAGAGAGACCATGTTATGATACATAATATGTTCGAAGCCTAAAGAGGAATTCTTACTAGGGTGGAATGTTGCATCGAAGTTCGGCGCACAGCTGGGCGTTACCTTCGGCGCTTAGCAAACACCATTAGGAACGTCAGAATCTTCAACTCGGCCCGTGTTACAAAGTGTGTTATCATTCCCGAGGTCATGCTTCACGAACCTTTCTCAGATATTACGCTAGTTAACTAAGTAAGGTATTTAGACGATACCAATATTTAGAACAGTATTAGAAACCTAGGTAATTATAGCTAGAGGCTCCTCATTTTATGCGTCTTAACGGTCTAGGGATCTAGGAAGCAACCGTAAGGACCCGTTCATGAAGCGGAAGTCAAGATAACTTACTACTATAGGTTATGAGGGTGGCCACTGTCGGTCAGGACGGCGTTAGCGCCGCTTCCACTGCAATTGTTAAAGAGATTCTATAGCTTTTACAGTGCTGAGGCCTATGATGCGCCAACTTCGTGCACAACCATCAGGCCATTTACTGTTGAATGGGTCCAGGGGTATCTTTTCATGTTACCTGAGCACATTCCTCTCGAGCGTTTAGTAGATTTGTACCATTCGCTAGTCCTTGCACGAAGCAGTATGTGTAGGAGGTAATTATCCCCACCCAGCCTAGTGTCTTTCTGTTCGAGCATCATAGCGGCTGTATGAAAGTTATCCTTACCTTCTACTACCGTGACGCGGGCTAGTGATTACTATTTCGTGGTAGGGTTCGGAATACTTAGGGGGGCTTCGGAAAGGCTTGTTTCTTCATAATTTTAATAGTGATCCTTGTCCTCACTCTAAGAGGCCAAGTGAGGGGAGAGAAAATAGTACTCTCAATGCCACATGTTCCTATCAGCTTCCGAGGTATCCAAACCATTGAAACTCTGCAGTCTGCCCGTGAATCTGCCTTGCACTTTTATGCGGCCTCGGCGGTTAAGATTTAATAATGCTTTACATTGCTTGCCATAACTAAAACTTGCGACCTTAAGTACGTTCGTGAATGGCAAGATGCTGTCGAGTGCAATACCCCCTTTTGAATCCATATAGTTGAAAAGATAATATATTACGGACCATATCAAAGTTCCGTCTACCGCCTTAAAAATTGCCACTTGGCTGCTTCATTATTATAATGAGGCATCGACACACGATTACAGTTTTCATCTTTTTGACCTCCCGTGACTGTCGACGTGGAAGTTATCTACGGCAGGAGGATGATATATATGAACTACATAGAAGATCTGTGCTACAGCAGCGTCACTACATATCGGCCTAATACCCGCTTCTACGTATACGGGATATTGAAAGCCAGGTGACTATTATAGAGAGGTACACTGGGACTACGGTAATGGTACCTACATCCAAATTACTACCCTGTGTGGTATTTTGTTGGTTATGCCATGTATCTCCAGAGACCTCTCGGTCCAAAGGATTCAATATGATTTTTCGTAATTTTCTACGGGACCAGTTAGGCCGGCTATCACAAGTAATATTAACCTATTAATAGATGATTACTCATACCAGTAGAAGTTATTAGGCCCCCTAAGTAGGTAGCATATGAGTTGGAGTTCACTGAGCCGATTATTTCTCAATTTATCTCTACATCCCCGTAGGATATAGCCTAATTCTTAGACATCTTCGTTCCTACCGTTTCCACTTTCCGCACCGGTGTTGGTCTGCCTTCTTAGGTAGCTATATCGATGGTGAAAGATACGGTATATGAGCTGTAGTTGTATATTGACTTAATCTACCAACTGTATGAGTGAGGAGGGAGGTCCTTCTTTTATATACATTCCATGCCAAGATACCATGTACTATACCCGAGAGTAGTCCCTTAACCACTCATTTCAACAATCGATCCTACATGAATGAAGTAGTAAATATTTTATTAGAACCCTTTCTACCAATAAAATGACGTAGCCGATGAAAGGGTTGAGACCTAGTAGTCGTGCTAAGCCTTACTTTTATGTAGAGTATACTTTGATATAATTCTCATGGAATAAAGTCGATTGCTGGCTGCCTATCGGAAATATCATAGGTGTATCAAGTATCTACGTTCTAACTATGCCTAGAGAAACCACAGTCCAGCAGATTCTCCCAATTTTTGCTGAACATTGGAGGCATAAACTCTCAATAAGGTACTCTGTGTAAGAGTCTAAACACTTAAAACGGAAAACTTCAACCATCTCTCCAATTCACTCATCCAACCTAATTGTTCATCACCCAGCGCTAACCCTAGCCCATGTGGACCAGCTGGAAGAATAAGGGTTTCAAATGGCCTCCCATGCTTGGCCATCGCTGTAGCAAACCCTAAGGTATTCTGTACTGGCACTGCATCGTCGTTTGCGGTGTGGAACAGGAACGTTGGTGGCGTGTTTGCGCCGACGCGCTTCTCAGCGCACATGGCATTCTCGGCGTCACTACCGGCTTCACACCCATCACCGATCAAGTTATGTCGTGAGCCCTCGTGGGTCGTACCCGCCGCCATGCTGATAACCGGATAAGCAAGGATCGCAAAATCCAAGCTTGCGCCGGGATCCGTCGCCGTCACAGCTGCAAGATGCCCGCCGGCACTGAAGCCCCATATTCCTAGTTTGTCGACCCGCCCCGACGCCCGAATCTGCCGCACTGCCTCAAGCGCCTCGCGTTGTGGAACTGGGAAGATGGGTGCTGGACTTGATGGACCGGCAGTCGTGTATGAGAGTACCCACGCATCTAACCGATGGTCATTGAGCCATCGTGCTGGAGCCGTTCCTTCGTTATCCATGGAAATAAACTCGTACCCGCCACCTGGGAGCACGAGAACCCCTGTGCGGTTGGGGTCTGATGCGGGGTAGAAATCGAGCTTCAAATCTAGGGTCATGTCGATTAGGACGATGAGGGATAGTAGATAAGAGAAAGATGGGCAATTAAGCCAAATATATCGATGGTATGAATATGAGAGAGATATTGTAAATAAGAAAAAATGTCAGTAGTACGGGAGATTAGAGAAATATCAAGACCGATAAGCTCCTACTACTTTAACCGTACGTAGTGGCAGAGCCTCTGTCGGCATTGTCTACGAGGCTTCATGTATTCCTATTAGTGCTGGCTTTTTCCTCCTCGCACGCAGAGGGTACTGCGCTTTAATTAAGAAAACGGCCAGTAATAGGTACCTAAGGATCGATTCGAAATACTTCCGAATAGGAGGGTTTTCCGTGTATTCTAAAAGTATTTTCAAACAGCGCTAAAGCGTATACCTATTCCAGTAATTTTCAAGGGTCGGAACAACCTCCTTATTGGCTCGGAGACATTTCTTAATCTTGCTTGATTCCTTAATTAAGGCGCATTACCCGAGAGTCACTAGTACCTCTTTGAATCACCGGAGACCAAAGACTCTAATGCTGCAGATCTTATTAGCGATGAACTACGTATTTCTAAAAGGAGATTCTTTCATAATTGCTCGCATATATAAGCTTATGATAAACATTATAATCGCCGACTAGCAGTAACCTAGATAGGATCGTGATGTTAGTAGTGAAGCCTGATAGTATGGTAAATGCCGTCTCATGTCTTGAAACGAGATGACTTGTGGCTTGGCCTAATTAACATAGCTGCCTTATTTTCTATGCTTGACGAGGAGGTAGGTAAACGAATCGGAAAAGCTGGTACTAAAGCCGAGATGGTACACGAGCTCGGCCAAGAACGTCTCGCGGATCCAACCAAACGAAAAGAAATATACACACATCAGGTACCTACATATAAGATATACTCAGAGTTCTGTATATGTAAGACTTTGTAGAGTTATGCCACACAGCTGACCTATCTAACTATAGTTATGATAAGTTATGTTTCAAACTCAGCCTCACTGTAACCCGTTGCGATGTCTCATTTGGTTCGGGTATTCCGTTAGTTTCCTCATAGTAGTACGCGCATTAGCTAAGACGAAGCCTTCACATCCTTCATATGACTCTATAAGACGTCTATGACTCTATATTGCCGGTTCAATACGTTACCGACGCTTACTTTTCTTGATATCATATTTATTATACGACCACCTTCTCCGAGATATCACTAACATAAACAAACCTCTTACATAGAAGGAGACAGTCTAATCAGAACGTAAATATTTTGTTGAGACTGACCCAAGACTCCTAAGCATGTTGCTCGATCAAATTTACCTTCTTTCACCCGAAGAGCAAGAGGCAATCCTGGATGGCCCAGTACTCTCTCCTCCCTCTGGCGTTGTGCCAGAACTAGAGAATCCCCCGAACCGCAATCCCGCAGCCCTTGCTGTAATAGTTATCCTTCTAGTGGTAGGAACACTTGCAATCTCTTTACGAATTTATTCTAGAATCGTAATTACACGCAAATTGTTCTTGGAGGACTGTGAGTTCTGCACAGCCTGTCTACTCTTTCATTAAACTGATTAGGACTAGTTCTTGCATTCGTGGCATATGTATATCAATATTTGCCTGCTTTCATATCGAGTCTATAATAACAAATCTAATAAGGTCCTATTCGTTACATCCCAGTGCCTAGGAATCCGCCTCCTTCATGGTGTTGGGATGTTTGTACACCAGTGGAATGTTCGGGTGAGAGACTTATCTGAATTTCATTGGGTGAGTTTGGCTCGTGGCTATCTCTTTTTGTTCAAACCCTCAACGATTTCCACCCCTGCCTATATACCAAAGTAAGAAAAGTTTATACTGAAATAAAATAATTAGGTCACTACCCTTTGCCTCGCATTTTACTCGATCGTAATAATGAATTTGAAAGTTGCTATACTTCTAGAGTGGACACGAATATTTGTTCCGCAAGGAACTCGTGGTTTCTTCTACGTAAGTGCCCATGAAAGCCCCAATATCCTTCCAAGGGTTTACTCCAAGCGAACAATATAGTGAGAGCTGAGATATTTATAACGCTTTACACTTTCCACTGCCGATTATGTTTAGATCTTACCTGGACTAATGTAGCAATAACAGTGGACATGCTATGTTCTAATATTGATAAACATTTTATTCTACACCTCTGTGTTTATTGTGGCGAACCTATCTTGCACTCCACATGAAAAGATATGGGATCAAACGTTGCCTGGAAAGTGCTTCGACAGGAAAACCATAGATGTCTCAGCAGCTAGTATCAACATCGCCTCACACACACTTATTCTAATCCTTCCTCATACCGTTATTTGGAAACTTAATATGACGACAAGGAGAAAGATCAGCATTTCTTTAGTATTTGCTATTGGCGTTTTGTAAGTGATTCTCTCAGATTTATTAACTTAGAATCTCATGAAATATTTCATATAGGGCTTTTATTTCGGGTATCTTCCGATTGATCGTGACGATACAGTATTTTCAGACGCAGGATACCACCTATGCCATATCCCGGATGGCACTTTGGTGTGGTGCCGAAATGGTGCTTGTTCTTTTGGTCTTCTGCGCACCTACATTTCCAAGCGTTTTCCGCGAAATGAAGCTCTTACCTACCTGTCTTTTTGCGTCATGGGGCAAATGTTTTCGACTACCGTCAAGCACTGATAGTCGAATTAAAAAGACCCGTTCAAATCACATGTTACCAAAATTCAACAATTTATATGAGAGGGTTAACGAAGACGCTATTTCTCCTCACAATCCATCTTTTCAAAGAGAAGTGGTTATCGATTCACCTACACGATACCAAATACCTTACAATGAACAACGTCATGTATCTTTGGAGTTAGGTATCCTTCGAACCATCTAGTTTTATACCTGGGATGAGCGGCAATCTGATAGTGATGTATTTAATAAGAACAATATTCAAGTTCCATGGGACACGTGCTTCCTTTAATATCATGAGAAAGACCCAAGTGGTAGTTTTAATAAAACCAAAAAGCGTAGAACGGGGAATACTAAATCCCGATTTTGGACGTTGTAACCAAGTTATTTTCTTTTTCCTCTCCCGTCTATCTTTGCAAGAAAACTTGTACGTTATTCTGCACTGGGGCTTTTTTGAATTCTCACTTGGTTTCAATAATGTGTAGGTGCTGCGAGTAAATAAACTACCTACCTTTTATGGTAAACGATGAGAAGTCTAAAGCCACATGTGAATGAAGACTTTCGACTAAATTTAATACGTTTGACTTCCAGTGGGAGTTTCTTTCCCCCTTTTCTTTCTTCTAAGTAGTCGTTTAGCAGTGTAGTACCATAAAGTCCCTAATTCATAACCAAATCTTCTAATAAATACAGTGACACATACGTCTCTAAAAGTAAAGTGCCTGCAAACCTTGTAACACAATTTAGTACCACTTGTCCCTTCTACCCCCTTTTTCTCTCTTTATTCTAAGTATTTCTTGAATTTATATCGACGTGTCTTGTCTGATATACCTTTGTCTCGTATTGAAAACCAGAACGCTTTAGCTATTGTAGTTGTTCATCTATTACGACATAGCATAATAACTCCTGGATAATTTATTAATCCATAAGTTTGATGTACACACCTTGCAGACACTTATCTAACTGCTAATGCCTCCCCTTCACAAATACAAAGTACTAACATGACAGGACACTGGGGTATCATCTAACGTGCTATATGTGAGGATCCGCATATCTAGCACTGCTAAACCTGTGAATATTTCAAGTACCATACTGAATTGTTAGGCCTGTAACGTGTTAAGGCGCAGCCACAAATCTAAAAGTTTCCCAGGCGATGTGTAAGACCAGTCTAGTTTACTGCCTGAAGTGCCCTCCCTACATGTATCCCCATCATCCATTACTTGCATGTTTACAATCTACCTTCTTCCACGTTTCTACACCTAACCAACCCAGTGTGGTAGTTAGAGCTGCGCATTAGCCAATAAATTCTTCCAGGCTAATACTTCGATCTTTCTCTCTCTTCTACATACTTACGTCCTATCTATTTTTCATTGTAACCACGACTGGTGGAACACAATAAGAAATACGAATGCTTATCAGCCTCCTACTAGGCATCGCCCCTTACCTATACGCAGACGATATCCTTCACTCTTGTCATCAGGAGGTACTTCACTAGGGTAACAGGAGAAGAATCGATTTGGGTTAGTATTATCTTGCCTGCCAGCCTTTCTGAGTAGATACCTTGGGTAGTTTCTTGGAAGAGAAGGTTGACGCCTCGGTAACCTTTGTTGTTGCCAGTCGTCAGTCTCCAGTCGTCAGTCGTCAGTTATGTTCATTATCTGAAACGTACATAAAGCTCTCCATCGTGATACAAGAGTAAGTTCCTTCCTTTTTTTTAATGTTATCCGCCCAGTGTTACTTCATCCCCTAGGAAAGAGCCCTTCCTGCTCATGCCCATCTTGAAACGAGCCACGATCGAGCCACGATCGAGCAACTGGCTCCTTCTAATTCCAATCACCTCTTCTTCCTCTCCCTTTCCCCTCCTTCCTCTTCATTCACTTACAGTGATCAATTTATGAAGCAGCAACCTAACTTCCTGCTCATAGGTCCCTTAGGTAACGTTTCGCGTCTTACTTATTCGCGGCCTATTTAATCGCGGCCGTCCTTCCTTCGATTTCAACTTGCAGAGAAACTATCAATTTCTCTTATCTACAAAACCCGAAAGTATTCCATCTCAGTCATCATCATACTTAAGGCTACCTAAGGTAATTGGTCAGCAATCATCAGAGGATATCTGATACAAGGTCAACATTGCAAGTAAGTTAATGAGCTACACATTCATATTCCTAATTAAGTCCTGTGAATCTTGCAACCTATTTCCTCAAGTTACCTCTTCCGATTTATAAGTTCCGAAAGGCGTCGCGTGTCTCGGGCGTGGTCTACCCTTTCCACCTGTAGTGCGACTAAAACATTTCTATGAGATTCAATTTGATGCTAATGGTTACCTTTTATCCAGAAATGGCTCCGTCTAAGCGACAGACGTGGATTAACGTCTACGATCCAAAGACGGGCCAATACAATTCTCAACTGGTGACTAAAGATCAATCATCTGGCCAAGATTCTGGTGTAAATCAGGTGCCTAACAAAGCTCGAGAGGAGACAATTGATTACAGTGTCAAGTATCCTCAAGACAATGTGCATGGACTGCCTGGCTCCTCAGGAACCAACAATAGCACCTCGGACAAACCTGCTACCACAGACGGAACTCACCAGCCTGATAACTCAACTGCTGGCAAAGTTAAAGCTCAACCAATTGCCAAAACTGAGCGTAGTCTACCAAAGCGCGGAGGACTATCGCAAAGCCGTTGGGCGCCGAAAGAGGATGTCAATGAGACCAAAAGGGGTCAACAGTCTACCGCGCTTACTGGCCTATCCAAGAGTCAACATAACTCAAATGTAGCTGCGAAGCAGTTGGATGATTCAATCAAACCCATTGATTCTGACGTTGTACATCAAGTCTCTAAGACACTCGCTACTACTACTACCCTAGTAGATGCTAGCAAAAAAGACTCCAAGCTTCACGACTATGTGGATACGCAGATGAATGCCGGATGTAATGTCGCACCGAAAGACTACAAGCTTGCTAAGACGATGGAGGATGAGTCTTCACCCATTGAGAGGGTTTCGTACCTACCGGAACGTACCGAGAAACGAATCAAGGATTGGATTCAGCCAACTCAAGAGATTACCGTGGACCTTCATCCAGAAGGGGTTACAAACCCAGAACGATGCGCTGTAGACCCCGAGACAGGCCGTCTCATGGCACCGGTAATTTCAGCTTCTGAAGTGCAAGGTATAGGTATGTATATGATTCCTTAGTAATAATATCTTTGGTCTATTACTAACTTGATTTAGTCCAGAAGAACCCAGTGGAACCCAAGGATGATTCGAAGCCTCTTCCGGAGGACTCATTGCCCGAGGAACTTAAGCCGAAGAGGGAATATAGGAGTGAAGAGGATCTGCCCGGGAAGCGCCTTGAAGTCCCCTTAGTCTATCCTGAAAAGCCTCTCAATGAGCGTGAGATAAGAGTGCCGTGCCACCTCCGACCGGCCAAGAGAGACGATATGATGCAGGTGGCGGCATTGTATAATGAAGAGATGGACGCCAGTTATAAGCTACCGGACAAGAGACAAGTCAGCCATCACAAGTGGATCAACATCTATGATGGGTGCTGCACCGAGAATATGCCATTTCTCGTTGCCGTAGATGGCTGGTATAATGCCGCCGCTGAGAACAATGGACCCGTCATTGCATTTGCCGTGATGGACGTCGCTGTAAGAGGCATCTTTGGCTCTTACAAGACATATGCCGCCCCTTGTGGGAAGCTCACAGTGGTTGTACATCCTGATTACCGTCGTCAGAATGTATGCTCAGCATTACTTGACGCAGTCTTTAGCTGCTGCTCGGTATACTACTCATCGCGAGAGGGATATGAGTTTGTGAACAAAGAGCAAGACCGTAGATATATGACCCCGATCAACAATCTACGCCGGTGGAGCTGGATTGACATCGACGTTGTCATTCCAAGTGGATCTACAAAGAAGAAGGTCGAGCAGAGCGAGCGGTTCAAGTGGGTTGCAACTTACTTGAGCGAATATTTCGACATGCGGATCGCTTACCACGACGAGAAGCTATTCCGAGATGATCGATACGAAAACCTATGGCTCGATAGAATTACCTTCCGACACCAGTGCCGACCCCGAGGAACTTGAGTGTATAAACACTTAGTTTGCGTGCCAACTTATCTGGTGTCAACTCATCTAATACCAAAGGCTAATAATTACCATCTTGCCTTGGCCTTTTCGCATATGTCGACAGAACAGACGGAAATGAGAACCCACGTCAAGAAATAAAAGACGTGCTAATGTATAATCTAATAATATGGGCTCCAATTCGGGGCTGTCATTATTCACGATTCTATGCCAATTGGTATAGATATCAATTGGTCAGGACAGATACCTTGAGTTTGAGACAGTCTCCGGCGAGTCAAAGACCTATCGATTGATTTTGATTTGTGCTTTTTCTTATGTCATTGATTTTCGACAAGGCATCTAGCCATGTTACTCGCACAGCACCAAACTCCAAAAGGAGAGTGATGAGAATGAGGACAGGAGAATTTTCGCGTTGTATTTTCCATTTTGTGGTCTAGGGGCGAAAAGACTTCTACTATTGCGCGTTTCAGAATAAGACCCTTCAACAGGGTAATAAGAAAATATAAAGAGAAAAACCCAAAAAAAAAAACCCCCTAAAAAAGAAAAGAAAAAAAAAAGACAGAAGGAGAGAACATCCCGCATAAACTAGCCTAGGTAGCCTCACAATCTGGGTAGTTGATAATTGCTTTGCCAGTGTTTATTCATGTACCTAATACTATGAGTTCGACTACGTACATAGAGAAATGGAATTTGCTTGCTTCCATTTTACATCTCCTTGTGTTGTTTGGAATTCTATCAGATATGCCGTTGATGATTGTCATACACAGAGTGAATGTTACTTAAGCGCCGACGAACCCCCCCCCCCCCCCCCAGGAAGCCCCAATCTCTTTTGATCTTAACGTGGACCCCAACCTATTCTACCGTCTCCCGTAGACATCGTACGTAGAAGGTAATGGAGTCGGCGAGAATAAGAACCAAGACCCGAGTATTGAACTAGTAGCGCCTGGCTTCTACGCACTTACGAGGGCGCCGCGTGCCCCTTATATAGTAGACAGACCCCTGTAGCCACCCCTAACCCGCTTGTACCTTAACAGATTCAATGAAAGCATTTCGGAATGGTCTTAGAAGGATGTAACTTATTTTAGTCGCTCGGGAATATTTCTAAATAGTTGCAGTCTGTAGAGCTCATAAGAGGTATTGCAGGATATAGAATCCGTCTTTCTAATTCATAGCACTGATACTCAGCGTACTAAAATATACAAAACCCCTTCCCGTAAATCTATATAAAAAAGGTATGGTACCACTGGTAGAGACGGACTCATATGAAGAGTCAAAAGGAGCTGCAAGCGGCATATAACATATCCCCTATGGATACTGTATCTTAAAGCGAGACATAAACGGACTACCTATCCGCCCCTAATACACCGACAAATACACTATGCAACAACATTCTTCTTAAAAGGGACAGGCAGATAGGTAGATCGATGCCTATGGAGGCAGCAATAAGAAAACGCCGTTAATAACTCTCGTACAGCCAGCCAAAAATTGTAAATGAACTAACTCCGCAAAAAGTGAATAAGTGATAACCAGGCCCGACCTGGTTAGAGCCTCCAACTCCGACAGTATGGTTTGTGATGCACCGATATACGCCATAAAAAGAACAATATCACATGACAACGCAATTGGCCGCTACGGTTCGTGCCCGGCGGCGACCTGCAGCAGGTCCTCCTTCCTCATCAGCGTGAAGCATCTGAGCGGCCCGGGCGCGACGTCGGCGCCGCCGGGAGCCTGCGCCCCCAGCCCCTGCTTCCTCAACAGCTTGCATGTAATCTGCCCACTTCCTCTCTAGTCTCGCAGCGGCAGCAAAATCGCCTTTCAGCACTCGCTGCGTGTGCTGCTCTACTGTCTGCTGCCACCCGTAGAAACATTTGAGGCCTATGATCTCAGTGGGATATGTAGTCGACCTCTCGGAAGGTCGTCGGATTTCGGCGTTCCAAGATAAGATCTCTCGGACACCAGTCCACGTCACCATTTGGCAATCATATACAACGAGCCTGAGACCAATATGGGGACGTGAAGCAGATAGAGGTGTCCTAGCTGACCGAGATCTAACCATAGCCGCAGCTTCTGTGAGAACCAGATCGCCGATTCGCGTGTTATCCATATCCACGCTCTCCAGGCTAACGCAATTTTTCATAACGGGCAGCATACCGATGTCACTGAGATGTTCGCAGTAGCTTACGGAAAGATGCTTAAGCTTAGGAGCGCACGGGGCTTTGGCCAAGTGCTCAGAGAGGAAATCGTTGGACAATTCCGATAGTTCCTCTAATTCCAGGTGGGTAAGACGAGGAGTCGAGGCAAGAATCGGCTGCAGAGCCGCGTCGGTTAACGAGGTACACCCGCTTAATTGTAAACCTTGCAGGTCAGGAACGAGGTGACCCAATACACCTACAGCTTGACTAGTCAGCTGTGAGCACCGGCTTAGGTCTAGATGTCGAAGCTTCCTCGGTGGAACTACCGGTCGATCTGTTAAGATATCGATTTCGGGTTCAGTACCATGGATCATAGTTTTGAACGCTTCGTCGTCAAGGTCCACACAACCACTTAACACTAACCGCTCGAGCTTATTCGTTGTGAATATAGCCTCTGCTACCCCAATGCTGTTAAAACCTTTAATTTCTCCAGCTCTTAATTCTCGTAGCCTTGGACACCCTAGAACTACCATCTTGACCCCACGAGCATCCATGTACTTGCACCACGAGACATTGAGAGTTTCAAGCTGGGGGCAATGTTGGGAAATGATCTTGCATGTGCTATTTGTTACCGCTGTCATACTTGTAAGGTTCAAGTTGGCAAGCCCCTCGTTAGACTTGATGAGATTGTGTAAAGTAGTCCGTTGAAAGTTTCGACACCCCTCTAAAGTTGCGTTGATCAAATTCTTGCAGGCCGTGACAATGACCTCGGCTCGCTTATAATGCTCAATTTGGAGACACCCGCGGATATTGAGGTCTTTCACAAAAGGACCAGCCGCAAGAATGATCTTGGCTAGAGCCTCTGCAGGTATTTCCATATAGAACTCGGTAGCATCGAAATGAGTCCATAATTGACCATCAAAACAGAACTTTTGGAATTCTTTGCTTATACGCGAAATACGAATGAGTTCTTTCGGCCGGAGGTAGGAGAAAATGTGAAGTCGAATCTCGTCAGGCATTCTAGCCCAGAAGTCAAAGGGGAGTTTTCGAACCGTGCCGGATCTGGACCTCGTAGCCGCGACATCAGCGGGTAGAGAGACGGTAGTTGGATTTAATTGCGTCGTAGAAACATTAGGAACTTTCCGTGCTATACGAGTTTCAATGCCATCAAACCCAGTGTGCTCAGCCGCCGGGCTGCCGGGTATGGAAGACTGGGCATTCGAGAAATAGCCCGGTGTAACGCTGCCAGAAGTGGATTGTCCGAAAGCAGGCGTCGCTGCGAGACTCGCGCATGATAAACTACCTCGCATGCCGTACGGGGAGCTTGAAGACCGAGCACGACCGATTTGTTGTAACGAAGGAGAGGAAGACATGCGCTGAATGCCTTGAAGAAGTCTCTGGCGGCGCTTCTCCTTAGGACGACTCTCGAGTGGCACAGCGCCGGACGACTCCTCGTCAATTGGATCGGGTGGGGTGATATCGGCCATGGTGGGCGTTGGTTGATAGCTGTATTGCGTGAAGCCTCAATTAGAAACGCAAAGTCTCCTATAAGGAGGCTCTCACGAAATAACGAAGGTCTGTAAAATGAAAGACAAAAGCAATAAACTGGGACTAATGACCCTGTATTCGGCTATCGTACTATTGTTAATCTGCTACCGGGAAAGTCGTTGCGAGATGCGGGGATTTCGAATTCGAATAATCCCTAAATCAATTAAGATAACCAGAAAAGGCAATACATAAAACTAGAATCCAAGCAAAGTTTTCTGTATTCTCTTAACAATCACTGGAGGAGTTCAAGTGGTGATTGAGACTACCATGGTTTGTCTCACTGTCACTCTTCCAACTGTGTTCATTCCAAAGAGATAAACGAATGTAGTACCAGCCAGCTGTAGTGCTTTAGCAGCGGTAAGAGAAAGTAAAAAGACGAAGAGCTAGAAAAGGAGGTAAAGTAATACGACGATCAGCCTGCACGGATTACAAGTTGAAAAGGGGTCTAAAGTCGCCCCAGTATCAGTTCCAATTTGTTATTCGAGGTGGCGTACGGACTACCCAATGCGGTTTGCGGCGATAATGTATACTGAAAGTAGCGCTTAGCTGATCTGACAGACCCTTATGCTAGGTATGTATTCCTCAAAGACTAGTGAAGAAGAAGGAAAATTCGAATCCAGCTCGACTAAGCAAGGCCTTCGGCATTTAATGTTTTACGAAATCATGCATGTAAACTAGAACTTGTCCAGTAGAAAGTAGGCTGGGATAGTTATTGATTATATATATGTAGATGAGACAAGATAACAACATACCAACCATCAGGTATTAAGTGGTTGGATAAGTTTTTTTTTGATACTGGGTGGAGGGTTGGAATAATGGGACAAGAGGGTTGCGATGGCCGGCGGGTGGCCCCTCGCAAAAAGTCTTAGCTGACTTGACCATGTGAGACCCCATAATAAATCAGGGTCGGGCTCTTATCATAGAAGAAACAGCACGTTATCAGTAACAATTAAGAAGAATAAGAAGCGTGGTACAGCGTGGGTAAGGTGGGGTGATTTCCCTTTTTTAGCATTTACATAGATCCACTCAGCAGGAGCTGGTTTTAACCCCTCAGTCCCTCACAGGCAAACAGTATCCCCTCAGTGGAGTAAAGCGGGCAAGTGGTTTAAGTTGTTTAAGTCGTTTACCCCTGACCTTCCCGAATTCTTCCATTTACGCATTTACGCATTTACATACGCCTTGTATTCAAATAATACCTAACCCTTAAGTACCTAATATATTCTACCCATTGGGCCAGACGTATTATGCTACATACATGCACTCTGCTACATGCATGAAAGACGATCGCGTCTTCGTGGCATAATACTAGGACTCCTCAAATGACAGTGTCACATTGTACGCAATGCAGAGCCATTTCTTTACTCCATTATTGAAATTCTATCTAACCTCTAACCTTTGATATTCCATTTGAATGGTATGCGTTGCTTCATGAAGACGCCTTAACTTTTAGGTACCTTTAGGTGCCTTTGGGTAGCCTACCTCTGTTGATTTTAGAGTCAGCTCTAAATCCGGAACATAAGACAAAGAATTCGGGAATCGGGATACATACTCGTTTGCGCTGCTTGTTACCTGTTATAAAAAGGGTTTTCTTTCTTCGGGGACTTACATGTTTACGTGGCTCCACAAGCCCAGCCAGCTGGACCTGCGCCGTTTTCCCGCTATTAGGTGCCTAGTATTGTTTTCCCAAGCTGACTACATAGGAAGTAGACTTGTGCTGTAGCTGGACCCGCGCCAATCGTGAGTCTGCAGTGACTAGCAGCCAAGACGGAGATCAATGGTCCCTTCGTACAGCTGCAGCCAAGAGTTCTACCCACCACCTTCGTGTGTTGGGAGCGCCTCAACTACCTACTTGACTAGCAGGTTAACTAACAACCACCGTGTGACACGAGTCATCAGGTTCTGGGGCAATTATATTCGTGAACGTAATAATCTTCATTTTGTTTGGAAAATCTATCGAGCCTCCCAAGTTTTATCATTCTGATATGTCTCCATCATATCTTCATCACATAGCTTATCTGTAAGTCTAAACTGACTATATCTGTCGTTCAAGGATTCCCCGCACGATAAAGTAGACAGACAAGGGCTGAGCCAGGGGTCTCAAGAAGCTTTAGTACAAACAGATGAGCAAATTGTCTTGAAAATATTCGCAATTTTTTATTTTGACTGATAAGAAATTATGAGATATTGAAGAGGAGGACTCTTATAAAGATTTAATGGTTGCATTCTTTAGTTGATCTGCTGCAATTATGTCTTTTCCCCCGTGCTCGAAAATAGATCGCCTGACTCTAGTCACCATGTCACATCTGCCACACCCGTACCCAGCTGACCAACCGTCCTGATAACAAACAGAGACAAAACGCTCTCTTTAGGCAAGATAATGTTAAGAAGCAATTTGACTAAGATATACTAGCATTTTAATAAATTGATCAAAATAATATCCTTGCCTAGGTAGTTCATGCTTATCGGGTCTCAGCAAACTTGCATCAATAAGGAGTACAGGTGAAGCATTAGTATTGTCAATATCGAATACATAGCCGTCTTACATAGATGAGTATGTTAACTCATGAAAATATGCTATACTAATAACTACGACAGCAAGTAAGGTTATGAGGGTTAAAGGTCATTTATAAAATAACACTCAACTTCAACGTTATAGTTCCGAGATTCAGTAGTCTTGATGAATAAACTTTTGGTATATATCAAGAACTTTCTTCTATGCATATAAGGTAGTTATGAGATAATACAAGGTGTCAGTGAAGTGGTATAGCTTTATATAGATATGTGAGTCCACCTATGATTTCCTGGGTAGCTATTTGTCCTTAAATGAATCAAAACCATAGTTTTATCCATAACTAGTCGAAGAATATGTATTGTATAACTTACCTAGTTAATAGCTACATCAGCAAGTTAACCTAATCACACCAAATATAGATCAAGTAGAGTAAGGCATCTAGTGATATCCAAATAACTTACTACCAGGTATCAAAGCATTTGCTATACAAGATGTCCTAAATGTTCTAAGTTGAGCTTTGCCGTTTCCAATAATAGCATTAGGTAACAGATATTCAAACAATATAAACCGATAATACTTAGAGAATTGTACTTATACTTTGTTATCTTCTACATCACCACATAGTTGTTGCAAGTAGACGTTCGGAACGAATATGAAATAATAATAAATGAACATACAGTATTTCATAAAAGGTAATATTTCAATATGATAAAAATCGAAGATAATGACAATATGAATTTTGAGATGGTAGTAAGGTAGTAATATAGACCGGGGGTGAAGCATGCATAACTGGAGCCCAACCCAATGAAGTTTGGGTACTTGGCATCGAAGGATTTTATCTAAAACGAGGACGTCTTCGGATTTAGTACGCAATCCACTATTTTCGTTTCTAAAATAACTTTTCCTGTTCAAATTACTCTTTAACTATTTCGCCCTATTGTCAGGATTCTAGATGAAACATCTAGAAAAAAAAAAACCAGGGTTAGTATGTATAGACCTAGATCCTCATAAATAGTCAGAGTTCCTTGCGGAACAACGAAGTTGTTTCCATGCTGTTTGGTTCTACCTCGTGACACCTGTTTAGTGTATGACTTAGGTTCTCTGTCCACAATGCTTCGACTTCGAGGGAAGGTTGAGCCTCCTAAGCAGTTTTTCAGTCCCCGAGACGGCCTTACACGGCCTTGCGGACTTTGTGAGAAACTATTCAACGAAGATCTATACGGCGAACTCCAGTCCAGTAGCGATAGTGAGACTGAAATCCAGTCATCCTGTGAGTTTCTAGCTACGGATGTATATCATAGCATGCTCAATGGCTGTAATCTATGTACTGTCCTCGGCAACTCAATCCTAACCGCCGCAAAAAATGAGATCTCTCTTCTTAGTGAAAGATCTTTCATCCTACATATACCATGGTACCAAGGACAGGAGACAACTACAACGACATCTGCCGAGCCAGACACGCCACAGGGTAACCGCGATGATGACCACCAGCGAGGTTCAGCTTATGAATACCTCATGGGGACATTTGAAAGCTCTGCTGAACCCGAAGATTCCACAAAGCTACAAACGAGAGAAGCCGAACCCGACTTGACCTTTCAGTCGCTTGATTGTAATGCAAAGATAAAGCTTACAATATCGATTATGAAAGGCAAGTATTCGACTGGGTTCGATCTCATCAATATTGAGATTGAGGCTACGCCTAGTGAAAAGTGCTCTAAGCCTTGGATATTCATTCCTCCTTATGGTGGAACGCTCTGGCTCGAAGTAATATCTGATGCTAGCCAGAAAGTCTTCAGTAAGGAATGGAAAGGACTTTCTGCGGCGGGTGGAGAGTGGCCGCGTGTAGTACGAGGATGGCTTGATGACTGCCAGCACACCCACCAATGTACCGTGAATAGCACATTTCGACCCACGCGTCTGATAGATGTCGGGGATCCTCTGCATCCACATCTTGTCGAAACTGGCTCTGTAGAAACAGAGAATTATGTAACTTTGAGTTATGTGTGGGGTGCTAAGCAAAACTATACACTAACTCGAGCTACTCTACCGACTAAACTCGATGGCCTTGATATTCAAAGCATCCCTTCGTCAGTCGCAGATGCTATGGACGTTACTAGGCAACTAGGCTTTCGCTATATATGGGTTGATGCCCTGTGTATCATCCAGGATTCGCCCGAGGACAAGCTTAATGAACTGCCGTTGATGGCGAAAATATACCAGCACAGCGCCATGACTATTTCGGCGGCTAACTCGCCAGGAGCATCCGAGAGCTTCTTGAAGCCACCACTTCCTCCAGTTTTCAAGGTACAACCATTCCACATTACCATTGGAAAAGGTGTGCCTCAGTTCCCGTATATAAAATTAAGCCTAGGTTTTCGGGAAGAAGCCCCTGACTTGAAAGATCCTATCGATTCGCGCGGATGGACTCTACAAGAGTGGGCACTCTCTTCGCGCCGCTTACGGTTCACTTCCCAGGGGATCCAATGGACATGTAACAAGCTAATTGCCGATCCAAGTAGCCTGAAAGAGCACCGAGACCCCCCTATTCAATTCAGTCCAGACGGGTATGTCCAGAACTACTTTGGAGAAGCCTCCGCTATTATTTCTAGTCCATGGGAATCGAGACTGTCCCATAGATATGCGATAGATGAAGCATATAAACGGAGAGAAATGTCGATGACATGGATAGAGATACGGTCTCAATATGCACAACGATCTCTCTCATTTCCAACAGACAAGCTTTCTGCCATTTCGGCCGTTGCTGCAATGGCAGCCGAGGATAACGGAATGACCTACCTTGCAGGTCTCTGGAAAGAAACACTTCTAGTCGACCTCCAGTGGTATTACATATTCCGGTCCTACCCGACAAACAGCCTCTCGACCGTTACCACAACCCAAGAGCCCGGTGACGAATATACCGCTCCGTCTTGGAGCTGGGCTAGCGTGAAATACGATAACGGCACTCTCTACCCGAAACAATCGAGAAAGTGGGCGACCGATCGTCCATGGTATTTTAAAATCTTAGACTGCGCCGTTACACTTATTGACGGAAGTGATTTCGTGTTCGGTCCAGTTAAGTCGGGGTATCTAGACGTCGAGGGTAGGGTGCTAGATGTCGAGTGGGAGCCATGGACCGAGCACACGGTGGCTCTAAATAAGCTTGCGTTGTACGAGTCGCCTCGAGAGAAGTCTGAAGAAAGGCTCGGACAGGCATTCCTAGACTTCCCATTGTCGTGTTTGGAGAAGGGGTTGAAGTTCAAATGCTTAATTCTGACAAAGGCAGACTTGGTGTATACTCAGGTGAAGCCAGAACGCTATGGCGACGTAATTTGTGCACATGCCCTTTTGCTATTGCCACGATCAGAGCCGAATACCTACAGGCGGGTTGGTCTCTGTTATCTCAACGAAGGTGGTTTGTGGGAAGAGACGACTTTAGAGTCGATTAGAATTGTTTGAATAACATCGACAGTCTATATACTATTATGAAATATATTTGTCTCTGTAAAGACATCAATTAACCTTTCTAAGATATTATGTTCCTGTATATTATTCTTTCAGGGTACTTAAGTCAATAACAACGTCTTGAGAGCACCATAGGGTTACAATTAGCAAACCATATTGTGCTATTAATTTGTCTTACTAAAATTTTCCTTGGGTATGGCTTTCAATCACTGCGTGTTTCGATTTATGGTTCTCTTTATTTAGGGGTAATTATTTACTGGTGGATATAATAAATGACACGTAAGATCTAGTCACCGGCAATGATAATCTTCATAGGTATCTGACTATTTGATGGTTAGATGAAAGATGTCTCAATACGAGCAGGAAGGGAGGAATCAACTACGTTATTGTGTAAATGACTACAATTCTAACTAATACGGGACAGCTGAAGACCCTGATAAATTTTGTTCCACATGTTCCGGTGGCTTTGGGCTGAACACCCTCCGGGCGGCTCGACTGGAATGTAGCTCAGACAATGGATTTCTAATGTCTTCACTTAGAGAGGTTAGATACGATAGTATCATATTTGCTTAGTTTTTCTTCGGCCATATCCGACTTGGACGTCGGCCGATTGAGTCGAACCATATGACCATATGTATGAAGTCCGAACAGGGAAGCAAGATACTGTTAAGCGACGGCGCTTATAGCTAGAACATTGCATATCATCGTATATGAGTCTCCTCCCCCATGAATCCTCGAGCAGTAAGAATATTGAATGTAAAATGGCGGTGAAAATGCGCTCGACGGATTAAAAATATTTCAATTCGTTCGTAATTCTCCTAATCAAGTTTTTTTGCTCGGGACTCGGGACTTTCATGTTGGGCAGTCTTTGGGTATATCGGCAAGACTTACCAATCCCCGCTGAAGCCCAAAGCCAACGATCCTTCAGCGCGTAGAATACAACATGATAACTTCAATCTTGACGTAAGAGTGGCCTTGTAGAGACCCTGTAGATGGTGAAATGACGCGGCTTTCATGTTATGTGCCTGAGATATCCAATCAATTATGGAAATAGTGTAGGCTTGTCAACGGTGAGTCATGAGACCCTATTTGAAGTTTTAATGCGATTATTGGCAAAAATGGCGCCTAATCGTAGGTCGCCTTGTTCTCACACCCTGCTATTCCACCGCCTGATGCCAAATTTTTTTTTCTTTATTGATAGATTATTGATAGTCGTTGTTCTCTAGGAGGCCTCAGATGTCTTCGCCATAGACCCGGTCGGGCCAGTGGGTCGTTAACACGACATTGGGCCGGGCGAAAAGCCAGATACGTCAACGAGGCAAAGTCAATCCGAGCGAAATACCTTGGTTGATGAATGAGTAACTCTGTAGATGTTATCCTGTGGGTCTTTAGCCTTTCGTGTTCTTCTAGAGGGCTCCTCTGATGAGTCTTTCTGCATAGTAGTTTGTACTGTTTGTTGAGCGGATTCGGACGTTCCGCATCATTAAGGTGTAAATCCCCTATGAGGTCATGGCCTCGCTTATGCACGCACGCACAAGGAAGATGCTCTATCCGGTTCAAATCTGTTAAATGCGGTGGAGACTAAGCGATAAATCTAAGATCGTTGAGTTGTCGAGTCGGTGTACCGGCGGCAGGTGTGGCTAATAAGTAACGTTGTGATGTGTTGGCGGGCCGCAACGTGGAATCTAGAGCTGTGTAACTAAACACAGCCACATTTCCCCAGGGTCTAGGATAGGTTAGGTACCTATGTACATCCCAAGAAATAAAATCGACTAGGGGTTTATGATCGACAAGGTCCCCGCATACAAAAACAGGTAGCTTTAGGTACGTACCTACATATGTATGTCTTTTTTCAGCTTCACATGGATTTGAACTTACTATTCCAGCGAGGATCACCTTAAAGTGTCACGTATCAAAACAATGCCTATCCATCCGCCTGGGAAACTTGGCAAAATTATTCGTAACGAGATGCCTATCATACATGCCCTTACAGTTGGAATTTCCACAAGTTGGTAACATGCAACTTTTAGTTACATATCTGTGTGGAACCATAGATGTGAACTACCGCGCATGAAAGTAACCTGTATCTCTATAGAAAAGCAAGGGTCTTGTTTAATGCCGAGCTTGCGCCACAACGATAGAGATCGAGTCGATTTTCACATGTATTCATCATCATGTGGGCACTGAGGTCCTTATTAGTATTCTATTATTGCATACTTTCGCGGCAATGACTTCGGAATCGGGTAAGCCACATTTAGGTAAATACGATCCTATGATTCCATATTCTATTGCGCTATTTCGAGATCGGCTAATTAAGAAACTAAAAACTTGGTAACCAAAGGAATACGTGAAGACGTGTTCTGGCTTCTAGATTTACGAGGTACCTGGCTTTAGGTAAGTAAAAGACCACGTTGAACCTTGACTTGGCTTTTACCCAACGTACATAGATAGGCAAATATAGTATTTTAATGCAATATAATTTACTGGCCATCATTCCTCTAATGATATTGCCATTGCGCGTCTCGTCTTAGAAGGGGCTAATGCCGCCCTCACAAATTGGCCGCGTCAAGCTCGTGATGGCTTTAAGGGATGGCTGACTTAATCGACCTGGCGGCTGCTCTTACATCTACGTCCCCACCGATGCATCATATGTAGAACCATTGAGCTGCATGTAAGCGGATGTGATGCACGAAAATATGCTCTCGGATCTTACTACGGTAGACGATATAGACGAGGTAGACCATGGAAACGTCTCCATTGGGTTGCCTCTCATTTGTGCCCCGACCTCGCGGTTGTAATAGGCTTTTGTTGGTCCGTGAAGAAGCACATGATAGTGGAGATAACCTGAATCTCCATACTCCTGAGAAGATCCATTACGACAAGATCCAGTACGACGGGACGTCATGAAGCGATCTGTAGACAAGCAAACAGGAACCTTGCACGGAGAATTTAGAAGCGACGTGGCTTGTCACTATAAAAAAAGAAGTGAAAGTAGTGAGGCGGCAAGGAACGGAATTATGGACCACGGAGAGGCCGTTGCTAGCCTGCCGATGTGCAAGAAACTTGGATACGTACCGGTACTTGCGATTAAGATAGAATCGAGATGCACGGACCAGGGACAAGGTTTAGTTAAGTGTGTGCACGAGCCACACCGGCATTGACGGTCAAGTGACTTCGGCAACCGAGAATTGTATCTCTTTTACTACCTTCACCAATCATCAAAATTCATTCAACTATCATATTTTCAGCCAATTGAATTATTTGTATCATATCTCTACTGACCGAAACAGGTGAGCAGGTATCTCCAATCGTTTTTGAGTGGCCTTGTTGATCCTGTCTTCTCTCGGTTGAGAGCGTCTCGAGTTCGAGCCACATGACTGATTCTCTGCTGGAAGCTTAGATTCGGCATTACTCGATCATGTAACATAGGCCAGTTTATGATACTCACACCCAAGGATGTTATACATGTTAGAAGCGGACTTGTCCAACAGCCGGCTGTCCTTTCTAAGGCATACGTCGGCGTGACGAAGTTTCAACTCGCTCAAGATCGGCCTAGTGGATCTCAGGAGTCTCGGCGGGCTTCTCTATCAACTAGGTCACGATACGATCGAAGAACCCCGGGGACCTTAATATACAATCTGTTAAAGGGTTGGTCTGGACTCTCAGTGTAACCAAAGGCCGATATTCCGGAGCGGGAACTAAGTTTAGTCTTAGTCGGTGCCGTAATGGGGTGATGGTAATATTCCAGATGAGGAAGTAAACAGATAGGAGACTGGAGATGTTCCCCCTTTTGTTAACCCCCCTGGGGGACCTGAGGCTCCTTTCATGAAACACAAATTGAATTTCTTTTTTCTCGAATTATCATTCGCTTATTCTTATCCTTATTTTCCGTTTCGCTCACATCTAGACTTAAAGGTCCCCAGAAATATCATCGTGGTGCTTCCCTGATTCTTCTCATTTTATAGCCAATGGAAATTCAACCTCAAATCAACTTTCTCCACTTCAATACTTTTCCGGTTCGCATGAATCAACCAATCATAACCCAAAACAGCCAATTTACATCGACACACCTCAACTCACCTTCTGCCACTAACATGGGTTACAACCTTGACATATGCCATCGACTGGTTCTCGTTCAATATCGACATGGCTCTAGCTCTCGTCAGACTTGCTCGCTCTTTTCTTTTCGTCCCCATCTAGTAATATACACACGCAATCTGGTCCCTATCTTGTGATGCCTCATTTTTATATGCCCCATCGACTAGCTCCTTGACGCTGTAAGCGCCTCTATGAGCGTACGAGATCGCTCGTTCTCCCTTGCGGTTCTTCGGCTTATGGGATGCTGTACCCCAGATATAACTCTCGGCGGATCCATCTCTTCCTCTAGGACTGACCGGCAAGAAGCCCGAGGCGAGTGTCGTTTCTGCATCTGGCTCGAAAGGGAAGAAGACCTTTTGGTCAAGCGCTAGTCTTCTTCGTCTCCTTCTTTGAGGCGTACATATAGCTTACTTACTAGGTTTCAGATTACTTACTGAGGCGGCGACGCTTCAAGTTATCTCCTCACTCATATGCAAGTCATAAGGAGCTGCCCCAGAATATAGCAGCATCGCAATGCAGCTCTAGGATGCTGGAGACTCTTACTGGTTGGCAGCAAGGATGCATCTATTATCAAAGGGATACTATCAGTCGATCAATATCAAGCGATATCTACCAATGATTTCCTAATCAGTTTCAACTTACTTCCAATGAATAGAAAGCGGCAAGTTGCATTGATACGGCAATTTCCAGAGATGTTCCAAGAGCTCCGGGCGATCTCCTAACAGCGAATTGGACCTTTCATATCGATGATCTATGAGGCACGTTCTTTTAATCTGACTGGCTACTGCATTGGTTACCATATGGGCTTTCAGGTCATCTGCGTCCAGCAGCATGCATGACTACAACGACAAGGCTCCTTCGGTACTAGATAAAGCTGCAGCTTGCTCAAGAAGTTCATGCAGGGAAAGGCTGATCTCGTAATTAGTATATGATGCTTTATTATTTGCAACGTGCTTCTATCTAGTGTCTAGGACTAACAGCGATATCACATTTCTATATTCGACAGTGTGCTTATTTATTATTCCAATGCGACGTTAATGTATGAATATCACATCTCAAAAGAATCACCGAAGGAAGGGGGTTTAATATTCCAAAGTCCAATATGGAACTAGTTCCATTGCAGATGGGCCGATGAATAAGAAAAGGTAGTGAAGATATCGGTACCTCTTTTCGGATGAAACAGATGTACCAACCTAGATAGGCATTAAGCATACGACCTTTTAGACTATAAATTATTTTACGGAGCTTTTTTTTTTTTTTCTACTACGTGACATTATTAGAGAGTGATATGAAGCGGGACAAGAGGACTAATACACATAACTCGGAATACTCCATAACAACGAAACCCACCTAAATACATTAAACAAGGCCGAAGGCAACGTAAACATAGGTATGCATCTATGTAGTTAAACTCAAAAAGAATAGGAGAAACAAGAAACAGTTGATGTTTCCTAATTGACTGTGTATGTACCTATGTGAGGTATTGAAGGTTAGGTACCGGATAAAGGAAACAACCTTGAAAGTTGACATATCCATTGTCAAGTACATGGGTACTTTGGGCTGTGGGCATGTTGGTGGGTTCTTTCCAAAGGGGATTTCCATTGTCGCTTGTACCGGTACATAAGATATGACCTAGAAATCGAGTTTGGTAGAGGCTAAGTAGAGTTTAGTGGCGCTGCACTGGCCACACCTGCAGCATTTTCAGCTCGGGTCTTTCAGTATTACTTCTCCCATTTGCTATTCTCTCTTTTGGGGCATATGCAAGTCGCATACACAGCCCACTCGAAAAAGTGCAGTGCTACGATGGCTCCTCTTTTGCCGCGCATGACTAGGGTGCGTCGGCCGTGGTATCGGTGGATTATTCTGATGCCTGCCCTGCGTCTTGCGTCCTGCGTTGCCTCGTTCTGCGGATGCTACCTAGCGCTACCTAACCTGACTTGCCTGACCTACCTGACCTACCTGACCTACCTGACCTACCTGACCTACCTGACCTACCTGACCTACCTGACCTACCTGGCGTTGGTGGTGGTTCCTAATGCAAGACAGTGGACACACCATGGGAAACCGTACGAAACCAGGCCTGCCCGCATGGCCCATACCATCCCATTACCAGCTAGGAATGCTCCGAGGGATTGGAGAGGGCGAGCAGGGGATGGAAAATCGATATACTATATTGTACACGGCGCGCCGAGGGTGAGAGAGGGGGAAAAAAAATAGTCAAGAACAGAGCACCAAGAGGATTTTACTATAACACACCCCCACACCCACAACACGAGTTTTCTCACCCTCCTCTTTCTTCTTCACGAGCTACTCGTCCACCGTTCTCTTCTTCTTATTTGTGGTCGTAGGCGTACACGCTAATACCCAGTCCTGGGAACGCCTAGTTTTTCTGTGCCGTCTTTTTATTATTATTATTCGTCTTTCCCATCTCACTGACCCCCCTCTCTTCCGCAAGCGCTCTCCACCACCTTTGGATATTCCTTGTCGCATTTCTTCTGTCCTCCTCCGGAGTTTACAGTACTATACAAAAATGCCCCCACAACTGTTACCGGCTTCGGCCGCCGCTTTTGCGCCGCGAGCTTCGTCCGTCAACGTTGTCCTCGGCTCCAAGGTCGAGCCTTGGCTAACACAAACTCTAAAGCGCATCAACAGAGTCAAGAGACCGCTAAACAGCATACCGCAACACCAAAGATGTCTGACCGAGACGCTATCTTCGCCAAACGCCATCTGGACTTTGGCGTCGTTGATGTTACCCAAGGCACCCGAGTCCGACCTGCGCAAAGATTCTAATCCGCTAATAGAGGCTCTGTTCAACTACCAGCTAATACACATCGAGGCTTATATTGTTCATGTCGATATGGTATTGCGGAATGAGGTTGCTTATAAGTTGACGCCCGACTCGATAGAATCTCTTATCGAATATCACAAGGATATCTACTGCGTCAATGCTAAGGCCGACACTTACGACTGGCCCGAGAAGGAGCAGCACGCCAAGAAATTGCACGAAGACTTCGTCCAGGCTATTAACAAGTTCGTTTATAGAACTCACGTTTCCGCCCTCGAGGGTTTAGAAGAGGAGGGTGCTGGAGAGTTATTATGTGGGAAGAGTGAGGAAGTTAAGAATAACGTCATGGGATTGATAAATAAACCGCTACTACCGCCACCACCGAAGATCGTCGATGTCGTCCGCCAACCGCCATTATTACCCAGTTCACCAGTGGGTGCGAATATGTGGTCGCAATCTATGCATTCGCCTGCAATGCCTGCTCCGGTTGAGCCATGGAGGGTTCTACCCTCCAGCCCCAACTCTACCTCGGTAGAATCGACTGCGCCGATATGGGCCAACATGGGGTTACATGACATTCAAGTGACTTCGCCAGGCATACCGTACAGCCAACCGTACTCCACGGCCGGAATGTTTTACAGCTCGCCGATGGTGACGGCTCCGATTCCGGCGCTGCCGCTTCCCAGCATGTTGGCGTCGCAGTGCGGTGTAGGTGTGGGATATGGCGGTTTCGGTTGGGATCGATATCAGGAGTATACGACGACCATATGACAATCACCGCCTGCCACGGGAGATCGCCTGCCAGTGGTAACGACCTCTTAGCAGCCCTCTAACTTCAGATGGTGATTTCGGTTCTCGTTTCCTCCAATTCGAAAAAGACATCTGCTGCATAGATCTCATCGCGTCCCAGTGCATCCCGGCGTTTTGCATCGATTAGGAACGAACTTCTCGACCGTTTTGGCATATATAATAATCTCGGGGTTTCTTTATTTATTTATTTTTATGTTTGGGAAGCGAGCGTTTGTTTTTATAGGGTATACCTCACATCGTCACAACCGCCAGCTCGGTCACAAAGCTGTATTTCTTTTTCACCACATGGCTGGGACTCGGTGGGTATCTGATCGCATTTACAAGTAGGGCAGGGCCTCGAGATATGTGAGGCTGGATTTTCCTTTTCTACGTTAAAATAAGAGGTATACGCAGCAATGCACCCGATCATCGCCCGGCAAAGACCTGGACAGGACAAGTTTTTCGATTACCACATTTTTATTTTCCTCTCGTTTTACGGCATAAAGTGGCTTTCTTAAACAAAGATACCCCAATTAACCAACGCGAAACCATGGACGATGGATTCGGCCCTCTGATTCGCATCCTCGCTTCAGGAGATATTCTTTCTTTTCCCGGGACTCGGTTTCATGTGTTACGATTAATGAACGACCTAATAACGAATAATCACGCGAGCTTAATGACGACTTCCCCGACGATAAGGACCATATTCAACTTGACGTTGAACCTTCTCTCCGAAGCAAGAAATCCCATTAAGCGACAATGAATTATTCGAATGGAAGATGCAAGGGATTGAGTCCCATAGTTGCATCTTGCACGGTCGATTCTACACGTCGCATCGAAACCGAAATCAAAGCAGATCATCTGAGATACTGCTCCCAAAGGCAGACACTGGTTGTCAGCATGCCAAGGCCTCTTGCGTATTCTGAGTTGCGCCGTGGCAAGATCGGTAAGCAATCCAGAACGCAGTGGCCGGGACCTGAAAGCGAGGGGGGAAAGATCTCACGATCACACAAAAGAAGCTGGGCATAATTTGGAAGTCCTTGCTGAGCAAGGAAATGCGGAGCCCTTTACCGCCGTCTTTGCCCGCACATTACTAGATCCGTCAGCTCATCCCTTGGAATAACGCCTCTCCCAGAGACTCGACTAAGCGCCGCGCCGAGTTAGGTGCACGACGCGGCCGCCCTACCAACTTCTGGTAGGCATGCCTAGACATGCAGGCGACCGCGGCAGTTGATGAAGGGAGATAGGTTGTTTTCTCCAGGGATAGAGGACTAGGAATGATGCGCGGCGAATTGTAGCATCATCTCACTACATCCGGATCTCCCGGTGCGAACGAAAGATTCCCCGGATGAGTGACGGTGAGCCACATAGGTGGTACATTGCTGCGCAAGTACCAACTAGGTGGCATGAGATGCTGGATAAAAGAGTCGTGTCGGCGGTGGCCCTGGAGGCAATTATCAAACACGGCCGGCATGTACGGTCAAAAAGCTCCCCCCTGCATTGTTTAGTTTGAAATCACAATAGTATCTACCTAGGTAGTTAATTGAACATTATCAAGTTCATGAGCCACATGTGTCACTACGTTGTTTGTCCCCCAAAATATTAACCCTTCGTTAGGCTCTAATGCGTGGGGCATGCATGGGCGCAAGAGAAACGTAACACTCTATCACATGCGCTGCGCCGTTCAACTCGGCCGTTGGGATGTTTTGGACTTGCCTTTCCTGTCGCCAGCCTCCGTTATTAGTACAGACATAGACACGGACACAGACCAAGTAGTAAGCCCTTGATGATCTAGTAACATGCGCGTCAGCAACGAGACGAAAGCCACAAGTTTGAGTTCTTTTTGCCTCATTATGATATGCTACGGCACATGATTTGTTAGGTGCGGCTGTGACCGCACAATACACAGGCGAAGAAGAGAACGGCATCTGTCTATCCGGAGTTGCGAACCCCATCCGGAAACACATGGCAAGAGACAGGGCCGATGGGACTCGGCAGATCGGTTTCAATTTTGGAAGTGTTGGATCTTACGGATAAGATATCTGTTAGATAGGTACCTATCATAACAGACAGCAGGCTGGTTACCAGTGAGTTACTATGTTTATCTGAACCGAACCCACTCTCGGTCTACGATTTCTTACGGGCCTACTACCTACCTATTGTATGCGGCGTCGATCATATAATATAAACCCTTATACGGAATTCCGCGTGCTGATATATGTACATATCTACCTACATATATTCTATTCACTCGGTAAGACGTATGTAATACGCGACATGGCTCCCCAGTCGCGTGTGTGCGAATATCAGTTCCGTCGCAATATGTATCGTATAGGAGACAATTCGTCTGCCGCGAAGATCTCGTCATCGTCTTGTCCGGATTAGGTAGGTACTCTATCGAGTTAGGCTATCTTTTCCCCGTTTCTGTTTTTTATAACTAGGTACCTGTGTTTTTTGTCTTGGTCGTTTATCTGACAAATGTGGGGGATCGTCAGGACATACCGAGCGCTGCTATATGCCATATGCTATACTACTTCTGACATGTGGCCCTTATGTTTCTGCAATGGTGGTTGTTAGATAAAATTGATGGTAAAGTGTAAGTGTAAGTGTAAGTGTAAGTGGTATGTGTACCTAATGTATGTGTAAAGTGTACGTATTTGCATGTGACGCTAACTGCGCCACGAAAAGAACACGATCGAAACATGTACGATGCCCCCCGATGGGCTTTGCTTCAGCCATCTATTACATACTAAGATCAATACTTAACCACCTATGCTATATGCATGTTGGGTCATGTTTCTCAACTTCACACATTACGCAACATCCGTATGGGGTAAAATACATGCCAAACATACATAATTACCGCATCTAAGCCTACTTTATGTGTCAGTCTATTAGAAACAAGACGGCGGTATTCGCGTCTTGCGCCGGCGTGCTACAGAACCCATCAACGAGAAACGAATACGGCCTGCATGTTGATGTAGGTAATAATGTAAATAGTAAATACGTAGTAGGAGGGAGGGACATACATATGCATACATGCATGCATGCGGATGTAGAGTCGTGGCGGAGAGCGACCAACATGTCGACCCGCATACAACATATAGCATACAGCATACAGCATAGTTACATGAAATAAAATAAACTATCGCCCGGCCCCCCTTTCGAGACTACCGGATGCTTCGCCGTGATAGAGTACGACATCATATTGCCGGACTGTAAATAGGAAAAGGAGAGTAAGGAGAGTAAGTACGCATAAGACATGATACCAATCGGCATGATTCTCTATCGGTAAAAATTAAATTATATGTACGACTTAGATACCTAAATAATTATTTCACTTATTTTCATTACTAAGATTATAGGTATATATTAGGCGCGAGACGGACGTGGTCTAAGTGATAGATAGGTAGGTACCTAGTAACGCGCGCGTCGCAGAGCGCAGAAGGAGTTCGGAGTTACCAGCCGAAGTCTTCTGACAGCCGCGTTGTTCCCGAATCCTTTTTTAGGTGCTGACGGACGAGAAGCGCTGGCTCCGCGCGCATGAGGCATATTCCAAGGCGCGACGATAACAGCCCTACGAGCCTGATTTTTCTTTTTTTTTTCTTCTTCTTTTTTCTTTTCTCAGAGTACCTACCTAGATAAAAGATGAGATAAGCTTGCCGTTGCAACGTGTGCGGCTGAGCTCCAAGCCTAGAAGAATATCCCCTTTTTTCTTGTTTTATGGCCATTATTTGGAGAAGAAGGGGGGGGTCAGAAAAATAAATATCCGGCTTGGGTTTTCCCTTCCCCTCACCCCCTTTTTTTTCCTTTTTCTTTACGACCCGAACACAGCAGATGAACACAGCAGATAAATTAGAGTTGTGGTACCGGTGATGCTTATTGGTCGCCGTACGAAGAGTAAATGACTAATAGAATAGTTAAAGAAGCTTACTAGGGAACGCAAATAGTAACACCAAACGGGAGTGCCCGAAAGTCTAATTAACCGTGCCGTCCCTTTCTCCAGATTATTGGTAAACTTTAATCTTAAAAGTGTCGTTTCGTCTTCTTTTCCCCGTGCGCTGTTGCCGTCTTGAGTTGGGGGCTGGAAGGTTTCGCCATGTGTGCCATGTGGTAATACACAAAGCCTTGTTAAAGACTCATTTTCATAGGATGGATTACCTACAAAATCTGATGTCAGTCTCTATGCCGATCAAGCCCTGCGCATAGGTCCTGCAGCTGTCTGTAAGCCTGATATTGTCAATCGATACTGTGCTTATAGATAAACAGGTGGGCGTTTCCCCCCTCCCCCCTTTCGTATGCTGCAGAAAGATAGCCTCGTCGCTATACCTCTCGGTTTCGAATTGGAAAATGCGCAATGGTGCCGCACGAGGGAAACACAACAGAAAACGTCACGAGTAAACAAGGCCGCACCGTTGACCGCTCATTCTAAGACTTGGTGCTACTAGACTAACGAACGAACAGGTGTTCCCGGACGGACGGCCAAGATAATGCAGCCTGTAAGCAGGAGCGTTGTAGCATCTAGATCATGCCATCATCTGTCTGTATGATAGTCGTCTCTACTACTACTACTACTACTACTACTACTACTATTACGGCCTTGCATACCGAAAGGGACGCTGACTGTCGTATTATGTATGCGTAGAGTAATCGACGATAATGCTCCCCCTAAATGACTACCTAACCTAAGTAGATAGCCTACTACCAATCCTTTGGGACATTAGTCTAGACCGGCGGTCAGCTAATATTGAGTCCTACCAAGACGGGTAGACGAGATTAAGGCTAAAGTATGTATGGCAGCCATGCCACCACCCCCCCGGACGTGCGCACGGCATTGATAACCTTATGACAGCGTTCAAGCATCCCCATCTTTGTGTACCGCAATGTCTGACTAGGTCGTATCACACGGTGATACTTATTTCCAGCCTCCAGATTTCCGAGAACGTAGGACAAGATAGTGACGCAATATACCGAAATACTGATATTGTTGTTGGTGCTAATTAAAACCCTGTTGTGCATAAGATTATTGCGTGGTAGTGCGTAGTCGAAACGTTCAGCTCGTCTTATTTCATGCCTCCTAGATATTCCTTTGAAAAGCCGAGCTATTGCTTAACGATAAATATAAACATTGTAAACATCATGATAGGTAGAGCTATACAAACTGTTGTAGCTGCTAGGTAGTAGGCTTGCAGGACAAGAAGTGTTGTTGGGATACTCGTGCCTCAGATCGGGCCGTATCCCGGTATGAAGGAATCTCGCTAAGTCTTAGATAATAACCCATACCGTAGTATAGATGCTACCTAAGATCTATTCAAGTGTGCTGGATAACTCATAGTACTACGTACATCAACACCGAGTCTACCAGTTCCGAGTGTTCGGTCTTCCACTCGTTTATCCGGGTGAGATTCCATGGCGCCCGTGGGATTTCATTGCGACGTGTGAGAATTACAATTATATTGCTCCCACAACACTTTGCTCTTCTACATGACTCTCCGCTTCGGAATCTTAAGGGGTTTGAAAGTCCTAGATATTCGGTAAACACCAAGAGAATGGCTGATACGTAGCTTATTATGGCAATATACCTAACTCATGTCGAAGCAAACTCCAGGGCGTAGATAAATCGTAATAGTAATCCCCTCCTACGAGGTTACTTCGAGCCCATCACGTAGCAGTACATACTCATGGATCGCGCATCCACTTCCCCCCCGCCCCCAATAGAGGTCATAGGTATATCTTACAAAGCGGCGCGAATCTGATCTCCTCTTATCAGATCCTGTGAGACGCGCCTGGCGATCCAATCTGCAATAGCCATATTGGTAATCATGGGGTTGACGCCACTCGCAGTCGGGAACACGCTCGCATCCGCCACGTACAAGCCGCACGCCTCCCAGACCCTACCCTCGGGGTTAACGACGCCGCCAGCTGGGTGCGTGCTCATACGGCATGTCCCCATCTGGTGTGCCGACGAGAAGGTCGCGTCCGGGTAGTTAAGCCCGGTCCGTTCGAGAGTCTTGACCCAGGCGGCGAAGTCTGGGTCGTTGATACCTTGGTCGATATCGTCTAGTTCGTCTGCTTCTACTTTTGGCGTGGTGTCAGTTGAGCGGGAACGCCGTACGAACGACGGCATACTTTTGACGAACGGCCATATCTCGGTTGCGCCTTCAATATAGCATAGTTTTGCCAGGGCGATTATTCCGGCTAATATGTGTTTACGGTCGAAGGCTGAGGGTGAGTATTCAATGATGGGCCGGCCATCGTCCGGATCTGGGTACACTCGCCCTGTATCGCGATCGCGGGCTATGGCGATGTAACTGTTCATCTGTCGGCAACGGAGTAGATCTAGCTTCCACTGCAGCGCGCTTCGCCAAGGGTGTCCGTGCAGGAACATATGGGGCTATATTTGATCGCATGAGTTGGTTATTTACGATTGAGTAAGTATTAGGATATCTTACAATCATGCTCGTCGGCTCAATTTTGACACCGTGCCCTTTCCCATCAAGGTTCTCGAAACTAGTACAAACACTTGTCAAGATACCCCCTGCGTAGCACCGTTAGCATTGGTGTCGTTTAATATAATATAGAGATCAACTTGTACTTACCTTCCCAACCTCTAATATCCTCATCAAAAGAGGCATTCATTTGACCGACTGGATGTAAATAAAGATGTTTACCGATATGGGGGTTCTAGTAACTAGGTAATTAGGCCATGCCATCCCTAAGGTATTACTTATGTAGTATAATAGGGGTCCTACCTTCAGCCCGCTTCTCATTAACAACAGTGGACTATTGAGTGTACCACAAGCTACAATCACTTTCTTCGCTCTTATTCGAAGTTGTCTCTGAGTTCTCTCGGACTCGGGCGTATGGATATTTCCATCTTTATCTCGTGATGTCCACGTTCCTAATATACCAATCGCCGTCTTCGATCCACGAGTCTCGTCAAAGAGCACCTCGGAGACATTAAAACCTTCAATAAACTTCGCGCCTGCTCTTTCAGCAGCCGGAAGCCAACTGACAGAGGGGCCTTCTTTTTCGCCGGATCCGCAACCGGTAGCACAATGGCCGCAGTAGTGTTCGGCGCCTCCTGTATTCTGCGGACATGGTTTGGCAGCCCAGCCCAGCTTTCTTGATCCGTTGAGAATGACATTTGCCCCATGATTATGGCGTATATGGGCATCGCTGACCCCCACTATAGCAATCGTGGTTAACATTCCTCCATCCGAAATGATACACGAAACGGGGAAGTGCAGCTTGACTGCTTAAATCTAATATATCCTAATATAGATATAGAAGTTTATGGACTCGAAGGTTAATAAAGAAGCTTACTAAAGTCGCAGACACGATCTATGCAGTGTTGGAACTCTTGCGTGGTGAAGAAGTCCAGGCCCTGATCCGCCCATTCTTGTCGTAAAAACCCCTGAGGGTGTAAGCTAACACTCCAATTCACTGTAGTAAATTGCGTTAGCGTTATTTTTTTTTTGTAGAGGAAGCCGGCGTAGTGGTATTAGATTTGTGATGAGAGGTGACTTTTCGGTAGTCTTATCGAAGGAATCCCAATTTCGACATATGATAGTATTACATACCTGTCCCACCTCCGCCCCAGCAGCTACCAGCAAGGATGGTCACGGAGCCGTCCACGCTCTGTACGGCACCATTTCCTTCATAAAGAAATCTAACACCCGCTTCGGCTGTCATCGGTAGTTGGGAAGAGGGAAAGTGATAGCCCTTATCGACGACAATCACCTTGTGTCCAGCTTCGGAAAGGACCTTGGCACAGACTGCCCCTCCGCAACCCGAGCCGACGATTACGACGTCGGTATCGACGGTTTCTATCTCAGATCCGGCCTCGAACTGCATGAAGTCGAAGTCAAACGACGGGCCGGGCTTATAGTCGTCGGTAACCTCGGTGTAGCCGCTCAACTCACGAAAGAAGGGGTCTGTTTGAGCAAAGCAGACCTTGGCTATTCTGGTAATTGAGTTTCCGATTATCGGCCAAACAGTCATCCACGAGTGATTCCATGCTTGAATTATTGACTCCCTGACGTGAATTGGCTGTTCGTTTACAGGAGTATAATACCCCGTTGCAGCTAGGCTCCCCAGACGAGTACTTTTCAACTCGTTAGCTACACTAGGGCTTACAGGTATTACAAGACGGGACAAGAATACGCCTTACGCCATTATATTTAGGATAGCGCCGAGTTGTTTTCTATTACTATTTGGAATGCCTTCAAGTATGCGCTTGACTGCTACCAAAAATCGCGGGTTGTCCAAGGGACGCGTTTGAAGATACTGCTGGAATTTCTCATAGTCTGGCGGGGTTTTCATAGAACTCTGTATACGCTCATATGACTCCTGTAATTGAGACTTAGATATTTGCAGGTGATTTTTCCTGTCTGTTACTTCTGAGTCTGCGACAATCGACGGGACGACAGCATCGACTAATGCAAGGAGAATCTGCCATTGCGTCTGAGAAAAGTATGTATCTGGCTTCAGTTCAGGGAGTTGGGTAGGAATAGGTGCCGTGAGGTGATTAGTAGCAACCATTATCATAACTGATGAGTAGTCGTGATCTATAATATAAAAATAAGTGAATCTCTGATGTTTACTTTTATTACTTTGAAGAGCTGTCGTTGAACTAAAAAGATACAACCATAAATTGGTCTGTGCCCTCTTACTTGCCTCGGCTCTTGGAGGTTACATACTAGCTTTCCTTGAGTCTGATTGGTTAAGATAGCTTATGTAACTCCATGAAGAATAGTTGTATAACATTGATTGGCCATTTCGTTTATATATAAACCTCAATGTATCCCCTACCTAGGTCCAGCTCTAAGTAATCTGCATATAAACTTACCTTATACGTACATACCTAAATGTATGTACCTCCTAATGCAGTCTCTTCAGCTCTAGCCTAATTGCGGGGTATAAGGCAATAGGTATCTATGTAGGGTTAGCTGCTTAGTTAAAACCACATACACAGATCTACTATTATTACTAGGAATGGTTGAGATCTCTAGTTCATAATAGTTGCGGAGAAGATAGACACATTTATGTATACGGATCCGTAGTAAATACTACACTTCTATATGGTCTAGAAAGCCCAATAGAATGGCACTGCTTTCTTCTGTAAGGCATCGGAAAACTCGGATGTCTGAGGAGGGGATATATATACCAGAACATGTCAATAAAAAATTTAAAGGTGGCGACTTAACTAAGACACTTCGACTTCGTTATTACCATATTATAGTATTGTTTAATGTTTTTGATATTTGATAGAATTTAAAGAGTGCGTGGTATAATATTGTGACTATGATAAAATATGTTTGTTTCAAAAGGACAGATAAATATGCCCGACGTTTTTATGATGCTGGTTTGTGATATCGTAATTGAAACTAGCCGAATACTACCATATGTGCTCTTCCGTTACATGGGATATTAAAACTTAGCCCTATAAGTGTTTTGTTCCAAATTTTGTTGGGAGAGGGGCAACTTGCATTTCGGAAATGTGTGTAAAAGCCCACTTACGTTTACATTAGCATCTAGGTTAGTTAATTAATACAAAATCAAATAATTTATCTTATATATTAGTAAGTAAGGTTATCGAACAGTATAGTATAAGTCATTACGTAGTGATGATCGAATATAAACTATATGCATGCGAGGATCACAAGGTTGACAAGTTGTACTCTGACGACTTTCGAATGAACTCGTTCTTAATTTATTGAAATTCGGATTACGACTTGCTTCCAGTTTGTAAGTCGGGACTCCGCACATGTATCTAAGTACCTTTCCACGACTCTGTTTCCTGATTGGGAGATCTGGTACGATCAACTTGGAGAAGACTCCACCCAACCAGGAACTCGCCCCTGAAAAAAGAAAAATGCATTGGCTGATACGATCATAATGCGGGGGGTTATGCAATGAGGGGAAAGGCAAGACTGCAAGACGGCAGGTTTTGTTGGGAAGCGGATCTCGGAACTTTGAGGCTTGATTGCCTACATACCTACTTAGGTACTTGATAATGCAACATTAGGTACACGCATACTACCATACTTACATACATAGTACTAGTAAGTTATCCGGGGTCATCGTCTGCAGCTTCAAAGAATCACCAAATGGTGAGAATCCCACCTTTTGAATAATAATACCCTCACCCAGATAAGTAACTGCTTACTATTATGCATGAGTGAAATTGAGTATAATAGTCCACGTCCTGTCAAAATAGAAAGAAAAGAAAAAAGATCAAAATCAAAGTTTCTTGAATTGATGAAACTCGGAGAGACTTGAGACTGTTTCGCTTGCGGCACCCACAATTCCGGTTGACCCACACTATCCGTATGCCGGTGCTCCGGGCTAATCTATCAAATTCTACCAACAACATAATTTTAGGTTTTCCAAATTGGTATTCGCCATGGATTCTAGATCGTGTTACCGAGGCGGACTTGTGATATCGGGCTCCAAATCTCAGCTCATCGCCCTCTCATGACGACTATATAGTATGATATCGGCATAAAAGCCGCTTTTCGCAAACCCAGTCGGACCTTAGGATGATGGAAAGATCCACAAACACCGGGCATAACGAACTTTCCTCGGCATATCAGATGCGACCACATGCTAACTTTAATCATTAGAGAGGCGGTCAGAGTCTAGTGTCAATAGGAGTTCAACATTATGCCAGATGCCGTCTCGTTTTTGACACTCGCAGACTCGATAGGAAACTTGCTTTTGTGTCACCAACAAATAACAAAATGGAAAAAAAAAAGAATATGTCAAAATTGCATCCTTATGACCGATAAGCGGGGAAATGTGAGCACAATACACTACCAGACTTACATATAAAACATACAGAACATATGATAATATATGGGGGAATACGGGATATACCTATCTAGGTAATGTTTATCTACCCAATACAAGATTACAAGATTATAAAATGTATGATGGATGATGTACTTGGGTACTTACATACATACAGCCGGTCTGCCGGTACCTATTAGCGTTAGAGTACATACCTAATGTACCTAATGTATGGAAGCCACTTCGAAAAATTCCACAACCCAAACAACAGTATTTATACCCGATTCGGCAGGGGCGAGTTAAACAGACCAATAAAAATCAAGGAAATATTTACCAGATAAACCAGATAAAACCAGACTCTTCAACTGTTGAGCTTTTTCTGGCTTCGTGGTACTTGAGCGACGACAGATATCGTGACCTCGCCGTCATTCCCCCTGTCCCAACCCAGCTTTAGCGCACCCAGAAATCAATTGTACCGCGGTCCAATCTGCAGGAACCTTGCTGCACTGCATCCCTCAAAATTTTTTTTTATTTCCTTGTGGTAAATTTGTAGATGTGGTTTAAATATTTGATAGCATCGAAAAAGGAGCTTGACCCCTTCCGTACATATGTCTTTTTAAACGTGACCTTTTATTTGTGACTTTCAGCAGAGCCAAAGTTGCATTTTTTTTCTTTCCCAATGCATTCATAGACAACTCTCGACTTACACCTTGTCTTGTTTTGCAGATATAAGTATACATATCGCAACCTATCGCGTGCGTATTCTATATCCTTCTCGAATTCATATCCAACACATATAATTCTAGTTACTAGAGTTTCAAAAACTCTTCTCTCTGATCTGGGATAACCAATATCGAGAATGGCTGCACCAATCGTCCTCCTCTCGCCTCCAGCGGCCTCCCTTTTCCAGTTCCCGCCTCACTCAGGGCCGCGTGTTATCCCTCCTCCGAGCTTTAACGCACCTTTCCACATACCAGACAACCTATACGTCAACGCCTTGGACCCAAGAGTGCCTCTCACCATCGCTGCCGTCTACGCGGTCACCGCTAAGGCGCTTAACGCATACAACAGGTCAAACGGCAAGAAGCCATGGGCTATCAGCAAGACAAAGGCATTCCACTTCTTGGTCGTTCTCCATAACGTCTTCCTTGCTGTATATTCGGCATGGACCTGGTTAGGCATGTTGAATACCTTCCGGAACTCGATTGTGAGCCCGGCTGGACCCAATGGCTGGGCCGGTACTGTTGACAGTATCTGCAAGATCCACGGAACTGCTGGTCTGGAAAATGGTATCAATTACAACCAGGCTCGAGGAATCTGGGAACCATCGTTAGGTGCCGGTGCTATGAATACTCTATATTCTCCCAGTCCAGATGACCGGGGCCGAATTTGGAACGAGGGTTTGGCATTCTACGGTTGGATATTTTACATCAGCAAGTTCTACGAGGTTATTGATACCCTGATTATCCTTGCCAAGGGCAAATACAGCTCGACACTCCAGACCTACCATCACGCCGGTGCTATGATGGCCATGTGGGCTGGTATGCGTTACATGTCGACACCCATCTGGATCTTTGTCTTCTTTAACTCGGCCATCCATGCTCTCATGGTAAGTTCTCGTCTTTAAGTCTAATTATATCTATACCTGCTAACTTTGAGGAAGTACACCTACTTTACCGTGACAGCTTTCAACATCCGCGTCCCTCAGGTGGTCAAGCGTACACTTACCTCGCTTCAGATCTCACAATTCATTATTGGTGCTTCCGTTGCCATTGTCCATTCGTTCATGTCGTACTTGGTTCCGGTTCAGATCGAGGTTGCTGCTGCTGAAGCTAGCGCCGCAGCATCGAGTATCTCTGCTTCTGCAAGCGCGACTCCCAGCGCCGCTAGCTTTGTTAATGGTCTCAAGAAAACACTTTTCGGCGCTGCCGAAGCTGCTGGTGCTGCCGCCGTGGTGTCCTCGTCCGAAGCCAATTCCACGCACCAGGGAGCCAGTTACGTAACTAGGTACCAAAAGGTTGACTGTATTACAACAAGCGGTGCAACCTTCGCCATTTGGCTTAACGTTATCTACCTTGCACCTTTGACTTACCTCTTTGTGTCGTTCTTCATCACGAGCTATCTGCGCCGTAGCAAGGCTGAGGTCGTCCGTGCTAAGAGCAACCCGGACCGCCGCCTAAGCAATGTTATGCTAGCAGAGAAGGCTAGTTGGGATGCAGCAAAGGGCCTTGAGCGCGAGGTGTATGGCGAGAGCAAGGATGGCGCTATTATCGAAGACAGCGATGATTCAACTAACAACGACAAGCTTCATCCGTCATCGGCTGCTCGAGCCAACGGGGTTAACTCGAAGGCTAGGTAATGGAAGACCCAACGACAAGGAATTCTTGAAAGAGATAATACATCAGCCGTACCAAGGGAGGGATTAATAAGGCGGACAGCCCCAAGGTGGGCATCTACGAATAAATTCGTGGCAGCTAAACTGCAACACTACCGCAGCATTATTGCACCCGCGATGTATTAAACCAGTTACCGGAGTTTGGGGATGGAGGAAAATAGGAATTATGAAAAGGCACTTTTGCATAAGAGGGTACGCGGCGGTCATGAGATCAAGCCCAAACGAAGTTTGACTCAGTAATGATAAAGAGTCATCAGAGTTAGTTAAATGTGTACATATATAAAGCCAACCTCAATGTTAAATCAGTAATGTATATAATATAAAATGTCTTCAACGAACGAGCTCTTGCTTAACATGATTACTGGTGCTTTTTGGGGAATCAAATGTTACGAATAAGGAGGAAATGTACTATAATTTATCTCTTGTCAAGTCATATTGGTATCTGGGTCAAAGTACAGAGAGGATGACAATATGTTTATAATAATACTCTAGCAACGCTTCAGAGACTCGCTAGTCGTAGTACGATATTATATAAGATATAACCAACACGAAGCTTCTCTCCTAACCCCTATATCCTCCAACTCCTATACACAAGGCGTATACGCATACGTTAAGACTCTCCCAAGGCTACTCCTTCAGATTAGCCACGAGCCCCATGACCCTATCGAGCACAGCATCAGCACGAGCGTGTTTCGCCCGCTCAGCCTTGTAGTCCTCAACTTGCTGGCTAATAGCACGAGCCCACTGCTGCAGCTCTGCGGCGCGCCCCTCGTCTCCCGGCGGGAACCGCTCGCACAGCTCCTGCAGAAAGCGCTGGAACGTCAGGTCTATGGTCGGCCATACCGCGGATCCCCGCGACAGCTCATCGTACTGTGATATCTGCGTCTCGAAGAAGTGCGACCAGGCTTTGAAGGAGTCGGCCCTGACGCCGCGGCGTGTCGCTTCGGCCATCTGCGCGATGGCGTCTTCGGGCGTCTTCAGCTCGGCGGGACTGGGTTTAAAAGAGTTTGCTTGGGGGGTGCTCAAGGGGGATGGTGGAGGCGGGATATGGCTTTGCTCGGCGCGTCGACGTGTGAAGCTGAATTGTTGGCGTGGTGTGGGGATGGATGGTACGGCTGAGGTTGGCCCGGGTTGGTGTCCAGTAGGAAGATTCGAAGATCGGTGTCCATGCCACTTCGAACTATAAGGCTCGGCAGCCGCACTGCGAGAGTATATGGCTTCGTCATCGTAATTTGGTTTATCGCTCCTAAGAGCAGGTTTCGCGTTGGTTGCCGCGGTCTCCTTACCCTTGCCTTTGTACATCTTGGTCCAACCTTCGTCCGTGCCGGTCGCATGATTGCCTACGCATTCCTCGTAGAGCTTCACCTGTTCGTTCACGGAGAAGCGAAAATTGCGGATGCTGTTTTGGGTGTAGTTATCCAGAGCAAAGAGAAGAGGACAGGTTATCCCGGTTCTGGCCACATCCAGAGCCCAGTAGCAGAGGAAATCATATGCTTCCCATAATTTATTGACACCGTAAAGACGTTTCTTAGGATCACGAATCCAGTTCTCCATGGTAGTATCGAGGACGGGCTTGATCCAGGCCTGCTTAGGCGATGGGTCAACTTCAATGCAGACGTGAAGTCGCCTCTCCAAAGCATACTTATGAGTCGCCCAGCCTGTGTTTCATGAAGTTAGTAACGTTCCTTTCTCCTCATAGGACGAGCCATACGACGTTCTATCATGCTTTTTGGTACGTTAAAAAGGAACGCAGACAGTAGGAGCATCGGGAAGAAAAATACACAATAGCAAGGTCTTGTAAAAAAAAATAAATAGAAATATGATGAGACCAAAATCATCTCGCAAGAAATATACATACCAACATGTTTCTCCTCGTCAAAGTCCTCAGGAACCGGGACGGCCCAGGCAGGGAGACCTTCAAAAGCCTTCAAGTCATGGCCCAAGTACTCCGACTCGAAGAGATTCTCAACGAAAGCAGAGACGACTTCTCCAGATTGTGCCCAGATTTGACCAAGCGTTCGGATCATTCGTCCGTTCGCAGCGTAACCGGCCCAAGGAGCGAGGACGGTACCGGCACTCCTCTGTTCTTCGTCGCTCATGATCTTACGAGCCTCTATTACCGGATAGTTGGTAGACTCCGGGCCGTCGCTAATTCAGTATATAGTTAGTAGGTAGAAAACGGAGAGACGAGCCTCAATAAAAGACATAGGGACGGTACGGATTAGGATGTCGGCGAGATAGAGGGGTGAGGAATAGGGGTAATTTATTGTTTTATACCTACCAAGATATAATACAAGAGGAGGAAAGAAAGGCACTTACTCAGCATCAAGCAATGAAAAGGGGTTGTTGCTCTGGAACATCGTTTGGCGAGTGCTATGGCTCATGTTGTTGTTGTTTGGGAAAAATATTAGAAGAAATGCCCTAGGAAATCATCAAATCTAAGAGAAAGAGATAGTTTATATACTTTTATAGTTAGTTTTTAGACTGACTTTTAAAGTACGGATATGGAACACGGGTGGTGTTTGCTTGCGAGGCGAAAGGAATATCTGTGAAGAAGAGGGTTGCAAAAGGAGTGATTTGGGCAACGCATGAGGAAACGAAGTGTGAGTAGGATGAGATATTCAGAGTTTGTATGAAGCAACGCATCACTCCGTTGGCATACTCAGGGGAATAACCAAATGGGGTGTATGACTCCTAAGGTAGAACCACAACTGCTAACGTGCCATTGTAAAGAAAAGTTCCATGTCATAAATAATCAGTATACCAAGACAGTTATCATAATATAATTAGACTTTATGTTGGATTCGTTAAGCCAAGATCAAGATACTATCATGAATAATACGACCAGCCTATTACGCAGCACTCCTGATTCCCTTTCACCAGACTCTTGTGTCACAGTGACATGCTCTAGAAAGTACTATTTACTATGAAATGTTGCGTGTCTCTTTACAACCAAGATCGGAGATGGTTCACTCCCCCCCTTTATTCCAACCACCGAGGTAAGATTCTAACTAACCAATGGGATTTATGAATACTTTTATCATAGTGTATATGGGAGATTTAGGGTCGTGATTCTACTGACATGGCAAATTAATATTGACTACTTGGGTTGAAAAGCCAGTGTTAGGGGTAAATCCATTAGGATATTGGGTATATAAGAAGCGCGTAGCGCTCTCCACCCTCGGAAGAGGATAGAAGACCAAGCGTTAATAGTTCAATACAACTATCCTAACATTCACTCTATGTATGACGTTCATCATGGGTATCAATCTGATAGCTACCCAGGTAAGAATCTCGTTGATTAGTTAATGTCATACGGACGGTCATTTGCATTATAGTATAAGCATATCGTAAGCTAAATTATAACTATCATATCAGACTCTTAAGTTTTAAGTCCTCTAAGTATGGGAGAATTATATTTGCTCGATAAGTGAGAGGCAGTGTTTTCTTAGACATAGTCACGGCGCTTTACGTGTAGGAGATTGTCCACTTGGTCTATCGGAACAACTGTCTCTAGTACTACAAATCGGACCTCGTTAGTCCTAATAGCAACAATTTAACTAACTCGCGGCGCACTTTAGTCACTTGATAATCGGGTGGTAAGATCATATCAGCCACAGTTGTGAAAGGGCCCAAATACTAAGATAAATAGCATGACAATGTGTATTTTGACTTGGCCCTAGTTAGTATCTCGCGGATCTGTTATATGGAAGCAGGATGGATGCTAAATCTCTAGACTAGAGCAATAATAGACCTTTCCTTAGGGTATAGCTTGCAGTTAGAGACGTAAGTAGTGCTGGCATCTACCTGTTACAGCTTTATACGTTACTATAAGGGTTGTAATCATATATGGTGCTACGAAACATTACGAAGACCGTAGTGATAGCTGTCATGTGCTACTTAACAGTCATCTTCAAGTTTATTCTGGAATGGTGACAACAGCTACGTATGATTAGCTCTACTATCACGTTGATTCAATAGAAGATTGCTAGCTCACTTTATTGATATAAGCCCTCCAAGGTGAAGATACCTCAAGTTTAACAGTATATCTCATATTGACCTTTAACTAAATTATACGACTTACATAATTAATGGCTGGCGAGAAACTTGCTGAGACTATAGCGCCTGGCATTTCATGTAAGGGATGGCCATAACGCTACCCGAAACGACCAAGTCAAAACCTCTACGGCGAGTTACGAAGCATGAATATGGAAAGTAAATTAGGTGCATCCTAGATCAGATATGCCGTCTGGCACTGCCCGACGATATTCTCGTTGATTACTAAAGACCTCTTCAGGACCAGCGCATATGCCGCACCCGGGTATAACTCGAAGTTAAGACAACAATAACTAAGGCCAACTTCCGTTCCGCCATAAAGCACGAAGATTCCACCCGGGCGTTTCCCTATGCCATCGCTATACCACTACGTCGACCCGAGTCGGTATCACAACCTCGTCCAGCCATCGGTCCGGTTTACAGACCGCTGAACTATGCACCCGAAGTATAAAAAAAAACCCCCCCAACCGAGCGGCGCCATCGAAAAACACGCACCGGTGAAGCTATCCCCGAGCAAGACGCCCCCAAGTCCCCCCACACCGTAGCACAGACACGGCTGACCTAGCACTCGAGATTGGCTTAAAGAATAACGCCCCACGCCCTTCCACTATATAATCGTTTCACTTCAGCTACTACATATATGTCAGTTTACGCCACCACCTCCAACAATTAACCTACCTACCTACCTGTCTACCTACCTATATTTGCATCTGTATCTAATTGCGTACCTACATACCTACCTAGTGGCGAAAAAAGCCGCCCCCCTAACTAGCGTTAGCCACGATGCCCGCCGAGACCGAACGCGGTATTCCGGAAATCCGCGGAAATGCGGCGCCGAAGCAGGTATCCGCCGGCGGCCTGCCTGCCTGCCTGCCTGCCTGCCTGTCTATGTACAATAGCGCCTTCGCGCTACCTGTTAGGCCCCATCCCCATCCCCATCCCCATCCCCATCCCCATCCCGCAGACGCGTCTTCTCTCGTACATGCACATTACTTACCTATGTATACGCAGCCCTCTCACGCGTCGTTCGTCGTGGCAACAGCCTCGGATGTCAGAAGTAAAGGGGGATACCCGTTTAACCGTTTATGTGGGGATGATGTTGCCCCCCCTAAAAATGGGAACAGCTGGAGGTACCTAACTTACCTAAGGCAAGGCAGTTTAGCGGCTACAGCCGGATCCGCCAACCTGGTTTTGGCGTCGGCGCAGCATGCTAGGGCTAGCGTCGGGCTTGCCGTCTTCGGCTTTTTTCCAACATGGCAGTCATGGCTACCTGCCTTAAAAACTTATATACCTAGGTACCTACTTACCTAGTTAGATAGATACTTACATGATACTTACATGTATGTACCTAACGTTGATGGGAATCTTCGATTGCCCCAGATCGAATCTATGCAGGTAGGCACCTCGGAGTTCTCACCGACCCTCCAACTTCCAAGCACATGTTATTACGTACCATGCCGGTAAACCCAAGCAGGCATGCCGCTAAGTACGGTAGCTAAACTGCTGGGACGTTACTAGGATATTGCTGGGAGGTTTGTCATCGAGGCCCCGAGATTGGCTGCGGCACTGTCCCGGAGTGGTATGGCGGTTAAAGTAGCGGAAGGCTACCACACTTGATCTTTATCATAAATGACGAAGGCTACACTCCATACGTTGGATTAGAAACCCAAGTAGGTAGTAAATCGTGATCTGAAAAATCAACTCGGATTAATCAATCTACTCGGTGCAAATCTTCCGTTATTATCAACGGCCTTGCAACCGAGCTGCCCGAAGGTTAGGCATTCAACTCAACTATGTCAACTATGCGACTCGACTATGCGTACCGAAAACACCTAAACGCCGGGGCTAAACAAGATCCCTTTCTAATGCCCGTAATATGCACGCTACCTGACCGATCCCTCTATCATTAAAAAAAAACGCCCGTAGTCACCTTGCCGTAGGATGCATTCCACACCAAAGGCATAACCTCCCCCTTGCGCATGTCATCCCCTTGCCCCCTCAATGGAACTCGATTCGAAATTAGTATACTTGAAAGTTGGGTATCGTAGGCCGAAAAGAAATCCAACAATGATACCACCATGCAATGCATGAAATTCGTGCCGAAATATGCATCTGTACCGTAGTTCCAGTCTATCCTGGAAATTTCTAGTCTATGTGTGAATGTTGTATGTATATCCCGTCGTCGCGGGGAAAGTTGTTGCCGTGATTATATTCCGTTGTCTCGTGTATCATTAATTAGGCCTGTAGAATCCTCCGAGGAGTTGACGTAAGGGCTAATCCGGATTCGCAGACATCCGACATCGAGTGAAAAAGGAGATTTATATCCCTAACGGAGACATCCGATTCCAAGTCCATTAGAAGGTACTCCAGTTCCAGTCCCGTGGAACGCTCATCGCGACCTCCTGATGATGGCCATGCTGACCTTGGATTGCCGTCGGGGCCGAAGCGGCTGGGCTCGTGGGTGCGGTTTGCGATTCTCTACCGGTGGAAGACGTATCGCTAGAAGCTTGGCTATTCGTCCGACTACGCCACGCTCTGAATTCTGAAAAACAGTGGGAACACGCGCGGCTCGGAGTACCTTTCGGGTTATAATTCGCGTCTTGATCGAGAGGAACATCGTATGCCGAGTGCGAATCGCAGAAGATGTTGCCACATTTCCGACAGTGATGCCGACGTGTCCAGTAGTTGAAGTGGCGCATACATGAGGGTTCGTCGCAGATAGTTGATTCCGGGTCGGGCTAAATTTACCATGTCAGCTGGAATTCTTGTAATACCATAAAAATCAAAATGAGGTCATGTGTTGACATGTCGTAGTTTATAAGGCTGCATATCTGAGACATAAGCTGCCGATCAGGACTTACCTTCCAGTGTTGCCGCGTGGGTTGCGCCGTCGGCTTTGGAAACATATCCAAGTCCCATTCATCATCAACATACTTTCCGCTGTCGCCTGTAGTACGGCGGCTCAGTCGGCTAAGCGCGCCCAATCCAGTCAGACTGATGAAGCTGCTGTTAGACGATAACGGGTTATCATCTTCCTGTGCTTCCGTCTTCCTCCCAATCATCTTGTAGGGGTGCTCGGTCGGTCTTAAAACCGCGGGCATGTAGAGCGGTCGTAAACGCTGACGATGATACGGTTTGGGAGAGGTAGGCGAGGCATTGGTAGAAGTGCTCAAGGGCGAGATCTGTTGAGAATGGTATCCTTGAGATGGATAGGTCGGAGATTGCGACGGTGCGGTAGGCGTTTGGCGATAAGGATAGAAATGCGGGTGCGGTTGCGGTTGCGGCTGCTCAGCTGGCCTAGGCATTATGAAGTCGGTCGCCATCCTTTTTTCGCAGCCGCGCACGGAATCCAGCGTGTAAGACACGGTGTCGGTAATTTTTCAAAGGAGTCAAGTAGGATAGAATAATTAAAGTAAAATAGAGAAGGTCAAAGTTGGCAAATGTTTGGAGAGCGATAAGCGGCGTAAGCCGTTGCGCGACCAAATTATTATTGTGTAATAATTATTGCTCAACCAGACTCTCCAAAAAAAAAACCCCCCTTGGGTTTATTAATACCAGGCAAAATAAATAATGCTGGTTTGTCCCAACCTTTGACTTTGTACGAGTCGTAAAATTGAGTTAGTCAACGGTCGAGGTTATCGCCGGGAAGCTAATGACTTGGTCGGAAGGGTGTAGTAGAAGTCTCGATCCTAACTCTAAAAAGTGGCTGCACGGATGGTGACTGGAGGATGAATGATTTCCTCGCGCTTGTGATAAGGGTGTGATGTAAGGTAAGCTTAAATCAAAGATAAGTGATAAGGTGAAAGGGTATCAAAGATTCGTAGGCTATCAGATCTGAGGCATTAGAGCAAATGGCTATTGCATAAGATAAAAGGTGAAGTAGGCGATATGATTGATATGATATGTAAGGGAGGACAAAAAGATACAATTAGGGGAGGAGGGATAATAATAACCTTCTGTCAAGTAGTAAAGTACGTACTCCGTACCTACTACCTTCCAAGAATCGCACTAAAGAGAGAAGTTCCCCGACGCAATAGTCGACCGGTCGTGGTGGCACCGGGGTGGCACTTGGTGGGCCGGGAACCCCTCGATACATCAAGCGGCGTCCACTTACGTAGTATTTGAGTCCATCCTGATTGGTCTAGTTGAATTAGCTAAGTCTGGTAGATACAATTCGTACTGTGCTTATACTCGAAAATGCACTTGACTTTTATTACTCTTGCCCAACTTCTTTTTCTTTCCATTGCATTGATTTTCCTTACCTCTGCTTTAGACGTCGCGCTGCATCATTTTTCTTATCAAGTTTATAACGACAACAAGACTAAGGATGTTTTATTTTATGCAAATTATTATCATAATTCCTGTGTAAATAATTGAACAGGCAAACAACTTAGAGTTGGTGTATGTAGGTAGTTAAGTTGTTGCGCCGCTTCAAGTTCATCCTTCCCCTCCAAGCCCAAACGAACCCATGGCCCGGCACAGTATCGTTTTTGGATTGCTCGCCTGTCCTCTTACCCAATCTGTCCAAGGTCGCTAGATACCGATCTTCGGCGATTCAAAATCTATTAACTTACGTCAGGTTTTCCTGTTGGACCCTTCCAGCCCTTCATTTCGTTACAATTTATTTCATGAGGTAGAAGATATTCTGGGATATCCCTCCGCAATCAACAGCAAATAATTATGGTATTCCACCCAAGACGAGTGCCCCGGTGATACTAATTTGAGCAATCATCTCATCGTTCTTCCTACATCAAGATTAACTCACCTTGAGTCCGATTCCCAGGAAAAAAGCAAGCGGTCTGTTACAGTTGACGTGCAGGAAGTTATTTATTATAGGAAATTTTGTGGCACGTCGGCGCGTCAGCCATCTTTTATTCCATTCGACCACTGCTACGGCTAACCTGGGTGCAATCTATCGCGATGTAACAGGCCGTAGTTCACAGTAGGTGGATATTATGTATACTGTCGCGAGGGTTTATCGATTGTTACATGCGTCGATGAAGAAGTTGGGAGGCCTGTTGCGATGACCTCACGATGTGAAGTTGACATTTGTCAAGACTTTAACTTTGCGTTGTTTTCAAGAGATCCGGTCGGACGACGGCGATGCAGATCTACATATGTAGGTCCTAGACCCTTGGTGACTCCACCACGATCCGACCTCCCGCAGTACTATTTTCTTTTCCCTCACGCGCACACAACAGTATCATTTTTATAGAGTAGGTACTTATCAAGTTGAATCCTTTCAGAACTATATAATAGAGAGAGTAACTACCTATGCAAATCGACATACCGCTATTTTACTTATTGGTGGCAAAATAAATCGAGATTTCTCGAATATTTTTAAGATCAGTAACACGCCGTCCGATAGAGATGGCACCTCTTGATAATATATATTAGTACATATGTAGTCTACGGTAATTTTTATTTTATTTTAACGCGGCGATGGAAGCGCTACAGTCCGGTACAGTGTTTGCGCTTCTGCAGGTTTATCTTTCAGTCTTCGCTGATTGGAGGCTGCAACTTCACTAATGCGAGTGCGTTAGAATGCTTGGCTTTAAAGTCGAGGCTCCAGCTCTTGTACAACCGTGTCCGGGTTGTAGAGTTAAGGAGCCGGGGTCTGCTTGACCGCCAAATTAATTAATGTATTATATGCACATTATATGCACATTATATATGGTTGATAGTCCAATAGCAATAACTTTCTGTGCTGATTCGCCTGTTCCAGTCCTCAACTTCACGTGCCTTTTTTTTTTATTCGCGCTGTACTTCGTATACGAGCATATACACAAAATGCTACGAAGCATCGCTTATGCCTGACAGGTTGATAGATCTTGATAACGCAGGTTTGATAATGCAGGTTTCGTGCTTTGACATCATACTTGTTGACTTACACGCTGTGACGTTGAGTATACGCGGATAGGTGTATACCAAATTACCTAGCCAAGGGATCGTTTTGCTTTTAATCACCCCGCTAGTTAGCGATATGCAAGATCTCTGAAGATCACGGCCTCTTGGATTCTCGACCTATGCGTCTTTTCTTATGTGCCAGTATGTTATTAAGGACAAGGTTCTAGGATCCACACAGTTAAAAGGCGATGGCCCCGAATATAAGTGGGAAAGGGGTCTTCGAAGTGGACCTGAACTTCAGTTTTGTTATCGCCGTGGTATGATTGGCCCTTAATTCCAGGTTAGCCCAGGCTGGGCAAAAGCTTTCTAACTCAGTGACCGGCAGCAATGGCGGGGTTAATGCTGGTGTCTCAAATTAAACTCCCCGCAACACAACCGCAGACGACCCTTACTCATTAGCCCTCTCATGCAAGAGCTTCACAAAGCAAAGATCATTCGATATTAGCGCAATAATACAGATGAAGTTACTACCCACACATGCCAGCTGGTTACTAGAAATGGTGGAAGTAGCATATATTATGCGTGTATAATATAGATAATATAGTTATATAGGTAGGTATGTTCATGATGAAGGCCCGAGGTATAGATCTTATTAGTTTGGTCCCATCGAGTCATCTTGGGCTCCATCTACCCAACGGCCACTCTTTCCCCCCTCCTTTAGAATGACTCTCAACCCTTGGATGCTCATCCCCTTATCTACCGCCTTGCACATGTCATAAACAGTTAACGCTGCTGTAGAAGCCGCCGTAAGAGCCTCCATCTCTACCCCGGTCTTGCCTTCGCAGGCTACGGTAGCCTCGATCTCAACTCGTCCATTTTTGCTATGCTCATCTTCCAGCACGGCAAGGTCTACAACGACCTTGGTAATGGCGATGGGGTGGCATAACGGAATGAGATCAGATGTTCGCTTTGCGGCCATAATGCCGGCCACGCGGGCCACCCCTAGAACATCGCCTTTCTTGATTTGATTCTCCTTTATGAGTTTGCATGCCAACTCGTTTGTAAAATAGACGCTGCAGGCTGCCGTGGCGACTCTCTTGCTAGGTGTCTTGTCTGAGATAGAGATCATGTGAGCAGAACCAGACTCAGATACATGTGTCAATCTAGCTGTGTCGTGCTTCTTATCAGGTCGTGAGCTGCTAAGTGAAAAGCATCGTAGTTGCTGTCCATTAAGGAAACGAGTTGGCGTTTTAAGTAGCCAAGGGGAGAGCTGCTTAGAAGCAAGCGGTACGACTGGAGGATTTTTGATAGTATCCCAAGCCAAAACTTGAGAGCGATTGGCTGGCATATATTGTTGCGAATCTGCCAGATAACCATTCAGTTCCTGTCCTCCTAGATATACCAAGTCATGCTTGACTTGCACCTGGTCACAGTCCTCCGAGGATTCGTGTCCGCGCGCTAGGAGTGGTCACCCACCTATGAGTATCATGGGCCTGTTTTTCATGTGTTCTAATTCACCGATGCCCGCGTGCTTAGCCTTTTTCCTTTTTACAGCCATACCTATAACCTCCAAGAGTTTACGCTCATTGGGTGCTATGCCAAAGGAGGCTGGCTCTTCTGACATTTGCCGTCGCCTGTCCACCGCTATAGTTCTCATTGCCTCATAAGTTTCCTGGTTGATCGGATCGCCACCATTAGATTCCCTTAATATATCTCGCAACGAGACTTCTGCATTGCCAAAAAGACAAACTTTAAGATTTCCGTCGCTTGTAATGCGAAGACGGTTGCAGGTTCCGCAGAAATTGTGTGTCATGCTGGTAATAAAGCCAATCCTGCCCACAAAACCAGGGATCTTGTAGGTTTTGCTGGTATCATTCTTGTGATCTCGTACCTTCTCGAGACCAGGGTAACTCTCGCGAATACGATCCAGCATCTCGGTATAACTGAACATTTTACCTTTGTTCCACTTATTGCCATCGAATGGCATATATTCAATAAACCTAACTTCGATATCTTTCTCTCGAGTCATCTCAACGAAAGGAATGATCTCTCGGTCATTGATACCTCGCATGATAACTGCGTTGACCTTAAGCTTAAGACCAGCTCCGTGCTTATTCAGCTCGAAGACTTTCTCAATACTTTTCATCACGGCATCGAATCCTTTCCGCCGTGTCATAACTTGAAATTGCCATGGGTCTAGCGTATCCAGGCTTAAGTTAACACCTGTTAAACCAGTCTCCACCATTCTCTCCAGCTTTCGGTGAAGAGCTATACCATTAGTAGTAAGACATATTTCCCTAAGGCCGTGTGACCGAAGGGCGCCGATCTGTTCCATCAGAGACAGGATATCCTTCCTAATAGTAGGCTCACCGCCGGTGAGGCGGATTTTATTCACACCCTGAGAAACAAATAGAGATGACAGCATCACAATCTCGGGCGTTGTCAGTAATTCCTTTGAAGGTGAGAGAGGGACGCCTTCCTCTGGCATACAGTAGATACACCGAAGATTACACCGTTCCGTAAGCGAAATGCGCAAGTAATCGTGCTGTCGATGAAAAGTGTCCGTAAGAAAATCGGAGAATGGCTTTGCATCTTTCAGCAGTTCGCGGCGCGAGAACTGAACGGTCGGCATCTCAACCGGATTCGCCGGTTCCGGGATGGTCTGAACGGCGGCGGCGGCGGCGGCAGCAGTAGTGATTCGTCGAAGAGGTTCAGTGCAACATTTTCCGAACCGGGGCTGCAGACCCTCCGATACGATCCGCGTCCAACGAGGCGGGAAAGCCCTGTACGTCATATTGAGGATATATCCTACTAATCAATAATTTATGAGAAATAAGGCATCGTGACCATTTTAGCTTCTATTTCTTGTATATAAGACAAGAATTGAGAAATCTTGTCATATATTATTAGCCTTTGAGCGAATTCAATAAATGTTATAATTCGAGGTTCTGGAGTGTTGCCACAAGCGCGGAGATGCGTATAACTTAAGATGAGTAAGCAACGGGATAAAGACCAAAGCCGGACAAGCCTGCAAGCATGAGGAAGGTGGATCAGCGTGGAGACTTAATTGAGTTCAATCTTATTGGACCCGGACCTAATCCCTACCTAACCCATCAAAAAAATCACATTAACCATGTACCTATTACAACTGTCACAATTGTCACAAAAGTCAACAAATACCTACTATCTACTACCTACTACCTACTACCTATCTACATACCTTACCCACAAATACAGTACATACACCTGCGAGATTATAAGAGTTCTCCTTTAAACCTAATTGAATACCTAATAAAGCTAAGAGCTTACAACGTCTGACCAATCATCAAGTCTTATCAAACAGCTCGCTCCCTATCAACTTTCAAGGTCTGACAAGTAACTGGCTGTGGTAGTTGTGGTGGTTGCGGCTGACCATCCTAGGCTGTGGCAGCCGTGCCTTGCCGTGTTGACGTGGTTATGACTGAACCCTCACGAAACCAATTTTTTACCGGTCTCATTGTCAAGCTGTATAATAACCAGCATTAAACCCGGGACGGATTCAACCAAAGATATAACCATCATATCATGCGTTTCTCCAAAGCCCTTCAGTGTAGGACTTACCCCTAAGTTATACGATAACAAACCATCATATTTCTATCTTTCTATTTAATTTTATTGTACCTATGTCAGCTACTGATTCTAGCCATTAGCATCGCCTCACTGTTATCCGAGCCCAGATGGCGAACTCATTGCTACGCTCTTACCATCAAGTATTGTTGTACGGGCTATCAAGTCCTTAGATGTCCTACGAAGCATCAAACTACCACCAGATCTTACGGGCGGTGTATCAAATTTCGTTTGGTCGCCTTCCTCCACGCGACTATTAGTAGCGGTTGTCGATCAAATACATGTATTTTCGGCCCGAGACGGCAATTTTCATGGAACCGTTAGGATTCCTTCTTCGGCCACCAAGCCTACCTTCGTCGATTTTGGAGTTACTGATCACGAGATTTGCATTTGGTCGCCTTTCGGCATCAAGCTAACCATTATCAATTTTGCAAGCTCAAAAGCAGTAGAAATCGCTAACCCCAAATTTTATAATGCCGCTTCTGCGACGAAGGGATACTCCTTTCGGTCGAGCTCGTATCACCTTGCGTTGCTCACAAGGTCTTCCGGCAAGGACGTAATTAGCATACACTCCCCAGAAACGAGGGACATTGAACGGTCCTGGTATCCTGACACCATCGATGCCCAAGGACTAGCTTGGACTCCAGACGGGAGGTGGTTGGTGGTGTGGGAATCATCTGCCCAAGCCCCCAGGGTCCTTTTCTACACTTCTGACGGCCACATTTTCAAGGATTGGAGAGGTCCCCTCCCATACGAATCTCAGGACATGGGCCTTCAATATAGTGCAGGTGTTAAACTAGTCACTTTGAGCCCAGATGGACGACGTGTCGCAATTGCTAACGGTTCTGCTTGCACATGCATTTTAAACACCCCATCCATGGTGGAAGCCATGCGGCTCCGGCATCCTCAGGTTGTCCAACCGAAAGATACATTACAAGTAAGTCGCCCCTTTGGCGGGGTTGTGTGACAGTCTCCGTTAACTGTAAAGATCTGGCAAGAGCAAAATACATTCCCAAATACTGGATCGTTCTCGTCGCCAGTATTCGTCAAAGCCACCCAGATGGTGACCCCCGAATGGACAGCATTGAATAATAGCCTTCAAGAACCTGTGTCAGGCTGTAATTTTGCCAAATTCGACTGCTCTTCGTCCCTGCTGGCCACGAGGCTGGAAGATGCACCAGGTACGATCTGGATCTGGGATATTTCTAGTTCCGATCTTCGGGCGGTGCTAATGTATCATTCCAATGTAACAAAACTAGAATGGCACCCTATGCAGCCCGAGCTCCTCCTCATGAGGTGTGAGGGTGATAGCTACGGCAGTCTCGTGTTCGCCTGGGATCCTTTAAGCCACGGCCCGTGCTCGGTTGACTTAGCACACCGATTTCCAGGCACGACTAGTAGCAAGACGTACGCCACATGGCTGGGAGCAACATCAGAATCTCCCGCATTTTTCTTTAGTGACAGCGCAACCTGCATAATCGTTTCACTTGCAGATTCCGATGGAGAAATCCTTCCCTGGCGAGATGCCTCTACACCCATTAACACCATCAGCCATAGGGACGATATGGGCATGCAGTCATCACTGAGGCCTGCATCACCTTTAGAGGATGCTGAAGACAGTATTTTAATTGACATAGACGATGATACTAGCGAACCAGATGATACATTCCAGTTCATTACGCACTAAGCTGCACAAATATTCTATCATATCTCAAACAAATGAGATACCTATTCGGACAGGATACCCGGAGCCGTGGGATTCTGGCTTTTTAGCTTAGTTCCGAAGGCAACGCCAGCTATTCCGAATGCAAGAATCGCCATCCAGTCACTTCGAAGATGCAAGGTACATCCGGATATTCGTACTGTTTGCGTGGCGATCAGTTCAAATCTGCTACGGAGATTCGGCTGAACCGCAAATGTAAGACGCTAGCGAGGAAAAAGAAAAAAGGAGACCACTCGGTCTATGAGCGGTGACTAATAAATCATTATAGGATTCGGTAATAATCGTTGTTTCGAAATGAAATTGCCGTTGGGAGTACATCTGCCAAGTCAATAGCTCAGCTACCTTCTTAGGTAGATTGGAGATGGTGGGCGGCTTGAGTTACGCAACATCCAACAACGGGCAGCAGGCATCACCCTTGCTGTGTCACCCCATGCAAGAAAACGTTCTTGGAGGCAATTTACTTCGAGATGTTTGCCAACACCGCGGATATTCGAATCAACTTGCCGCTAGTTAGTAAGTAGCAACATTGTACTATGTAGGAGAATTCCATAAGTCACCGCTCAAGAAAAGCCCAATAGCTAACGAGCATTAAAAGCCATGCGAAAAAAGCCACCACCATGATGCCCTTGCTGCAGAATGCGTGGTTTGACCAACAAAGTCGAAATGGCCGATAGTTCGATGCTGGCGTTGAGAATCCCGAGGTACGTGAGCCTCAAAGACATAGGATACAGTTATCCAGGCTCGTGGAATCTAAGAAGCCCTCGGGGTTAATTCCAGTCGTTGTGATAGGTAAGATTGTCCTTTTCTAGATTCCTTTCGTACTGCGTGAAGTTACCCACTTCAGCTAACACTCATTATAGATCTCATCCAACGGATGATCTCCTTAACGCTAGTATTAGGACCACCCCCGTCACCGGGTACAATATGACAAGGAGTCACCTGCCAATGCTTCGTCAGCTTCGATCGATTCCAGATCTTGGTCCCCAGACGAAATATGAGGGTTCATTATGCCTAGCAAGGTCTTGGTCTGGCTGTCTCTCTTTCGTGCAGCTAGCATACTGCCGCAATCAATGGCGGCCAAAATCCTATTGGATTATGCAGACCAGCATATCTACGTTCTAAGAATATGTCTATATGTTTATAACCATGGTTTTCTTCACTCGCTGAAATATCCGCCCAATCGATGATGCATGTCACCGGTAAAGAAAGATTTACCTATTGGATGTACCTAACGCGGAAACGACCTATCTTGAAAGGTATTCTTGCATAAATTTAAGCTTCTAATATATCCCCAAACCCTCAGGCTGTTATCATGTGTGACCCTAGGCGATGGTGAAGAAAACAGGCCTTGGCCAGCACGTACTTTGGATCATAGGAAACCTCGTGCAACATATAAAGAGCCCCATCAGATCGTTCATACTGCTGTGCTTGTTCCACACGATTTTCTCATCAAGGGTGCACCCTACCAAACATTTTCGAGTAAAGCCTGGAGAGCTGCAGCTGTCCGTTCACGATGTCTTCGGAAACCTTCTCTCATCAAGTCCCCATCAATGGGACGATTCAAACAAAAGTTTCGCCCGGAAACCAAACAAATATATACTATATTCTGGTTTCAAACGTAAGTCCAACATAAATTGATGTTATCTATATCGTGCAATCTGCATTATACAGCTTCTTAGTGCTGATAATATGTGTAAAAGCTACCATGGCAAACGTCTTGGCAGCAGCTAAAAGACCATGTGCGGACCGTGAGCGCCGTTGAGCGAGTTGAAGTATTCAACGAGAGTACCTCTGGCTGGGTCTCGGTTCGAGGACGGGAGAACTATGATGCCGCTCTTCGTATGTTGACGTTGCAAACATTTTTGTAGTAAAAATTTAACTAACGGTCGATTACAGGTTTGCTTAATGGGGGTGTCTTCAACGGTCGAGCACTTTTGGCAGATGGTAAAAATGCCACAGAGCCTATTATGATCAGAGAACCTGTGGGTGTCTCTGCAACTGGAAATTCCACCTCAAAAAACACCCATACGCCGAGGTATAGAACGCCTCCTTCGACACAATACTCGGCTAGTACGCCGCCATTGATGTCGCCGCTCGCGACAGGGTATGGGGAGGTAAGAATTCCCCAACCAGACAAAACGAGGCCAGCTAACTTTTTACAGTGGACATCTCCCACGAATTCTTCATCATACGTAACCACTGCAATGGAGTGCGCACCTTATAACATGTCTGTTGCTATGCCTTATGATTATAACGAGGCGCCTAACTGCTATACCTACGACACATCGACTACTAGCTACTTAGACCAAACAACTATGGTTTCGTCTCCTACTATGGTACAATATCCTTTTGAGGCAGCTTACTCACAGCAATATCAGATGGGTGAGTATCACGGAAACGATTACGCTATGTATAGCAATTTACCCAGCCCGGAATCTATATCAGCCAGACCTAATGATTCCTCAAATGGCATGGTCCCTACAAAGCAGCGCAAGATTATTGTGAAGCAGCTTCAACCTTGGGTCACCTTCAACCAGGTACAAGACCTCATCCGAAAGAAAGCCGGATCCGATGCTGATAAAATTCAGCATGTTGACCTACCACTAACGGAAGGCCAAGAAACAAATAGAGGCTATGCCCTCGTCACATTTCAAAACGAAGAAGTAGCCAATAAGCTGGTCCGGCGACTTAACGGATACAAGTGCGACGGTCGTGAATTAAAGGTCGATTATACCAAAGAGGGGGTATCAGAAAATGAGACCGTCCACTCTCGGACCTCTGGGCATAAGGAGAGACGGGAAGACCGAGAGAAAAGGGAGAAGAAGGAAATTCCTCGGGGGTTGAGTTCCAGCGACAAAAAGAGCAAATCACATAAATCTGGTGTCGTTATTGCCCACGGGTCTTCCTCATCGTCTTCAAAAAAGGCAGATGTGAAGGAGAAGTCAAGCAAGCGACATTAGACCAACACAGCTCCGCTAAGCTGAGCGACGATGAGTTAGGCTGGAAGGGTTACACTAGGATTAAGCGATGGGTTTTCACGTTCCGGTTAAGCTATAATCTGCGAAATTTTGTTATTGGCTTTCATCCATTGCCTCGTGGATATGGAAGGCGTTTCCCAGTTGGCTGGTATACGTGTTGCTGGGTATACGTGGTGGTTCAACTGTCACTACCGTAATGTAACTACGCACTTGTAGATGTCCATATGAAAAGATCAGGCCATTCCATGGCCGCTATGTCCTATAGGAAGCCCGAAATCTATCGTGCAATTATTGACATAACCATCCCCGATTTGCCTCTGGAGTATACTTGTCATAACAGATTCGAATCCATCGTCATCCCCTTTCCAACCAAGGAAGGTTCATCCGTTCCGTGTTTTGCGGCGCTTATAGTAAATAGTCATAGTCATAACATAATTTTACCACGCCATCCTCTTCAGAAATGGGTTAAACACAGACGCATGATGAGCTCATTCTAATCGATGCGGCTCTCGCCTTCACAAGTATAGAAAACTAGAATATGTGCTCATGCTATGACACATGACGGATCATTTCGTGTTTCTCTCTCATATCCCTATAAACGCTGCATCGGCGTCGTCAGTCGTTTGTATGAGGTTATAATCCCAGAACCACACCTGCATATGCAGAACACGGCCGCAGCACCGGATATGCACGTATCTTAAAAAATCCCTCTCCCTGCCACTAGTACCCCCATGATGGGAACTTTATACGTCGTCCCTTACCCTGGTCTGACGTTCGAGATTGCCGGGTTGCTGTTACACGGCGTCTAGGCTTGCAGATGCCCCTACCCGGCGTGCGGATCTATATGAGCCCCCTTACTCCCCCCTGGCTACTCCTACTCTTTTATCACCCCCACGCACCCCCAGTGTCTTATATTAACGATATATCCGGGTCGCAACAGGTGCCATCTCCTCATGTCATACGTGAAGTGCACAGGCTTGGCAAGACAAACAGGGCTCCTACGGCAGCGCGCTTGTTCCCAGCAAGCCCCGACTCGCCAGCCCCGGCTTCCCGTCCCCCCTCCTCCCAGCCCACGCATACTCCGCCGTTCGTTACACGCATACATGTGATGCCTCTCCTACCCAGGTCGAGACTTGTCGATCGATCTACATCGTTGGGACCTACGAGACCTAGAACGCGTGGGGTCCTGTCGTCTACCAAACTATATAGACCAATTTACATACCTAACATATATGCTAATATGATATTTCTTTCTTTCTTTGTTAGATATGCGGGATTCAAGACGAAATCAATGACTCGACAATACAACTAGGATTCTTCCCCGGTCTCAAAAAACGGCGTAGAAGGTATTCTGTACATTCCAACCGGTGTAGGTCGTATCTCGGCTATCTTGTAGTTATACCCGTGGTCCCCGGTGAACATAACAGGGCCAGGGTAGTTCGGAGTCGACACCGTATTATAAGATTGGGCTAGCCCACGCTGCCGGTATGCATGAGTCCTTATAAGCCAAGACTTTTCTCACTGTTGTGTTAAAGAATATTATGTAAACACCGCGGTGGTGTCGCGGTCAGGCCCGGTGTCACTGTCTAAAAGTACAGCTATATTCCCCGTACCGAGAGGCGTGACAATATAGGACCTGCATCCACCGACCGCTGCAATCGGTCTTGGCGACCTATTGACCTATTTCATACGCCCCCCCCCCCGGTTTCTTTCTCTTTTCTACTTCTTCCCCTCTTGATTCGTCTAGCATGGCATTACAAGAAGGGGGGAAGGGGGGGAAAGGGGGCAGAGCACCCGTGTGGTTGGTATAAATATTCGGGACAATGCGCTCGCCCGCCTTCTAGGGTCCTTCAGTATGGGATCGAACGTGTCTCTGTATAATACTGGTCATAAAGGCTAGGGACTTTCCGGGAGGCTAAGTTCCGATGCGAACAAATCTACGTAGCTCAAAGCCATTATATCATTCTCAGCCTTGCGATGTACCTAGCCGATCGATACGGAAAAGGGACATATGCATGAGAATCGTCCAGGGGATATATTGCCGGTTTAAAATTGTAAGGCTATTATAATACCCCCCCTTTTTTTTTCCTTCTTCTTCTTTTCTTCAGATCCCGGAACATACATAGATCCCGAGGTAAATAGAACCGTCTCGGACGAACACCTGCATAAAATAAAATGACATGTCATTATCTCACAATGCGAAGAAAGCTTAAAGCTTATAGCTGGGCATTGCCTCATTGCCTCATTGCCTCGACTACCTAACGCACGTAGACAATAAGTCACCAACCCTGCGGTACCAATCTGCGTCCCGTTCCCCGAACTAACCGTATCCAACCGGCTTCCATCCAGTCCGCCAGAGAAAACGACAAGACGGGCGTACAACCTGAAGACCATAGACGCCAACTCTTTCCGAAATATCTACGTTCCGCTGCTAAGAAGTTCCTTCGCGTCGGGTAGTAGGTATTATCAATTACGTGGCACCCGGTTGCCTTCTTTTTTTTTTTTTTTTTTTTTTCTATACCACATTTGATTGAAAGAGGGCAGTTCTCACGAACTCGTCTACTGCCCTGACTCGGTCCTCCCCGGTGCGCCACAAGATTCCTTTATCTCGACCGGAGAAAAGGGACCATGTATCCTTTCATCCGTACAAACTGCAAAAAGCACGCCCTAACTATATGCAGTCATAACATCCCGAGCGCTCGGTCTTAAGTGTTCTGTCGGATAAGGATTTAAACAGGGGTATCCGGTGATGCTGTATTCAATTCAATAGCAGTATCACAAAACAGGCCGGGAAGAAACGAGGGAAAAAAAATTTCAGGCTGTGAAGCGGCGCTAGGAGTTACTACCATTCCGATGTTAAGATCCCAGAGTTGTCCCTTAAGTGATATCCCCATCCATTAGGGAGTAAAATATGTTGAGATATTTGCAACATTTCAAACATTGGAGACTCAAGAGAGAGAATTACGAGGCATAGCTAATAGACGTCATAGCATCGTTACGATTATATATATATAAAGTTGAATTAGAGTTATAATAAGCAGCTTAGATGATCTAATTGGATCGATCTGTGAATGAAACCCTTGTATGCCATTACCCAGCAAAAATCCCCTGTCATCGTGGATAAAATCTACGACTCTACACTTAAGCATGGATAAATCCGCATCCTAGTTTCGCCCATTCTGAGCAATTCAATTAATTAGTTTAATATCAACTAGTGGAGTTATCTTGGTATTTGCCAGCAAATAGCAAACGTAGTCGAAGGTTTTGATGATGTCGCGATGAGGCGATGAGGCCACCCCCGGCCTACTATTCGGTTGTAACTTGGTGGCGAGGGTAACGGGGGAACATCGTGCTAACATTACGTCTGATGGAAGAGCGTTATAGACGAAGCTAGAGTAGAGAGTCCGTAGCTATAGATCTTTAATCCACTATTGTTTTTCTACCTAATTAAGAGTACCTATTCTATAAAGAAGATATTCTGGGCTTGAGACTAGTACTAAGCGAAACGAGAAACGAGAAGCAAAAATCATGAGAAATTTACTATTTCGCATTACTCTCTCCTTATTTCCCCTGATCGGCAAGTCCCAAGCCCTCCTATTCCCATCCCAATCCCACAACCACAACACCACCACCACCATCACCACCACCATCATCACCACCCCACTCGACGCCCTGCTCTCCCCACAGACCGTCGCAGGCACCTCAGACTGCGCAGCCGCATCGACCAACGCCACGTTCCAGCTCAGCTTCATCAGCTACGGGAACTACACGGCGCTGCCGGGCCAGGGCGAAGACGACGGGGGCCTAGTGCCGCGGCAGCTAGTGTCGATGTCGTTTGCGGTCGCCAACTCGGCCAACGGCGCGTACACGATCTGCGCGTTCCCGCTGGGCCACTTGTCCGGCCAGCCGGCTACTTGGGTCGACGATGCTTCGTGGCAGGCGTGTGCGGACCGCCGCGACTCCGACGGCAAGCATAGGTTTACGATCGCGACGGGCGCGGCGTTTAACCGCGCGCAGCGGTTTCTTGCCGTGAATCAGACGTGGTTTTGCCACGATGATGTTGGGCGTCTGTGAGTTTTGAGATGTTGTTATTCTTGCGTTTTTCTTCCTTTATACGTCTGCAATCTTTCTCCTAGCTTAGTTTCTGCCTACCTACCTACCGCCTTGAGGTCGTCCGGAGGGAAATAAGTTCAATGCTGGGTACTGGCTACTATATAGACAGAGCATTTGCTTTATACATTGCCCACCTCTTTTCCCCTGTCGTGAGGGCCTCTCTAATATTCATCTAGGGTTGCGTATACGGGTATTGCGAACGGTAGTCTAACCATGGGCTGTGTCGACGGCGGCGAGTTGGGTGGCTATCATGTTGAGAACTGCACGGCGCCTGATGGGTCACTTCCGGTGACGCTACTTTGAGATTACGAGTTATTTTCTGGATTAACCATGTCAGGTTCGGGTTCTCTTAGCTCCATGAGATGGATTCGGCAGTCGAAACTTTATGGGGGCTTTGTTTACCTCCTTTGGAATACATCGTGGGAGGCTCATCGTAATGTCGTTGTTTTCCCCTGGACATCTGAACGTGTCTTAATTAGCGCTAGGTCATATGGGCAAAGAGATATGATATCAAAAGAGAGCTGCGAGAAGCAAAAGGAAAAATATTTATGGTAGGAACAGATATAGGGAATTACTTTAGGCCTATCGGAGTTCAAATTACTCCTCTAGTTTTAATATATTAATAATGTTTATAATATATTTATTGATCCTGTCCAGATATTCAAGTTCGTCTAAACGTAGCATATAAGAGTATAGAATGACTTTAATTCGTTGGTTTATATATCAAACGCCTTACTCTCTAGTCTGTATGCTTTACCTACCTGATTCAAACATGATTGTATGCTGGCCGATGCTCTTCGCTCCTTTCATACGAACAATCTAAATGTGGTTTCCGCCGAACCAAGGTGGTGGAATTAATCTTTTGGCTTGTTTTATGGTATTATTTATGCCATTGCCGTCAGGCCCGGCCGATCAAGGCCATCCTAAATGCGTATAATCTTAGTTCCAATCGGAACTTATCACTACTAGGATCCTATACTTGCTAATATGCAGGCCTTCCATATCGATATAGAATGCCTGGTATGATTAAAGTGGGAAGTCCATGGATTATTTGATGCTTATAGGATATGCTCTTAGAATGACCTCCTATTCCACACAATAACACGAAGGTCAGGCTAGCCCCTATTATACTTGCTCCCGAGAGCCTACATACATCAGCTAGCAGTACAGCGTAATGGCAAAACACCATATATGAATTATAGAATCAATCCACTCAGGTTATCTACCAAACGCTCCATTCCTAGTACATAGCGCGGGTACTATAGTTGTTAAAAACACTAGATAATTTGAAAATTGCCTTCCGTCATTCATTATCATAAGAATACAAAATGATCCTAGCTGTACTTTGCGACTTAATTAAAAGGTCTTATCGATGGTTGATAAAGCCCTTTATTGATTCCGTACCCAGTTACCGTCAAGCTCGACCGCTGCAGGGGCTTGCTCGTGGAACTCTATTGGAAACTTCGTCTCTTGTTCGGTACTTTCTAACTCGGTAGGGCCGATTTTCCGCCTTCTTGATCGAAATAGGCAGAAAGCTATAACTCCTAGTATAATGATACCGAGAGCAACGCCACAGCCTATACCAGCCTGCGCCCCAGTGGACAGACCTTGCGTACTTGATGACTGCGTTGGTAAAGCTTGTTGTGGTGACGTCTGTGACAGTGAAGCGGACGTCGCACTGACAATAGACGAGTCGGCTGCCTTATCCGTAGTACTCGGGAGGTCAGAGGCCTGATGGTTAAGCTGGAATAAAGGGGCGAGGACAGTGAAAGTCGAGATAACTTGGGTGGTGCTAACGCCGGCCGCAATGTAAGGTATCGTCACGTATTCAAAGTGAGCGCTAGTCCCGGATTCGCATGTCACAGTTGGGAAAGTGGTCGAGGTCAATGTCGTGATGCATGTCTGGCCTTCAGAATGCCGAGAACAGGCATATCCCCTTTCCAAATTTTCAGTATCAAGTTTTAAGAAGGGCTATTTTGACCTACGGCGGACAACAGCCGATAGCTGTTTCTGATTCTTCAGGGTTGAAGTAAAAGTTAAAGTCCCCTGTCTTCCGCGCACCATTATATGAACAAGCCGTCGTGTATCCCTGAGGGCATACGAGTCCTGGTGAATATACACCCCATGCGAAGAGAGGTTGGCCCCGTGCTGGTGCCCCTAGGGTCCTAGGGGGCCAACACGACGGCTCGTCGCGAACTTCATCGAGCTCACCGCAGGTTTGAGCTTGCCATCCATAAGAACATGTACTGCAACCTACAACCGCGATACTACAAGCAGGCGGTGGCGCCCAAGTTGTTGTCAAGGGTCCCAGCAGTACCGAAGTACCAGTTGCCGAAGTCATGTTATCGAACTCGGGACTAGAAGGAATAATATGGATAGTTAGGCAAGAAAAGGTTTATAAATATGATGAAATGGAATAGAAAATTAAGAGATAGGTTTGTGGAGTAGGCTGGACGGTGGGAGAAGAGATTCATGTAGGTATGATGTCTCTCTCAGCCGTAATATGGCTAAACCGCCACAGGGACTAAAACATGAAAACATCACTAAATGGGCAATTTCTTGGCTGCGCTCTCATCCGGGTTTCACACTACCAGAGCCAATTACACATGAGGCTATATCTAAGTAGGAATTGCATTTCTGGATATAGGGTCGGGCACGATTATGGGGAGGCCCCTATGGCCCCCCTATACTCTTAAACTTAGGATCATGTAAGAACCAGGCGCTTCATATTAGACCTGGGGGTTTCCTGTATAGTGGTAGAACGTGTGTAAGAAGCCACACATCATCTTAGGAAATTATCGCAGTTCAGCCGCGCCCGAATTAGAAAATGCCAATGATATGATATAGTGGTATCGGTGTGTATCCGTTTAGTTTCGGATTAGATAGCTTGGCATATTATATCCTTACGTGCCAATAATTAACTGTGATTGGTTACACGGCCATGACATTAAGACACTATCTCGGAGTAGGTCTGCAGCCTTATCAACCGGTCCTTGGAGTTGCCATACACTTCTGGAACGTGGTTTTTGTTAGCTGTAGGATTCCTTTAGCATAATCTACTATTGCTTTAAAGGTTTATTGATGATTATACAACCTTACTTGGCTCAATACTTAGGTATTTGCGAGCAGATTCTGTCGTTTTATTATTCGTAGAAGATTTAATATTAGATGGCTGAATCTTTGGGTAAGATTCGATATTAGATCCCACTAACCCTCTTGAAGTGTGATTTTCCCTCAGTCAGCAGCTCTATCCTAGTAAATTAAGCATAATTGTCTAGGAAATTTGAAAACTATTGGACAATATCGTATGTACGCAGAAGGATTGATCTAGGTAAGCCGCCAAATTTCTCTTACGGTGTTCGAGGTAGTGTAATGATGCACTTCACGGAAGTTTCCATTACTCCTAGTTAAAAAGCAGCCGATAAGCTACTTTCTGTGGGCGAGATATATATGATAGCGAAAACGATTCTAATAAATATCAAGTTTTTCTTTGCCTTTGAGGTCTTCTCTTGGCCTTTATATGATTGATGCTTTATGGTGGTGGGTGTTAGAGTACAAAAAGGTAGGTACCTACATTCATACATGTACCTAGGTAGGTACCATACCAGGTTTTGGTGGATCGAATAAACAGTTCAATAACCGTTTACTTTTTTGACCCATATTTATACTGTTTATTTCATTTCAATATTTAAGATCAAAAACGTTAGCCATTCTTAGCGTTTACCACTATTTTAATATCAAATAATATCTAAACGTTTAAATTTTTTTCAACGTTTGACTTTTTAAATATTTAGCCTTTTGAATATTCAATATCCCTTCAAATATTTAAGCATTTATACCTACTCCCGTCGTTCCCGTCGGTCTAAAAGCCTTTATCACAGCCTCACACCCTTGTCAAGGCCATACAAGACAAGGTCTAATTTAAATCAAGGTTGTACAGGCAAATCTGAGGCAATACAGGTATACAGGCCTATATAAAAGGCCCTCCTCTCCTTCCCATTCATCCTTTTTTTCTTCTAAGTCTTCAACTTTTTGACCAACCAACTAGCTAATCAGTCAGTCAATTAGTCAGTCAATTAGTCAGTCAGTTAGTCAGTCAGTCAGTCAGTCAGTCAGTCAGTCAGTCCCCCGACCTTCTAATATCTTAGCTAATTAGATATATAACCAATATCCTAGCCAGTCTCTCTCAGAGAATCTCTTATATAGTCCTTTAAATAGTCCCTTAGATAGTCTTATATAATCAATATTTCAACTAATAATTATATTCGTAATCTATTGACTGACTGACTGACTGACTGACTGACTGCCTGGTTGACTGACTACCCGCCTGCCTACCTGCCTACCCCCGTATCTGTATGATATACGTACCTAATTTATACCTTCCCGTGGCTCCCGTGGCTCCCGTGGCCTTCCCGTGGCCTTCCCGTGGATTTTGTAGCTCTTTCTATAAACGCTATAACGTTTGAAAGTAAGTGAAACGTTTGGGAATATAAATAGCTATATACATAAACATTCCAATCACTTTCAAACGTTGAAAATAACTTCAATAGATATAAAATCTTATTCGTCGTTCACTTAAGTCTTGATTTTCAAACGTTTAAATATGCAAATGGTGAAATAACGGTAAAATAACGGTTTATTCGATCCACCAAAACCTGGTATGGTACGCTTCCAACGGTTAGGTACGGATTACGTACATGTGGATAAGTACCCAAGTACCGACTTTTCTGCTTACTAATCAAGCCAAATAATTGGGTTCCTTCATAAGTTGTAACCGATAGAGAAGGATCGATCTGAGCCAATGAACATCCACGCTTAGCTTTCCTCACCGCCTACTTGATTTAGAATTTAGTCAAGAGCGCCTGGCGGTATCGATTTCGAATCTAGCGCGTTGCTAAGACAAGCTCCAGATTCCAAATTCCAGGTTCCTGACGACGCCGTAGACATTCTCTTGAACAACCTCTCTCACTTCTGCCTACATACTCGACTACCTAGGCATAATACTATCTTAGGACTTTATTCATAGTTATTTATATGCCTATGTACTTTAGGTTCTCCCAGATTTAAGGATAATATCCTAAGTTTTCTGACATCTCATTCTCAAAGTTGCATCATAGCCTATCATGTCTACAGTTACCGCAACGGCGCTTCAAAGCGTATATCCTCCCATAATCCCACTATCTTTCAATTCGAACCAGCCAAACACGATACGACTATATCCCCTTTCCAATTACACGTTCGGGGTGAAGGAGACGCAGCCAGAAGAAGACCCTTCAGTTATAGCACGGCTGAAGCGCCTCGAGGAGCACTACAACGCCCACGGCATGCGTCGTACCTGCGAAGGCATCCTCGTCTGCCATGAACACAATCATCCTCATATCCTTATGCTCCAGATAGCCAATGCATTTTTCAAGCTACCCGGTGACTACCTCCGACCAGAGGATGACGAGATCGAAGGATTCAAGTCCCGATTAGATGAGCGATTGGCGCCAGTGGGCAAGCTAGGCGAGGGGGAGGAGCCGGCCAACTGGCAAGTCGGAGACTGTCTCGCGCAGTGGTGGAGGCCCAACTTCGAGACCTTCATGTATCCGTTCATCCCGGCCCACGTCACGCGACCAAAGGAATGCAAAAAGCTTTATTTCATACAGTTGCCGAAGAGTAGTACGTGAAGTCATCGTCCGCTTTAATGTGTAGATCGCTAACCATATATTAACCCAGAGGTCCTGAGTGTACCGAAGAACATGAAGCTGCTTGCCGTGCCGCTTTTTGAGCTTTACGACAACACCGCCCGATATGGACCCCAGCTATCTGCCATTCCCCACCTCCTAAGCCGATATAACTTCGAGTTCGTCAACGAAAACGGCGAGGTGGTTGCTGCCACACCTGGAGCGAGCCCCGAGGTCTTCAACCTCAAGACGAAGGTCCTCGCCGGAGGCGATGAGGATATGAGAGACGTCAAGGAGGAGAATGGCCACAACTAGTTGTGGTAGCCATTCAATGCCCACATATCAGCAAATGGGGCTCTGTATCTCCAGGAAGGAATTGTCGCCCGGGGAACGAGCCGATAGTTCTAGAAATGGGGAAGTCTAAGGACAGTACTGAAGATATTAATTTTGTCTCTGGACCTCAAAAGGCCAGGAGATCATGAGTAGGTAGGGTTCGTCGAGGTTATCTCGAGCACCATATAGCCTGTCATCTCATGTGTGCTTTTGCATTGAAATAGGGTGCGACGAAACGGCGTACGGCGTATGAATTAGATCGCGGCCTTGAGAGCTGGGATTATTTGAACCGATCACACGAGCTAGATAAAATGAAATAAAAGCAAGGCATAAGATGCCTCTATTCTGGTTCTATCTGAATTCATGCCTTCTCTCCTTGAATAGTCGCTACAACCTTTCTAGTATGCCTCACCTCTCGGAATTCGAGATACCAAACTCCTTGCCATGTTCCTGTTGCCTTAGAAAAGTTTAGTTATATTACTTCCTTAATTTCGGCGAGTTCGGCGAATTCGGCGACTTACTAGTTTTCCGTCTTTTATAGGAATTGTAACACTAGCGCCGATGAGTGCCGACTTGATGTGTGCCTTTTCTTTATTAGCCATTTCCCCACCTATTACAGAAGGGAATTTTTTTTATATAACCTACGGGCATATCGTCGCTTCCTTCAGCACTATGTCTATACAATTCCTCTCCCTTAGGTCCAGCTTCAGGTGCTATGCGGTCTAGCGCATCGCTCATATCAGCGCGCACATCATCGTCCCAGTTCTCGTTCAAGCTCAGCGCACAACTCGTATGCTGGACAAATAGATTCAACAGGCCGACTTTATAGTTCCTGATCTCGGGGATCTCTTTGACGACGTGGTCGGTGATAAGGTAGGAGCCGCGCGAGCGCGGGGGCAGCGTGAACTGCTTCTGGAACCAGGACATGGTTGGCGCTGGCGGTGGTGGGGTAGCTGAAGATGGGCTCGTCGGATATAGATACGCGAGAGGGAGAGTGGATATGTAATGGAATAGACTTGGGAAAAAAGCTACGAGGAGCACAAGTAAGAAAAGCACGGTGAAGAAGTTATGCGAAAAAGACGTCGTGGTGGGTTTGGGTGTGGATGACGGCATAGCGATAAATGTAAATGATTATTGCGTTTGGTGTTGCTTGCAGCTTTGGTGGGGTTAATCTTCTCCCCCTGTAGGTTCAATTGGAGATTACATGTACTTGAACTATCTTGTACCTTTGTCTTGATCCGGTTATGCAATTGCTACATAAAGTATTACGTATCATAACCTGACTAACCTTAAGTAAGAGGTACATCTTAGCCTTTGTGGATAAATCAACCAATGAGTGAACGAATAAATGTAAGTCAGTTAACAAAGAGTTTAGGTAGCTTAGGTAAATTTGGAATTTGGGAGTATAAAGTTTTATGTTATGCTTTTACCAGGTGGTGACTTTATAAAGCATTTCTAGATACTTGAGCAGTCAGAATTAATATGTACATAGCTGGATGGACTTCCTGTTTGACCTAGGTAGACTTGATAATTATATAATATCAATTCAGTACCACTCCATAGCTACCATTTGATGGGTGAGTGTCTATCCTTATGCAAGAGGATACGAGGTCTGCGGTAGTGATTGTAGGTGCTCTCTGTGATGTTCGTTTGCCTGGAAACACTTATTAGTTATTCCCTCATATGAAGCCTATCTACTATCATCTCTCCAGGGAAGGATGAATAGCAGTCTTCTATGTCGGGGACAAAACTCACAAATGGAGAACCACAGTAGCCACAAGTAGCAATTTCCGGCTTGTCTGTGTTGATGAAGATTCGAGGATGTCCCGCTGGGCCCCCTCCACCGTCACATGCTACTACTCGGTCATGAGTCCATTCGACTGGCTTCTTGTGGATGAGATCGATAGCTGCTCTCGGTTGAGGCTGAATTGCCGTTAGCTACGATTCGTAGGATCGTGGGCAAACATTGGGCAAATCTTACTTGGAGGGAGAAATCGGTCTGTTCGAATCTCGGGCCTGTCATGGCCGCAGCCCTGGGTTTTTGACTCCTTGACCAGATATCGGTTCGGTTCGGTGCCTGTGTCAAGCCCCTCTCTTCATTCTCTACCACCCCCAACGAGTCCTCCTCGCTCTTGGTTTCGGGAGTAGTCTCGGATTTGACCGCGATCGGGTTCGTGGTATCAAGAAGGCGGGCGGAAACTGCGAAAGTGCGTTGAGTCGCACATGCTCGCTGAGGGAGCTGTAGAGACCTCCGAATAGTCAATCGCGAAAGCATCGTGGTTTATTGTGGTCGTTAATTGAGGCGACTGATCTAAAGAAGCTCTAGGATTATGATGATTTGAGGTTGATGATTAGCTGCCGATGATTACTGGCTCTTAGAAGCTCGGACCACATGTGAAAATCAATTAAAAGAATTTCCATTAACTTAGGTGTATTAGGTACCTAAGTACATATGTACCTACCTGACTTGATTCTTTTACAAGGGTGGAAAGAGCCGATTTGACAACGTCCGTACCTCTTGCATTCATTTTTTTTTTTACTTTAGTTCCCTTGCGACGCGCCCAGTAGAGAGGTATCTTTATCTTTTCAAACATTTATTCTTAAGAGCACCACTAAATATATTTTACGATCCATACCTATACACAAATTTTTGTTCGAGAAAGCTAATAGAGTCGCGACAATATGGCGACACCAACGCCCACCAAAAGCATGTCTTCAAGACTACTAACTATGAAATTCATGCAAAGAGCTGTCGCCTCGCCCTCCTCCCCATCATCCGCTACGCCAACTCCAGACGAGCAAGCCTCAAAGCGACGTAAGGTGTCACACAACCAATCGAAACGTGATAGTATCGATTCCCTAGCACATATAGACCAATCCGCAGTACAAGCTGCGATTGCTGAGGAGGAAAAGAAGCGCCAGGAAGCTGTGGTACAGAATGCTGCTAAGCTGGGAGACGCACATTGGGTGCTTGACATACCAGAAAAGACAACAAATTCTAACCGTGGAATACAAACATTAAATGTAGTTCAAGTTGGATTTGCACAGATCGATTCCCATATTGACACCTCTGATGCTGCTGGCTTTGATGACTTTGAATCAGCTGACGCCTCGCACGTAAGAACTCCAATGGTTAGACGGTATAATATGGATAATAAGAAGGTAAGTTTCGTTTCCCTACTTTATCGGTTTCTCTACGTGTGTACTATTTCCCTTGTTCACGTAACTTACGTACGTATAGGTGTCGAAAGACAGTGTGTCTGAAAGTGACGATTCTAGCTCTGGGTCGGATTCTGACGACTCTTCGGAAGATAATGGACGAGGCCGACATTCTTATAGCCAAAGGTCAGAGGGACGGTCGGGATCATCTCGTCCGGCCTTGAAAAGCAAAAGAAGCGCCGAACAGGTCAAAGCTAAGCAGTTTGCCGAGAAACGAAGAAAGAAGGAGGTCAAGTTGAATGGTATTAAGTCATCTCCTGCCTCTGGCGGCCCATTATCCATATCCTCGGGAGGCGGTACTTCACAACGGCAGCCTATGGACTTCACTTGTCATCGCTGTGGCAGACCGGGGCATAAACTTGCCCAGTGTAAGAATACTCCCAAGCGGCCAACAAATTAGAATCCGCGCATAGTGTCTATTTACAAGCGTTGCTTTACAGAATGGTATGTGCTAGCCCTTAGTTTCTAGATGTGACTTCACTCTCTGGGCCAAGGCAAGTACATCGAATACATTGCTACATGGGCAATTTTGCTCTACACTGCAAAATTATTCACGTTGACATGCTCTTGGGATATGGCAATTCTATCTAATTGGGTAGATCTACTAAGTAGAGCCAAAAAGGAGCATAAGGCGTACCTATTTGCGTTCTCCTCTTTGCCCGTCCTAGCTATAGCGTTATATACGTTGATCTCTGGGACAGACTTCATACGCAGAATTAAAGGGATTATATACGGGTAGCCGCTAGCACTAGATACTACTATAGGTAGATCTACTCCTGAAAGGAGATGTGATATCGAAACCTATATTGGGTTCTCCTTAGAATCCTGGGACTAAGCCGATCAAGCAAAGTCACCCCACGCAAGTGATCAATTCCTACTCATCTTCTCGTGTTTAATTATGAACCGTCTCGTGCTTGTGGTTATGAGAAGTGAAAAACCGGACCGATCGCAGTGAAACCTCGATCATTGTATACACCTGCGGTAACACTACGTATAATGTAGGCTCCTGTACCAATCGATTTTTACTCAAGCCATGTCGCATACGCGTAGACTGAATGCCTGATCGACAACGGCCGCCCCTATGATTCGATAATACGATCATGTGCTACTATTATACAACATATCATACAAATCTCATATAATAGATACCTCTGTAAGATAGCAAATTAGCAAGTAGCATAAAAGCTTCCTTCCTGATCAATTCATAGTGTCTTAATGTGAAGTCCAACGTAGGTAGTTACGTAGGTACCTAATTGAAACGTGTAAACGATTCATTGTCCTCTGGTTGAGTTCAGTTAGCGTTCCCACGACAGCATAAGACGGTGCAAGCCGCGGCTTTCAGCGAAGGTGTGTAATGCTTGTAGAATATCATCGCAATCAATATCAAAGTGGATACGTATCGGAATTATCAAAGCGCTATTGGATACCTTCTAGAGCACCAGCCGTCCAAAGCAAGCACCAGACGAGTGGATACAAGGCGAATATGGTCAGGTCCAAGCGGTCTGTGTACCGGCAAATATTGCATGGCACATCATGATGTACAGCTCCCGCCTCCTGCGTTATATATCAGGATTGCTAGCGGAAGGATCCAGGACCCAGCGTATATCAAATTTAAGCTCCTAACGGCCGCGTGGTTCGTGCGACGTACGGGGTTAGACGATAACGAGGCTGTTGCACCTAATACAAGTAAATATGAATACCTATGAGATTAAGACTTAACTTGTCATATATTGGGTTGTCGATCACGAGATAATGCTCTTCCAAGTACACGTTACCCCGTCTGATAGGAACTGAGAAAGACGGACTAGTTCGTTCAGAGAGAGAAATCTGAGACAATATGCAACTTTCTTATATATCCCTTTAATGTATGTAGGTAGTCTGATTTATTGTACACGTCGACGTATATACAACTCAGTTGGGCTGAAGAGCAAGGATCTTGGACCAACCGGAAATATTTAAACATACCCGGGACTTGATTTGCGGCAATCCATGCAGAAACGTGGAGGATAGGTTGTTAAGCTTTGATGCTACCTTATCTTAGGGTCTCCTCTCCTATTCCAAAACTACTACTCCTTCTAACTACTCCTTCTATGATATACAGGGTAGCGGAAACTAAGGCTGTCAACGCCCTCGTACCTTAATAATAATATGTACTTTTAATATCCTCTTAGCTATTATTTATCTTAAGTAGATATTACGAATTTTGATTGCTTACAAGGAAGTGGAAAAGACGTGATGTTTACCTAGGGTTAGGTACACTAAGTTTTAAGCCAAGGGATAACTAACTAACTAACTAACTAGATAGTCTACGGCTTAGTATCATAATATTAAGTCTTATCAACATTTAAAGCAAGTTGTTGTTATATCGAGGGAGTATGTAGGTTTCTAAAGAAGACCTAAAGAAGACCTAACCGCAGAGAAAGACACAAACCCGTCGCAAATCTTTTAAAGGTTCCACAAATTGCCATAGCTGGGTATCTATCCCGTCTTCCACTTTGCTTATTGGCCCACAGACCCTATACTGGGTAAATCTCCAAAGTTGTAACGTCATATTAGGGCTTAGCATCACGCAATGCAAAGTGACGAACATAGACATCATACTAACCTAGGTCCATCAAGTCTATCCTACCTACGGTTTCAGCAAGAGACGACGTTTATTAAGATTAAGATAACCAATAGTTTGGAACCCTAACCGCAATTTTACCTTTACGAAGAAATGATCATCATACCAATACATGCCTAACAGGTGGGTAGATAAGTGAAGCTGTCTCTTAATGTAGTATTTCCCCCACACAATATTTACCTTCGTATAGGAGGGTATTCATTATATGTGTCAACTACATTGTAGCATGATAACTTTTAACTCAACTCAATTCAATAGAAACCTCTCACGTTTTTCGATTTTGCGGCTTCTGATTGGTAACTTGTAATTAATAATCAATAATCGGAGTGATCTCATATTAGACTTATTGGCTGTTGGCCTCAAGGGTACTCAAAAGTAAAAAGTTTATTTCTTTTCTCGTCTACTATTCGTCGATGCTGTTTAAGAGGATGACGTCCTTCTGAGATTTCGAGGCCTTTTTTTTTCAATGAGAGGTTTTTTTTTCTTTCTTTTAGATGAGAGCGGAACAGGAAGTTCCAAGATACAATTACGTTCACCGCGTTTCTAATAAGACCCTAGTCACTGCCCAGCGAATAGCCTCCTAGGTCAAAGTTGCATTTAGTCCATCCTTGACAGAGATATGGTTTGGTTCATAAACTTGGTACCCAAACAAAAGCTGGTACAAGCGTTCGGCAAAATTGTTATACCTTAACTTTTGCCTCCTTGAGGTACGGCTCTTCAAATATGCGTCACATGTTACAATATATACCTACCTACCTATCTCAATATATAAATCCGACTTCATAACCTTAACCTAGTAGGTTACGTGCTTATATACGTTTGATATCTGCATACCCGGGATAAGGTCATACATACCTACCCACATACACCTTAAGTCTCACATAGTACATACACCCGACCCGTGTACCCGTGCGGACAAGCCGATATGGACCCTGTTCCCCCACATTCCTTCTTCTCCTGGTTTTTGGTTCCTTGACCTACACTACATACTACCTACATACTACATACCTACATACCTACATACATACTGGACTTAACACCATCGCCGTTCGTCATCCCTCGAATACCAATCCCTACTTGTATGTATTGTACCTCCATACAAACACATGGTGAGGTGTGCTTAGCTCATTTTACATACTGTATTTGTGTTGGTCGCACTTATTTTTTTATTTTATTTTTATTTTAGTTTTTTGCCTCTAACTTCTTCGTTTCTTTGCCTTCATCGTCTCATACAGTATAAGTATATAGGTAGGTATATATATATACCTATATATAACCTAAGGTACGCATACATACTTGACCTAGGTATATATACTATATAACTACTGTAATACATGTCTTAACATTTTAGTAAGACACGGATTGCTTACCTAGACGTATACATACATCCCATATGGTATATCTCTAAACTCGGCGTTATTCTTCCGGGCGGCTACCTCTGCACATCTCAAATTTTTTTTCCCACCCGCGTCGGATACTATATCAAAGCCGGACCTGATTATTCTCTGGATATCTGTGGGCATTGATCACACCTTGCTAATTCAACAACTACCGCCGCCCTGCAAGGAAATACGTCACCGACCTTCGGATTTTCAACTGAACATCACCCGTCTTTCTAGACCCAACCCAGATCAGACCCCAGACCGCATTTCAACGCTAGGGTACTTATGCGTTGGGTAGCTACAGCAATACCTCATCGACTAGTTTCCTGTAAGAAAAAAGTCTATTACCCACGGTGTTTGTTCTCATCCTCACCCCCCTTGGCCTCCGCTCTTCTCAACATTAGGCCTTATCACTGGCCCGTTTTCATGTCACCTGCTCAGTTGACTGATGCAGCACATATTATTATGCCTTCCGTACTATTATTATGAAATCTCAAAACATTATTCTAATTGCGGCCCAATCGTAGGGTCCTAACCATCTCTCCATCGCCAATTCTTCATAAATCTCAGCTTTCTCAGCCAATATCCGAGCCAAGTTCTCAATAGGTAAGTAATTAAGCATGCCAGCCCATAACGTACATGAGTACCCATGAAATCACAAGCGTCCTATCGTCGATCCATACCTCTACTGTTCCTTTTCCCTTGTGAATCTATCTATCCATGTTAATATTGGCAATAGCGGAGCCCGCTACTGGAGTCTCGCCCACCAGATCTCAGCTCGAGTCAGCCTTTCCTCCCCTTCTTTATACATTTGTTCTCAGCTCCCGTACTTGAAGTCTAGGGTAGCCTTGTCGTCGAGCCACAGTTTTGACTTCTACACTACTGTATATTTAAACCCCAGTCACCGACACAAGAATAAAGGGCGGGAGGCTATAGTAAAAGCTCGGGTTTGCTATATTACATCTCGAGGCCAATTGACTTCTTTTTAAGAACGCTTCGCTCTTCTTACAATCTCACCGCCGGGCAATCCAACTCTATAGGTGGTCGTCGAAACTTGTTCGTTTAGAAGACTGTTTCGCGGCTACATTATTGCTAGGTTTTGGTAGAGTTGCTGATTGGGTTGCAAGGTCCTTCTTAGAGTGACATAGGCAACATCTCTAAACTCGGCAGAAGGTTCCCGTTGCATATCGGCAAGTGTAGCGAACGACTAAGACTGCGGGCCGATTCGTGGTACTCCAAACGTCGTGTTACGAGCCGGCTTCGAAAAGTACTCGTTCTAGACGGTTGCTGAGAAGGGAACTTCCCAGACAGAGCGAGGCGAATTTCTCCTACATTAGACTTCTTCCCAATCCTCTGGAAGAACCTGGTCCTTGTCTCAGTCTACGTTAGCGTCTCCACCGAAGGCGATTTGCACAGACGCTACCCTGTCACCCCGTCCTATCTTTCGACGTCTGGATAAAAGTCGTACGCTCATCCGCCATCGGCCTAAGTCCCCTTTTCCCGCTCAGATCTCTCGAGCCGGGCGTTACTTAGAACTGTTAGAATATCTGGATTTATCCCCTGGACTTTGTGTCACAACCCCCCCAGTCCTCTTCTAACCGTATCTAATCCCTCGCCATGAGCTCCACAACGTCGCAGGACGCACCTACGTCAGGCGTCGTGATGCGGGACCACCTACAGCAACCGGTCGAGCGTGTCACCGACCATTTGGAGGTTCCTTCGCTAGACGACCGGAAATATCGTATTATACGTTTACCTAACCAACTTGAGGTGCTGCTAGTCCATGATCCTGAAACGGACAAGGCCAGCGCCGCATTGGACGTTAATGTCGGCAACTTCAGTGATGAAGATGATATGCCGGGTATGGCACATGCCGTGGAACATGTAGGTCACGTCGGACAAGAATCAATATAAACCTTGACTGATAAGATGCACTCTAGCTTTTGTTCATGGGTACGAAAAAATACCCGGTAGAGAATGCGTATAACGTATACCTCTCCTCTCATTCGGGGAGCTCGAATGCTTATACCGGAGCCACTTCGACCAATTACTTCTTCGATATTGCCGCGAAGCCGAGTAATGGCGAGGAACCTTCCGAGACAAACCTATCTCCCCTTTACGGTGGCCTAGATAGGTTTGCTCAGTTCTTCATCGAGCCCCTGTTCCTCCCGTCGACGTTGGATCGTGAGCTGCGTGCTGTCGACTCAGAAAATAAGAAGAATCTGCAGAGCGACCAATGGCGCCTCCACCAGCTAGAGAAGTCTCTATCTAACCCCAAGCATCCTTATTGCCACTTCTCGACTGGTAACTTTGAGGTGCTTAAGACCGAGCCGGAATCTAAAGGCATAGATGTGCGGCAAAAGTTTATAGACTTTCACGAAAAGCACTACTCTGCCAACAGAATGAAGCTTTGCGTATTGGGCCGAGAACCACTAGACGTACTTGAGAAATGGGTTGCCGAGTTATTCTCTGGCGTACCAAATAAGAACCTCCCACAGAATCGTTGGGAAACAGAAGTACCGTTCACTAACGAGCTCCTATCTATGCAATGTTTTGCAAAGCCGGTCATGGATTCCAGAGAGCTTAATCTCTATTTTCCATTCTTGGACGAAGAATATCTTTACGAAACCCAGCCGAGTCGGTATATTAGCCACCTAATTGGCCACGAGGGCCCTGGAAGTATAATGGCGTACCTAAAATCGAAGGGATGGGCCAATTCGCTCAGCGCTGGTGCATATCAAATATGCCCTGGTACTCCTGGCATTTTCGACTGTCAGATCCGATTGACAAAAGAGGTAAATCATTCTAGTCATTTGCGAAAACAGATTACTAATGCTCTAATGTAGGGTCTAAAACATTATAAAGAGGTCGTCAAAGTATTCTTCCAGTACATATCACTTCTCAAACAGACACAACCTCAAGAATGGATATTCGACGAGCAGAAGGGCATGGCGGATGTGGACTTCAAATTTAAGCAAAAGACACCAGCCAGTCGCTTCACAAGTAGGATTTGTGCTGTGATGCAAAAGCCGTTGCCACGAGAGTGGTTACTTAGCGGCCAAAGCCGCCTACGAAAGTTTGACCCGGAATCTATTGTTAAAGGGGTGGAACTATTAAGACCCGATAACTTCAGAATGACTATCGTGTCTCGGGACTTTCCAGGAGGCTGGGATCAGAAGGAGAAGTGGTACGGAACAGAGTATAAGGCTGAGAATATCCCCGAGGATTTCCTGGCTGAGATCGCCAAGGCCCTAGAGAGTACTTCTGAGAACCGTCTTTCCGCTCTGCATCTCCCACACAAGAACCAATTCATCCCGACAAAGCTTGAGGTGGAGAAGAAAGAAATTGAGCGACCAGCTCTAGCGCCTCGAGTGATCCGAGATGATGAAGTGGCGAGAACGTGGTACAAGAAAGATGACACATTCTGGGTCCCGAAAGCGAATTTAATCGTCAGCATCAGGAACCCTATCATATTTGCTTCGGCAGATAATTCAGTCAAGTCGAAACTGTTCACGGATTTAGTAAGGGATGCACTAGAGGAATACTCATATGATGCTGAGCTCGCTGGGCTGCAGTACAATGTCAGTCTTGATTCTCGAGGGTTGTTCGTCGAGGTATCCGGTTACAATGATAAACTGCCTGTATTACTGGAGCAGGTTCTTATTACTATGCGGGACCTCGAGGTCAAGGACGAACGATTTGAGATCATCAAGGAGAGACTGACTCGAGGCTACAAGAACTGTGAACTGCAACAGCCTTTTACACAGATTGGCGACTACGTGTCCTGGCTTACATCCGAACACGATTACGTGGTTGAGCAACTGGTCGCTGTGTTGCCCGGAATTACAACCGAAGACGTAAGACAGTTCTACAAGCAGATCATGTCACAGCTACACATTGAGGCTTATGTTCACGGAAACGTGTATAAGGAGGATGCCCTCAAGCTAACAGACATGATCGAAAAGATACTAAAGCCTCGAGTCCTGCCGAAGGAGGAGTGGCGTATCATTCGGTCATTAGATTTTCCTCCAGGGTCAAACTACGTTTTCAAAAAGACCCTCAAGGATCCGGCGAACGTCAATCACTGCATCGAGTACTATCTCCACATTGGCGATAAAGGAGATCGCCTAATCCGTGCAAAGACGCAACTTCTTGACCAGATCATTCACGAGCCGGCTTTTGATCAGCTACGGACTAAAGAGCAGCTTGGCTATGTTGTCTTCAGTGGTCTTCGAAGTTCTTCTACTACGTATGGGTTCCGCTTTATAATACAGAGCGAGCGCACTACTGAATATTTGGAATCTCGAATCGACTCCTTCCTAGCTACACAGACAAGTTCTCTAGAAAATATGAGTGATACAGACTTTGAAAGTCACAAGAGGAGCGTGATAATTAAGCGTCTTGAGAAATTAAAGAATCTGGACCAGGAGACTGGTCGTCACTGGACGCATATAAGCAATGAATATTATGACTTTGAATCAGGTATGATGTCTTCATTATTCTCCTACACGTCATTATAAACAACTAACAGCATGTGTACAGCCCAACGAGATGCAGCCCAAGTTAAGGAACTTACAAAGTCAGAGATGATAGAGTTCTACTCAACCTATATCCAGCCCACATCACCAACCCGGGCAAAATTGGTCGTGCAGCTCATCGCTCAGGGTGTTAGCCCCAAAGCGAAGGAGGTCGAGGAGTCTACAAACGGAGACACAACTACGCTTTGGTCAAATGGTACAGAACCAGTCTTGATACGAAATGTGCGGGACTTCAAAGCAGGACTTTCAGTGACTCCAGGAGCTCGTCCGGTTAGGGACCTCAGAGATTTTGAGGAAATAGACTCTAAGCTTTGAGACGAATTTTTGTGAGGAAGCGTTTGGTAGAAATTAGAAGGCAGAGTGCTATACCCATCTGTCTGCATAGTACATTTATAGCGTATTTGGTTTCTGGGCAACAAAGGCCAGTACGATACATTTCAAAGTGAAATGAAATCGCGTGAGTACACAGATAGATCATGCGTTCCTTAGACTTTCTCTAGAAGTTACTTAGTGGGAAATGTCTTATTGTTGGTTTTTTTTTTAGTCTGCGTGCGGCCGGGCCGAAAAAAAAAAGAACTCGAGACCTGGGGGGCAATTAGAAGTAGACGTAGAAAACTAGAGACAATGGCTGTTTACCAGGTAGATACATACATTAACTAGATAGAGTAGAGTCTTTAAAATATATACGTACGTGATGAGCAGTCTTATACGTACCTCATGTAAACGGGCAGGTTTTGATGGTGGAAGAGACTCGAGTTAGGTACATTAGGTACTTACCTAAGTACATGTACCTATAAAATGTACATAGGTTCACATAGGCCGCAGATGACGGGTATCTACTTGTGACGATGCACGTAGCCACCTGCAGCTTTTAAACGAGAAATAGGGTTATTCAGATAAGCTTTAAAAAAGATGTTGTTCAAGATTATTTACTTTAGCTAACTACGTGACTAAGATAATGTGCCTAGAAATAACGGTGTATATAGTCTGTTTAGTCCGTTACTTGGAAGGTGCTCTTTTCATGTATAATCCGATATACTTACCAATTTATTTCTAGTACTAAGATCAGTTGTCTTTGCTTCGGTAACAATAACTTATTTTGTGTCGCACATGCCCTTTCCCCTCCATATCTCCATGCAGTTTTAAAATAACATACATCATACATAAATTCATACGATACCCCACACTCACCTTTATTTCTATAATTTAATCCAATTTTGGTATAATCATTTTGGACCGAACAGCACACCCTTGGTGTTTGATCGTACGTAGTTTTCCAACTAAATTCACCTATAACTTTAGGTACGACAACTACCTAGGTGTACCTAAGGTATATGTGTCTGGTGGGTTATTGACTAGACGATACATAAAAAGGTAAATGTATCCGCGTAACTAGGTACATAGAGTTTGCCAATCGGAACTAGTGGCAGGTCCAGGACTTGTAAACCTGTGCCCTTTGTACCCGCTGTGCTGATAAAAGTACCTGCCTTTGGAGTGGTAGTGGTACATGACCGTCACCCGTCACCCGTGGCTGCTGCCTTCCATTGGAACAATTTTTTTCTAAGGCGAACCCCAAAGTATTTGATACCAATCAGCAAAGCGCCCACATAGAAACTGACCGCTGCTGCGTACTGCTCACTGCTCACTGCACACTGCACACTTTCAGCACAACGACGCAACATAATTTGCGTGCATCAATTCAAGGCAAAGGAATTTCGCCTTCCTTTTTTTTTTTCCCTTCTCCCAACAAGAAATAGAATATTCTGGTAGTTAAGTTATTGGATTAAATCAAAGTCAACCAATCCTAACTTTAACTTATACAGAACCAGACTTCAGGACTTGTCTGACAAGCAAAGTATTAGACATCATTGTCAGAAGAGGTACTAGATTGTCTGCCCGGAAACTCAGATTTTCCTTATTAAAGGTGCACGACCGACCAATGAGCACACACCATTCCCATCAAGCGATCAATCATTTATTGTCTTGTGTAAGATTCCTTTTGCACATTCATACGACCTCTCGCTCATAAGCGCGACCTTTTACCATCATATTACCACTGATTTTTCCAGAGCTGCTCAAGGCAGCTCGCCGCCAAGACGTCTTCCTCAAAGAAACGGAAGATTACAAACCGCCAATCCACTACTAAAGACGAGAGCTTAGACAGTAACAATTCCTCGGACACACCTTTACCGTCCTGTGAATTAGATACCGATCCGAACTATTCATTCTACTCCTCCTCCTCCTTCGACAACTTGACCGCCAACTCCCGCCGCGCCAACTCTGTCCCGCCGGCATCAAGTCTTCCCCCTCGATTACAAACCAATACCAGCTCCCTTAGCTACACCGAATACGCCTCATCTGCCGCGAGCTCTCCCTCTGGTGCCTGCGCTGCGTTAACAATCGATAGCGATTGTGGTCCCGACAACCCAACACTCGAACTCAGCTCCGCCTCTTCTAATATTTATTCTGGAAGGGGCAGCTCACCATTTACTAAAATCACCTACCATCGTGCAGTCATGGGCGGTGCCGCCGAATTCCCAGATAGAGCTTCCTCCCCGTTAAAACGACGCGCCTCCAGTATGGAACCTGATATTGCAGACCAAGATGCAACTGAAGATGTCGATATGATTACGGCGCCACCGTCCGATGCTCCGGACACATCTAAACCCGAACAACTTAACGGTCACGTTGCAACCGATGCAGGTCCCGCAGTAAATGGCCATGCCGATGCGACGGTTGAGGAAAGTGTTGAGCCGATGGACATATCACCATGTAGGTCGACTACAAGCAAAATCAGACAGCATGGACTAATTTCACAATTTCAAGCACGTCAACCACCGGAATCTATAGAGGCCCATGTGAAAGCCATTAGAGTATTTGTGGAAGAGCAAAACACACGCCCACTTACGGAAGGCCAGGAGTGTTTCTTGGTCTCAAAATTGTGGCTGGCTAACGTGCCGGACGATTTATCACCAAAACACACCATCGAGGACTGGGCCTCGATACCACCAGTAGATAACTCGGATATCATTCAAGAGGTTATAGATGATCCTTGTGTTGGTAGTGGCGTGGTAGATGTTCTAAAGAAAAGGTTCGTTCGGCTGAAACCGGGTTACGATTCGGAACAATTTGAACCTTTCCCTAAAGATGCCTGGGATCTTCTTATTAAATGGCCCGGGTTGAAAGAGGACCAAATGCCTATTCTCCGTTTGGCACATGCTACAACAGACGATGGCAAAAATGTTATGTGGGAATGGCATCCGCCTGTACTCGCTATACATCGACTCTGGTCTGCTAATAGTGAGTTGCCGATTGAAGCAACCATGAAGGCTACGAACCCGCCACCTTCAAGACTTGCACGTAGTCGCTCAACAAATTTCCAAACTTTCCTAAAACAGGCAAAAAGGGTCACAGGAATAGATTTATCACAAAGAGTTCGAGCTTGGAGTGTTTTGCAGCCACCTACTGGCCAAACATCAGGTAATGCAGTGCCCACTCTCTCCGCTTCTCAAGATGATACGAAACCTAACACTTCCCAAGCCTGGAACCATCTTCTCTTGGACGTCGAATCGTTTCTAGCTCTCGAGAGAAAATCAGAAAGAGAGCTTATCGATTTCGGTGATCGATCAGATCAGCCAAATCAGAAATCTGTCAAAACGCTAGGCCACTTCAGTATTGCGCAGGATCAAGCCATTGTCTTGGACCTTCATGAAAGCGGTTCTACTTGGACTTCGACTCTAACATCTTCTCAAGCACGAACGTCACTACCATCTAGAAATAGTTCTACCAATCTAACCGTACAAAACCGGAACGCTAGAAGCGGACGCACTAGTCCAGTATCCCAAGGATATCTCACACGTGGTAGAGCAAAATCTGGTAAGGTCCCCGGGTGCGTGGGATTAGCAAACTTAGGTAATACATGTTACATGAACGCGGCCCTTCAGTGCGTCAGGAGCGTTGAGGAATTAACAAAGTATTTCCTTTCGGGAGAGTGGGAATTAGAACTCAATAAGGAAAATGTCCTCTCTCACAATGGCGATGTGGCTGCTGCTTATGCCCACTTACTGAAAGAATTTTATAAAGATTCGTCGCCGGGTTCCGTCTCACCCCGCCAATTTAAAACCACAATCGGTCGATACTCTACGGGATTTTCGGGTTATGGTCAGCAAGACTCACAAGAGTTTCTTGGATTTTTGCTGGATGGGTTGCAAGAAGATCTTAGTCGGATCAAGAAGAAGCCTTATATCGAGAAGCCGGACTCGACCGATGAAATGGTTAACGACCCTGCCGCAATCCGAGAGATGGCAGCTAAAGTATGGGACATTACCAAGAAACGTGATGACTCCGTCATAGGCGATTTATTCACTGGCTTATACAAATCGACACTAGTTTGCCCGGAATGTCAGAAGGTTAGCATTACATTTGACCCGTTCAATAATCTGACCTTACCTCTCCCCGTGGAAAATAAGTGGAGTCACACCGTCAGATTCTTCCCCTTAAATGATCGGCCAATCGACATCAGGGTCGAGCTTGACAAGCATGCCAGTATCAAATCTCTGAAGGAGTTCCTGTCTACCAAAACCGGCGTGCCGGCCGAACGTTTGTTTGGCGCAGAAGAATGGAAGGGCAGGTTCTATAAGTATTATACTGACGTCTCCTGCGCCTCGGAAGAGATTGCACACAACGACAATGCTTGGTTCTTCGAGCTGGAGGCTAAGCCTACAAACTATGGTGCTAAGCCGCATAAACAGCAGAAGTACGGAGTAGCAGTCAGATCCATGGTTGAGGAGGAGGAGCACAATGCTTCAGCTTTGTGGACCGACGAGCAGGCTGAGAAACTGCTTGTCCCCGTCTTCCACCGGCGTCCAGCGCCTCCGAAATCTAGTTTTCACCAGGATAGATGGGTACAGGCTTGCGCCCCTCATTTTGTTATCATCACGCCCGAAGAAGCTAAGAGCGAGGATGCCATTCGCCGCAAGGTCCTAGAAAAGGTTGTAACATTAACAACAAAATTCAATACGGAGGATTCAGAGGGGTCTGATAACACTGATCTCGATATTGTAGGGACAAGCTCTGACACAGGTTCCTCTAATGGAGGTAGGGTTGTTGCCCAATCCGTTAAAGGCGAGGATGACATAGTTGACATACAGATGAAAGATGGCGGAGTCCGAAGGTATGTGAAATAGTTCCTTGGTAAGGTTAATAAACAGTGCTAACTCATTTTCAGCAACCCTTCGGGCAAGCAGTTCTGTAACAAGAGGCCGGATTGGATAGATTTAGAGGGGTTTCTCCCCCCTACTCATCAGAATTTGTTTGATATCTGCTACTACTCGGAATCGGGAGCATGGTTACCGACTGGCATGAGCGGCATCAACGACGACAGGCAATATCCGAAGCTCTCGGCCAGAGTTCTACCCGAGTGTTTATCGGAAGACCAGTTCGATAATGCAACCAATGGCACGGCCTCTAATGAAGAGTCCAGTTCAGACGAAGCGCCGCGACGAAGTATTGATCAGTCCTACACACGCATGCAAGACGAAAGCGACGACGAGGATGCTAGCCCGATTATTAAGGTGTGTCCCAACCAAACCCTTTGGGGCGGCCTAAACTTTCAGCCTGCAAAAAGACATTGCCCCAATTCAGTACTGACATATAACCAGTCAAACCACCACCGTTCTAAGCAGAATGGGCGGGCCAAAGGCAAAAACAAGCAACAGAAACAACATAAATCATTCAAAAACCACAGCAAGGGGACCAAGAAGAAGCTACGTCAGCAGCAGCAACGCCAATCAAAGGAGAAGCATCACAGCATAGAACTGGAAGATTCATTTAATATAGGCGATCCTGTTCCCGATGGAGGTCCCTTGATCCGCCTCAAGGAAGCTCTCATTATTGACTGGTATGATGCTGCTTATGATCGCACCTTTACTGATAGTAGCACACCAGCCAATGACAACTCACTCGCAACATGGATTGTCTGCGAGACTCTACCAGACCCCGAGCTGGACAAAGCCCAAGCAGCTCGGACTAGGAGTCGTAAGAACGGCATCTCTCTCGAGGCATGTCTTGACGAGTTTGAGCGGGAAGAAATCCTTTCTGAACAAGACATGTGGTATTGTCCTCGCTGCAAAGAGCACAGGCGTGCTAGCAAGAAATTTGACTTATGGAAAACTCCAGACATTCTCGTCATTCATTTGAAGAGATTTAGTTCTAGTGGTTTCAGAAGAGACAAATTAGAAGTTTTGGTCGACTTCCCTCTTGAGAACCTGGACATAACTTCTCGGGTTCTCCAAAAGGAAGATGGGAAACAGGAAGTTTACGATCTGATCGGAGTTGACTGCCACTGGGGCGGCCTAGGAGGCGGTCACTACACTGCTCATGCGAAGAACTTTGTAGATGGCCACTGGTACACATATAATGGTATGTATGACCCAACTGGTTTCTGTTGTATAATTGCTAATCTTTTTTTAGATTCGTCGGTATCGCGAGCGTCTCCTGATAGAATTGTCGACTCGTCTGCGTATCTGCTATTCTATCGTCGACGATCTGAAATCCCCCTTGGTGGGCCTCGCTTCCAGCAAATCTTGGAAAAGTTCCAAGATGATGGTTCCGACGGTGAACTCCCTGATTCGGGGGAAGATCAGCGTCTCGGCGGAGGCTTCTCCCAGACTGGGTCGTCGAGCGCGTTACAAGGAGCAGGAGCTACTCACCCGCGCGGAAGCACTGGTGGTAAATCGACAAATGGCTTTACCGTGAATAACGCAAATAGTAGCTGGGACATCAAGACTATCGACGATGTCCTCGAGCATCCCTCCGAAGATGTCCACCGAAGCATCGAAGAGGACGAGGGCATAAGCTTAACCGAGGACACAGTACAACCAGCAGGTTTCCAACCGCTCACAAATGGTAATTCTTGGAGCTTTGACAACCTTGTGTCTAACGATATCGCGGATATTGAAAACCCTCCCTCGGAGAGTCCCCTTGACTCGGATGCGGCCTCGGATGCGGCACAACACGATTCATCTGGTGATGAACGGGTGCTTAGTCCCCGTGAGATGGATTTCGAGCCAGACCACGAGCCAGAATATCCGGGGATGTCGCATTATGAACTGTCACAACCCGAGACCAACCTGCCCTCGTATAGCGAAATTCCACCCCCTGACTACCGAGGTGAAATGACCCAGGACGATATGCACCAGATTTGGGATCAGAATAACACGATCCACAAAGTTGCACCTGAGGGTGAGAATGATGCGGGTTCCGAAGACGCAGCGGAAATCCACATCGGTGAAGACGATAAGATTAAGCTCACCTAGTTAGATAGCATCGATCGTTGGTGTCTGAACAGAACACCAAGCTAATTAATCCAGGAGTCTTCAAAGTGAAGATCTTGCCCTGATACATTGATAGGGAATGGGAAAATCTTGATGCCTAGAGTACATTAACCAGTGAGCAATGGCTTACTGGCAATTCACGAAGGTCATGACGGAATACGCGTCTATTCAATTACGGCATGACATGGAGCATTCGAGACGGAACTGCCATGGTTTCCTATAATGGAAACAACATAACATCTATACATAGTATTCCTCTTAACAGGTATGGCCGGCATGCATTACGACAATTACGGAATGACAGCTAGTCTCATAGGAGAGGCAAGAGGGTGCCTAGGGGATCTCATGGAGCATGCCCTGTCGAGCATTTTTGCCAGGTTAGCAGGTTGGTGGGCTCCGAGGGTGGAAATAACATAGCATCCTTGGGTCTACCGCCTTCACGGAGTTAATAGACTAACTGTCTTTGTCTCGCATTGAAGCGGCGTTTGTTGCTGGCTCGTTGTGTGAGTCACCAGTGCCATGGTGAAGAGAGAATCTCTAACCAAGCGTCAATCCTTGTATATATGTTTTATGAATAATATGATGCTTTGCTTCTATGAGACTTGGAAGGGTGAAATAACTGTGCATTATTGTTGGCTAGCGAGATCGAGATGAGTAAGAATCGTATATGATTGATCAATATCTGCCTACCAGGATACTTACCTAAGACAGCGAGGCTTTCTTCCCTCGTCCTAATTCATAGCTTTAGAAGTGGTAAAGGGGTATTGTAAATACACACGTAAAATATACATGTACTAGGTAAGATAAAATAGGAACCTAGCATCAAGATTAAAATAGGGTGTGACAAAGTTTATTGCCGCCCTTGTGCCCGAGTTGTGCAATGTAGGTAGGTAGCCTTATGTTCACCTTAATGTCCAACAAATAGGCTTAAGTCGAGTATTGTACTCGTTGCCCACCCACGCTACCAGGATGACATCTGAGATCGGTATAAGCCCAGGTCCATGCAGACCCCATAACGAATAGCGAATGACAGCTAGGTTCGTTACAGGGCATAGACTTCGTTCCTATGGGGTAAATAAGCTCAAGGGTTTACCTCGAAGCAAACACAAAGGAATCATCCTCCAGGGCAAGATCTCGAAGTGAAAGATTCCTTGACAACGAAGGTATAAATAGACTCGTGATGAGGATTGTAGGTTGATTAGCAGGCCTAGGATGAAGGCTAGCGGCCACTAAAGACTTGAATCAGAAGGGAACGAATGGTGTACATTGAAGTGAACGTCCTTGAAGCTGAAAGCTGTGGTTGCAATAAATCTCCTGCTCTAAGATTTATGTCCAATTCAAGAGCATACTACAAGCTATAGTAGGTAGTCACCCTCTAGCACATGAAATTTTACGTCGTGCATGAGCTCACCTTAAGGAACTAATGGGGACGGTAAGTCCTTCATTATAATGTATACTTGCTATATAGGGCTACGTGTGTAGGATATTGAGTGTCTTTTTCTATGTAGGATAAATTAACCTAGATAAATCCAAACACTGCATACCTCCAAGGGTTACGAGAACTGGGCCTTTCCCCTTGCCTCGATATTTGATATACCCACCAGGTTTTTTTTTTAACACGTATAACTATTTACGCAAGTTATATGCCTTCATTTTTGATATCTCCGTATAGTGAAGCCTTTTAGCCTTTCTCACTAATATTTGTAGATAGTCCGTTCATCTAGACTCCGCAAAGGAGCTGTTCTAGTTATGCAGGTGCCTGTCCGGATGACGAGTTGCGTTGTACCGTGATATGATTCGTGGTGTGGCAAATGCGGTTGCCTAAGAGGCTTGCTTATGTATATTCTGCGTACAGCTCTGGGTTGATTGTCTATTATATTTATATATAGTGGCAAGAGTTTATTTATATATGACTATAGCTATTTCGTTTCTTATCATAGCTGATTTCTAACCTGATGTGATCTGTTGGTACGGGTATCCTGTGTGGCGATTTTACAAACGGTCACGATGGCTTGTGCTCACATGAAGGGTACAAACTTAGGCTTAGGCAGCACGGCTGCGTCCCTGCGTATAGTGATCGGCGTTTAGTGAGACGAGCATGTCCCAACCTGTGCCTAGGCCGGCTGTGAATTTTGTTGGCATAGGACGCAAAGGCTTCTCCAGTACCCAGTGTAAAGTATGTCCTACAGACTTCACTACGAATTGGCAGCACGATGGTGGAGATAAAGGAACATGAGGCATCGTAGGTCCCTACTGTGGTAATCGCATAAGCCCCCTTCTCAGCTAGCCCGGCTCGTGTGACCCCCTTTAGACTGTACGGAATGTGAGGTACTACGATGGTTTAGTGGAAGCCTAAACTAAGGCCGGACTTGAAATGGCGAGACGAGGTAGACTGTGGTAAGTAGCGAAGTTGCGGATGAAGAGATTGTCGTAATTTGGAGTACTTGTCAAGCTTGCTCATTTCGGACGTTCATAGACGAGCGATAAATCTGGAAAGCTTTGGCAAATTGGGCCCTTGATTTATTGTTAGTAATCTTTTCAAGTATAGATCGTTCGAGAATAGAATCTCACGACCGGTAGTTTTTACTGCTGCTTTGCTCGAACGTTCGGCATCTGCGCTTGTTCTCCGCCAAAGACGTTCATCTTAGGGACGCGTCAGATTAGCTGGGAACGTTCAATCCAAGATAGCACATCGAGAGGCTATACGATAATCAATAAGCCGCATTTAAAACAATGGGGAGCATCCAAACCATAGCTATAGACTTGTTTCTCCGGCCTGCATCGGTCCTATGTCTCGTTTAAGGCTCCTTCTCAGTTGCGATTGTCGATCATAGTCGCGGGACTAGGAATACGACTCTAATCGCACGATGTCTGTTCATCTATAGGCGTGCCGAGCTGAGACAAATATAGAAACCGCGTTGACGGGCGAAGCAATGCAGGAAATTTGGTAGAAGATGACGACAACCTGCCGTACCAGGTAGAGAAGCCTTGCTAACGTCGGGAATATTCTTGGCTGCGGTGAACTCGAGCCAAGTTAAATCAGGACAGAGCGAGGCGGCAACCGAACCAGGTGCGACATATTCCATATAAATTGGAACGTGTATATACGTTGTGAGATCGCGATGCTATGATACTTACCTACGATCATTCGCAGCAGTCGGAAGTTTCTATTACTTCCCGAGGTATTATGCTAGCGTCATCAAAAGGATCAGTAAAAAGATACATTTTTACTGAGCATGTAGCTCCGGACGAGCCGCGGTAATTTCGGCGATCCGAGAGTAAGTTTTATATCTCACGAGCCTGGATGGCAAAGAACGAAAATGGATCATAGTAAGGCTGGCGATTAGCGGCTGACCCGAATATGAGCGGTGAAGAGTTCCAAGAATATAATTGACGTCAATTGGATTGTCATTGGTGAAACGATTGGACATAGGCGCCGTATCTCGAGATCTTTTGTGAGGCTGAGCACCTAGGAATAGGTATACTTCTCGAAAGGACCCTGTAGTTTTAGTTTATAACTAATCATAAATAATGAAAGATAAGAGTATGGTAATGGCAGGGTAAGTTGTACATAGGCGTAAGTCTCGTCGTATTATAGGACAGAGGCCAACTTGAACTGAGATAGGCCAGGCTTAGATCTGCTTAGCCTTGCTGGTTCGTCAATCGCACATCGTTTCCGTAAATCCGGTCGCGGCGCCCGACTAGATATAGAAGGTAGCTGGGTACCTAGCTGGGTAGCCAAAAAAGACACGGCGTATTGAGATAAGATCGTGTGCGATCTAGAGTCGCGCGAACGAACATGAACCGAGACAGGCAAGTTGAAAAGGTAAAACTACACAAACATTACCTATAGTTATACATATATGTAGTTATATGTATCTGTATCTTAAGTGTTTTAAGGTTGGTTTAGGGCTCTTACATTGAAACCAAGCATACGGATGTGGGGGCCGTGTAATGCCGTACGCAGTAAGGCGATGGGTGACGGGTGATGGAAAACAGATCCGAGACCTCGATTTGTGGTGTTTTGCCTTTGTGGGGCCTGGTACAAAACCAACAGGCGCTCGCCGTTGCAGAGGATGCTACTGTAAGGGGAAGGTCACCAAAAGGAAGCGGCGAAGTTGCTGTTTGGGGGTTACACAGCCGGAAGTGACTATTAGTAATACCCTAAAGAGACATAAAGACATTAGAAAGAGCAGGGATTCGGTATTGTTAATTCAGGGACCGAGAGGAAGATATGAGAAGAAATGCGGTTAAAAGCTTGAATACGTAAAACGATGTAACAAATTTTGTCACCTTTATTATCGGCGATAATAAAGGTACATTTAGATACTTCTCGAGAACTTATACTATCTAAGGTTAGCATCAACCTTGGAACTCTGGAGGATTTGCGACTTGAGACAAACACTTACATATATCATCCACTTACACCCACTTAGGTACATATCTAGTGATGCACTTATCTATTTGTAAGTGATTATGTATTAGTATACCATTCGAATAGCATATGTACATTTGCCTGTAAATATGATGTAGATGGAGGCGCGTTTATTTCGACTGCCAATTCGTATTTGAAAGGTTGTAAAATGACGAATGACATTTATTTCCGAAATGCGTTCCTATAAGCTTGAGCATTATTACTGACTTGTTTTTCGATAGTTCCTCTGCATATAACCGCATACGATTTTTACGTGGCAACAGACGCGATAGGCAAGGAATATACATACACCTTAGGTACGCACTGACGACAATACATATGTTTTACGCATGCTTTTCCGGCACCAAATAATACAACATAGGATCAAAAATTAATCATAGGCAACTCGCTTCGCTGGCAAACTCATCACTGCTGTAGATAAACTCAAGCGAAAATGATGAGTCACTTAGGACTTAGGTACTCTTAGCCTTACTTTATTCCTAAGGCGTTCATTATCTCAGATGCCCAAACCCAAACTTATCTAATGCCATACATATACATATACGAACATAGAAGAGGCAAATCTGGATAGAACCATAATTAGAAACCAACTTTGGCCACATGAAGAGCCGTGTAAACCATGTGGCCATCGTCTCCTCCTCCATTGTATGATTACATATGGGGAATATGAAATATCTTGCTATGACATAACCGCTCTGCTGCTTCAACGGCTACAATTAAATATGTATTGGGTATACCTACCTAGCAGGCCTAGGTAGATAAAGTTAATTAAGAGGATGGGATTCGTTTATGCTGAATGGATTATGAATACGTGTTGGTAATGAATTGTTATCGCGTGTCTACATACATATGGTGTCGGAAGCCCAAGCAGCCAAAATAGCCAAAGGTAATCCCAAAGGTAATCTGAGCGGAATCAATGGATCTTCAATGGTTGCGTGGGTTTCGAGCTGCATGAGTTGATGAATGATCGTCGAAAGGCGAACAAGCTAAAAAGGTAAAAAGTGCGTGTTGTGTAACTGCGTACGTACTGTATGGGTCTAATATTGCGCATCTTATTGGTTTGGTTAATCCACCTCTCCCGCTTTTCCCACTTTCCCACTTTTCCTCTTTTTCCTTTAGATTTCCAAGGCCGTTCGCTACAGGCTTCTATCAGCCTTCTGGAAGGCTTCGAAGCTGGCTAGAAGCACCTAAAAAGGCCGCCAAGGTTCCTCGTGGTTGCCCGGCCGGACAGGGGTCTCCCGGACCATGCGCAGGGAATATCACTGTTTCAGCCAGTCATATTCCATCACTCACTGAAGCTTGATGTTTTATGGTGGGTTATGCTTACGATGCACACACGCAGGGAACAAAAGACGTAAGCAGACCTGAGTCGGTTCCTTTCGACCACAGCTTCTAGACGGCAGCCCCGAAACCCCATCGCAGTGTGGGCACTTTTACATTCATCACTTCCACTATCAATTTCGCCATGTCCTTACTATTGGCTACGATAATCGTAATTATTAACATACCGTATTCCTCTCGCGGTGGTTACCAAGGTACAGTACGGATTACTTAGCCGCTGATATTCGATCAGCCGCACGGAGCAGATTATACATTAGTAGTGTATGTGTATTGGGGAAAGGCAGCGCCTAATCATAAGATGTGCGCAGGGCGTAACTTGTACATGTATGTACATAGGTAGCTCTGAAGAGGGCAGGTCGAAGGAAGTACCTATCTGCTGTGTGGTATGAGGGGTACGGTTTGCATTGGCCATTGGCGATAACCTACGAATAGAGGTAGGTATGCATCGCCTACAATTTATCAATTTTTTGGTTTTGGTTTTTTTTTGTTTTTATCTACGTGTTACAACACCTATGACATTTACAATATCTAAGGTTACATACCTTAGCCTTCATTTTTTTCGGATACATGAAATTGAACCTCGGAGTTGCTTTTTGAAAACCCACCTCTCTAGGTTATAATGTCTCGAGTTCTTCAATGACAGACACTTGACATAGACACTGACATAGACACTGACATAGCAGCTATCCACAGCGCCTGACTTAAACATCGGGCAGATCGGGTTAACCTGGGTACCACGTTATTATACACTACCAACCACCCTAATGGTCCCATTTATTACACTACGATCCTACCGCTGGATTTCTAGTGTACATAGCACATGCAGTTAGTGCCCACGTACCTACATTCTGTACATAAATGTACTAAGGTATGTACAAAGTACACACATGTACCCAACACGCGGTGGGCCTTGGGATTCCAAGCAAGCAGCAGCTTCCACTGCCGTCGCACTAAAAATGACACCCGATTAATCGCAGAACTTCACTTGTTACCCTTTCCTTTTCTTCCTTCTATTGTACGATCCACATTGGGGGAAGAACTCTAGTCTACACCCTTTTCAGTTCCCATCTCTTGGTCTTCTGGTCATTGCTTGTTACCTCGATTACCTCGAAATACCTTCCACCCTCCCCTGCTTTTTACTTTTTGTCAAAACGTCACGTACAACACCTGCCTGTATACTATTCCCTTGTCGTCTCCTCATCAACAACATCTGTGTTGCCCAGTCTCCCGGCTTCATTACTAGACTAATTTCGAAACACCTACGTCCAAGTTGACAGGTATTGAGTATTTTTTGACCTAACCAACACGTCCAAACCTTTCCGCGGCGTAAAGAAATAAAAAAACAGAAACAAAAAAAAACACAGAAAAATCCACCATTAAACACGTTAGAGACTTGGTCGCAGACGTTGCGAAACGCATTATCGTTCCTGTTAAGAGTGTAACGTCGCTCCCTTCAGACGAACTCGCAGTAGGGTGTGAGGCGCGACCACCTTTTCTTTCACCTTTTCGGCTCCATCCACACGTTTTCGACTATAGAATACACATATGTGCGCCCTCGCTTGTCCCGAGTCCTATGTTACTAATCCGTTCCACCCTTTCTCGACATCTCCCTTCGATTCCCCATAACCAATAACTATACCGCACTCGAGTTGGATCGTATGCGCCCTTCGTCTTCCGGATCTTTTGGATGGTTCCTTCTGAGGTGTGACTTAATTTGAGTGGCTAGCCTATCGAGAAATCCTCGAGTCTCGAGTACGACCTTCGCGTGTCAACTATCAAAACGTTCCCGTCGCACTTACGATATACTAAAATAGCTGTGGGCTAAGACATTTTTCATCTTTCATTGACGACTCAATTGATTACTTCTCACCATATAATTGTTCGCTTTCATAGCTGGTTTCAGTTGCGACAACAATTGCGACAGGTTACCCTGGCGGAAGTGCTCCGGTCTCTAGACTGGATGCCATAGCCCGCCGTGATGGATAGCGCAACCTGTAATGTGATTTACGTGGATCGTAATGTACTCGAAGATCGATCATTAGGCTCTGAGAGCACGGATCTGCCGGAATCTGGTGATCTTGGGGATAATTTGGGACTCCTACTAGATGCCTTTGGTGACGGTCAGTTCTCGATATAAGCTTCTACTCTAAACAAGCAACTAACATATGTCGCAGTACACGTGTGTGCAAGCGGTTCTGCTTGTATATCTAAGCTGTTTCACTTGCAAGATACGTCCATGGTAGGGCTTAAACCGACTCTTGTACTAATCGACACGCCGTACGACGAGCAAGTGTTAGAGCCACCATCGCCCGAACGAGATCATTCGCCTTTTTCCGAGGCCTCGCAGGACGGCCAGTTGGAAGAAGAGTTGTATGGACTAAGACTGCTTGAGCGGATTGTTTATGAGACTCATCTGAGAAGCCTCACAAGATTAGTTGTGCCCATTCCCGTTATTAGCTTCCCTCTACTACGAAGCCCGCCAGCGAATGACGGCACGAACGATGACCCTCCACAGCCAGCGTATGCAGATTACCTCTCAGAAGTGCCAGGCGCGACTGGTAAATCATTAACAAACCGCGCTCTATTAAGAAAGTGCCTGGATTCTGGTGCAGTAGATGTAATGGCCAGCCCTTTACATATTAAAACATTAACAACCCTCGAAGTTCATGCGTACCGTGCGCACAAAGAAGCTGCTAGGGAACAGCAGGCAGTATTGGAGGTTCGGAGGGGCCGTAAACGGTCCTGGGTAGGTGTGCACGAGGAGCAGCCTTACTCGTACCTTAGAGAGGCTATGGTATCTGGGTTAATGAGAGGGATTTGCCATTCCGGCGAAGAGCCTGAAGATCGCATTGGGAATGTCAAGGTTAATGTCCCATCCGACCGCCGGTCTCAAATCGCTAGGGCTATTGGGAGGTGGCATTTTTCTGCCCACGATTTCTGTGACGATTCTCTCCTCATCGCGGCCATCCTCATGTTTAAACATGCCTTTTCCATGCCGGAACTTGAAAAATGGCGAATACCAACAGGTAAATGACTTACCCATATATTCGCTGCGCTGTGACGGCTAACCACTACTGGACTATAGAACAATTAACAACTTTTCTGGTTGCAACACGAGCTGCTTACAATACTTTCGTACCATATCACAACTTTCGCCACGCTGTTGATGTACTCCAGGCGACATTTAATTTCCTTGTTCACATTGGAGCCTTGCCGCCATATCCCTCCCGCCCTAGATCGTCCGCCGGGTCAATCAAAAAGTGTCCACTCGTTACTCTGATCAAACCTTTTGAGGCTTTAACCCTTCTCATAGGGGCGATCGGTCATGATGTTGGTCATCCTGGTGTAAATAACGGTTTCTTAACTGTACTTAATGCGCCCCTAGCGCAATTGTACAATGACCGGTCTGTTCTCGAGTCCTTTCACTGCGCAGCCTATTCACAAATCCTCCGGAGATATTGGCCTAAGGTCTTTGAAGATACGAAAATGCGCACCCTGATGATCAGCTCAATTCTAGCGACAGATATGGGCGTGCATTTTGATTACATGACCAAGCTTGAAAACCTCGAAAAGGAACTGAAAAAGGAACCAATTGAGAATTGGAGCGGGAAAACGATAGACAAGCAGACAACGCTTATATGCTGCCTAATTATAAAATGCGCCGACATCAGTAATGTTGTACGTGTTATGTTTATCTCTTATATAAAATCACATAGCAGCTAATGATATCGTTAGGCACGAAAATATGAGGCAGCACTCCAATGGATGTATATCCTCTGCGACGAATTCTCTAGGCAGGCAACGATGGAGAATGATATCGGTATCCAATCTTCCCTCATCTCGCGTCCCAAGAAGGATTTTCTGTCGCTAGCTCAGGCTCAAATAAAATTCATGGAAATGTTCGCTATTCCTCTATTTCAAGGGATCGCTGATGTGCTTCCTACGATGCAGTATACTGTCGACGAGCTCGAAATAAACAGGGCATTATTTGAGAAAACCGTACAACAAATTCCGCTAATGGAAGAAGAGCATCGACGAATATTTACAGAGGGTGTTCTTTCGCCCCGTGCTTTAGGCTTGGCTATTCAGGCAGAAGGTGTCGAAAATTTCCGAATAGACCCGGCAAAGTGCGAATTGGTCTCGGGCCATGCTGAAATGAAGAAAGCAGGCTCATCACCTCCCGATCAGCCATATCAGATTCCCGATATCCGGGGAGGATATAAGGAAATGAACGGTATTCCATTTGATAGCGATCCGTTCAGCATTGCCGATCCAGAAAATAGAGTTGGTCATAATGGGAAACAACGTTGTAGCGAGACGACAGATGGGAGCAATTCGGTGCCTCCGGGGGACTGGCAGTCACAAGCTACTAGCGCTACTACAGGCAAGATGCCACTCTCGCCAAGTACTCAAGGTACCAGCATCGTCAGTCAAGAGTCCATCGAGCGCCCTGGCAGCGTTCCCGTTACGAAAGTCATAGCACCTGATTACCGCACGATGGGACCAATGCAGAGTCTCGAGTCGGGTAATTCCGAGGAGGATTCTAATGGAAATACACTCAAGCCGGAAATACCTCTTAAGAAGAAGCCCAGTAGGTTCAGAATGAACGTCTCAACCTTTTTTCGAAGAAATAAAGGTGCAAGTTCACCGTCATCCGGCGGTTCTTGAAACTACTAGGATGATAGACCAGTGGTTAAATAATTCGAGACACGATACACAATTACAAAGGACAGAAGATAGGGCAGCATCGGTACGCGTTTGCGAGTTTATACGCGCAGTCGGACGACGCCGCGACCATAAAACGAAGCATTGTGTAGGGCAATAACAGTTGATAGCATATTGCTCATCACACGTATATATTGTATACTAGCCGGGTATGGGACGAGGGCGAGGGCGAGGGTGATTCCTCAGCGTTTCTGGTGGTTTACCAAAAGTTTTAGGGTTAGGAAGCGGAGAGCTGGTAAGCCTGAGAAAGGAGGGCACCAAAGGTGGCGGGGGGGTTATATTACCAAAGATGCATGCATGGCGTTCAGGAAATAGGGTCGGTGTAGGAATCGGGACCTGCGGCCTCCGAGGAGGAGGAAACGTGCATGGGGGAATGGGTCTTGCGGCGGAGTTTACGCTTTGAGGTGGAAAAGGAATACTTGAGACACCTTTTTTTTTCGGCTCAGGGGAAGTCCTCAAGATAAAGGCAGAGTTAAACCTGCGCGGTAATTCTTGATGGAGCACTTTTATCACATCTGTAAAGTGATGTGATCTTCGTTACACCCTGAATGCTGGGTTTTGATAGTATTAAATGTATGAATATATGAGAAGGAGAAAGGAGGGGTTGAAAAGAAAAGCAGGGAGAACTCCCGAGATTAGCTTCATAGTACAATACAAGGCGAGAAAATCTCTTGCTCGAATTAGAAGATGATCTGAGAAACCCCCCCACGAATTACGATCTATGGATATCTGCAAGTGGCTTCATGCAAGCGATCAGACTAAAGCCAGGAAATCCACTATTGAATCGTATGTCTACCATGCAGCCCAAGCAGCCCAAGCTAGCTTGATGTCGACGACTATGTACACGAGCAGCGTCATTGTTATTGTATATCATGACCTATTGCAACCGCCAGAGGCGCGTCTTGTAGGGAGACTAATACGACTAATATGATGCGGACCAATCAATGATGGGAGACATTGGTGTGCGCCCCCTGCTGACTGACATCATAGTGATCATCCAATGCTTGTTCGATGTTTGATCAAGAGCCTCGAATTTCTCGGCAATATTCTGCACGAGGGATATTCTAATACGAACATGACAAATATGATGGATGTATATTAAAATAATAGTAAAGAGTATATAATAGCGAAATGAAGCTTTAAACAAAAAGGTGTTCGTGATATATGGCTATCGGCATTTCGATTTGGAGAGTTTGTACTACCTGAGTACTTGAAAAGACCCTATAAAGACCCTGAGTTCGGACCATCTTTTAGTTGTGCGACTCGAATGTTATTAGGTACGAAATACTAGGTAGGTACCTATGTACATGGCTCAGATACTTGAAACCCCACTTCTATATACGGATCCGTGCGTACTGTACGGATGTACCTAACATATGCTGAGCTACCTCCTGTACTACATGTAGGTGTATACAAACATATTAAGATTTAAACCATGTGAGTCGTCTTTGTCCCAGTTATACACTTCAACATTTTTCAATAAGCCTACCTAGGTTATTTCACACACCAGATCTTCTTTTAAGATACCTAATGCATAAATATTAAATTAATAAGACTATATAAGACAGTGCGCAAAGAACAAAGCATAACCTATCAACAAACTGTCAAGGGTTCCCCAGCTTTCAACAATAACGAAACGCCACAGCTGACCAGTACCGTAACATCTGATTGAAATCTGGGCTGGTAGCAGCTAATGTAGTAGCCGACAGTCGGCAACCCGGACTTAACCCCCACTGCCCACTGCCCACTGCCAACCCAAACCTTAACGAGCTTGCAGCCTGAGGGTAATGTATGAGGTACCTAACCTTTGGTAGCAAAGTTTAGGTAGCTGGTGCTTTAGAGGGGAGAGAAGGAATTTCCCACCGTCTCAAAACATTCTTTTTTTCTCTTTTCAATTTTAGACGAGGTCTTGAGTTATAAAAAAAAAGAGTCTTGATTAAAATAACCCCGCAGTCCCGTCTCCGCTGGCCGTCAGCTTACCTCGCCTTAGATACTTATTCTGTACAGAAGCACCTTGTGTGTTCTGTCTTGCCCTGCGTGCCTTACGGTACCGTACCTCCCAACAGTATCTTGTTATCCTTATCCTCTCATTTATTTATTTTTTCCATTTTACCTCACTCTCAGTCCTCCATTTCAGACTTATTGCGCGCGCAGGCCGTAGCACAACTTCTATTACTGTTCGTCAATTATGAAAAATATTCATGGTGGAAATCAGGACTGTGGTGAGTTTAGAGGTTGAAAGGACGCATCATCTTCATGCCCATGGCCACTGATCCCGCTGCCTATCCACAAGGCGCCGAGAACATTCATCAGGATGCAGACCCAGAACCACAGCGCGGCCGAGGCTCTACGAGGAGTACCAAGTTGGCTGCACCGTTGCGAATACCCAAGAACCGCAGCACTGGAAATCTCGCCGTTGTGGCCGAATTTCCTGAGAGAACGAGGTTGAGGTTCTCTTTTGACACCGGATCAGGTGTGGCAGAATCTGACCAAATCACAAGGTACGTTCTAGCGCAAGGTGGTACTGTCTCCAAAATCCGAGAATAGACACACGGGGTATAATGGAGAGGCATGCCATTACCCATAACCTATAATCCACGCACCTTTCCTTCGCCGATGTCACATGCTTCTACTCAGCCGCCTTATTACATACACACCAGAGTTCCCGTCCGCCAAGAAACGAAAGAGAGACAAAAAAAGAAAACTAGGTGGAAGGGGGAGCTCAGGGGAGAAAAGAAGACCAAAATTCACACAAGTTGAATCATTATATTGGATTAATGTCAGAAGTGACTAATATCTTTGCATGTGTTAAAACAACAGATCTCCCATAATTACCGAACATGACCATGGGCTGGGTATCTCTGGTCTACGACGCATCCGTCAGCATCCCACTCCTCGCACTCCTACGATGCCTTCGAGCGCCGTATCTTCGCGAAGTCCGTCTGCCGGTCTCCTTCGCTCCACCTCGATGTCTATGATGCTCCCTTCAGGACATCATACCCCGTTATTGGGCCCCTCGTCTCCCAACTTCTCCGAAGACCTATCTCGCTTTCCGTCCGAGTCCCTACACTCATTCTCCTTCGCCCACCAATCTGAGGACTTTATACACAACCGTCAAAATGTGCTAAAACGGTCTATAGAGTTCATGAAAGACCGCATGGGATGGGCAGTTTCGTCGAATGCGGCCATGGCTAGCGCCCAAGCTAGGGTTTCCGGTGATATCGAAACCCAGCATATGCTTGATCTTCTTGCTAGGGCACAGTTGGTCGGAGCTGGAAACTTGCCAAATGCCAACTCTTCCTTTAATCCAGGCCCGTTGACCGGACCCGCTCAAGTCTCTCAGGGTAATGTTTTCGAGAAAGACTTCATACCGAGGACAAGCAGCCCCGAGTCCTTCGTAACACCGCTTGTATCTCCAATTTCCCGAGGACCTGCCGTGGACCAAATTCCAGATGCTACTGCACAGCCTACAGGAGGCGAAGGAGGCACGACACTATCAGAACAAACGGATGCGTCTCAAGAGCAACCAGATTCTGAGAACTCATCAAGAACGCCGACAAATGAGAGTGGTACAACGGCCAAGACGTCTCCTCCCATATCCAGACGCCCGAGCTTAAGGAGAAACTTTACGGACGTAGGAACGGCTGAGAGGCAGCAAAAGCTTATGGATACCATGGCGCAGCCTTTCCTTGCTGGCTCGTCAGAAGGTTATCCCGAAGCATTGGTATCTCCTATGCTCCCTCCATTATCTATAGGTTCATCACTCAGCGCATCTGGGTCTCTAGGACCTGTGGTCCATGGTCATGCAGCTCGATGGGTTCCAGCAGCGCAGGCCATCTTCACAACCGAATCCAAACCCCCATGGACGATATTGGCTGCAAATGACTTGGCTTGTTTAGTATTTGGCGTGACAAAAGCAGAAGTTCGAAAGATGGGGATCTTGGAAGTTGTACAGGAGGAAAGACGAGCCTGGTTAGAGAACAAACTACTTCGCGCTGATTCTGACGAGGTGGGGCAGGCACCTGCACAAACTGTACCACAACCTGCTCCCTCAGTTGGCTCGTCGTTATTAGGAGGTCGTGGGGGTATCACGGCACAATTGCTAAGTAAACCAAACTCCAGATCCCAGCCTCCAAAGACACCTGCCCGGCGTGCGCAGACTGTGCACAGCGGAGATACTACGCCATCTAAATCTCGAGGTGCGAATCATCGCAGCTCAAAGTCGAGAGGGGTGTTACTCTGTGGTGACGTTGTTCCTATACAAAAGCGCAATGGGGCGACGGGTTCTGCGAGTCTGTGGGTCAAGGAGAAGAGGGTAGGGTTGATATGGGTCCTCGAAGAAATTCATGAGGATGTTGCCCTCGTGAGTCTTGACGACGATGGGATTGTCACCAAGGTCTCCGGAGACATGGGTCCAATATGGGGAGATGAAAACCTGCAACCAGGCATGGATATCGGGAAGTTAATCCCCCGCATTCCTCGACAAGGTATCGATCCTAGATATGGCGCAATAGACTATGCTCAAATTGCGAAACGCAGGTATTTTACTTGTCGACATGGTGGGAAAATTAATATCCCTGCTATAGTCGCACAGACGAGAGGCCAGACTGAACTACGGGTTTCAAGCTTTCCCCATATTGCGGGCATTATCGTAGTCTCTCCTGATACACTCCAAATCAAGAGCTCAAATTCGGCATTCTGTGGGGCACTCTTCGGTTATGAAAAGCCGGAGGGACAATCGATCGCTAACCTGATTCCGGACTTCGACAAGGTTCTGGAAATATTGGTTGATCACGATGGGATTCATCTTCAAGATGGCATTGTAGTGCCTGAACATAGCTTCAGAAAAGCGTCTACTTTGTTAGCCTTACAAGATGGCAGGCCAGATGCTACTAGCACATTCCTAAATCCCGACGGGCTCCCGGCGAAACACCGTGACGGCACCGAGTTAAAGATCGACGTTCAGATGAGAGTAGTAAAGAGTGAAAAGCACTCCAGCAATGATTCAGGTGCGAGCGACGATGAGTCACAAGGAAACGAAAGCGATATTGAATCAGAGGTGGTTTACGCGTTATGGATCACCTATTCTCGTCATTTACATACGTCCAACATGAAGCCACCAGTCGCCTCTAATTCCAAATCACCAGAGTTGTCCGGGGCAGTATCTCCTTTACACCAACCCTCTCCCGGTCAGACACCAGCGCATACACCGATAGACATGAACTCGGATACGGAAGATTCAAAGTCTAGACCTACCTCCGCTGCGTCGGGGTTGTCGCAACAACTTAAAGTTGTTGCAATAAATGCAGCCGCTAAACTCACCGGGGCATCTAAGACTTCAGAAAAACAATCACTATCATCATCACCGCCTCAAACTAACGCTCCAGAGCGTAAAAAGACTATCGATGATTTCGTCATACTTGAAGACATGGGTCAGGGTGCTTACGGCCAAGTGAAACTAGCACGGTACAAGTACAACGGTGGGAAGAAGGTTGTGCTGAAGTATGTGACAAAGCGGCGGATTCTCGTTGATACGTGGACCAGAGATCGACGCCTCGGTACAGTCCCCCTTGAGATACACGTCTTGGATTATCTCCGACGAGATGGGTTTAAGCATCCCAACATCGTAGAGATGGAGGACTTCTTCGAAGACGAGACAAACTATTACATCGAAATGGCGCCTCATGGATATCCAGGGATGGACCTCTTCGATTACATTGAACTCCGTGCTAACATGGAAGAAGAGGAATGCCGAAGCATTTTTGTTCAGGTCGCTAGGGCGATACACCATCTCCACACGAAAGCGAAAGTAGTTCATCGTGACATCAAGGATGAAAACGTCATTTTAGACGGTGAAGGGCACATTAAGCTAATCGACTTCGGAAGTGCAGCATACATCAAGAACGGGCCTTTCGACGTCTTCGTAGGCACTATTGGTACGTCACTCATCTCGTCAACATTTCGGTATATCGACTAACCTGAATTTACTTTAGATTATGCGGCTCCGGAAGTGTTGGCAGGGAAGCCATATGGCGGTAAAGAACAAGACGTGTGGGCTCTCGGAATCTTGCTTTACACCATCATCTACAAGGAGAACCCATTCTACAGCATCGACGAGATAATGGACCGTGATTTAAGAGTGCCATATGTAATCAGCGAAGAGAGCATTAACCTCATCCGCTGTATGCTTGATCGTGATCTCACGCGGCGGTACGACATTGAACAAGTGCTTCAGCATCCCTGGTGCCAGATGGATTAAAGATGTGACAATAGGGGATGAACAGCTGGGCTGTCCCATGAGGACTGGGGGGGATACGAAGGAGAAAGGGTTTGTACGGCTGGGTTGGTTTTATGGGCTAGCTAGACTGTTATTGGAGAACAGGGCACACAGCACAGAATTGGGGAATGAAGACAATTTACTGCATGATACCCAGCTCTCGAAAAACTGCGATTTTACGAGGGGTTTAGGAAGAGTAACACAGAGAGCTATCTATAAAATACGGAATCAAGCAAGCAAGAAAACACGCAGAATAAGGCTGGCGCAGGATCTATGTTCCCCCATCTTAGGTATTTGTTTCTAGAACAAGTCAGCGTACCTCGGCGGTGGAAATCAGCATACGCTTCCGGTACGAGGTTTTTTCTTTGACAGGGCTCTATGACATTGACACACATGATATAAAAAAAAACTGAAGAATGGCTGGCTTTTTTTTTTCTTCCGGATTCTAGTTCTTAAGTTTCATAAGTCTGCCGCATCAGCCTAAATTTGTCTTGGTTTTATTTATCTTTTCATGTCTGCTTATTGCATTGGTTGGGCTGGCATATGTGGTTGGGTACGGGTACGGGATACACTGAAGTTGGATTGGAGGGCTGTGAGCTAGGGTAAGGTAGTTAGGTCTGTAGACACGTAAAGGGCCGTAACGCATCAATAACAATTAAGGTATATGTCAAATTTATGGTTTTCCTTTCCTTTGTTTGCTCGAAAAGGGAAGACAGGTAGGGTTCTTGTATGGTTGTTTTGATAACTCGACAAATATATACCTCGTACTAGGAGGCGAATACGATATTAATCACGAGAACGTCGTGTTTCTTGAAGCCAGTACATACTTGGTAGCTATACATGATACAAGCAAATAGAGGCCTGATATATATACGTTATATTCATATGCTCACATAAATCTCGTTACATTACGTCCTTAGACTAGATGTTTATATGCATATATCCACCCACCCAGGTCGTCAAACTACCAAACTACAACCCTAAGCCCATCTGCCCCGCCTTAACTCTTCCCCTTCCGTATCTCCTCCATACCAAAGATATCCCCCGGCAGCACGGCATTTCCAGCCTCGTCGGCAGCAACCTCGCCAAACAGGAACGCAGTGCGCTCGCGGCTAGCGTTCGCAGACGGCCTCTTGCGGTGCGAGGACTCTATAGGTGGTAGGTTTGAAGGGAATATGGAGGGAGAGGAAGATGATGGCGCGGCGTCGGGTTCCAGCATCCAGGAGAAGGAGGATTGTGCTAGGGTAGACCGTGTAGGGATAGGAGGCTGGGGACGTTCTAGCTTCTTCTCTACTATCGACGCTGCTGGTGCCCCAGAGCCTAATGGATCATTATCTATGTTAATTATATCCGGATCCGGTAGGGACGACTTGGTTGACAATGGTTTTGTGTTCTCGGGATTTTGAGGATATATTGCTTGGGCTTGGGCTGGGGCGCCGAGAGATATTGCTGCAACCGCCTGGCTTAGAGGCTCGGGATCGAGTTTTTCGTCGCCGCCGGGTGTATCTGATGATATCGACGACACTGGCTCTTCGTCGTCTGGAAGATCCAAGGTAGAATCTTCTAGGTATATTTTAATGAATTGTATCTTCGCAGCAGCAATCTCGAGAGCATCTAAGCATTTCCGCTTATCTTCTAGATCGGAACTTGCAAGACTCTTCACACTGGTGAGAGGCTCGTCAAGTAATGCTGCCAGGCGCCTATTTCTTCGATCTAGCATCGCGACGGCTCGTACCGTCGTGCTCGAGCCTGGTTCGCCTAAGAGATCCCTACCCGCCTTCATAGAGGTTCTAGCTTCTTGAACGTTACGGCGTATCTCTAACATCGCGTCGCGTACTGCTTGATTAATGCCGAGCTTCTCTCCCCTCTCGAGTACGCCCTTAGCCGCACCTTGTAGCAATGCCTCCATACCACCCTGCGGTGGCTTGAAGCGAGCGGGTGATAAAGGTGATCTAGCACCAGCTAACTTCCGCCGTATGTTTGAAGCTGACACCTTAGGTGTAGATGCTTCGTATTTAGCTCCTAAAGGTGAAGGAGATCTTCCGGTATACTTTGTTATGAGCGTAGAGCCTCCGGCTGAGTCTAGATGCGCTCTAAGATAAACTGCGTCGTCGATGAAAGTATGTGGACCATGTGATTGCTGCGGGGGTGGATATTTGAGTAGCAATTGTAACGCAACGGTATAGTCCGCATTGAGTACTATTAAGCATTAGAATATAATCATAGGGGGTAAAAGGCTAGGGTCTTACAGTCCCATCGAATTCTGATCAACATCGCTGTGCAAACCAAGTCTATCAGTCTAAATGACGGATCCACGGAGAAGAGGGTATCCCAAAGCACGAGCATCTGGTTGAAGGGAAATTCGCGACTAAATAAGAGACGAATCCAGCGGCTATAATAAAGTGTGGTACTTGTTAGTAACAATATTTACTTTACATAAGGGGGGTTAAAGGAATGAACGAGTAGCTTACATTAAGAAAACCTGCGGTAAAATTTCAATATTCTTAAGGTGAGTTGAGAGTTCGGGGTCTACTTTGAACAGACAAACTTCATGTATATACTGGCTTTTCTCGACAATAGAGGATGTGGTAGACTGTTGATCAAATGTTGTGAGCGGCGCATTTGTTGCTGACTCGGTAACTTCATAGAATGACCTTGCACGGTCCATGACCTTTGAGAAAAGAGCGAATGCGTCGTGTTCAATAAATGAAGCGTCTAAGATTTCCAGCATTATTGGGTCGACTGAATCGCTTGAAGCGATATCGCCCGGGTCTATAGCATCTTGTTCTACGGTATAGACAATTGGAGCCAAAAGCTCATGCATACCCTGACGATACCCGCCTATGCCTGGATTAAGTTTACAATAGACGAAAAGGACATCCAGGATGAGTGTTTGTATCTCAGGCTGGTGGTAGAACGGCTCGTCCGGCAGGCGTTGAACATCTTGAAGAATCTCAGCCCTAAGTGTCTGATCATTACGGAGGGTATTCCAAGGTGACTAACTCAAGTCAATACTAATAATCTAGGTTCATCGTTTTGAGAGGCCCTCTTACATCGGCATCATCTGCCAAGGGGTCGACGGAATCAGCTGTAAGATGCTCGGGGTGCTTTATATATTTTAAGAAATGGTCTCTTAGATATGAGTATGTGGTTCGTGACTCGGAAATGTCGTGGGACCAATCCACGATATTAGTAGACTGGGTGAGTAAGAAGACCTGAGTTGTCTCGGGTCAATTCCGCTCAGGGTATTCGGTTCTAAGAGCAACGAACCTTCCAGCAGATAGACCTACATCCCGAAATGCAGGGGCTTCTCGGGCCGTTGTCCTTGACGGCTCGTTGCAGATCTGCAAGACTGGTGCTATGCTTCAGAGTCTCTTGCCATCGTGTGCTACGGCGAGATCAGCTGAGAACAGTATCTGATGGGAAACATTTGAATTTGAACTTACGTCGACTCGACCAAAGATCTCATTATGATTTCTCTAGCCTACCTATTCGGTTTATCTATTATGATAATTGATATATGCTAGTTGGAGAAAGGCTAAGGGAGAGAGACTGGTCTGAAGTCCAGTCTGAAGTTGGGAAAGACTGGCTGCCAGCTGACAGCCGTTAAGAGAGTTGGAGGTGGCGGTTTGATAAGAATCAAAGCCCCGAAGCCCCGCGATTAAGTCGATTTTGTATGTTACGTCAGCCTTAGTTGCTTTGACGCTAGATAGGTACCTAAGTTAATGCACCGCTAAAGCAATATAAATAGGTACAAATACATGGCATGTTATGTACCTCATGTACATGTACCATTTAACCTATCACTTATACGGTTTATTGATCTCACAGACGTCTTAAAACTGAGTTAGAGATGGGTCAAGGGTTAAATATACATATTCTACATTCGAGTGGAGATGTAATATGACCTTATAATTCAATGACTAAAGGTTCTTCATCCCGCAATGCCCGCCATCGATTAGTAGACTCGAGCATGTCCCAGCAATCTTTCACAAGGAATGGGAAGTCTTTTATGAATCCTTCTGTTAGTTCCCACCCCTCGGCTCGCCAAGGATCGTCCCAAGCTATCAACCCATTTAGCTCCAGCATGTTTGCTGTTCCGGAAATGGAACCTGTCACAGCTACTTCAACATCCTTCTTCGTGAGATATCCTGCTGCTAGTATTGCGTTATCACGCATTTGCTTGTCTGGTATGAGATCAATCCATGGCTCGTGTGGCGTGTTTCGTTGCAGTTCTGTTTGCTGAAGAGATTCAGGGATGGTAGATGGAGCTGGGAAGAGTATCATATTGACCCAGTGTCGAGAACACTCTGGAGCGAAGGCGTCCTGAAGGCCTAGAATTGCCATGTTGGTTAAGACGCCACGGATAAAGTTATATTGTACCAAGGGTATTAAGTGGTCCAGTGTAAGTGGAAATATAGTTGCTTGATCTCTAGAGGCATCATGCCACTGTAGCTTCGAGAACTTAACGGCCAAGGAATTAGTCTCACTTTGTGTATTACATCCATTACTCTCTAGGTAATGAAATTGCTCTGCTGTGCCTGTCGTGTTAGGATGGGTCCGGGTTTTCGCTTTTGATAGCAAGGCCTTTCGTCTCCCTAGCAACGTTTAGGACGAGCGCTGAGATGAGACTACCCTATGTAAGTTACTTACGATGTGCGCGGACGTTTAGTCTGTTTTGTAACTTTCGTCTCACTTTTGCGTCCTTCAGCCCAGACCAATCTTCATCGGGGCCAAGTGCCTGTATGTTCCATCTTGCGTTAGTAAGCCTTGCCTTTGGATAAAAAGAACGTTACCCATTGGCCTACCTCTTTTAGAGTAGGCATTATTTTGGGGGTCGATGGACCTTGGTATACTTTTCTAAGGGAGTCTACCTAGTAGGTAAGTATATAGATGCATATGTATAGATGCTACCGGCTTACACAAACGTATACAGTTTTTTATATGAGAGCCTATAAAATTGTCCGAAGCATCACGGAGTTTACTGCGCGGTTGATTATCGTGCCATGCTACAAGGATCGATCTGACATGACTACCTAACCTATATAGAATCCGCTTATAAGACTAACAAGGGGAAGATACATATTCTTAGCATAGGTACCTTAGATGCCTAAATTATTACATCGGTACAGTTCTCTTACCGCTTTAACAGAATTTATATTCAAGAATAGTAACAACTACATAAAAAATATCATATATAGGAGTTAAGGTAGATTTTTTTGGGCTGCTTAAAACTAATTCTAAAAATTTGAATCTTTAAGACCTTTAAATTTAGTACCTGTTTATTACATGATATACCTATACAAGGTACTTAGGTACTTAAACTGGGTATGATCTATAAAAAAAGTGGTACCTACTATTTTCGGTTAGTGCATTTTCTACCCGAAAGCTTGCCGGAATCCCTGCCACCGATCAAGTCCGCTTAAACCGACCCCGTTTCTCGGGTTCAGCCTCAACACCGATACTTTCTTTACCTTTTTTTTTTTTCTTTATTCCCGGCATAACGAACATAGCACGAAATGTGTCTATTCTAGTTGTACATATGGAATCTATTAATTAATCAGCCTTAGCGTCTATGTGACATGTCCGCAGATCTCTTTGCTGCCTTCGAGGACGCCTCGGAGGCTCCCTCCAAAGGGCATCAGCCGAAGACCTCCGTTCAGGCTTCCTCATTTGCATCGGATCCTTTTTCCTTCGGGGTCGGCAGTGTAACGAGTACTACCAATAGTACGAGACAGCATATAAGCTCCGCATCTCAGCCATGGAACAACGGATCAGCCCGGTGGAGTAGCCAGCTGCAGAATACTCAACAGCCCTTAGGTATAAATACATGGGTAGACACCCCATTACAACCTAGTCAGTCAAACCTCAAAGAACAAGACGATGATGACGATGGCTGGGGTGAGTTTGAGGTCGCAGAAAGTGCGAATCAGCCACCTATCCCCCCAGCGGCATCGACTTCTCTGTCGATTCCAACAACTAAGGAGCCGCGGAATCCGACATCACAACGGACAAGAGTTGTACGGGCATCGACGATAGATCTTATGACGAATAATCTACTCGACCTTAATAATTTAGCTATATCAAAGGGTAAAACAGGCGGATCATCACCAGCGCAAACTGCATCTAAGCAAGTTAAGACAATATCCAATACGACGGCTTCTTCGGGAACTTCAAAGAAAGCCTCCAATTCAAATTCAAGTGTCTTATTCGATGCCGATGACTTCGGTGGAGAGCAGAACGAAGGGGGAGACGACGAGGATTTCGGAGAATTCGAAACTGTTGTCTCTCCTGTGCAAGCAGCGCCGGACCTCTTATCAATTGATTCATATTCGCCTCCAAAGACTACCAAGCCACATGCCGCTCAAATGCTTTCACCTTTGAATTTGACCGGGTCCGTTTCTTATCCACAAGCGCCACGATCCCCGTCATTCCAAGAGAGAAATCCCTTTCCCGGGCTTGCTGTTGCTACGCCGATAGTAGAAAAGTCACACACGAATGATCCGAAAACGTCGCCAGCGACTGCATGGCCGACCCTTGACGCCCAGAAATCTGCGGGGAGCGATGGGCTAGGCGATGATTGGGGCGCATTTGAGGACTTTCCTGATGAGCAAACAAAGTCCAACACTAAGACCAATTCAGATTGGGATTGGAACTCAATAGAGCCGGCTCAGCTTAAACCAACCACTACTCGGGTACCACCGATAGTGTCCAAGCCCCAGAGCTCGTCTTGGGATTGGAACCCCGTCGATACCAATGTTGACAAGCAGACTACTGAGCCGAGCGAAGACTTACCGCCAACTAATGTGCCTCCTCCATCAGTATTATTGTCAGTATTCCCGGAATTATTCACTCAAGCAAACACGTTACTGTATAAACCTGTTAGCGGACAACCTTTTTCTGTAAAAAATCGCATTCTATCAGATCCAAAGACGGTCGAATTTCTCAAGGGCTATCTAGCTCTAGCGACGGTTCTGGCGCGTATTATCGCCGGTCGCAAGCTAAGGTGGCATAGAGACAAGTTTCTCGCGCAGAGGATGTCCATATCAGCCGCGGGAAGCAAAGGAATGAAGCTCGCTGGCGTAGATAAGGCACAAGCGGCACGTGAAGACCGCGAAGTAGCTGACGTCGTAACTAATTGGAAGGAACAAATAGGCCGTCTTCGGTCTGCAGTTGCTGCTGCTAATTCGTCAATCAAGAACAAGACAGAGCAACTGAAGATTCCGGAAATCTCGGAATCAATGCAGGTTCATACAGAGAAGATGGTACCAACTGCCCCTAAATCGTGCATTATCTGTGGCCTGAAACGCAATGAAAGAGTACCAAAAGTCGATTACGAGGTCGAAGATAGCTTCGGTGAATGGTGGGTTGACCATTGGGGGCACCTAGCATGCAAGAGATTCTGGTTACAACATGAGAATGCCCTACGACAAAGATGAGCCTCACGCTTCACCGACAACAGCCACTCGTATGTCGAGATCAACACTACGAATAAATACTAGAGCAGACAAGCTCTTATCCTTTTAACCAATACCATCAGTATCAAAATCGATTACAATAATCAAACACTGGATGTCCGCCTATCTCCACGATTTAACCCTCCACTGCTGGATACCCTCTGGCAATTACCGTTGCTTTTCGAGTCATCGCCCCTAAGTAGTACCGGAAAGTGGATAATACATCAACTACATAGGGTTGTCGTGGTGTTACTTTATGATCGTAAGCTGCACAGCAACAGCCGTATGCCAACATCTCCAAGTACGCAATGTCATGATCAAATTCAGGAGTCACTACCACTCAACAGACAACAAATAGTTATCTTCAATCGTTTTATGGCAGACCAATTAATGGTTTGTGGACAAAGGGGCTCGCTCTAGAGTTCTTTCTTAGTAACATGCCTCATAGCAAACAGCTCCTCGTGGCTTTCTCCTCCGGCAACTCGAGATGCCTCGTTAATTGCCACGTTGGATGGGGGGTATGACCAGTCCAGCAGAATGGAACCTCATGAGCATGCTGTTATTTATGACACGTCTAACCGGCCTCTTTCTCATGTAAACTCGTTGCCCGCTTTTGCCGCCCTAGGAATCGTGCAGGATCGAGTCACACAACATATGCATCTGGCGGCTTATTCTTTGCGGACCTACTCGCAAGAAATTAGTGAGCAACCCGAATTGATTTGCTAGTGAGCCCCGGGTTGATCTCGGGGTTTTGATCGATAAACGAATAACGCCTCGTGTACCTGATATACAAATATACAATGTGTCTTTCGAGGATGTGAATAACAAACTATGAATAGTGTACCTTAATAAACTAGAAGGAAATGATTTCTTAAGCCTCTAACCAATGTTCTCAAGTTCTAGTCTCGCCTACCATATAAGGCTGACATTCAATGATTCGATGAGAAAGACACTTGGTTACAAGGGTTCTTCGAATTTCAGCATTGTCCTAACCTAGGTATTTCTCGATTCGTGCGGAGGACCAACCGTAAAGCGGTATGAGTTCCGACTTGCATGTCAAAAAAAGTAGGCGAGCCATATGATTCGCCTTAGGGCTACCATTACGCTGTGGTTCTGGAACCAATACCACACGGTTCACCCCCTTATTAGGTGACATCAAGAACTTAAACAGTTTCATTATGGAGGATTGAACCGTGCCTTACAATTGGAACGATGGGTCCGAGATGCGGAGGCCATTGTTGTATTTGTTTCGGTTGGTACTGTCACACAGCCAACTTCATGTTGCCGGGATTGGGGCTTGACACATACACGTCTATACAGATTACAGAAGTTAATTATTATTTCCTAATCCACACACGGTAAATTCAAGTCGTGAGGGACTTAGGGGCCTGCATCTGAAATAGTTTTTCATAGCCAATGTGTCCCAAGTTATGTCCCCCTTTTCTGTAACATATCGAGGCTTATTGCATAAATAGGAGGATTTAACTACCATAACACCTTATAGTGGTATATTAATCATCTCACTCGTCGCGGATGTTTCGGTTCGGCTTGTGATACTAGACTACAAGAATCTCGATGCTAATCACTGATAATGCGTTGCTACCGACTCCCTCCTATAATACCAGCGGCACGACAAGGATACCAATGTAGCATTACACTTTCTAGAGAGGAAATGAAATTCAACACCTATATTTAATTAATTATTATAAGAGAGAAATAGATTGCTATGCTTGATACCGCGGGGTTGCGAGAATCGAGTATTTGTTGGAGAAACATGCCTGATATACGATCCGATTGAGGTACACTGACTATAGATTTACATGGCAGGCAGATATTCGTATCTTGGTAGAGACCTCGACAGGAGCTACATAGGTAAAGGTTGTGATAGGAATTTTAAATATCCTATAATATCCCACGCTGTCTTACAAACAAGATATACTCTTCTTACGTGTAGGATGATTAACGAGTCTACAAATTAATAGGCGGTTTTATTTCCACTAGGCTTCTACGAAGAAGGATAAATCGTTAGATATATGGTGATAGAGGTTGAAAGTAAACTAAATGTGTCCAAATAAATATCCAAAGGGAAAAACATGACATAGCGTCGACTTATACAGAGACCCATATTCAAGTTACGATATATAACTAGGTAGTTAACTTAAAATAATCATGTTTTAAAACTAATACTCATTACCAATCCCTTTAGGTCAGTTGCTAGCCACTTGAAAAAATAGGAAAGCCTATCGGAAAATGTTGCCATAGTTGGTGGTATGTAGTAATGTAACTAAGTGGTAAAAGCGATGAAGAAACAATCAATCGCTAAGTGAATTAAAGTGAGGCGTTCAAACCAAAAGTGGAGAAATGCATGTATGTACATAAATGGAAGCGTGCGTCTCTACACCCGTGCTTGTACCTATCGTGCTTTTTACCTGAGTGCAGTATAAACTTTCATTAGTCCAGGTACTAAGGTTTAGGTCGTTTACAACTGGTACTCAGATACGGAAGACTCCGATTATGCGCATTGAAACTCGATCATGAGACTTGAACCAACAAATATCAACAGATTTGTTATTTATTTATTTTTTTCGTCTTAAGTGAACCTCCCCTGGAATGTTTCTTTTTAACTCTTACCGGGAATAACATAGGCTACTTGGATAACTACATAGTTACCGGAATCAGCTAGTTAACACATCAGACCCAAGCCTACTTTTGCCTACTTATCGAATGTACGTGAATAGTGTAAGTACGTAATGCCAGGGATTTACATAAGGAACCCCTCTTTCTCTATCCGAACTCCCCACGTCTCTTCCATTCTGCAGGTGGCATGGTTTAGGTACTTATGCTAATCTACAAACTAGTTAACTATTAGAAGCATCTTTAAGTTTTAGTGAGCGATATCTACTTAAAAGAAGCCTATTTATTCTTGCATATCATCTTTATGAGGCTTGCTGCTGTCAACAAGGTGTCATTACGTCATTAGTTACATACGCTTAGGTGTAGGTGCTTTGGTCTGATTGTATTGGTGACTACCTAACTTATATAAATTAGGCAAGTAAGAAAGGGATGAAAGATGCCGTATGCATTTTAAGTACCTAAGGTTATGTTTAGATACATGTATGTAGGATACGCGTGTAGGTGATAACCCGCAAAATAGAGTTGTGGGAATGTACCTTCTCTATCTAAGCCTATGATGAACCGTGAACCGTGAACCGTATGAGGTATGTACGTTAGGTCAACTATTGTATTGGTACTAGCTGGATAGTACTACCGATGCAAGAACGTGCCTGCTGCACCCAACCTTGTCCTAAATTGTCATCTACCAATACATAATAGTAGTCGAAACTTCCATACCTCTTACCTCTTACCTCTTAGGCCTATTACCTCTTAGTTGCCTACGCCTCTAGGTTCTTTCTTTCAATCCCACTTCCCAGTCTCCCACTTACTTCTTTCTCCGTACCTTTTCTCGCCTCGACCAAAATTCAACTCGTCTATCTCCTCCTCACCAACCCTCCCACCATACGCACAACCTTTTCCGTAACCTCACTTCTATCAAACTCCTTCCCCTCTCTCCATCCTCATCCTCCTCGTCGTTTTCGTTCTCTCACCCCTCAACCACTAAATTCCTCCCATACATTCGAACGCCCCCTTCACTCTTCTTTGTCCTATCTGGACCAACCAACTTCTTTCATCAGAGACACAGCCCACGCTGGTACATACAGTACTAGTTGTCGCAATTGGTCTTTTTTCCTTATTTAGGACCCATTACCGCTTATCCAACCCCGGTCAAACGCACCGTTACCTACCTACATAACTTACTAGGCCACCTTGGCCGGCCTGCCGAGACCCAACCGTCGACTGCAGTCCCTGTCTCCATCTAAAAATCCAAAAAGTCCCCGTTCTCGCGTGGATTGTGATAGCAAGACCCTAGGTAGGGAAACAAGCGAGAAGAATAGTAGAGGGGAAAAAAAGGCAAAGGAAAAAAAAAAACCTTTCCACCCCGCAAAACCAACCAGACCCGGCTAGAACGCAAGAATTTCTTTGAAGACATACTGCGCAAGCACAGACACAGCAGCGGAAGGTCAGTCAAGTATGCAGTGCCCCGCCTATTCAAGCCCCAGTTTCGCATAATAACTTACCCTTTCTTCCTAATGGTTCTGCATTGGCTGTATTTTTATTTCTATTTTCTACAACCACATGCCAAAATCGTGCAGATGCAACAGCCTCTGACGAGATAAGATCTGTTTGTTAATCTCGTTTCAACCGTTTCTTGGCCCTCTTTCCTCTTCTGAGCCTCGCATCCTTCCCATACATGACCATTCACAGATACCTTCCCCGCAGCAACACACAGCTTATCAGAGCTAACTGCGTGCAGCCCGTCCTTTACCACCAGATCTGGAGCCTACAGCAATCCACTCCTGTGCCACTTTTTCTACGTACACCCGCCCCCATTCAGCGTCAGCCAACAAGATCTCCTGCGCACCCATAGCTCTTCAAGGAGACACTGGTAGCTGCTAGTTCCTAATTAACTCGGATCAAACCGCCCAGTCAGACGCGGCTGACATAGCAAATACCACCCCAAACTAACATCGTCATACACAACCTATCCGTCAACATGTCTGTTGCTCAAGACGCTCTCTCGCCGAATGGTAACGATCTGCCGTCGCTATCCATGGGCGATCTGAAGCTCGATGAGAACGAGCCTCGCTTAGGCCCGGATGGCGAGCCCGCACCTAAGACTGACGAGGAATATGCTGTAGCACAACTAACGCTTCGCGCCATCGTCTCCTCCAAAGAAGCTGGAGTCATAATCGGTAAGGGAGGTAAGAATGTCGCCGACCTGCGGGATGAAACCGGGGTCAAGGCCGGCGTGAGCAAGGTTGTGCAAGGCGTGCATGACCGTGTTCTGACCATTTCGGGTGGCTGCGATTCCATTTCCAGAGCATACTCCATCGTCGCTCGCGCGTTGTTGGAAGGCGCTCCCTCGGTGGGAATGGGAGGTGTTATACAGAGCAGCGGAACACATCGTGAGCGTCCCCCGATCACTTACTATTCGCAGCGCGCCACTAATGTACAACCCGACCGTCAAGAAATCAAGTTACTCATCTCCCACAATCAGATGGGTACCATCATTGGCAGAGCAGGTCTAAAGATCAAGCACATCCAAGACGTCTCCAGCGTGCGCATGGTCGCGCAGAAGGAAATGCTACCGCAATCGACCGAGAGAATCGTCGAGTTGCAGGGAACACCCGACGGCATTCAGCGAGCTGTCTGGGAAATCTGCAAGTGCTTAGTCGATGACTGGCAGCGTGGCACCGGTACTGTACTCTACAATCCTGTCGTTCGAACCGCGCCCGGCGGTGCGGGGTCCCTTGGTGGTGCTTCCAACACTGGCGGGGTAGCGTACAACAACTCGTCCAGTAGAGGCGATTACGGCGGCACTCGTGTGATGCGAACTGGAAACGGTGCCGACTTTAGCAATGGGGGCGTGCGTCCATACAATCGGCGATCAGACTCTGATGCGGCCACCCGTGGACCGCCAACGCACGATGAGAATGGAGAAGAGATCCAGACTCAGAACATTAGCATCCCCGCAGATATGGTTGGATGCATCATTGGACGTGCCGGAAGCAAGATTAGCGAGATCCGCAAGACTTCTGGCGCCCGCATTTCTATTGCCAAGGTAAGACCAACCTAACTATATTATTAAGGCTTAACGACTGAAAATATCACAGGCACCTCACGACGAAACTGGCGAGCGAATGTTCACCATAATGGGAACTGCGAAAGCCAACGAATCTGCGCTGTTCCTTCTCTACGAGAATCTCGAGGCAGAGAAGATGCGCCGTAGCCAATCGCAACCCGCCGAGTAATCGCTCATCTCGCTATTATGGGATGCGATGGCCATCGCAGAGAGGCCAGGAACCTACTCATCTATCTGGAATATTTCTATTGCTGGGTCTGATTTCGCGACGTACCCTGCATTTTGAAGGGGCACTTCAGATTTGACTTGCCGCAAGGCTGACGTCCCTTGTTTTTGGGACGGTTCCTATGATATGACATGACGATTTTCTCCTTACCCAGAGGCAAACTTCATTATTGCCTTGTCACAAACCCCCTTTCCTTAATATTTTCCCGAAGAAATCATCACCTTTATGGGCGCATGTCCTCACACCTGATGCACGGCAGACTCCCGGCAACCACTCGACACCTCAATTTCGAACTTCGATACCCAGGCTGGGTGCTGCGCGAGACCTCGCAGAGCTCTTATTCACTTGACACATCCGTCCCCATGCGTCAGCATCCTTGTTGTATCGACTTCCGCCCGGCGTACTAGATACGACCTAATCCAATGCTTCTACACACGCGCATCGGCCATAATCAGTAACCTCTCCATCTCTTAGGCGATTCGTCGACCCTCGTCTTGTCACAGTGCTAAGATTACCCACTTCTTTATCCTCTAATCTACAACACGAATTACCCCTCGATCATATCTCACTTTCCTAACGTCAGAAAACATGGAAGAAACCCCAATCATACTGTACCTCGAATACGTCTAGGCTATAGTACTCACTTTCCACATGGAGCCGGCATGATGGCTTCTGGGAGATGGTGTTACCCAGGTGGGTGGTCGTCTAGCAAGATAGTAAGCGTACTTCGAAGATCAACAATACTATTATTATGGCCAACGTATCGGAAAGCAAAGCATAAGAATGGCGGTGGCTAGTTTACAAGTGATCCTTCATGACGTTGAAAAAAAAAGGGGAGCAGCATTGGACCGACATTGTGCTTTAGCCAGTAAACATTCCTTCCTTGAAGTTGATTGACGAGGGATGAGTTGAGATGTTCTAAGATGTCTAGATAAGGAGTATCTAGCAGTAGACAAAGGAAACTTGACCAAAAAAAACCTCCATGTGCATGGTTACCTTATTCATGCCTAGTTAGCTGTGCGTTGAATACGATTTAATGTGGCTTAGTAAAAAGGTGATTAGTCTTTGACGCAAAAGGAGACTATTAAGCGTAGCATTCAAGCAGGTATATTATAGTTTTTTATCTTCTGTCCATGTGGTGATCATGCAATCGACATATACTATAGGCAAGTATACATATATGCATAGGTAGGTACCTATTAGTGGAAGATGTAGTGCAGGGGGAGGGGGGCCGGGCTACACCGCCTAGCGGATTCGGTATAATTCGGTATAATTCTGCCGTTATTCTACTTTTAGGTACGGTACTTCGTATTTAGCTCATGTGGTACCTAGGTAAGTCCTAAGTGCAGGTGCTAAGTGGCCAATCTGTCATCAGCCGCTGATGTGTTAAGCTCGTTACTACCAACTCTCTCTCATCACCTATTTTATATTTTAAGGGTCTTTTGCACATTTCTCAAGAGTTATGGAATGTTTCGTAGATTCAATAGTCAGCTAACTTGAATGATAGCTAAGTCAATTGTTTACAGCATTTTCACTTCTCTCACACTCGTTTATTCTATTCTGAGGTTTCGTGAATAGATACATACCTCTATAGTATTACAGATATCAATATTACAGATATCATGGCGCGTGTTAAGCAAGCTAAACCTATCGAGAGACAGACTTCGTCAGAGTATATCTCGCATCAGAATTCAACACCAAAGAAGAATGATAGCGATGTAGCAGTACGGTCTAATGGCGTTGCTACCAAAGCAGCTCCCGCGCTGGCGTCGTCGAAGAAGGACGCGGGTGTAGCGCAGTTGGTGGTTGCTGTTGCTGGTATCTACGGGTCCTTGTAAGTATTAAGATGGATATGGATATAGATATGGATATGGATATGGTATAATATATCGGTATAACATAAGACTAACTTATTGCTTTTCACCTTTGCAGCCTCACATGGGCCTACCTCCAAGAGAAACTCACGACGACACCCCACGGCGCACCTGGCGCGACCGAAGTGTTCAAGTACCCGGTGTTCCTGAACACGATCCAGTCGCTCTTCGCCGCGACGACGGGAGCTATCTACCTCTATGCCAGCACGCCGCGCGGACACGCCATCCCGCCCATCATCCCCTCGCGCCGCATTCTCGGACCCCTCCTCCTCGTCGCCCTCACCAGCTCCCTCGCCAGCCCCTTCGGCTACGCCAGTCTCGCCCACATCGACTACATCACCTTCCTGCTCGCCAAGAGCTGCAAGCTGCTTCCGGTAATGCTGCTCCACGTCACCGTCTTCCGCCGCCGGTACCCGCTGTACAAGTACCTAGTCGTGGCCGCCGTCACCGCTGGCGTTGCAGTTTTCACGCTGCACTCGGGCAAGAGTCATAAGAAAAGCAGTGGCGCTGGGCTGGGTGGAAATAGCACTTGGGGCCTGTTGCTGCTGGGCATTAATCTCCTCTTTGACGGCCTTACGAATAGTACCCAGGACTACATCTTCGGCGCCTTCCAGCCGTATTCTGGGCCCCAGATGATGTGTGCGAATAACTTGATGAGCACCGCTGTTACCGCTGCGTACTTGGTCCTGAGCCCGTGGCTTGCGCGCACCGGGGCCGGCGAGTGGCTCGGCGTGGATGTTGCGGGGGGTGCGGGCGAGCTTGAGGCTGCGCTGGGGTTCATGGCACGGCACCCGGGTGTCTGGGCTGATGTATTGGGGTTCGCGGCGTGCGGTGCCGTCGGACAGGTTTTCATCTGTACGTATTTTTTCCCCTCCCTTTCTCTACCCAGCAAGAACCAGTACCAGAAAACTAACAACAATAGTCTACACACTCTCCACCTTCTCCTCAGTCCTCCTAGTCACGGTAACAGTCACGCGCAAAATGTTCACCATGATCCTATCAGTGGTTGCCTTCGGCCACCGCCTCACACGCATGCAAGTCCTCGGCGTCGGGCTCGTCTTCGGCGGCATCGGCGTCGAGGCTGCGATCGCTCGCCAGGAGAAACTAGCTAAGGAGGCGGCGAAGCGGAGGGCGGTTGAAGAGAGCGGGGGGAAGAAAGGGCAGTGATTATTCCAATATCCGCATTCTCTTTTGCGATTGCCCCTCCTCTCTCTGCTTTTTTGTTCTATTCGGTGTTCTCTGTCTTTGTCTCGACATGGCTGATCGAATTTGTTTGTTGGACTAGACTAGACTTAGTTAGTCGATAAGTTGGTTATGGTAGTTACCTAGGTAGACAGGCAGGTGTGTATCCGCTGCCTTATACGTCTGTATATAGAAGAAGGATATCGATGTGTATATACTCTCCGGATATTAACTATGAGAGGAAAAAAGGGGAAGAAAAAGCACTTGCTAGAGAATTTTGTCGTCGATAGCCTTGGCACATTAGAAGAGAGGAATATAGATATTTCCAGATGAGCCGATCTGACCCCTTTTTAATTCCTTATAAAACTAGGTACTTGCAGGTATGTGTAAGTAAGTTGAATAGAGACCCTAGTATGAGACCTATGGAAAGCATTTCAACATGGTTTTCTCCTGTGACTATTATCCTAGTTGAAAAAAAAAACAAGACCTTCGTATCACATCTAAAACTCAGGAGCATTAGGTCCTGATATCGTGAACCAACCAGAATAATAACCCAATATTACTTTCACATTTGATTCAATACAAAAATACCAACACAAGAAGTTTTATGAACGAGACACGCCAAGCTGCGCGTCTCCCATTGACATTCGTGAATTATATTTACAAGATGGGGAGGTTCGAGGACCCATTATGTCCTCAACCTCCGAATTAGCTACTTTTTTCCAGACTCCCTCGAACGCCGTTGCTTGCTCGTTGCTCTGTCCGCACCCTCGGGTACGAGCTTATACTGATCCCGATTCCAGTCGTCATGGCTTATGAATATACGCCTCGTATATGCTCGAAAGCAGAGGCAGAACGAGAGGGCAATTGACTTCGGGGACGGTCGACGCGTGCTGGATCTCCTTGTTAAGAAAAGCTGGCCGGTCAAGTTGACAGTGCAAAATAAGACCAGTCCAAGCGGAAAGTAGTGATGGGATCCTCGTATGCCCTCAGATTGATTCCTTGCCGGTTCCGTTCCGTATTCCAAATAATACTCCCCGACGTACAACCTTGGCTTCGTCCCCTTGTATTTTTCTTGCCTTCCAAACCACCAATTGGGGTTTTCCATATGGCTAGCCGCAAAAACCAATCGCGCGAGAGCTTCTCCAATCCTTTTAGGAGAGGCCTCGCAACTTGTGCCGTCCGGGTATTTGATTCCGCCGTTCCGGTGCTGCCTGAACCACTCCAACAAAATAAACAACTTGATAAGAAAACAAAGTGACGGTCTGAAGTTGTAAACAAATGAAAAAGACTATGGGCTCATCCCAAGTAAATCTTAGGCTCGGAGTGCATGTGAATTTCGTATAGCATACGCCGCATATCACATTAAGTATTTGCGACGGTTAGAAGGACTATAATACGTCGTCGATAGATCGAACGATAGGCGTCTCACCCTTAGTAGGAGGGCTTCTCGGATCGGCGACTTGAGTAGGACGTCCAAACGGGTAGAATGGATCTCTCGGAAACATCGACTGTCGCGGAGAGAAGAGGCCTTCACTAGGTGTAGGAGGGACCTCGACAAATTTCATGCCTGACATCTCCGAATATGAGTCGTGTAGAGGATTGTCCGTCATAATTTCGGCTCTAGGGGACATAAGGGTATCGTCATCCGGCGGAACAATTGCAACTGGTATATCTCTTTCGCTATCTGACTCTTCCATGCGTTGTTCAAAACTAGGGCCGGAATCAAAGCTGAATCCAAAGCTTGAAGGACCATTGGGACCAAATCCTGGAGATGGAGGAGGTTTGAAGAATCCTGGTGACGGCGGCGGCTTGAAAAATGACGGAGCCGGTCGAAGTAACGATGTCTGGCTCGGCTGCGGAGTCGGTTCGAAGAACTTAGGTGGTTCAAGTGAGCTCCCAAAGTTGAAGCGTCCAGGTTTGCCAGGATCCTTTGGATCTTCCTTTTCAGACCAGGAGAAGCTTGATGGAGCTGACGATGGGCCGGGAGATATCGATTCCAAGTTCGGGGTGGATTTTCCACGGGAATGACTCGGGGCACGTTCTGTGTTAGTGCCATTGACACTTCCCTCTTTCTCGTCCGGTAATGGAGCCGTCATTGGTTCTTTCGGTTGCACATCAATCGCGTTTGCGGAGAGTGTAAGACGATGATGCTTTGTGGGGCTTCTTCCACTTCGAGGTCCCGCGGCAGATCGAGGGGCGTGCCTCTTCTTGCCCACCTGCTTCTGGAAGTCTTGTAAGCAGTACATTAGTCGCATATTCGGACTGATCCATCGGCTCTTCGATTGCGCGGCGTAGTAAGCGTCGTTGACAGTCAGTCCAGGATTTTGGTAAATACCATAGGCAATGATCAAGCTAGCTGAGCGACTTGCGCCCTGCTGACAGTGAACAAGAACCTTCTTTCCTTCCTTTGTACGCTTCTCGATTGTCTCGCAAAGCATCATGAGATCCGTTGCGATATCCGTATTATGATCCCATGGCATATGGATATATTCAGGCTCGAGAAGTGAGTTTCCCTTTGGCGTTGTTGGTGTTTCTGTCTCCTCGCCCGATGGAGGATACTCGAATGCCGTTGCGAAACTGTCGTTTGTCATAGCAGTATCGGGGACAGGCGATTCTAGCTGGCTCATCTTCAAATCCTCTAGGCTATTCTTGCCTGTGGCCTGGAAAGGGTTGGTCACCTCACGGGCTACGTTTATTACCACGTCAAATTTCGATGCTTCCTCCGCAGTAGGTTCTAAGTAGAGATAAACGTTGTCTTCATAGATCGCGATAGGTCCGTCAGGATATCCTGGCGACTTCTGGTCTTCGTTATTTTCCGGTTCAATGAAGGGTTCGAAGTCCATCGCAGCACGATTCGCAAGCTGTGTCTTAATAGGCGAATCCTCCTCGAGAATAGTTGTATCGAAACCTGGGCAATGACCTCCCTGTTTTGTCGGGCGTAATACTTCAGACAAACCCGAAGTGCCGCGCTCAAAAACAGTCGGGAAAGTCATGCCACCAGCCGGACCAAAAGTTGCGGACTTCAATCCTGAAAGCATATGAGGCGAAGATGTCGAGTGTTTCAAGGATCTGCGTTGCAGAATCGGTGGGAGAGCGGGCGAGCTCGGAACTTCGAGAATAGTCGGCCGAATATTAAGCCCGTTTGAATCAGTCTTCAAACTGAGTTGGCTAGGTTTTCGCTTCATGGCCGGAATCTTTGGCTTGATGAAGGAAGGTGAAGAAGGTTCGGATACCAAATTGGAAGAAAGTGAGCTAACAAACGGCGGCTGAATAGACAGACCTTTCATGTTCCTTGCTCGTCTCGGGGAAGGAGATGTCATTGGTCTCTCCCTGATGCTAGGGTCATTTACGGTGAGGTTGTTCATCGTGGATGGCAGGCCACCAAAATTGGTACCTGGAAAAGAATTTAAAGGTATTAAATTGACAGGTGAGTCAGGAGAAGATGACGGCGACGGGTCGGAAAGTGAAGAAGTATCTGTTGTTAAAGTTGTTGTGGGGGAAGAATCTGCAGACTCAGAATTTTGTGTCGAAGTGCTGTCGTGGTGACGGTGCGAAGAATCTGTCGGTAAGGGCCGTAACAACGCATGTTGTTGTGGTAACCCACCAGCCAGGTGCCCAGGTGCACACGACGAGTCCATCTCCATCAACTTAGGGTCTACCACAGTTACCAATCCTCTTTCGTCAATACTATTGTCCGCCTCGGGATCGAATATGGACATGAATGAGGGTATTTGATCCTCGTACATTCGTCTAGCGGTGGCCGAAGGCATTTTTGACAACGCCACGAATCGTTTCCCTGAATTCCTACTCTTTATCACTTATATTCTATTTCTCCTTTCCTGTATTTAGGGCCTGGACTGTTCGATTGGTATCGCGTCGCAAGTGAATCGGCCCAAACAAATGTAAATAATTCCACAATTAACAACCTGTTAACGAACGATGTCGTAGTTCAACGACTTTGAATGTGCTTTGTGCAGGACAGCGCTGCTGTATCCTTTTTCTTACTCTCAATTTGCTTTCTCCGTCTCTTTCACAGTTGTCACTACCAGATAAATTGAGTCTGGCCACCTATTTATAATCCTCACTTAGACCGAGACACACACGCCCATAACGTCTTTCGCAATAATTGACAACCACTGAGTAGGCAACCGGTAGTTGCGTCGAGGGGAGAAAGTATAAGTCTGCGTAAGACTGCACTAGAAGCCGAAAAGGCAAGAAAGAACAATGAATGAAGTGTCTTAAGAAGAGTAAAATGTACCGTAAAGTATTAAAAAAGGTAGAATAGAGAGAGTAGGTGTATTTTGTTTTTTTCAAATTGCTAGCATTCGGAAGCCATTAGGAAGTTAGCACAGTCTACCTACTACCTTGCGTACCATGTAGACGTAAATAATGGATTGTTTGCGGGTAGCAGGTAGGCAGTGCGGCGGTTGGCGATACGGGTTCGTCTCTGGTAATGTACGATACGAAGAGAGATTTGGTAAAATCGTTAGGATAGAATTAATTGGAAGATGAGCAAGCGTTCGGAGAGACAGACACCAGTACCTATGCACTCTCGCACGCGGCCTTTCGAAACAAGTGAACAAGGGGGGAAAGATTTAGGAAGAAAAAACCCGGGGGTGGGTGTAAGTAGAGAAGAGATAGAGAGAGGCGGATGGATGCGGTGGAGGACGGAGGACGCTGGATTGTGTGGAATTGTTGTGTGTGTTGACTGATGAATGGGTGAATTTGGAGGGGAGGAGAAAGAATGGAATGGGGATTGGGATGGGATTGAGATTGCGCTAGAGGGAGCACTTGGCCTTAGCGCAAGGCCGACATGGGCAGTAGAACTGGGGTACAGCCACTATGGACAAAGGCAGTGTTTGAAACAAGTTCGCTACTTGACCTCGGCCTGAAGCGTTAACAAGCTCAATCTAGTGGGTCTTTTAAGCTCCATAATTCCCTACCAAAGGCAGCTACACAGGCAAGACAGTATAAAGTAATAGGCCATTACAACAGTACCGACTACCGACTACCGACTGTCTGCGCTAAAAATGTGCCTTAAATAATCGCAGCCGCGGTGTCATTCATCCCTTCGCTGTTGGCGCTATATTATAACCTGTACAATTTTTTTGAAGGCCGGAGTTCCAATGCGAGTTTGTGAGTTGCGATTGTCAACAATATGCGAGCAACCTGTTACGCCGCTAACAGTTGAAAGCGCAAGGTCTTCTGAATGGTTGTTATTGACAGGGGTATTGGACTTTGCGAAACGAGACACTGGCCGAGACAGGGATTAAAAAAATATTAATCTATTAATAGATCTCTGCAGCTCGGTCGGCGCCAAGACTCGGCCAATCAGAACGGCAGTGCCAAATTTGGCCTCATAGCTGATAATTTCGACTCCGCCAATCACTTCTTCTATGCCAAGCATAACCCGGAAATGGCGTTGGTGGCTTGGGATTTTGTGGAAATGCGGCGCTATTCCACGATGCGCGGATGGCGATCTGGGCCGCAAGCGGCTCTCGAATATGGATTCATCTGCATGGTAGTAAAATGTTTGATTGTTTACTATCTAAGTAGGGAGATGTTAAAAGTAACAAAATCTTCAGAATCACAGAATTACCATCAGGAATAATCTGTCTGTCCTGATATACTCGGAGTGACCAAATACGTTTTTTTTTATTAATATTATGCCTGGGGTATATTTGTTTCCACTATCATCCTCTATTACTCCTCTCATTTATCGAACATGCGTACGTCACGTCTAGCCGAAATCTGTTTTCAGTTAAGTATCGGAATTTGCCGACTTACCTAAAAATCTAGAAATCAAACGACTAGGTACTATTAGAAGAGTAGGTAGTTATACTACCTACTCGTTTGTAGGATTATCTTCTTAAGGTAAGTTGAGGTGTGACAAGATCATCTTGAAAACGGAACGGTCAATTGGTTCTCTTTTCTCCGTGCCCACAGCAATCAATTGATCGGTCCTACCAAAGGTTGAAATCAATATCCCTTGACAAAAAAGAATAAAAAAAGGTCTCTTTGTTACTATTTAAAGCTGAGCGCAATACGTAGTGATTCGAGAACTCTTTTATAACCCTGTCGAGACACGTGGGCAATCTGCTAATAAAATGCATAATAGAATGTAAGGTGTGAAAGTCGATGTATACCCGTCATGAATATGAAATCCACATCCCCCAAACGGGAGTGACTAGGACTGTTTGCTTAAAAGTAACTCGGTAATTCACCGAAAGGTCGCATCCATAACAGTCTCCCTCTTGAAGCCTGGCGTCGTTACGTACCTACCTATCAAACAGAGCCTCATACCTCCCATTGATAAATCTGACAGATCTAGAGATCTAACGGTCGGGTGATGTAGCACCGAAACCCTAATTGACGGTCTACCACCGCTATTTTAAACTAATGTACACCTGAAACCTCCGTGTCTGAACTTCCACTACCTGTGGATACAAGAGACGGAGATCGCTTATTTTGAACATACTTCCCGCGCAGTACCTATATACAGTTTCCCGTGGCGCTAAAAGCGTTTGTTTACCTGGCGTTTAGGCAGATCCTTCTTGTTGCCGTGCCATCCCTCACCTATACATGCCTTATTAGAATCCCGGATGCGAATTAATCATCGTTCAACGCCAACGAAACGTTAGAGCTGTGACTTGCCTGTCTGCCTGCCTGCCTGTTTGACAAAATCATTACTATCTATTGGTGTCTGAAGCTTTTAGCAGCTTATTGTGTAACTCCGAGTTGTTGGTATTCGGAACTGAGACTTCATATATGCAGATGTTGGGAAGAGGCACTCATTGGACACGGCATATGTGCATCTCACCTTACTCCCGACGTCTTCGATATATCTAAAATTTCGTTTATAGTTACGATCCTGTCACAATAGAGACGAAGGTTCAGTGATAAGAAGAGCTGTATGCTTATGCTTAGTCCTAAACTGGGAAGCAAACTGTCTTTTCACGCAAAACATCTAATATAACTAAGCCTAAAAGGCGTTATTACGGTGATAATTGTGATTATTGGGAAGGAGTCATTCGCTGTCCATCCCTACAGCCTTCGCTACAGCTGTAACCTTTTCTAATATTAACTTAGCATAGATTACACATCTTACACTCCAAACAGAGGTGCTCCCGTCCTATATTACGAGTATAACCTTGGTACCTAGCGGCTCACGTATGTTAAAATACTAAGTGTTGGTAACAATTAAAACTATTCGCTTCCCGTTAGATTCATGTGCCATTGAGATATATAATAAAGACCTCAGCTCCTAACTATCAATAGTCCAGTCGTAGTTGATATTGTAATTATTTGTTCTAGTGTTCTCACATCTGACTCTTATACTACCTCAAGGTATGACATCTATCGCAGCCAAACCCGGATTTGGCAATGTGAAGCCTTGACCAGCTCTCTAGTAGTCAGTTGTATAGGTACCTATTAAACTTACGAATCCCTTGTAGAATATACTACTCCCTTATGTATGAAGATTACCAAGCCGTGATTCCGTGAGTATGGAATTTCTATTAAAAAGACCGGATAACAATGATCCGGTAGAAATATTAGAAAGACCACGATGATGGCTGCCACTCATGTGCTATGAATCAAGACCGGGTTTGGTTTCTATTCTTGACTGTCTTGGAAAGCGAGATCCCTTTTATAGGTGTGAATAAGAAGTTGATATTACAGTTGGTCGGGTTGAGAGATGCTTTGTGTAACGAATTGGTTATGTGTTTGAGGTTAATATAGACCCGACATTAAATTTCTCCTTGCTTCAAGTAAATTGATTAGCAAACGAAATGCCCTGTCTAGTGGTTTAATAATAATTATGGTAACTCGTCCCGACCTTCCCTAGTATCTAATATTATATGCTAAATCACCTTTTCGAGGCATGGCACAGTACTGCTTGGCTAATAGGGCAGCTATGAGGTATCTGCACGTAGAAACGTGAAGAGAAGAGAAAAGATGTCTGAGGCTCAACTTTTGTATGGTCCTGAAACATATTGAATCGTGTAAAAGTTTGATTAGATGGATGACGCTCGTGCTGTCACGGACCTCACATCTTTAGCTAAGCGTTTGATCTCCTTCAAGGTCAAGGCTAAGGGGTTCAAGCCCTGGTATTTCCGCTTGCGGTGCACGCCATTACAGTTTGCGATTGAGAGGCCTGGGGATCCCTGCGGCTCCCCGCTGCAAACGACTATGATCGACTATGGCAAATTGACCGATAATCCCTTTTACACATTCTGACATTACTTGATATTACTGTTTTCGAAATTGTGCGTATCCGATGTCTGGAACCTGGTATGACCTTAGCGAACATTAGCACTGGTCAAGGAAAAGGAGTTAACCTAGTATGTAACCTAGAAATTGACAAAGAGCTCCGTCAAGACACTCTTCTCAGATGCCTAACTACCTCTTAAATATTTAGACAGTATCAGAGTATACACACAGTATGACCCCGCAATGATCCACGAGGTCATTCCTTGCATCAAACCGCCATTAGTTGGTTAGTGCTTATCAGCACGAGATGCAATGCACAGCACACCACAACACTGCGGCCCGTTAGCAACCAATACGGTTTAATATCAACGACATTGGTTCGTCAGTTTTTGGACATCATCTTGGACCGTGCAGAAATTGAGGGGGTTTATGAGGAGACAATTATTCAATTTCTTGCAGGACTCCGCAAGACGAAATTTAACGTCACTATCTACATGTAATCTAGATGTACATGACATAGTACACTGTACACGTCCGGCACACCTAGCACAACCTATCATGTCTTAAGTTGAATAAGAGTGGCGTCCGATAGAAGCCTCAGTTTTCAAGAGAAAGTAATAACCAGTCAATTGGAAATTAAACTAGCCGAAGCGAAGACTGTCGCTAATATATTGACTTACTTATACTTGGTTATACTTGGATATAATAACCGGTTATTCCACAGATATGTATATATACGTGGGCCTCTATACTGTATGTACGAAGTAACGAATTTTTAAAATAACCAAATAACTTCCAATCATTTCATCTTGATCACGGACTACATAGTAGAAACACGTCGCGCTATGGGCAACAACCGCCCCTGATTATACTTACATCGTACTAGAGTAATGAAGTAATATAGCTAAGGCCGTCGCGCGTTTCCTTGTCTAGACTATCTTGACGAAGCTAGTTTTAGAATCTTGAAAAAGAAGACCTTGCGCGCTCTAAACCTCAGTGGTCCAACCTCCTCCTGAGATAGCAATTGACATTCTTGGTTGGTTGCAGTAAACCTACTGTACTCCACCGTCAGCCATGATTGGTATTTTTTTTTCGCCGAGTTCGCTAAATTTTGTCTTAAGCATAAACTACTACGAGCTTCAAAGTTCGAATTGTCATTCGGCATTCCATGCACACCGCTAACTCTATTTTCTACTTAATACCTAGGTAGGTAGGTAGCGTAAGAGAACTTATTGTATAAAATACACGCGAAAAATTCGTCTACTTTAAGATAGGTTAACTAGGAAAAGAAGAAAGATTTTACTACTCAGCGCAATCATTCCTCATCTACGTGTAAGCGGATTTCATTAAGAGAAGCCCCTGAATGGGACTAGTTTTCTACACCCTGCAGATCCTTTCGTTGGAGATCACCAAGGGCAGCACAGACGGACCCGACCACCACTCATACACTAAGTATTCATATGAGTATATTGTATGTGGATGATACAATATATGGGACCATCCCAGACTCACGGACCTCGTCTATTAGATCACCCATGCATCTGAGTGGCACTCGGCTGCCATGCGTGATATCCCATATCCTCCTGTCTGGTTATTAGCGATTTCGATTTACTGACGAGTAAGGTCGGTCTTATAATGACCTCGAATACCTACGAGTCGACTCTATACACGTCTATAATATAGCTTAGCAGTACGCCCTAGCCCAAGTCGGGAAGGAAAGGAGAGCGATCGAGGAAAAGTGATCAAGGAAAAGTGATCAGAGGACCAACAAAGAGGGACGTAGGTAAAGTACGTTATTTAGTTATGTTAGTTAATGGGGTCAGCTTCCGATGGGCCACATTCATACCATCCTTATCCTTCCCATTACCCTGGCACAAACTGTACTCTCGGGCTGCGACCTTCTACCTCTCTCCCTACCCTGGCCAAATCTCAATATGATCGAGGATCCCGATTCAACTAATGAATTTCTCCTGAGAGTTTAGTACCAGAGTCAAATCTCGGTCATCTTTACCACTAGTCACTCATTTACAATATATTTCTTTAATTCTTGGTTGTTCTTCTTCTTTGTCGTGATCTATTCGCGTATCACGCCAATAGGCAGTTTCCGAGGTGGACAGCGACCCTCGACATAATCCATGGAGCTTATCGTTTTGTTATTTATGCAAAAAAACACCATTGTTCGAAGCCCTTGCAAGTTTGAAGTTCTAGCGCATTGCTGACCCTGCTTAACAAGTAACAGCATCAATTTCTAAGGTGAAAAAAAAAAAAGTTGTGTTAATAAGAAGAAATTGGGACGAAAATGGATTCCGAAGAGGCAATTACTGCCTCCAATCCTTCTCCGCGTTTTGTTAGCGGTAATCGCAATGGTAGTAAATTTTTTTTTTTTTTTGGTGCAGCGCGGCAATAGGTTCTGTAAGAATGACCACCGCTAATAATTTATGCGCTTCCAGTTACAGCAACAACGGACCCATCCGCATCCTCCCTTTTATCTCTAAACACAAACACAACCGCAACCGCGACCAACTCCGCTATCACAACCACAACCATAACAACAACAACACCAATTAAACCACCACCACCACCAACACCGTCTAAGCATAACAATTTTCATTCACACCGACAAAACAACAGCTCCTCGAAATTACCTACTTTTCGCTTTGCCGATCTAAAAAGAGAACATATTACCATACCTTCACTACTACAGTCTCACCACATTCCTCCTTCGCCTGTCTCGCCCGATTTGGATCAGCACACCGAAACACAGCCAAACGCGGCACAGGAAATATCCCCGCAGACAGCGCATCAGCAGCACAACAATAGAAACAATACTAGACCTGTCTCACCCGAACAATTGCCTACAGAAAACTTAAGTCCCTCAAGGTCTCGGGCATCCACGTTCCAATCCCCCGCCGTCGCCCAATCGACCACTACATCGACATTATCCATCAATGCAAAGCGCTCTGCTTCTCTAGATTCAACTACTGCTGCTACTAATAAGCGCACGCGCAATACTATCAGCGCGAAGTCGCCTACGGATCCAGCGGATTCAGTTGTTATTGTACAATCGCGACACAAACGCGCGCCTTTTTCCGGCAGTTCGGTAAACGAAATTTCGCCTGGGCATCGAATACATGTGTCCGACGAAATTCGAAGTACATCAGCAACAGAAGAGATAAATAAGGAGGGTGCGCACGGGCAACGAGAACTTATTTTGCCAAAAACTATTCAAAAAACCGCGATCGATGATAGGAGAAACTCTGTGGCTAGACGACCACCGGTATCCTATAAACCACCCGCAAATTCTACCAGTTCGGGCGGTACAACATCAATTCCACCTATTCGATCATTTCGATCTTCCGGCGAACGACGGAGTCTTGTTCTCGACATGAATCTTCGTTCGATGCGTGGGTATGAGGGAAGCGAGGACTCTGGCGACTCAAATCATCGCGATAGGACTTTACGTGCGCTAGAGGGAAGGCGTTTCGACGATGGATCACAAATAACACCACCTGACTCGGCAGGAGATCGCCCAGATGGCGATGAAAGTGGCGATCTATTTCTCAAGATCGCACGCGAGGACCCGTCCCGCCGCGGCGCAGAGGCCAACCGGAACTATGGAGACAATCAAAGTGCCCTGGTAAGTCGACTATTTCTTTGTTGCTCGAGCTGTTTCAGAACCTGCATCTATGTAAACGTGCCCTCGCGACCATAGCGCCCCTCAAAGGTTTTAGTAGGCTATACACCCGACCTATAGGAATCAATGCCCCCTACACTTGATCATAATAGCCTTAGATTTCGATCACGATCACCCGTTTCAACCTTAAACTAACGTCAGGTATAGTCACGAGTCGTACGAAGCAGCCGACGACCTCTTTCTGTAGGCATATCTTCGTCATCCCATCCAGCGTCTCCTCCTCAGATGGCTCGACGCTTGTCAGACCAAGAGACCTCTCGATCTCGAGGTTTTGGTGATGATCAATCGGGAGAGAAAATCCCGCGTACTCTAATATTCAAAGGAGTACCTAGAGACAAACAATCCGAGGAAACAAAACCTAGAGGTGGCAGCGCTCTTCGTGGTTCACCATTAACGCCTCGATCTCTAGCTTTTCAAGACGTCCCTTCGGACCAAGGATCTACTTATAGTCGAAAAAGACAAGCGTCTGTTGATAGTGGCACTGCTCTCCCGTCTCGCATGTCTTCGCTCAAGCAACCTAATGTCAACTATAGTCACCCTCGCACTTACAACTCTTCACCATTAGTGCCAAAACTAATAGAATCCCAAAAACACGACGCCCAATTAGACGATGCAAATCATGGTGTTGAGGGAACAAATTCGACGGCTTCGACTGCTGCTCCTTCTACAGTATGGGACGAGCTCGATGACCTCAAGTCTCGCATCCACCGCCTTGAGTTAACTGGCAAGCTGCCTCCAACATCAGGTGCAGCTATCTCACGCGCATCTGAGGAACGACCCCCAACCGCTCACACTAATGCAACAACCTTATCTGCCTCTCCCAAGCGCGGTTCTGGGGGCGCCGCACAAACGTCTGACGCAAATAATGCGCAGAAGGAAGGTCATCCACTACTGTATTCGGCGTTAACCAAGTCCAAGGACTTTCTTAGTGTGGAAGTCTTTGAAGCGCTTGAGGCAGCAGCTAATGACGCATTGGCACTTTCAATAATGATGGGTACCGCTGGTCAACCAGGACCTATCGCGAGCGGCGCAAGTAGTATCGGCAGTGGTACCACTATTACCGACCGCCAATTAAGACGAAAAGCAGATAGTATCTGCCGTAGTCTCACTGAATTATGCCTCGCGTTAAGTGAGGGGGCGGCGCAGATGAAGCCACAGCAGCAAGTAGCTCCGCCGACTCCAGAGAATCCTCTACTAGCAAGCCCTACCATCACAAAGTTCCAAGGGATAACCTCTCAAAGACGGCAAAGTATTGTGGATCGTAACCTCTCGGTCAATACCAGCCCGAGAACTATACCCCGCTTCGAAGAGAGGCGAAATATCGAAGACAGACGAAATAGTACGCTGGGGTCTGCCTTTTTATCCCCACGATATAATACGACAACTCCTGCGACCCCAACCGAGGCTACGGTGAACGGTGCTGGCCGGAAGACTTCACTTTTGACATCTCGCAGCCGACGAGGTGGATCAGAAGAACCAGATGAAGCACGAAGGTCGTCGCAATCATCATTACTTAGAACACGGCGTGCTACTACAGAAGAGCCTGAGGACTTGTCTGATCGCAAACCTACATTAACCCGAGGCCGTCGGGGGACAATAAATCGCGACGACGAGCAAAGCCAGTTCCGCGCACCATCTCGCGCTATCACCGAAGTTCACGGGCATCGATCCGGAACGCGCGAATATGCATCACAATTACCACCAGCTCCAAAGGAGCCTGAGCCTTTGGCGTCTTCAGCTCTACCTAGAAGGCGACTAGCTTCCGCACTCAGCAGCAGATTAGTGATCCCTGCATCGACGTCTGGCTTCGCTAGCACGGCTCGCAGGTATTTTGACCGATCAACGCCGGATCGTGAAACGTACAACGTAGAAAAATCAGTTGAAGAACGACCGCAACGGCAATTTTCTCTTGGTCGATCCGGAAATATGGACAAACGAACAAACCGTGGAAGTATGATTGCCACGAGCTCTCCCGCAACGGGAGGCTACCGATAATGCCGTAACGACTTGATACGCTCATGACAATGTAACAATAGACTGTCATTCGGGCTAAGGCGAATTTCCTCACATGCATGGATTCTGCATAGCTAGATGTTTTTTATTTTGTATTTATTTTCTTCGGGAATTTTTTGTTTCGTATAATACCCCCTGTCTCTGCGACAACTTTACGAATTTTCTGAGCTGCCGTTGCCGATGGCGAGCGACGGCGAGCGTTATTCCGTGTATATCAATCAATATTACTAGGGAACAAGACACCAAAAGGGTCGTGGAATAACATGGGCACGGATTAGCGAGGTGGCCTAGGAGAGGGCTCTTCGATGCCTTAATCTCGCGGCGAATAGGGAAAGCAACCAACTATACCACATGTAGAGCAGCTGCTCCAAGGGTCCTTTGTATGGGAGGCTAGGTTGCCGGACGGGGCCGGATTTACGGGAAGAAAAGGAGCCTTTATACCATTACAGGTGCTTGGGAGGCGAGCTGGGGACGGTAAACCGAATACCGATGTACTATGTAAATAAGGTCGCCAGAGGACAAGGGCGGATAATGTATGAATACCTACTTAGTTTTTGCGATGAGCATATAAAAGTTTATTCCTTCTTAATGGTGTTTCTTGAGTTTTGTGTGCTTTTCTCTTGAATGCTAATTATCGTTGGAGATGATAATAGTGAAATAACCTTATTAAAATGTATTATGTAAATACCTATTGTACTGGACGAAACAGTATAAACGTTAGTGGTATTGGTATGACGTTTGCTAAAAAAAATCATGCTACTGACTCAGGCCGGAGAGTGGATCTTTCTAGGTTACCTCTCTTATGTATTATTGTCTTTAAAGCAACCGGCGCAGTTAAGTTCAGTTGTTGCAACTTACTATTTAACAGTCCTGTTATACTGGTGCTACAACACTAATATAGCCCTCACTAGCTCACCTACTCTCATATTTATTCACTTTATAAACGTTGTTGCACTCTGGCTCCAACTAGCCTATACTTAATCAAGCGGCTACCCTTCCGCAGCTACCCGGCTGTGCGCATTCTCCAGGCTCGGCTTACACCAGCATTGCCGGCCGCGCATAGCTTTCATACTAGAAGCGCTCGCTACAGCAAACTGAGGGCTAGCAAGAACGAAGGGAACTGGTCACAAATGGCAGACGACGAGTTCGCCGAAGCCGCAGAGCGAATGGAGGGCATGGCGCTTAGAGGTAAAGGCAGAGGAGGACGGGATCGACGCGGCGGCGGTGGAAGGGGAGGTGGAAAGGGACAGGACCGTGAGATGTTGATTTCGAAGGCGCTGTCGTCGCTGCTCCGACATCAGGCTGAGAACGCGGGGATTAAGCTCGATGGTGAGGGGTACGCGCCGCTGGATAAAGTGGTGAGTTTTACTTTTTCTTTTGCTTATGCGCTTATAACGAGTGCCCCTATATCATCATTAGCCTAGGAGTAAAAAAGGGGGGGGTTGAGACAGACACCCGAGGTAATCCAACCATCCAACATCTAACCTGCTAACACACCTACTAGATCCAATGGCCGCGCATCCGCTCGCTCAACCCGTCCTTCGACGAGATCCGCTCCTCAGTCGCGGACAATGCCAAGCAGCGCTTCGCCATGAAGCCCAAGGACCCATCTATGGATGCGGAAAGCGCGCCGGCTGACCCGACCGCGTGGCTGATCCGCGCTAACCAGGGCCACAGCATCGCGCTCGAGGCTGAGGCTATCCATAAACCCGTCACCCTGGAAGATGCTAACGTGCCGCCGATCGTCGTCCATGGCACGTACTTCGCTTTCTGGCCCGCTATCGTGGCGTCTGGTGGGCTGAAGCGCATGGGCCGGCAGCACGTGCACTTCGGGACGGGGCTGTTGCCCGAGGACGGCGATGCTGGTGATAGTGGTGTGGTTAGTGGTATGCGGTCTGATGCAGAGCTGCTTATGTTTGTGGACGTGGAGAAGTGTCTGAGAGAGGATAACGGGATTAAATGGTGGATCAGCGCGAATGGCGTCGTGCTGACGGATGGGAATGAGGATGGTTTGGTGCCGCTGAAGTATATCAAGGAGGTGAGGGGGCGTAAGCAGGGTGTGGGTGTCCTATGGCGAGATGGCGAGAAAGTAGCGGATTTACCGCCGGATATTGTTGTGAGGGCACCTATGGGGAAGGGTAGAGGGGGTGGAGGTGCGGGAAGGGGAGGAAGAGGAGGAAGAGGAGGACGGAGAGGTGGAAGGGGGGGAGGTCAGGGGGAGACAAAGTGAATGTTCGACAACGCAAGAAGTATGAGCGCGTGAAAGATGTGCGTTACTCAGGTCGAGGACACGTAGAAATAATCATGATGCTAAGCTCTCAGGTTAAACTATTCCTTAATTGTGACTCGGTTGTTACATTCACCATATGACCAACACCGATTCGTCGTCTTAAAGTTGTAGGATAGATTGCTTTGAATTAGACAATTACTTAACTACGCATCATGAGAGTGAAAACTATTGATGATATTAGGACTATGCAGGTACCTATATACCTAACCGATCATAATAGTCAAAGTAAAGCTAGCTACTAATTCATGTCTGAGGCACGCGGTGCGGTGGATAACCAAATTCCTCCTGTAGTAATGAAAGCCGAAGAAAACGCTCAATCTCCCAAATGGAAACTCCACTCCCCCTTCCCCCCTTTCTACCCTGAACTACCTTGACGTGTATAAATGAAGCCGAGCGGCTGACTGACTACCTTGCTCTGCTTACGAACTCGGGTAGATGGTTGTGAAAGATACCCGCGCTGTCGTCTCTGTCTTGATGGTAGCAACGATATTGCCCGTAGGCGGAGGCGTAACGAGAATAGTGAGTGTATAAGTGCTCACGGAGGGCACGGTGAGTGTCGCTGTTACCGTCTTAGCCCGCCTCCTCTTCGTCTTCGTCACTGTAGCCTGGGACCCTGACGGGCAAGAGGACTCGGCGGTGCTGAATAGAGTGGCGGTGGCAGTGACGGTAGCGGTTGCAGTTGCAGTTGCGGTATTCATGACCGTAGCATTGTTTGTCACCATAGCAGTGTCGGTGAGCGTGTTGTTATGCACCACCGTGGACGTCGCCGTTGTAGTTACCGTTGCGGGCGGCGCGAGTAGGTTCGGGGGGATCATTTTTGGCGTGCTCGAGTTGGTGTAGGGGATGATGTCCGCGGTGTGATCTAGACATCCTATAACGCCATTCGGGTCGATCCAAATTGCGTCGTCTATGATTAAGAGAGAGGTTAGAATGTCTATATTCATATTTGACTGCTCTAGCACGAGGGATGAGATAGTAGTGTGGACTTACCGAACTCAATGGACGCATCACGCGAGCGATCAGTGCTGGGTGCTTCGGGCTTGCACTGGCAAGCTATGATAGGCTTCGATGTATCAGGGGTAACATCGTGAGGTCCAATGTTCATGAGACCGCAGCTCCAGCATGTCTTAGAGAAGCCGCCTAGGGGTGCCATATCCGGGGTGGCTAACTTGATATTTCCATCCTTATTGACGAGGCACCTATATAAGTGAAGAGGAAAAAGACCTCTGTCAGCAAAGTTTCTTAGAACCATGATGGGTTTACAGATTGAGAGGCTTACTTATCTAAATCCAGAATGCTCGTATGATACTCCAATGCGGAATTAACGTTAACACCACAGGTAGCGATGAGCTCTATGGTATAAACGTCGGTGGTATCATGATAGTTCTGGCGCATATAATACCATGGGCAAATTGAGTTATCGAACATTTGCGGCTGGGTGCTGGCGAGGGACAGGCCCTGCAAGCAAGAGAAAACACCGAAGGTGAGGTATTTGGAGACCTTCATCTTATTGTCTACCGGGGTACGTCTCTAGGAAGATAGGTAGGTAGGTATTGTAATCCTAGGGGAGTTATGGATATGGATGATCCAGCTTTGATAGCGCCTGCGACGGTGATAGTAGAGATAGGAGGATAGAGGCAGAAGTTTGACGGTGTGATGAGGGCATCGCTCGAGTTTGGAAAAAGGGGATTAAATATATAAATTCTCTCGTATTTTGTTAGACAATGGTTTATAGACACTACTCACTCATATCACTAAACAAGTGACGAACTAATGGGTCAATACATTCACATATACGTAAGGTTGTGTAAGTAAGTCAGAAGTGACTTGACATTTTTATGGATTGGATAGGAAGAAATTCTAGAATCGTACAAGCTGATGATGGGGTAGTGCCTCGTCTAGGTACTTATCGTTAAAGGAGAATCTGAACTAATCAAGCTAATCATGCCGAATCATCTTGACCCAAGGGTTAAGACGATTGTAACACGCAGCCCATAGTTCTACTTTAATATGTAACTGGAAGAAGCTGAATTTATTTATGGCTACCTTCGTGATTCCCCTATGAGATGTATGTTCTTCAACATTCTGGCCCTAACACTGGACACACTATGTAGCCACATCAGCAATTAAGCCCGTCAGATTCGCACCTAACTAGGCCGGAACCTGCGGTTCTGCCTCTCTAACTGGCAACGAACCTGTTTTCCCAGATTGTGCAGCTAGCTTGCGTAGAGGCTCAAGCAACTCTTCCGCGATTTTTTCCCTAACTGCTTTTTTGCCGTAGATATCCTTTACGTGGCCGATGCCTGGGGGTAATTTCAAAGCTAGAGCCCCTAGCTCTGGAAGACCGTTATAGAAACCGGCCATCTTGCTCTCTGTGACTTTAAACTGAGGAAAGCTAGGGTACCCGAGTCCGGTGCATAGCCGTTCGGCTTCGAAAACAGCTGAGACCTCGTCACCGTTGAAAGTGGAGGCAATTCCCTTAGGTAAAAAGCTCTCCGAGTCTTCGTTTGGCTGCGGGCTAGAAGTAGAAGCCTCGGGATTCTCAGGTGAAGATGGCATAACTTTCTGCTTCTTCCTAGCTGGCGAAGGTTGTGGCGTGGCTGGTTGTTCTTGGACTGGAGGGGATTTTACGCCGTTGACGTTGAGTCGAGACATATATCGGTTTACGCCGAGCCACTCAACAGCACATTTTGCTGCATACTTTTTGGCGTCTTTCTTTCGTGCGAATGACGGCATCGTTCCATCTGGGAACAAACCACCATCAGGTCCAGGAAACGGTTCCGAGTGCTCATCGATGCGTACTTGATAATGCCACTTCTGAACCCCATATACAACTGGGCCTGGTATCTCACTAAAATCACCTCCGGGAGCTTTGGTGGAGACTCGTTGACGGGCAGCTCGGTATTCTATAATGATATTAGTATCATAAATAACTTGACGAGGCTGGACTATGAAGATTAAATATACCTAATAAGAGACCGATCCAATTAGCATCCCCAAGATCCGGTTCAGGTTGAGGTGGTATAGCAGGAGGTAGCGCAATCTGAAGCTTCTCAAGTAGCTTCCGTTGGGTGTCTGTCAAAGGCGCGGGAGAACCGTGTGTAGCCTCGTATTCTAGCTGTCGAGTGATCCAGCTTTGGATGGTCTGGTATGTCTCTGATAACGCCATAGCTTTGTATTCCAACGTAAATATATGTATAGGTATAGATACTCAAAATGTAGGTGAAATATACAGCAAAGTCTTAGCTACGAGAAATGGAAGGAGGCTGCGTTTGAAAATATAATAAGATACATGAAGCTTTGCAGGAAGCCTCGGTTTATATCTCTATGATTGGCGGGGTCGATACTGCCTAAGGAGGGCTTATTTGTTATATTGTACGACATACTGAAGTACCTTACTATTATATCTTACTATTACTTAAACGGTAGAGATTTATTCATTCCATATATAAGGTTTCGTTTTTGTATATTTCAAGATTGTAGCTTTTTTTCTCCCTTTCTTCTAACTTTAATAGGCTGTTGAACCTGGTTGCGGATAGGGAACTTAATGCATGGATAATGACAAGTACCGATGAAATTTAAGCTTTAGGTACGCTTATCTAATCGGAATTGCTATCCTCTAGCGTCTACGGATCCGTACTTTGTACCTACATAGCTGGTAATACAGTGGACCCTCCGCGCCACCTTTATAAAGACAGCTTCACTACCGACAGGAACAACCACAAAGTTCAGACACTACAAATATGAGTAAGCCAGGGTTATCATTTGGCTTGAACTTCGCCAAGAAGCCGGGCGCTTCGAAACCTGCTCCCTCGAAAAGGAAACCAATGTTTGGCGATGATGATGGATCAGACGACGATGCGAACGGTTCAGCCGATGGCCCCCAAGCTACAGAGATATCAGAGCTAGATGACTTTGCAGCAGTATCGCCTGGCTATCAATCAAATAAGAAGCCCCCTCCAAAGTTGAAAAATGGTCTATCTAGTAAATCTTCGAACGGCAAGAGCAAAAAGCCCCAGATTTCAACGTTTGGAGATCTGTCGAGCTCCTTAGAGTCGCGTAAACACCAACAAGCTGCCGAGGAGTTAGATCCATCGATATACGACTACGATGCGGTCTACGATTCCCTGAAGCCGGAGAAGAAGGCTACACAAGAAGATATTGAGCGCAAGCCCAAGTACATGAAGAACTTGATAGCGTCTGCTGCCGTACGGAAACGCGACGCCCTAATTGCCGAAGAGAAGAAGATCGCGCGAGAACGGGCGGAAGAGGGCGAGGAGTACGCGGATAAGGAGAAGTTTGTCACGGAAGCATATAAGAAACAGCAAGAGGAGAATAGGCGCATTGAAGAAGAGGAGCGCAGGCGCGAGGAGGAGGAAGCTAAGAAAAATAAAGGTGGTGGTATGACCGCATTCTACAAGGATTTACTGGAAAGGGGCGATAAACGACATGCCGAAGTTATCAAAGCGGCGGAAGAGCGCGCAAAAACCGGGCCGAAAGAAGATGAAGACGTGTCAGAGGAGAAAGTCAAGACGGATGCAGATATGGCAAGAGAAATCAACGAGAAAGGCGGTAAAATTGCCATCAACGAAGATGGCCAAGTAGTGGATAAACGTGAGCTGCTAAAGGGAGGTCTCAACCTGGGCGCACCAAAACGACAAGAACCTCGAAAAGATGCGGGCAAGGGCCCAGATCGCAGGGACGACAAGGACCAATCTCGCAACTTTGTCGGTTCCGGCGGCAAGCAAGCGATGCGCGAAAGGCAATCTCGCATGCTCGAGGCGCAATTGGAGCAATCTCTTAAGAGATCTCTAGCCGAGGAGGAAGAGGAGAGGCAAAAGGTCGAACGCGCGTCCAAGAGCCGCAAGACCGAGACCGACGTCTCGAGCGCGCGCGAAAGATATCTGGCACGTAAGAGAGAGGCCGAAGAGGCCAAGAAGAAAGCTGCCGCAGAAACGTCGTGAGCAGATTGTCCGTGTCCACACTATCTTCTATTCGAGATGAGATATCCTCCGTCATGATATAGTGGCCTTGATAATATTGTACATTCTATGCATCCGCTGTCCCGATCCAACCGTGAGAATGCCCCTCCATTTCTTCCCGTTGCCGACTGCGGCTCGCAACATGGCGGATTCTAATGTACATCGAGTAGGGGCGAGTTGACATGTGCGACACAGCCTCCAAAACCGAACGCCTAGTTCACTGCTCCCGTCGTAATCGGTCGATGTATGTCGAGCTTACTGAGTTCCATGCCGACATGTACTTCTCCATGCACTGGGTGAAGCAGGTCGACTCGCTGCTCGAAATCGAGGGGCCCGGCTTGGGCACGCACCTCTCGAAGCAGTGCTCGTTGATCTTCTACATGGTAGCATATCGGGTTAGTTCACTTGCAATGGATCTCAGACGGGGGTTCGGGATTGGCATGTATGTATAGGCGTTTGTTTCTAATACGTACCTCGATTAGTAGTCTTGCGTTTTCTAGGGCGTATTGGGTCTTGACTTGCTTGATGACCTCGGCCTTGATAGATTCGGAGGAGTCCATGATGGCTATTATTTGATTATGCGATCCAAGTCTTTTATATGGACACGGTTGTGGCCGGTGGTGAGGCTGGTATAGTCCCGGATTATCTTGGTGGGTTTGGAGCTTCTCGAAAAAGTTGAAGCTTCATTGATTATTTTGCATGGTACGCTATTGAAGTAACCTCTGTGCTAAAGATCTTGGCGCTGTGGTGGGCAATTGATTGTGGCTTGGGTCCTTATCTTTACCTAAGCATTTATGACGTACCTATGTAGATAGATGTGGCTTTGCTATTTGAATATATGTATTGCCAACAATGGAACACTGGTCTTGATCATTACTAGACGTTCCTTTACTTTTATAATCTCTTGATTCACAATAGTCTCTATATATTTATTAATTATCTTTCTTCATGAATGGGATCAGTAACGACTGCTTAGGGTGTGGTGGTTAGCGTTGTCGGTTTGTCTTATTAGATGCCCGTTTGAAGAGTTCTAGGTTGTCTCGACTATTATTCCATCATGCCAAATATATTGGAATTAATTTACTCTATTCGGGACTGCTAGACTTAAACTACAGCCTCATAGGGGCTTATAGAAGATATTCTAAAATGCTATGGCGTATCCTCCTCATTAACCTAGCCCGGCCTCAGAACGTAGTCGGCTTTCCCTTTTTCATAAAACCTTAGTAGCTGTTTTCTTCAACTTATATAGACACCACTTTATATGTTCGGCTTTCCTTTCAAAATTGCGTCATGGTTTGATTTATATGTTTTTCTTCATTCACACTGAGACAATTGGTGTGTACAGTGCTATAATTCACCAGCTTCACTTTTAGGCACTTAACCTTTTAGATTGGCGGGGTTCTACTGGCAGTAAATTTGCATTGGTTACCTAGATTTAATTGGCTACTTTTTGGATAGTGGTCCTTACAGTGTCCTTATTTGGCTAATTTACAGCTGTAGCAGTGTTGTTGCTATCTTATACCTGACTCAGAATTGCTAAATGGATTGGAAGTTGTATAAAATACTTAGGTACCTATATAGAGTTATCATAAAGACCAATTGAATCAATTGATTGATTCTGAACTTTCCAAAATAAATGGGCTACACATTGTATATGGATAGTTGTTGCTCAAATTGATAAGCACCTAACCTGTCTAGGACGTACCTACCAGACAGGGATTTACACAGTATTTTGGGGGGGATTAATTATGGATCTTATGGATCTTAATGGTTGCTGCGTCAACAAGGGGATATTTGCTAATAACAATGCCAGCATTTATTTCCCCAATTATCAATCTCAATTCCTATTTTTTGAAAGTCATCCGATTGACAAGCGAATAACCTCACATAACCCTAAACCTTTAGATTCAATGATAGAACGACCTACTAAGCTGGAAACCATGGCAGCTCGAACACTGGAGTCCCAATTTGGGCGTTTATCTGTTAATGACGAGAATGATTATCAAAAACCCAAGGTTTGTCCCATCACCGCTATTATTCTCTAGGTGTGCAAACTAGATAACTAACTTGTGATTGTGATTTTGTGTATAGACTATTGGGAGTACAACACAAACAACACATAGTTCGAGTCGTCCAAACCTCTTTAAGGTCGCTCTTCAAGCGCAGAGCGCAAATACCGTTACTACAGTCACTCTCCCATCACAGGCTGCACAACGTAATAAAGCTGCACCACCTCCCTCGCCTACTAGGAAACCACTCCCCACTGTTAGTACAGTATCAAAGACATCGTCTGATGAAAAGGAACTGGTTGAGCGGAAGACGCCGTCTCTTCTTGACCAGCCATTTCTACCAAAAGAGTTCCATCTTGGCATGTTTGAGATTGGGAAGCCATTAGGGAAAGGTAAATTTGGAAGAGTTTATCTAGCACGAGAGCGGACGAGCGGCTATATCTGTGCCTTGAAGGTACTTCACAAGAAAGAGCTGGAGCAGGGCCGAGTTGAGAAACAGGTGCGGCGAGAAATAGAGATCCAAAGCAATTTGAGGCATCCTAACATCCTACAACTGTTTGGTCACTTTCATGATAGCAAGCGGGTCTTCTTAATTCTGGAATTTGCGGGTAAGGGCGAGCTGTATAAGCACCTTAGGAGGGAGCAGCGATTCCCCGAATGGAAGGCTTCTCAGTACATCGCCCAGATGGCGAGCGCCCTTAGATACCTACACCGCAAGCATGTCATCCATCGGGACATCAAGCCGGAGAACATTCTTATGGGGATTCACGGCGAGATCAAGATCTCCGATTTTGGCTGGAGCGTACACGCACCGAATAGTCGTCGCCAGACCATGTGTGGTACTCTTGATTACCTCCCGCCCGAGATGATCAAGCCTGGCAGCTCGGATAACTACTATGACGAGAAGGTGGACCTATGGAGTTTAGGTGTGTTGACGTACGAATTTCTGGTGGGAGAAGCACCGTTCGAGGACACACCAGTCATGACGCAAAGGAGAATTGCGAAGGCAGACATGACTATCCCCTCATTTGTTAGCCCTGAGGCAAGGGATCTTATCAAGAAGGTAAGAGTTAACTAAGCACATACTCCTCACACAGATGAACATTCCCACTAACACGAGTACATAGCTATTGGTTCTCGACCCTCAAAAAAGGATACCATTGGAACAGGTCCAGACGCACCCATGGATTGTCAAGCACTGCATTAGGGGAGAGCGCGCCTCAAACAGGGAAAAAAAGGATCGTTCTAGCGAAAAATGACGAATTAATGGAATGACTTCACATGTATATTTAGGCAAGGCGAGGCGTTCGGGTAATGGATTAATCGGGTTGGGGAATTTGCATGCTTAGGGGAGTCGGATGCTATTGCGTACCGTCATTTGAAGTTACAGATGAAGACCTTGTTTGCCGCCTGCTAGACTCCCGACGGGAGGATAATTATAGTACAGGTGATAAATACAGCGTTTGCTCGAAAGCGAGTTTTCGATTGGTTTCGCTCATCTGTAAACCTCGTCGAAGGGCCGGGTGTCCGAGAAACATGAGTCCCATACTTGGTTCACCACTTTGACTGCTTGTACATCATCTTTACATCGCGGCCGAGCTAATACGGATTGCGCTGCCCGTTTCCTCACGCAGTCTTGGAACTGCTGCGTTAACTTCCAGTTCCCTCTCGTCCAGGCCTCTCTAGCCCATCTGCACTCGCCGCTCAGCATTGCTGCTCGGATCTGGAGTATAATGTCAGTAAAACCCGCGTGTTTTCATAATAAACACGGAAAGAAAAAGAGTAGCAATACCTCTGTACAAGCCGAATGCTTCAAGTCCTTATCGCCCATCCAGTCGACCTTCCACCTTAAATGATCCCAAGCATGCACCATCTCATGAGCTAGGGTATCCTCCAAGTGGCCACGATTCCGGACCTCATTGGCACATATCAAAATGCCATGGTCGGGACTGAACCCGCCAGAAGACCGATGGACCTGGCCGTCGTCCGTGAGGCGGGCCGGACACCGGCGGCACACGACGTTGTCCTTGTCAAGACGTCCGTTCAGAGCCTCGACTTTCTCGCGCATGAAGCGCACGGTGGGCGAGTGCGCAAACGCCCAGTCCCGATACTCTTCGCACCGCTTGCAGTCGCGCTCCTCGTGCACCCGGTACCGCCACTCGCGGTAATGGAATACGCCCTCGTCGCTCACGCCGCCGGTTAGGATCTTGAAGTAGTTGACCCACCATGCTGTCTGCGGGTCGAAGCCGGTTCGTGCTGGGTCGTTTTCGACGTTGCGCGGGAGCGCGCCTGAGGATGCGGATGGGGGGGAGGTTGTTGAGGAGGAGGGGGATGGAGTGGGTTCTGACGGTTGCGGTTGTGACGACATTATGGAATGGATTTGCTGTTACCGTTGGAAAGTTCAGACAAGGTGTATGAACTTTGTTGGAATGACGACTGTCAATTTCCAGGTCCGGGGAGGGTAGTAGCTAATTCGCGATCTTTTTACGGTCCGTTAGATCTAGCGCGGAATAACGGAAATAGGTACATTTTCGGGCTATCTGGCTATCTGGCTATCTAACTAGAAGCAAGGTCGGGTTCCGGATCAGCCTTTTTAGAATTTCCGATCTCGGCTGGGGGTTCCACTGAACTGTAAGCGGAAAGGAAAGGACCTCTCTCAGCTTGTGATTGCCGTCCAATGATTATAGTTATTACATAGCAAAACCCGTAAATCGTATAATTCTCCACAAGAATTATTCCCTGTAAGTCGCCAACACGCCCTTGACAGCCATGGCAGATCCAGGGGGGCCAACGCCTTGTAAGTCATGGTTTTTATTCGTTAGTTAAATGATATTGGCTGTGTAACAATCTGTTATTTTCCTTAATTTCGTGCTTCGAAGCTGCCATCACTAATGTGTCATTAGATATGAAGGGTCCAAAACCACTTGTAGTGGTTATCAAACTTGGTGAGTCAAAGTCGTCAAAGTCTTGAGCTTAAGTTTTTATTCCTTGAACAATAACTTTATGTGACAGCACATAAGCGAATGGGTCGATATTGAACTAACTTACACGTAGGAACTAGTTCCATTGTTGATGAGAAGACACACGAGCCTCTGTTGTCGATTTTGACTCTTATTGTCGAGACAGCTGTGAAGCTCCGGAAAGATGGCCATAAGGTCATCATCGTATCCTCTGGTGCCATCGGTGTCGGTCTTCAGCGAATGGACATCGATAAGAGACCAAAGCACTTGACCAAGCTACGAGCGCTCGCAGCTATTGGCCAATGTCGTTTGATGAGTCTATGGGATAGTCTATTTGGACATCTACGTCAGCCCATCTCTCAGATTCTCTTAACGAGAAATGATATTGCTGATGTAAGTAAAGAAGACTTGCGGTCAGGAAAAGTGTTCTAACTAATAGTACTTTCTAGCGGACAAAGTATCTAAACGCCCAGAATACTATCCTGGAGCTCTTAGAGATGGGTGTTATACCTATTGTAAATGAAAACGACACTTTGGCAGTTGCTGAGATCAAGTTTGGCGACAATGACACGCTATCAGCCATCACTGCCGCTATGGTGCACGCCAACTTCCTTTTTCTAATGACGGATGTCGACTGCTTGTACGACAAGAATCCACGGACAAATCCCGATGCTAAACCTATCGAGGTAGTGGAAGATATTGGGGAAATCCGTGCAGATGGTAAGGCTATAATTATATAGAACATTGGTAAATCTTATTAATTCGATCTCAGTATCTAGTGCTGGATCTTCCCTGGGAACCGGTGGTATGAGTACAAAGATCGTTGCTGCTAGGCTCGCAACATCTGCTGGCGTCACTACAGTCATCACTCGATCATCCTCACCAGGAAACATTGTCAAAATTGTTCGTTATTTACAAGCTAGCAAGAAATGCACATCGTCAGTACATACACCCGTGGTGGATGACGATGCGGAAGATCCTCTATCAAGGTCCACAGCATCTCTAGCCCTTAACGAACTGGAGAAACCGCCGCTGCACACGCGATTTCTCCCGCTCTCTCAACCGATCAGAGATCGTTACTTCTGGATTCTTCACGGACTGGCGCCTCATGGTACGATTTACATCGATGTTGGCGCTCACCGTGCCCTTTCAGACAAAGCCGGCCTTCTCCCAGTAGGCGTTTTAGACATAGAGGGAAACTTTGCGCAGCATGAAGCTGTTCGCATCGTCGTCGTAGAGAGGAGACCAGAACCAGGACCAGACGGAAAAATCTGGGAAGGTCCCGGGGTCGAGATCGGGAGAGCACTGGTTAACTATGCGGCACCCGAGATCGCCCGAATTAAGGGGCACCGAAGCACGCAGATCGAGACCCTGCTAGGCTACGCCGACAGTGAGTACATAGCCGATCGAGATAGCATCAGTTTGCTCCGCAGGGAGAGCCGGCCAGTAACACCTGTGTTTGACAAAGTGAACGAGAGCGAAGGGGTGGCCGCTTACGAAAACGACATTAGCTTATAGAAGCTGGCTGCTTCGCATAGACTGACGGCGTAAGGAGATAAGGAGTTACACGGCCACAAAAAAGAAATTTAATAAGGGATAGATCATCGGCCACCGCAAGAATGTTTTTATATTGTCTCGTAGAAAAGACCAAAGTTACATAGAGTTACTTGTAGATAGCCGCGAACGCCCCTGAATGCACAAAGCTCAAGCCAATTCCGAACTCCAGGCCATCTTCTAGTGTCAAAAGCTACCAATCGTCCCTTTCTTTTATTCTCTCCTTGTATATACATACATCCGTCATCCCACCTAATTTGTGCCCACTCAGCTCGCGAACAGGGTGTCTTCGTCTCGGAGATACTCGCCACAGTCGGCCTGTCTGAAACATACGATGCCGGTTGGATCGAGGCGTCGGGCCTCGACGGTACTGCGGGCGGTGACACCGAAGCCGAGGGGCGTATCGGACATATTGTAGACGACGATACCTTGGTGGCTAGGGCAGTCATCAGACCAGCGACCGACATGAGCTTTGACGACATTGCCGCCGTAAAGGAAGGGCATCTCGCCATTGGGCTTGATCCACAGCTTGTACCGCGCATGCTCGGCTAAGATAGGCAGCGCTGTTATGTGTAACCTGAATTTTCCGGTCTTGCTAAACTTGCCTGTTCGTGAAGATTTTTTGTCAGCAAACTATACTTGACTAGGTTTGTGTTGTGTAGATATAAGATTTTTAAGGTGAAAGAGGTAAGTTTATAAGTAAATATTGTTGACATACCTAAGCAGATACCCAGTGACCCAAGATGATCCCTTGATATCGATGTAGCTAAGTTGGCGACGGAGAGTAGGACATAGTATACTCTATCGCGATTCAGACGGAAAACATAGCGATCGGCGTCGGGCGAGTCGTCGAGCGGCGCAATTAGGTTCTTTAACGAGTTTCCTGTATAATTGGCCAGCTTCTCGAAAAGCGTTTTCGTTTCTTGTTCTGTAAGCTGTCGCATCTTGACGATATTTTATGTATGCGCCAAGTAAATTGGATAATGCTATACACAAGAGAGCGCGGGGCCTACTTTAGAATTGTAGACATAGGAAAAAATTCTGCCACTTGGAAATTTTGGCGGTGAAAGGGTAAAGATACCGCGGAATTATTCCTATTGGTGTACCTGCGTATATAGTGGGTCTGATAGACAGGGGTCCGCAAGGAATCTTTGAATTTTTGAGTTTCTGCATCGCATTTTACAAGTTGCGAACATCTCATTTTTATCATTTTTCAACATTTCATAATGGCATCCAGACCCGTAAAGAAAAGAAAGCTTACTCCACCCGCGGATGATGAGCGCTCGTCTAAGAAATCTGGTGCAAAGATCCAGAAAGCATTCTTAACAAATGCATCAAATTGGGATCTAGAGCAAGACTATGAAACTAAAGCAAGGAAAGGAAAGAAAAAGGAGAAAGAGAGTACTCGACTTCCTCTAAAACTTCCAAATGGGCGCGTGCAGCATATTTCAGCGCCAGAAAGTAATTTTCAAGCTATTGAAAGCGACGAGGATTGGTTAGATGGTGCCGAGGATGTGTCTGAGGATGAAGATGCTAAAGAGAGAGAGGCCCCTGAGGAGCCTAAAATACCCGAGCATCAACAGATATTAGAAGCTAAAGAAGAGTTGGCTAAGATAGCTTTGATTCTCAACGAAACTCCTGATGAAAATACTGGCGCCTTCAAAGCCCTAGCCAGGATTGGACAGTCCAGAATTCCAACGATACAGAAGCTTGCCTTGGCCACACAGCTCACAGTATATAAGGATGTTATCCCCGGCTATCGAATACGACCTGTGGCTGAGGATGGGCCGGAGGAGAAGCTTTCAAAGGACGTGAGAAAGTTGCGGACTTACGAGACATGTCTCATCTCGGGCTATCAGGCATATGTAAAGGAACTCACCAAACATGCGAAGACTAGTCATGCACAAGGCGTCGCGAGTGTCGCTATCACCTGTGCCTGCAATCTATTAACCGCCGTGCCGCATTTCAACTTCCGTTCTGACCTAGTCAAGATACTAGTCGGGAAGCTGAGTACGAGGCGTGTCGATAACGACTTCAATAAGTGTCTTCAGGCACTTGAAACCCTATTTGAAGAAGATGAGGAGGGTCGCCCATCTATGGAAGCGGTCTCGCTTCTCTCCAAGATGATGAAAGCCAGGGACTACCAAGTGAATGAGAGCGTTGTTAATCTATTCCTTCACCTCCATCTACTATCAGACTTTTTCGGAAAGGGGTCAAAGGACTCCATAGAACGTATGGATGATGACCATACAAGCAAAAAGCCCAAGTCGAAGTGGGCGTTTCGGACCAAGAAGGAGCGAAAACGCGTGAAGGAACAGAAATCACTGCAAAAAGATATGGCCACAGCCGACGCACTCGTTCAGCACGAAGAACGAGACCGCATGGAGGGAGAAACTTTGAAACTCGTATTTGGTACATACTTCCGGATCCTTAAGATGCGAGTACCGCATCTCATGGGTGCTGTCCTAGAAGGTCTATCAAAATACGCGCACTTAATTAACCAAAACTTCTTCGGTGATCTCCTCGAGGCGCTGAAGGACCTTATCCGGCACAGTAACGCATCTGAGGAAGACGACACGGAAGATAAGGAGGGCGAAGACGTAGAAGACGACGACACGCCCGCCCGCAACTCCTCCCGCGAAGCCCTCCTCTGCACCACAACGGCATTCGCATTACTCGCGGGCCAGGATGCGCATAACGCTCGTGCAGACCTACATCTCGACCTCTCCTTCTTCACAACACACCTCTACCAGACCCTCTACCCCCTAAGCCTACACCCCGACCTCGAGCTAGGCGCGCGATCCCTCCATCTCCCCGACCCAGACAAGCCGTCCCAGGCCCGCGACAAGAACCGGAAATCCGACAACAAAGTCAACCTGCAGACGACCACCGTCCTACTAATCCGCTGTCTAACAGCCGTCCTCCTACCCCACTGGAACCTGCGCTCCGTCCCTCCCGTCCGCCTAGCAGCATTCGCAAAGCAGCTCGCGACAGCCGCCCTGCACGTGCCGGAGAAGTCGGCGCAGGCATTACTCGCGTTACTTGCCGATGTGGCGGGGACGCATGGCCGCCGCATAGCTGCGCTATGGAATACAGAAGAGCGCAAGGGCGACGGTGCGTTTAACCCGCTGGCTGATAGTGCTGAGGCGAGTAATCCGTTTGCGGCGACGGTTTGGGAGGGGGAGATATTGCGTCGTCATTACTGTCCTGCTGTTAGACGGGGCGTGGGGATTGTGGAGAAGAGTTTGAGTATGGCGGAGAAGTAGGGTGGTTTGGAAGGGGGGGTTGGAGAAGGGGAGGAGATTGGGAAGCTAGGATAGGGTGGTTTGGTAGAGGACGAGGGTTAATATATACCTTGTATGAAGTTGAGCCTCTAATGCTCTCTATGAATCTTGTTTCTATGCATGTATACAGATGAATATCTTGGCCTCTTGAACATGGACATCGGAGATAACAATATTCCCCATGTGGCACGGTTTCAATATTCTTGTTTTACGTTTTATGCAGTGTAAAATCTCCCGCTTGGGAGTATGAGAATCATGAATGATAGGGTCGACTGATTTCGTCGATGAAGCTTGAGGTTTACTTTGAACACGTATATTAGGCGGTTGTTGCTCATAGTCCTCATTATTACTTTCCCCATGTTGTTCTACCTATCGGCTTAAGGTGCCAATTCTTGCAATTTCACTATTGAAAATAAATGGCAGCGTGGCTCATAACGTATCATTATTATTATGCCTCTGTGTACAAGGCCGCCGAGCCAAGGCGTGATATAATAGACGTAGACATCTCTAAGTCCAGTGTGTGCTTCCAAGCCCCTAATTACTACCACACATAAATACAAACAATACAACCGAATTACTAAACTACACGAGCTCATGATCTGCGTAACAACGTGAAAACGAGAAAACAATACAACTAGCTTCGAATAGAGAGCTGCCTGCTACTAGCTTAGCAGAAGATATGCTGAGTCAAGTCAATAGAAAAGAAGCCGATATTCCATGATCGTATCCCCACCTTTACAAAAAGGGGTTACAATATTAAGTGATGTGCCTGGAGTTTGTCGAGGTTGGCTTGTAGTCGTTCGTGCGCCATTGCCTGGGATATCGTAGTTGCGGCTAATAAAACATCAATACCTACCTAAGCAGATAGTCGAGGGTGTTGGTCGCAAAATCAGGGACATAAAATTACATATCGCCGTTATAATTAAGCCCGTATGGTTGATGTTCTGAATGAATCCGGAAAGGAGCTTTCACATACTCGTAAAGATGAACAGAAACATTGAATACTCGAGGTATTCTAGCTGACAGTCCTTGATGAAATCTGGTAATAATATAGGCACAACCACAATAGGGACTTGGCGTTTGGTATAGTGCCTCTCTTAGCTGACTTTATTTGGCCCAGCGAGAGTCTGCGAGACCGGGTCCTTTGGAGATACCACTGATCACAGTTTGGCCGGTTGGAACGGAAGGACCGCGTCTTTCATGAGTTGGTGGATCAACACGCATGGGATCTCCCCAGATGTGCTCAGGAACATGTTTCTCAGGATAACGATTAGGGTTGTCAGGGTTCCATCGTGAAGCTTTGAGGCCTACTTTGACGCTGCTTCTTGTCTCCACGCCACCCATGGCCACATCATCATCTTGGTGAGCCTCGTTCTTACTAGTGAATTGCATCACGTTTTGGCTAATCGTATCACCCCCTTCATCAAGGAGCGATGTCTCGGATTGTATAGAATTCGAGTGATTGTGCCAAGTGGCTCGTTGAGAGACTAAGGTAGAAGCATCGGAGCTGTATGCCAAAGCAGGGTCCGCCAAATTATTATTGGATTGAGATGGAGTCAAGGCTTGAGCAGTTTGTAAATAGCCGCCTTCACTCGGCAAGCCAAAGATTTGCCCACAAAACTGTGGCGGAGTAAAGCTGTTGGCTGTTTGTAGCTGAGTTGGATCCCCCGTAGGTTCGCTCTTAAGACGCTTCGATGCAATGTTTCCCTCTTCACTATAGGACGTAATGTGTTTCTGCCATGTCTCTTGCGGAGCGGGAATCGTAAGAGCTACATTCTGTGAGACGGGGGGCCATTGTAGAGGGGGTATATCCTCAGCGAGAACAGCTCGTGAATCACCAGTACCACGGAACATAGGCATGTCGTGAGGGTGAGACATTGGGGTGATACCTCCTTGAGTTGATCGTACAGGGTGATGCTGTATCATATTTCCTCGAGGGTGAATTATTGAATTTGAGTCCAGTTGAGCACGTCCCTGAACACTACTACCTTGACCATGTTGGTTATGTTGCTGGCGATGGTTCACTAAGGCACCTCCCCGTCGCGTGTTGGTTCCGTTTCTCCTATCCTGACTTCGTTTATTGCGCCGAGGTGATTTTGCGCGTGTGAAAGAAGCTTGTAGCTCTTTCGCGTCCTCTATATTCCCACGTTCCAACATCTTGACAGTAGAATTCGTTTTTTTTTTCCTTGGGCTCTTCAGTAACCACAAACAAAAAGTCCAAATAACTCCGTCAAATTGTAAGAACTAGGTTATGACAGCCTCAGAAGGTTATTAGAAGTAGAAGTGTGCAAGGGGTAAAATACAGAATGGTGGGTTTGGGGAGACTGACTTGCTCAACAACAGAGAGTTGTTAAGGTTGGTAGGAGAAGATAAGAATCAAAACAAAACTTCAGGATGTTTAAGACTCGTGAAATTATGGGTTTGAATGTGTGCAGGCAGAGAGAATACCTAAATGTAAAGATACGGTAGTTCTTACCTTATGCACCTTTAGGTTAGGTACCTATAGGTAATCGAACCTGCACATATGCTGTCGCCTCGGAAACAATAGGAAAGACAGTCATATGGTTCCTTCCTTCGATACATTCAACTATTTAAACCCCTAGGCAGGCACCTTAGGATTCCACTTACTCCTCCCTTTTAAAGTAATCTATGCTTTAGTAGTATCATGAATTTGTATCTGCTAATTGCACTTCCTACTACCACTGCTATTTATTTAAAACGCAATTAGCTCTGAATACATCAGTAAGATACACGTATGGAAACATACTCTGGTTCAGACTGGTGTTTGCAGATGCAGGCACCCACGCAAGTGCAAACGAAATCAACTAGGCAAAGGTTACCTGGATGGGTAGAAAAATGGATATCTAGATTATCAGAGTCTTGAAAATATAGTATGGCATACGGGGATATAATCACTTTGATTTACATACCTCATTCAGGTAGGGGACTCTATATCCAAAGTGAGAGTTCTATAAACGGGTAAATTCAGCAGTTGCACATGACACATGCCCAACGTCCCGTAAAAGATATAATTCTTTCGATATATATAGACCAACTAATATCATTACCCAGGCAATCCACGGTTATGCTGCTTCTTAGTACCAACAAACGTCTCAACCGCGTTAATATTAGTTGCCTTATATTCCGCTTTCTTCGCCTCTTCCACCCACTGTATATTAATCGTAGGAACATGCTTGGTTATGAATTCGATCAACGCCTTGGAATTAGGGGCATCCTCGCGGATTCCAATGCAGGAAACACGGGGTATACCCAGCGACTCAGATAGACGATCCTCACATGACTTTGATAATCCTACTAGCCTAATAGGCATCTGTTCAGGATGTGATTTCGAAGCAATCGCTACCATCTGTGGCAGATGTCCATTAAGAACGTTTGGTTGTCCAGATCGGGCTACGAAGATGGCTGAATAAGGGCGGAGAGAAACACCTTGAGCAGGGAGTTTGTCGTCTGAATTGGTCTCCACAGCTTGTGCTTTAGATGCTAGTTCTTGTAGACGACGCGTGACAGTTGTAAGTCCGACGTCTACATACGATTTCAACTCCGGAGAAGGAGGAGGCGAAACGTTTTCAGAATGTGTGGTTAAAACTTTGCGTTTCCGTTTCTTATCGCGTTTGCCTTTCGACAACTCAACATACTCTGAGCGGTACTGACCCAGGGGTGTAAGCAAGCTACTCTAATATGTTAGCATAGAGAATACAAATATGACTCTTCTAGGTTCTTAGACTGAGAGAAGGATCTGATGGACTCTTCACTCACTTGCATAGAAGCTCTAAGATGGTTTCTTGGTCTTCCATAGTCACGCTAGGCCTGGCATCGTTAGCATTGGTTTGTTAAACATGTTGGTGTGGAAAAGCCGGAGGCATGTGTTTCCTACCATGATACAGCTGAATAGGGAGTGTCTAGCTGATAGACGATTTTCTTTCTCCTTTCCATATTCACACGTAATTTGAATTAGTTAACGTAAAAAGTATTTAATTCACTCCCGATATTGTGACTAATTTAGGTGAAACCCAATCCAATTTAGAGTACTTGTGCTTCTTTTCTATTCGTATTGTTTTAGAAACCGAAATAAGTTTCTTAGAATCTTAGTGGAATCGCGTCGCACCTATTGAACCTAATATGGATTTGTTGGTCTGTGCACGAGTCTAAGCTCTCAAAGTATCAAACAGACGAAATCCTAGTTGTAAGTCATCGTGGTAGAAAATTGTATGTTTAGGTATTTTTACCCTAACTACAGATTATGTATTTAGTATGATACATTTCTCTATCTTACTAGTTGTTATGATAGAAAAATCAATATTAATTATCGATTGACTTTATGCCATAATCCTTTGATAGTATCCATATCCGCCTTCACAGTATCACTATCCTCATGCTCATCTAAAACCTCAATCTTGGACCTCAACCGCGCTACCATCAAGTCCAGGGCTATCTTTGGAGATACCAATGATAGTTCTTCGCTTAGCTTAGCTTGACTGATTATCTTGCCGTCGCATAACTCTCTTACAAGGCTTTCTGCCATATCCTGACAATTGCTCGTTAAGAGGTTGTAGCGCGGGTGAACCGACATGTGATTAGCTCCTAAAGCTCGATATTAGCAAAAGAATTTAGCATCTCCGTCTTAGCGTCTACTTACCTATTATTTGTATTTCTTCATGAGATTTCGTCGTCTCCCCGATATAATAACATGAGCTCCATGCTTGGATGAATTCTGGGGTAATCTCGGCTACCCGAAAGTAGCTTTTACCAATAGCATTAAGCGCCATCTGATCACTCATTAAGTCGTAACAGTAAGAAGGGTCGAAACCGCGGTCAATCACACATAATGCCCAGTGACTGACACTATTTTGGCTCATACCAACGTGTTTAGCAAGCAACTTGTACGTATTTTTGGACAATTCAAATCTGCCAAACTCGATAAGCGTGGTGATTAAGAAAACGGCCTTACGAGACGCGACCAGGTTCCACTGTAACGGCGGCATCTCGACAGCTGAGTCCCCAGTAATTTTCGCCAAAACTAGGTTAAGGAATTCTTCCTTTTCCTGTCGACGACGTTCCTTTTCAGCTTTGATTACATCCTCCTCTATCTCCGAAGATCCCCGCGATTTTCTGTGTTCCCTGTCATGGAAATCGTGTGTTAGACGCTCGAATATTGGAAATAGCGAGGACCTTTGAATAAGCGGCGTTTAAGGGATGAAGGGGAATTGTGGAAATTTACCATTTCTCTTTAAGGTATTCTTCTGTGGCTACTCGAGCGCTTTTTAGTCTTGATAGGGCGTCGAATCCCATCTCTAACATTTAGGACCTGGGGATGCAGATATCATCAGGCACTGTTGTTTACTTACATGTAGTGTAGGTGAGATGGTATGTATTTCAATTATTTATGTGTTTAATACCTGCAACCAAGTCCCTCACAGCCCACCTGTTCCGCTTTTGTATGTGCATAGGTGCACTACATGTAATACGGTTAACTCGGCCAACTAAGATAGTAAATCTATTTTATGCTTGCAGCTCCATTATGCACACTCATTATGTGCCTTGCTTTATATAGTTTTATGTATAACTAGTTATTAAATATTAGAATATCCTATCGAAATGTATATATGCCCTTCAAGAATACCTACAAATTCTTAAAGACTTTAAGCTACCTCTATATAGTCTAAATCATTTAAGTTGGGGATGATTAAATGCATTAACATCCTAGTATTAGGTACATGTATGTACTTTAGCTAGATATAGGTACCTAAGGTATCTATGGCAGAATACATACCTTATTTGCGACCGTATTCAAGCATCTTTATATTAATTTTAATACCATCTAAAACAATGAAAAGAAGGATATACCTTTTTATAAGTCAGTGCGTGCACCTATAAAATATTTGCCTAAAAGCAGGCGTTTCTAGAACTTTAACTACTACATGGTATATACCTAAGTGGAGGACGGCGCTTAATTGCTTGCCCTGGCAGCCTGGCAACACAACAGACCAGGACCTCGGTACATATCTAGCCTGACCCTGCAGCCTAGACCCGCTAAAGTAAGTTGACTTTCCCTACCAACATATGCTATGTACAATTTGTTAATGATTAGCTTGGAAAATAATTACATCGTATTCCGTTGTGCATACGTCTTCCAATCTTGCATCATATCCGGATATTGGGCGCCCTACCGATAGCTGATTGCAGGCCTTCCCGACGTTATTCACCTATTGTTGAGAGATTAGAAGTTGTGTAGTATAAAGCACTATCTCAACATTTCGTACTTACCTAATTCACATGATACCTATGGTACCTAAGGCAGGTATGTACTGATTGATACGTTAATACATCCATACCTCATGCTCTTCTTACATACAGTATTGTAGCACAGCGTACGCACGTCTTTTTTGCACATCTTCTGCACATCTTCCCCACTTCAAGAATGCACTAGCGTCGCCTAATTCTGGCACTTTTCATTAATCATCTAACAGCTATTGTGATATACCCACCTAGGTATTCTTTCGAGACAAAACCATCCCAAGGCAATATTCGACTCACAGCCTGGCTCGATTATTTACGCTACCCACTCAGTTCAGTGTCATATTCTGTCTCTCTATTAAGAACCCTGATTATTCAATCAGATACGCCGAGGATACTTTTATTCGCGTTCGCGTTCGCGTTACATATATCTATTCATTTAACCTACCTGATCAACTATATGTATCTCTACGCATTAAAGCATTAGAGCTTCCAACGGTGGTTAAAGCAATACAACACTCTTCGAGCTGGTTGCCGTTTTTCTTATGTGAGGTAAGTGGTTAACCCACCTTGCGTCACATTTCAAGCTTCGTCATTAGAAAATTTGGATATTGGAAATCTTCGAGAGATCGCACGATAGAGATTGGTTCCCCGGGGAAAGATGGACAAAGAACCCCTACCTTCCATTTGCCTAGGATTAGCAATTTCTTAGCTAGTCCCAGGTAATGCTGCTACTGTAGCGGGTAGCTGAGCTCTTGTTTCCCACTTTGCCAGGGCCCAGGGCTGCCTTCCTAACCAAGTTCTCCACACGCCCCTCCCCCACCATTAGCTTCCTTCATACTCGCACCACTGACGCCAGAGTCCCAAAGAAAAAAGTCCCCGTTACTAACAAAGTAACTGGGAGCTTCTCCAACGTCTATCGTTTATCGTCTATCGTCTATATTCTACCTATCTTCTATCGTCACGAACTATTACAGGTGCCTATCTGTTTTTATTCCCCGGCCGGTTCTTGACCAAGGGGAATTCTCATTATCGTTCTTGCAGTTTACGAGAATCATTTCCTCTTCTTTCAACATTTTGATGATACCCCTTATAGACCTTTGATTGTCTTTTATTCTTTTTCTTTTTCTTTTCCTACCGTCTATTCTATTGTGTTTATTTTCCCAGTGTTTTACCCCGCCTATCTTTCTTCAACCCACATGCTAATTCTGGAGTCCAGCAGCAGCCGCCGAGCCTTCTCGCGCGAACGCCTCAAGCTTTGTCTGGAGCTCCACGATTTCCACCATTCCCGACCCTGTCAGCAAGGTACAGATGGATCAGGATTCGAGATCATCCGAGCCGCGAGAACGAGCCGTCTCCTCTGAGCCCTGCTCAACTCGACCTAACCCTTTTGACGACGGTGATTCTTCTTCCCGAAAACGTCGTAGGACCTCCCTTTCTGGTTCAAGGAGCTCGTCAGTCGAAACTATTCCATCCCAAAACGACGAAAGAACCCCTTCCGACTCTAACATCATGAGGGTCGACTCGCCAGAGCAACTTCCCCCGAGTACGCCGGCTCGTTCAGAGCCTCCTGCCGAACCTGTTTCTAGTAAGGTCACTATCAACCTTAGGAATGCTGACAGCCTTGAGAATACACCTTCCTCCCCTCCATCTCCCACACCTGCGCAATTCCGCAAAGACAATATAAAAGCTAGCGTCGAAGAACCGGAGGTGAATATGATACAGGTACCTTCGGCCGAAGATACATCGTCGCCGACATCCGAGCTTGATAGTCCAGAAGCGCCAATCGAGGATGACCTCTTACTCTATGATATGGAACCCAACATAACGCTTCTACCAGTCGACAAAATCACAAAATTTGGTGCTGTCATGCTTGATTTTCCATATCATACTGATGGGGAGTCATATCACGAGACGGTTGTTCGTCTGGTAGATTATTTTCGACAACGTGCGTCGATATTTCCCAACTCCCGTCAATCCTCTAACTTTAAACTAGAATCCTCGCATGTCGACGATGCCTTACATGAACTAAATAATTGGCTAAATTCATACCTATCATGCGCAAATATCGAATTCTACACTGTCGTCGTAGAGACATACCAAGAGAATAAACAGTTTTGGCAGGCTCTTCCTGAGCTTTTTTGTTCTATAGGCCATCGGTATGCATAATCCAAGCGTTCCACCAATATGACTTAACTAACGATGTTCCCTCTTTAGGCACGGCTCTTCGAAATCCAATCACACTCGAGACATCGTTAGTCAGATGTTTATGCAGATTGCTAGACTAACTGGATTTCTTCTCCTAGTTGACTGCCGAACACTAGTACAAGTCATAAAGAAGGAGGGCAGCGACTTTGACTTGATATCTCCAAGCTTCCTTCGGTTATTTAGCAGTCTTGCGGGTAAGGATGAAAATCATACTGTTATTAACGGGTACATCCCTGCGAACCACCCGGGAGTCTTAGAACCACTTGACATACTTCAAGCAAGTAACGATGGCCTACAGGTTCAATTGAGCCGCTTTACTGAATTAATTACGACTAATCTCACGCGATGTCCTAAGAAAGTAATGGATAATCTTGTTGGAATCACTTTCCTTACGGACAGCCTTGTGCGTGATAGCTATCGAAAGCTGTCACCTCCCAACTTTTATTCTCCATCAGTACTTGATCGCTCAAGGAAAAACATGATCTTCGGCCTCAAATTTTTTGCTGCGGTCTCGGAGGCCATGGACATCGTGATCGATAAGTCTACCAACAATCTAGGTTCTGGGACAGCCATGGATCTCATTAGTTGTCTCACGACAATTTACAAATTTAGCTTGTTCGGCGACACTATCGAAACCGCCCCAATACTCGAGGATCACCGAAAAATGCATCCTGATCTTCAAGACAGATTCAGACAAGAGGCTCTTTCATTAGAATGGAAAATGCGCATATGCTGCAAGCTAGTGAGATCACGTCAGATGCAACTTAGAGTCGCAGCAACATCGCACCTATGCGAAGATCTCGTTGTGCAATGGAGGACGTATATGGAACGACAGGAATTAGGAGATGATATTCCCTACTTAGCCTACCTTCGATATTTATCTGGTTATCTGGTTAAAACTGGGATCGTCGACTATCTTCTTGGGCCAACATGCCATCCAGAGATCACCCAGACCAGCTTTAATATTGTTGGATTCCTAGCCGTCACTAAAACTTATACTGCCACGCAGACAGAATTACTCTGGCAAACTTTGACGTCAACCCAGGACCCCCGAATCTCTGATGCCATAGTTCGCATGATGTCTAAGGTAGTTGGTCTCCTTGAGCCGGAAAGTCTCAGCTATATGTGTGAGAAATTCCATAGTCTACCGATAGAGTCTTTCTCTTCTTGCATGCGTGATCTTTTCGACCAGGTTACAAAGCAAATGCAGGAGAAGATACTACCTTACCAATTGGTCCCTCTTTCGCCCTACCAAATATGTGTTCGATTACTTCAAGAGTCGTCTATCCTTGGACCACAAGGCTCTGTATTATATCCGGAAATTCACCACTTCGCCTTGTCGAAGTTCAGTGCTCTTTTACACTCAGGCCCTGACCCGGCAGGACGTGAAAACATATGGATGAGTTGTGTGCATGATATTGCGGCCAAATCTCGCAGCACGTCGGGGAGTCTACATGTACTAAGTACACTTATTGGTAATTCCCCGGCACTGCAGATGTTGATATCCGATCACGACCTGACGCGGCTTCTGGTTGACGAACTAGAATCTACGATTGCCAATGCGAAAGACCTTGGATTTTCTCCGGTTTATGCAAATCCAATAGGCCATGCTCGTCGAAGGATTATTTCCGCCATTATTGTGAACCATGGTTCCACCATCGATTCGGAGCTCGGCCGACGTCTCTGGGATCTCTTAGTTGGGAATGGCGCAGCATGCCAGGATGACAGAAAAGCTGCCTGGGACGACTTAAATGCGGCACTCAAGAGGACACGCCTGGATAACCCTTTCCTCAATGCTTGCTTGCGAGAGTATTTACCTCAACTACCACCTAGCTGTTACTGCGGAG